TCGATAAGAATTCTGCTCTGAATTTTATGTATTATTATTATAATACACTGATAAACACAGAATTTAAAACTTTATGATTGTAGACAAATATTGTGAAAATATATATATATATATAAACTGTAGATATATTGTTATTTCGGGTCTTTAACAGCATTCATGACGGGATGGCATACAATATAGGATTAAATGGTCACAACATTAGACACCAGATCTTTCAATGTTCTTCATGTAAGTTTGTGTTGGCTTCGATGCGATAGTAAACGGCGCCCATTCAAGCAGGGCTTTCCCGGAAGGCTGTGCTCAGCCAATCAGCTCCGGTGGTCGGCTAACATCATAACATTCAGTGACAATTGGACGGCCCCTGACTTGGTTTCTAAAGTTAATAAATTGCTTTTCATGTAATATATAACAAAGTCTGAACACATATACATTTATATCAATGGTGTTTCACTGACATCCCTCTCCTCTCCCCACAGAATCCACTCAACAACAGCACTCAGACTAACATTATATTCTGTTTGTTAAATATCCCTAAAATACCGCTTTTTCGGACTTCACGAGAGGAGATCAGACCGACAAAGAATTACATAATTATAAGCCATAGTCTCATTTCTGCGATTATTCATAATTAATGATCAATTTATTGATTAGCATAAACTGTATTTACTGTAATGTATTTCTTATTATTAGTTTGAATCATAAAAAGTCAGTAAATAAATGCCTTTTTGTGATCATAACTTTATTAACTTTTAAATTCTTTATTAGCTTACAAATTGATGATCATTTAGCTTAAAGTCTGCCACAAATTTAACGATACATTTAGCATTGTTTTGTAATGTTAATTGTGTCAATGTTTCAACAAATTATTTTATTTATTTTTTTGTTATAAATTAATCATCTTTAAAATCATGTATTAGCTTTAAACTATTTACATAGTCATAACAAATACAATTTGTTATTAATATTATTTAAGATAAATATATAAACAATCTAAAAATATAACACAATATATATAAATTGATTTTAATGTAATAGTTAGAAATGTTGAAATTGCCAAAAAAAATATCTATATATGATATATATGTTAGGGTTGACCAACAAATTTTATGTCCAATCGTCTCAAAGACGCTTATGTTTGAAATTAACTCTTGTGTTACGTTTGTCAATACCCCTCCTATTGTAAAAACTTTGATTTTATCAAATGCTTTCAAATGTCTTCAAATGGCTGAGAAGCTGTATAACCCCTTTGGGTATTACTAGCTATCCATACAACTGAGTGTAGCATTTGTGTTGTACAGTACTATGCGATTGTAAATTACTTAATATTATGACCACTTTATATGACTTTCAAAACCTTTGCTTTAAAAGTTTGTATTTTTTAACTCTAATTATTTACTTTCAAATCAAATAAATATTTTACTTTTGATTTAACTGATAAACCGATCCTTTGACTCACTCACATGTCTTAAGATATTACTATAAAACTTTGAAAATATGTTTCCCTTTACTTTCAAAGATTTAAACTCAGAAATATAATGTTTATTCATGAGAACAAACAATACAAAAGTTATATGACTTTCTGCACATTTATATATGGATCATATAATATGGTAAAGTAATGTACAACTGATATACGTATACAGTGAACACCTAAACTAACTATCAAAATAAAACTGTAAATATTTCTGAAACTTCCAACATTTGACTCAATTAGTTATGGTTTGTATTGTTTAGAAAGTTTATTCCCAATTCATAAATATTGATACTATTTTTAAATATTTTTTATTAACAATTTTGAGGTCAAATTAGAAGTTATTTTATAGAAAATATTTTTGTTTATTTATTAACACTAAGAACTAACTGTGTGATGACTAAAATATTTATTTCACATATAATTTATATTTTTATGATAAAAAAATTATTTAATAATCAGATATTAAAAATTAAAATGGATACTTTTAGCAAACATATTAATAAATTAAACACATAATTAAAAATATATTTAATAATAAGCAAAATTATAGCTTAATATTTTTTATTTATTATGTCAATTAATTTTTTAATTTAATAATAAAAAGTATTTAAAAATTCAAATATATAAAAAAATATAAATTATATTAATAATATTTGTATTAGTAATAATTTTACAAGTTTTGCTAAGATATTTTTTTTATAAAATTACAATTCATAATTTATAATTTATAACTTATTATTAAATCGTTTAAATAGATTATTGAGAAGAATAATCATTTTTAAATAATATTTTGTTAGTTTACTATTAGTCTGTATATAAACTCTTTGATAATATTTAAGTCTTCAGTTCCACTGATTTTAATCCGAAAACAGGCTTTTGATTGGAAGGCTATAAAAGTTTTGCATAACATTGCTATCAATGGCTTTCATATTCACACAGATATATACAACACTTATTAAAGTATTGAACATTATATGTATGTCAATGTATTATATAATTTATGTGTTAATGTTTAACATTAGAGAAGTTCAACATTTGAAACATTTGGCGGAGAAAAAGGATAACAATAAACTTAAATATAATTATATGATAAAAGATATTACATTTTTAATAAACTGTTTTATATTTATTTTCTAATTTTTTACAATTTGCTTATAATTTCTCAACAATTGTTTGTAAGTTTTTTCAACAATTTCTTGAAATTTTTAAACATTTGTTTGGAGTTAACATTATCTCACAGACTATTTACAAAAACATTTATTGCATTCTCTATAAAAAGTTTATTAGTAAATAATTTATATTTATATTAAAGTAATGTTTTTAAATCAAATATCATTACAATAAACGGTTTGAATACAGATTACGATAATAAAGTTAATTTCAAACTAAATGGTCAAAAGATTGTTCCAAAACTATAAACACATTATTTAAAACTTTAAAATTTCTGAATATTTGTTTATTTATTTAATACATACTTTTACCAAAAAATTGACAATTTTTATCTATAATTCTAGAGAAAATTTATCTGGATTTTTAAAAAATGCAATCTTTTTTAATTAATAGCCAAATAATTTCATAACTTTATATAAAATAAGAGTACTATAGCACATAAAATAATTTAAATGTTTAATCCCATTTTCAACTTTGTGTATTAATATTTAGTTTAATATTAAGTTTAAAATTTTAAAAACTATTACATAAAATAGATTATATAAACAGCATTCAGATGTACTCTACAAAGTTATTAAAAATATTTACTAAATACTACTTTTATATCGTTATTAAATAACAAGGATTTTAAACTATTGAGTCTCGACTTTAATATTTATACTACTTTTATTTTTTATGATTAAAAAATCAATTTTTAATAAATTAAGCATTAATTTATATTTAAAAAATATTTGTTTACAAATAAAATAATTATAAAAATTGAGTTAAATTTTGCTTTTGCAAAATGTTTGACTATCTTTTAAAATCCCTTACAATAATAATATATTTAAATTCTGTGAAAAAATATTTGAGATTTCAAATAGTTAATTATGTATTTTGGTATTTATCAATAATTTTAATACACTTTTTATTATTAAACAAATTTCAAATTCTATGATAAATACCAGAATTGTCAGAACAAACATTTAAAAAGTATATCTAAGTGTTATATTTGAATAATTTATTTTATTTCTAATACATTCAACAATTTATGACGTTTTTACTTTACAGTGTATTAATCAGCCACTTATTAAACCCTTTCACATATTCACCTATTTATCTACTAATCCACTCATTTAATCACAATTTATCCACTTATAGAGTACATCACATAAAATAAGTTAATTAAAAAAGCATTCGTAAAAACTTTTTAAATCTAAGATATTGTTCGCCATTTTGATGACATATTCTTTAAGAAGAAGACATTAGTTTTTCAAACAATTTTATTCTACTTTTTTTGATTCTATATTAACACACATTTACACAATACTATACCAAAACATTTGATTATTCAATATATTTAATATATATTATAAAAATTAGCAAAATATTCATTTAAATTCTTTTTTATTGTTGAGTTAGTAAAAAGCGAGAAAAAAGAAATCGATTCTGAAGTTCATGTTTTGTTTTTTTTACATTTTACTAAACAAATTATAATTATATGATTTGAATAAATAAATAAATATGTAAAAGACATAGTTTGTAGTCTCTAATTATAATTATTTATCAATTATTTAAAAATTTTAAAGTAATTTAGACAAGATAATAAACATTGATTAAAAATTATATAACTTTATTACACATTATGTTATTTAGTATTTTCATATAATAAATAATATTAAAACATTTGGATTTTAATTAAATGGAAAAATAATATAAGATTTCGTAAAACTTAGATAAAACTCACAGCAATTATTAGATAATTACAGGTAATGCAAAAATGTAAATAAAATTATCTAAAAACTTTGCTTTAAATACATTATTAAAAATTGAATACATTTGGCTAATTATACTGTATGTATGTATATATTATAAAAATGTCACATAAAATTAACAAAAATCTTCTATCAATACAGTTAATACAAATTGTATATTTATATATTTACAATTACAGAAAATTAAGTCACATTTAATGTTTTAATTATTATTATAAGATATTAATTGCAAACATGATATGCATTTTTAAACATAAAAAATTTCATATGTTTTACTAAATACAGTGTTATTACGGTATAATTATTATTCAATTCAAGGCCAAAATCCGATCAAATTTTCATCAAATATTAGATAATAATTTAAATTATATTATATACTGTATATACGTATGTTTGTGTAATGTATATAATTTTGTTACAACTATTATTAAGAAGTTCAATATTTTGTTGCCATATTATAATACATATAATTATTCATATTTGCAAATATATTTATATGACTACACATATAAGAGAATTTTTCTATAATTATAGTCAAAAAATGTTTAGAAATATGTTTTTTGAGTCACAAATATTTTATGAAAATCACAATATGTTTGCTGTTATATAATGAATATCTACTAAAAACAAAATTATACCGAATAGAGGCACAGAAATCGATACTTATATTAATTCAACAAATTCTGACTCTTTTGTTTAAAAATAAGAATTTCAGTCATTCAAAGAATATTATGTTAAGACTAGAATTTGACCAAATATTGAGGACATTAAGACATAAATTATATGACTTATTATGTATGTATGTATGCATGTATGTCAAGTGATTATTAAATATATTAGATTTTAGGCACAAATCCTTCGATTAAAGTCACAAATATTGCCATTAAATATGTTATGTTATGTTATGGTTGAGCTGCAAATCATTGAGTGAATTAACAGAGTGTTTGTGTGCATTACTAACATAATGAGGAACTTCATCACCAGTCCTGTTCTCCAAACTAAGATTTAGAGCAATAATTGGGATTTACACTCAAAATAAAGTGTAATAATAATTATAATAATTCAGTCGACAATGTTTGTACTGATGATAATTTGGCTCAAATTCAACCATAGTTTTCATCTATTTTTAGCTGCAATATCTAGTATTAAGAAATTTAATGACAGCGTAACTACTGCTGTGAAAGACGTGATATTACGGCAATCAGTTGTTGTAGTTATCGAAAGAACTGATGTATTCAAGTGCTGCTCTGTAACAGAACTGATACTGATCTTCGGTTTGAACCATTCCCGGCCTCTGAGTTCGTAACGTTCGTACCGTTTGAAAGAGATCACACACACCCTCATTCTGGAGTCGTTCCAAAACAATGCTAAGTGTTATAAAAACACCGGTTCTGCCAACACCAGCACTTTATGTATTGTATTTAATTTAATAATAAAATTAATTAATTGTAAATCAATATTTAAATTATGTTTTGATGCTATACCTGCAGTGAACAGTTATTGGTCCGTCGTGTCCAAACTGTTCTTTTGTTTTGTGCACTTGTGTTATAAATTCAATGAATCCGTCACCAGATTTGGGAACTCCTTGTTCTGGCCATTCGACAAAATGAAATTGCCGTATAACCCGTGATTGGCCGTCCTGTTAATTGACATAATTTTATTAAATTTATTGTTATTTAATGACTAAACAAATGAGGGACAATACCCGGGCATCAGTTATTTTAAATTCTCTGAGTATATACTGAGGCATATTGTATTCCGTAATGGGATCGACAACATAATAGAGATATCGTTGAGAGCGCTCTAAAGGCCAGTATTGATGACACTTTTCGCGTCCCATTTCTTTCAATTTTGTCAAAATTACGACAATATTTGAGTTGTGTTCCCAAAGACTTCGCCAAAAATCTTCTGTAGTCTCAGGAAGTGGTCCTTGAGTTGCGATATAAGCGCTTCTATATTTGTATCCATCTATAAAACTAGCGTTTATATAATCAGATCCATCAACACCTCTGAGAGGTTGTAAGAAAACACGAGTTGACTCATATGGCAATATATTCATTAGTCGATTCTTAAATTTGTTGACCGGAAGGTTAGCGCTTATGAACTTATTGGCCACAGTTTTCATGGATGCGATCTTTTTAAACTCCAATTCCATTCCTGTAATATTTTCTCCGGGAACCACTTGCATAAGCATTTGAATGTGATTATAAAGATTACGGGCCGACACTTCAGTATTGCCAGCAATAACTGCTTCGAGTACTGCGTCGTGAATAAAGATATACTGGTCTTCAGTTTGAACCGTATAATTACGTTGAGCTCTAAGACATGTTACGTGACCGTAGATATCAATTGTATTCTCATATTTGAGTCGCTCTAACATCGAATCAATTACGATATAACAACCCGTACGACCTGTTTGTTAATAATAAGTCATTTTAAGTAAATATAAAATGAGAAATAATCAAAATTTTGTAATACATACCAACACCAGCTGAACAGTGTATAATAAGAGGACCAGCTTCTGGTGGATTCATTGTTTTAATTCGTCTTAAGAACATAAGAAAAGGTGTCGGATGATCGGGTACTCCGTGGTCGGGCCACGCGGTAAACTGGAACTGACGGACTTCCCGTTGCTCTACATAACCGGTTCGTTGTAATGTAAAAGTTCTGATACAATACGAAGCTAACTCTTCATAGTTTGTAAGAGTCACATGCATTACACCGTAAGTGTCTGTTCCTCGTGATGGCCAGTATTGGTCACATTTTATTCGAGTTCTTTCTTCCAGTTTAGTCATCATAACAATTGCTGCACTTCTCTGTTCCCAAACCATTCTCCAAAAATCACCTAAAATTATATGAAAAGAGTTACAATACAATCGCTAATTATAAACATAATATAAAACAAACCAAATGTTTCGGGTAACGCTCCCTGAGTCGCAATATAAGCGTTTTGTTTGCGATAACCATCACAATAGTTGGCATTAATATAGTCAGAGCCGGGAATGTTGTCTAGAGGTTGGAGAACAACTCTGCTGTGATCGTATGCAATGACATTCGCGTATCTATTCTTTGGTTTATTGAACTCAATGTTTGAGTTATCCCAAGTAAACTGTTGTCCCGGTTCTATGGACTCATATTCCTGAGAAAACTTCATATTATCATTAGACTTAAGAAGATCAATATGATTGGACAATTCAGTGACGGGAATAGGCGGATGACTCATCATAGCTGATGTCTGATAGTTAAGTCGACGCAATTCTACCGGATCTGATGGATGAGTTGTCAGATCTCTCGGTTCTGCTGTACTTAACAATAATTTCATAGTTGTGTCGGCGGCGGGAGATTTGATAAGTTGACGTCGTCTGCAGGAAATGGAAAAACGACGACTATTTCATTGACCATATTTTTTCATCAATTTATAAATTATTAATAAAATAAAATTAAAACAAAAATAAACAAAAAATAAATAATAATAAATCATAAAAAAATAATTAAAATAAATATAATACCGTCTGATAATACAAAATCCAACAGACATTACCACCAAAAGTATTGCCAATACAATAGACAATATTAAAATAGCACCCGATTTATCACCAGCTCTCGTCACTGGAACTCTATCTCCAGGTTTTTCTGGTGATGGTTGCTGTGACTCCGATTGCTGGACATTAGGACTTCTTGCGTGACCTTCGGCTATAATTGAATCCAAACTGAGAGCATCAGAAAATGGCGAACTTGTGAATAGACTCTACAATTTTAATAAATAAATATTTAGATTATAATAAACAAAATATAAATTAATTTTTGAAAAACCTTTATAGGAGTGTCGACAACAGCCCGAACAAAGATGTGATAAAGAATTTCTTTATGAAGTCTTCTATTGACAAAACCATTAAATTTCTGTCCGTCTCCTAATAAAAATGTGTTAGGAATGGCTCTTCTCATCCATTTCGCAGCAATATAAGGTCCAATTCGATCTGTTGGTGTCGATGACAACTCTTCAATTGTATACTTATCCGGTTCTTTAGTTGCAAAAGTATTGGGAACGACCACCAAATAGTAATGACTAATTGGTCCATATTCTTCAGACGCTTGTGGAAGTATTACAGTAATCTGTTGTTTATTTTGTGATTCTATAGAATCTGGTTTAACCATAGGTTTGGGAGCGGCCATAGCTGTTGTTACAGTGATTTTAGCGGGTGGTCTGAATGTTTCATCTGATGGAATGGCAGTTACATTCACTTGATAAGTGGTAAATGGCATTAATATATTGACTCTATATTCAGTGACATCGGATGACACATAAATAGATTCGGGACTAATTGGTAGCCTTTGGAGGACTCCTTGACTGTCGTAAAATTCTTTGTGAGCGCCATATGTTATCTTATATTTCGTTGGCTCTAACTTTTTAGGTGGTTTCCACGTCAATGTCATTGTATGAGTGGTCACATCAAGTGCTTGTAAGTTAAGCGGCACATCAGTCGGATCAGTTCTAACAGTAATCAACTCTGAAAGTCGTCCCAATCCTTGATTAGTATAAGCTGCTACACGAATGGCATACATTGTTTTAGGCTCTAAACCAGTAATAGAAGCCGACCAGGTCAGGGCTACTTCTTTACGATACCAAAGATCAAGATCTTCAACTGGCGTTTGAGAGTACAACACGTGATAACCGAGTATATCATTAAAGAATGGCATCTCATCCCACCAAACTTCTACTGATGTCTCAGATGTACTCAATGATTGAACATTTGTTGGTGCAGGCGGTACATCACCTGGAGTTTGCAATTGAATTCGATTACTCCACGGACCTGCACCACGACTTGTATGAGTTCGCACTCTAAAAGTGTATTCTGTATTTTCATCCAATGAACTAAAAACCATCCGAGTTTGTGAAGTATTGGATTCATTTGGTGATTGATCCAACAGTTTATGGAAATGTATTCCATATCCAGATATTTTTCCATTTCTATATTGAGGTAGCGGTGGATCCCAATTGACAACAACTGTTGTTGGACTTTGCAATCGATACGTCAAATTCTGTGGCGGAGCTCTAGGAATACCTTCTGGGGTTTCGACATATGCTACAGACTCCTGTCCCCAACCAATAACATTACTGCCGGAAATACGAAACTCATATCTGGCTCCTCTATCCAAATCTTTAATAATTCTGTGTTGTTCTTGTGATTCAATTTCCATTTCTTCTCTATTATTAGAGTCCATTCGTCCGTATTTTAACTTATATTTCATTAGCTGTCCATAAGTATGGTTAGGTCGTGACCACTGTACCTCAACACTCATTTGTGGCTCATCTTGTAAAAGACGAATTAAAATGTCAGGTTTAGAAGGAACTCCACCTAATGTGCGAACACTGGTTGATCGACTTCGAGTGCCGTCACCCTTACGAGTTACAGCTGCCACTTGTATAGCATAATCAGTGTCTGGTTGTAGACCTGTTATATTATATTCTTCGGCCATACCATCTGCAACATCAAATCTGATCGGATCATTAATCAAATCTCCATTTCCATTAACTTCTTGTACATGTATTTGATATCCTCTAATAAGACCATTCTGTTCCTTATGTATGGGTGCTAACCATTCAACTAAAATTGATGTACTGTTCAATGCAGTTGCTCTGACATCTCGAGGTTCGCCCGGAACTATCGAAATAGTTAATTATAATTAATATAAAAATTTTAGTAATTTGTGTTAAAATAAAATAATTGACATTTATCTGTCAAATACATGAGTTACATAAATCCAAAAATAGAAAGCTTTTGAAAGTTTAGAAATTAATCAAATATTTGTTAATTTATTATAACATTTTTTAATTATCGGTTATCAGTTAGTATTATGTGAAGGAAACAGAGCCATGAGTGGCACAGTTTAGTCAATTGATGTAATCCTTACCGTCTTCATCGGTTTGTACTATAATAGGCTGAGATGCGGGTCCGTCCCCCATCTCAGTGCCCGCAACCACTGATATGCGATAATTAGTCCATTTGTTTAAATTTTTGAGATCTACTGTCAACTCATTAGCTGTAACATTAACTTCATGCTTTTTAGCAATATTTATATTGTCTTCAAAATAAATTATTTTGTAATAAGTAATAGTTCCGTGATGTTTGGCACGGGGTGGGGGTTGCCATTGGAGGCGCACGGCTCTCGAATCTAATGCATTACCGCGCACTTGTTGTGGAGGGGCTCCGGGAACTACAGTCGGGATAAACATATCAAATTGTGTGCACAAAATAATATAATAAGCAAATTAAAAACATTGCATTTAAATAATTTAATTAAATTTTTGTAAATATTAATCTACTTGTAATGTGACAAATAAAACAATGTAAAAAATTATAACTAACAAAATACAAATAAATAAGGATTTTAAAGATAATCATAATAGGAAATTATTATACGGTATTTTTGTGATTTTTAAATTTAAATTTAAATATCAATTAAAAATAAAAATTAATAGCTTTGTTTAGATAATAAATTTCAAAAACATTTGATAATATTACTGTAATTACAATCATAAATATTATAAGCAGTGCTAAATCATATTATGCAACCAATAAACTGATTAATGTAAATAATTTGCACCAATTATGTCTTTAAAAAACTAAACCTGTTAACATAATTGCTAAATTTATATACACTGTATTAAAAATATTTACAGGTAATACTTAGAGCAAAAATAAATAACCATGATTATTATTATTATCGTATAACATATTTACTTTCCAATGAATAATGATGATAGGTAATTTTATTTAATCAATGTAGAGATATTGTAAATATTTGTATATAAAATTAAAAAAAAAAAATATATGCCTTACCAAACTGTTCGGTTTTAACAGGTATGGGTGGTGTGGCGGCCCCTTCTCCTCTGCGAGATTTTGCAGCCACCCATACATAGTAAAGTGTATCGGGATTGAGATCACCCAAAGTAAAAGTCTCGACATCAGGAATGGCTCTCTTTTCCTCTCTGTTGGTAAACGTGTCGTTCCAATAAACTTCATATCCTATTATGGCTTCTCCGACGTGCAAAGGCTTTTGCCAATTGAGTTGAACTGAAGTCGCAGAAGTTGCGGTAGCTCTAAGATTGGAAGGTTGACTGGGAACACCCTGTTGTGTCTTGACTTGAACCGGCATTGACAGAGGACCAGAACCTCTACTGGTAAATGCCTGAACACGAATAGTATAAATCATATGTGGCTGTAAATCAGAGATAGTGGTCAACTGATTGCTGTCCACAGTTTGGGTATTCCACGCAGTCGTCGGTAAACTTGGTTGTGCCGTATAATACACTTTATAACCGGTCACCTGACCATTTGGTTCTTCTGGTTGATCCCATTGCACAACAATAGTACTGGAACTTAATGGGCGGGCATTAAGATTTCGGGGATGCGATGAAATCACTAATTTGTAAATATTTAAAATAATACATTATAAATATATACTGTAATACACAGAATTCAATTTCAAGTTTTATTTTTAAAAATTATTTTCAGTCAACTATCAAAATCATTACTTACTTCGCCTTTCATTCATGGCGTCTGTTAGTGTGTAAGCATTATGTAAATGAGTTAATTAGCAAATAAATTGTTAGTTTATTGATATAAAAGAATTTATTATTAAAATTAGTTTTAAGAAATATTTTTCATAAAATTAAATATAAAAATTAATAAAATACTAGAAATTATTGATTTAGTATTATTAAACATCTTGTTCTTGTAATACAATACGACATACATTTTTATAAGGATTAACAAAATTATACTAAAATTAGAATTTTATTAAAAATATCAAAACAATTTTTATATTTATTGTTTCTAATTATGATATACTACTGTATTATTATTTAATAAACATTTTAATTATTATTAATAATACGGTTTGAATAAATAAAATTATGAAAATTTTCTTATCGTAATCTATATTATTACGATAGTATTAGTATTAAATACATAATACAATCTAACGAAACAAAACAGAATAATATAGGAGTAGTAAAACACTATTTGTAGTAAATATATATACAAATACCGATATACAGAAAATCTATACTCAAAATGTTTATCTAAATTGCAATTGTCATCAATAATGTTAACATAATTTACTACATTATTATAAAGTATTGTATTAAGAAATATATTGTAATCAATTAAATCATTAAAAAAATACGAATCACTTACTTGTTTCTCCAGTCATGACATAAGTAGCAGAGCTGGGCTGACCTCTTCCGATAGCATTGACAGCCACGACATAGTACTCATATTCGGTGAAAGGAGTGAGCGAACCAACGATGTAGAAGAATGTAGTGATTCCACTAATTTCACTCAATTCTTGGTTTGCATTTTTCGGTTTGTATTGAATTACAAAATATACTATATTTTCAGCTCCGATATCATAAGACCACGAAAGTCTCACTGATGATGGCGTCACATCCGATACCCGAACATTAGTAGGAGGTCTCGGCAATGACTGAACTATCACTTGAGTTAAGGCCTCGATATTTCCCAGTTTTGAGTGTGCAATACATGTATCTATTTTAAATCATTATTAGTTCAATAAAATTAATACATAAATACTTTGAAACATACAGTTAGCACTTTCTCGAATGTCCTCCAATATCAACACATTTTTACCGATAGGTAGGCCTTCGTGTTCCTCTTTTCTAATATCGGTCTGTCCTCTCTTCCAACTAACGTAAGGCATGGGAGAGCCAACCGCAACACACGTCAAGTTTAGTGAACTTCCGGGCATTACTTCGTACTGTTTTTCAGGTGGAATCGAGAAATACGGCGGAACCATACGAGTCCGGACATAAAGTGTAGCCAAATCTGAGTAAGCGGTGCCAACTTTATTCTCAGCAACGCATTCATACTGTCCCTGATCCTGCTCTTCGGCGCCCACTATCTGTAGTGAAGCACCCGAATAATATGAGTAACGGGTATTACTCATATCTATGGGAACCATATCCTTAAACCATGTGATATGAGGATCGGGATCGCCCTCAGCCTTGCATGGAATCAATGCATTTCGACCTCTTTCTACTCCTTGCATATGAGGTTGTAATGTAAATCGTGGAAAGCCTTTTGGTATGTCTTCATCTTTTAATGTAATAAATGTTAATAAACTGTAAATAAAACAATCGTTAGTATTATTTACCGGAAAACACATTAAGTAGTGCTTGAGCTCTAACTGGTTCTCCGACGCCATTCTCGGCCAAACACTCGTATGTGGAGTTGTCTCGATTCTGGGATCAAAACAATTCAGTCTTCATTATAACATGTTTTATATTATCATCGATTAAAGTATTATTTAATCAAATTATCGTCAAAGATGACAGACTTGACATCATTTCAAGTAAGCAATACATACAGCTCTGACCGGTTCTATCCTTAAGACAGAACCGTTAGGAATCTCGAGGACTGTATATCTTTGAGTAACCAGTCGTTTGCCATTCTTTCGCCATTCAATTTGTGGTTTCGGAGTGCCGATAGCGGCGCAAACAAATGTGGCCACTCGTCCACTAACCACCAACTGATCCTTTGGTGCTGTTATGATTCGCGGCGGATCTGAACACATAATACTCGTCATTAGATTACACATACAATGACAACAATCATTAAGTGGCAAACCGTCGGCTAAGACATCAACACATAGTGTCAGTGCGATCAGTGACACCAATGAGACCAATAATGGCCTCAAATGGACAACCATTTGGATTTAACGACAATTATGAGACATCCGACTCATCATTAAAAGCAATGCAAATGTTTGTCAATCGCTATAATCAATGATATGAATCAAGTCTTGAAGTTTGCATCTATTGATTGACACCACTGTTGACACCATTTTGTGCTTCAATTCAATACAAGCTATAGATTGCAAACAAATTGTATTAACAGTACTGTTATTATAGCTATAGTGAGTGCACTCCACTAAAGCCCACCCATTGCTCACCAAATTCTATGATTGCATGTCTCGATTGCCCCCCCATTACATACATATAACCATTGAGTGCAGGGGTTGGGTCATAGTTGGGGGACTTTGACATAAGCGTTCATTGACTGATGCTATCGATAGATGCCTTCAAACTAATACATTATTTCATTGTCTATAATACCAGTGCTTTGAACAGCTTTTCCAACATTAAACACAATATGTATTGTTTTGTATAGCTTTTAGAAAATAGATTTCAAAGGAGACCCACATGTCATATGTCATCAATTATTAATTACTCTTTAATTATTTAAAATGATTACATCTAAGACACTAAAAACAATACATTGTTTATATAAGGTTTTAATTATTGATTTTTTTGTTATTTAATCCTAATATATATAAATACAGTCTATTTGTACTAATTATATACAATTATAAATTTATATATATATTAATATTTATAAAGTGGATCAAAGTTAAGAGGCTTTTATACTCAATAATATTATTAAAGTCTACCCTGTCTTACAAATTCAATATTTAATATAAAATGTAGTCCACCCCCACCTCCCGTTTAAAACAATGTTATTTAAATATAATTATATTGTTTAAAAATTTATTTATCTAATTAATGGTAACATTGTTCATCTTAAAGTATTAAACAACATTTTGTTAATAAATTTAATTATTTCATCGTTATTAAGTGTCATTTGTCTTAACCCCCCCCCTCCTCCTGAAAATACATTTAAGTGTACCGTATATTCATTGCAAACTTTGATATATGGATTATATTATATATACTAAATTTATTTATTAATATATTAATATCTAATATATAATATCGAAAAAATGCTTTGCATTCATATTTAATTGAAAAACAGGCGTTTATTATATGAATGATATAATTATTTATATAATTAATTACATCGTTTATAATATTTTTCAACGCATATAACATCAATATTAATAATATTGACGATAAAAATGCATTCATTTAAATAGTATACAATTGAATGCATTTAGAAGTGAATGTCACTAAAATCTATATATATTATAGTATTATAAATACTGTATTAAACCAGGGTTAAGCAAGGTTTTGGAATTTAAGGGGGGTAGACCGGGGTAAAATTTACAAAATTCTCGAAAAATCTTGGGGGGTATTGGGGGGGGGGGGGGTAAGATTTTTATTGCATTTTAAACGGCAATTTTTTCAAAAATCCAAAATCAAGAGGGGGTCAAGAGAAAATTCCATAATATTCCCTTAAATTCCCGAATATTCCCATGTAAATTCGATAAAGTTCCCATAAGTTCCCGTATAAATTCCCAGGAAAATAGGTAAAATTTCCAAAAAAACTTAAAAATTCACAAAAACAAATTTTAACAAAAAATAAATATTTTTTAAAAAGATATTCTAAAAATTAATAAAAACAAATTTTAACAAAAAATAAAATAATAATGTATTTAATACTTAAAAATAGTTGATAAAAGCATTAATGATACACTATGAGTTTTTTAGTATTTTAGTAATTTTTAACTTTTAAAATAATTAATTTTTTAAATAATACTTAATGTTTATAGTTTATAGATATATATTTTTATTTTTTAATGTTATTTTTATATAAATACTGACTAAATACTAATTATAAAAGTGAAAATATTTTTAATTTTTTAGTTAAAATTTTAAAAATTATTAATAAAACCTTGTAATATAAGTATTTATTGTTTTATTAACTTCTTAAACTATCTTAAACTTATATTTAAACTGTAATGTGATTACTCTTTTCAACAAATAGGTAATTTTTAATTTTTTAGTTTAATATTTTAATTAAAATTATGTTATTTTTAAATGAGTTTTAATGTTATTTTAACTTTTTTACTTATTTTTAATCAATAATTAGATTCATATAAATTTTAAAAACATAAAAACACATACTAAAATAGTTTTAATTAAAATTAAAATTTTTAAAAACTTAAAAAAATCTCGGCGCCTTAGGCGACTTCGGCGAGAAAAAATTTCTCCTCGTTTTTAAGCGACAATTTTTCCCATTTGGTCAAAAAGTCTGGAAGGTAAAATCTTAAAATCTCGATCTTAGGGGGGTATTTTGGTATTTTGGCCTTACCCCCCTACCCCCTTACTTAACCCTGGTATTAAACATTGTTTTAGATAAAAATTAAATTTTTTATGAATCACTTGTTATGAATAAAACGATTCATTTTGTAATTATTTTTTTAAATCAAAACAATTTTTACATAATTTTAAACATAAAAATTGCATGTTTTTACAAAAATTTAATTGATTTAAAAGTCATAAAATAATTATTAATAAAAATATAATTAATTATTATTAACATTTATTAATTTTAACTAAATCAAAAAAGTATTTAAAATAAATTTATAAAGTATATTATATTATTTAATTTTTCATTTACAATTTTAATTACAATTACAATATTAGCTTTATATGGATAAAAACATTTAATTTAAAGTAATTTTTAAAAATTTCCAAACATATAGACATATACTGGTAGATAGTTAAGCAATAGTTAAAGTATTGAGCAAATGGCACAGTTTGTCACCCGGTTATGACCTCGTCTTGTTGTTGTCAAAACTGATATATTATCTCCAGAAAACAGATCTTCTCTAAGAGATTCTTCATTTGCCGCCTAAGATAATAGATTTAAAATTAATAATTATATTTTAAAATAAATATTTATAATAAAATACAAATGAGACCTCAGAAGCAATGGCTCCTCCCTGTGCTTCGGGTTGATTGTCGCTATCATTAGTAGTTTCGGGCACTTCGTTAGTATTTTCAGATTCATCCATTTGTTGAGGTGTCTCTCTAATAGGCGAAAAAATATCCGGTAATTGTAGATATCTCGGCGCTACTATAGGTGCGTCTACATAACCGGCTATATATCGTGAAACTCGATCAAGAATTTCTCGAAAACGTGTTTCAAGATCTTGAATTCTACCGATTCCTGAATGACTGCCCACACCTTTCAATTAGAGTTTATAATTATAATACTTAGTATATCGCATATATTCTGTATTAAACTCTATAGCATTTACCACAAAGATCTATATAAACAATTGAACTCATAATGACCGCCATTGCACCTGGAGGTGGCCATGGAGTGACTTCAATAATAATTGGAAGAATCGGTTTATGCAAGACATCAGCTAAAGTTATTTCACGGTTACACATAGGAGAGGCCACGTATCGGGGGGTTAGACAACTATTATAATTCATATGAATGTATATAATATTAAAAATGCTAACATTTGATAAACTTTAAATAAAATATATTAAGAGTACTGTATAACCAAAATATAATAACTCATACCATAAAACTACTTTAGCTCTACTAATGCCGTCGTATATCTTGCCATAGAGTGAATCTCCGCCACCCATTGATCTGTAATTAATAAATCAATTATAAAAAATTTTTAAAACATATTCGTAATTTATAATTTTAACTTTAGTTTTAATTATTAATAAATATCTTGTTGTAATAAAAGTAGTATTTGATAATTTAAATAAATAATTAACCTAGTATCCATCCAACATGGAAATCCTGCTAGTTCCAATTTTTGACGCAATTCTTTATTATATAAATTCAAATTAATATATTAATAAATTTTTGTTCATTAAAACTATTAATTTAATTAAATCTATAACAAAATGTTAATTAAAATGATTATAAGTAATGGTAAAGTGTCAGACCTGAGACCTGTTCCTGAGAATCTCTTTGATAACTTATGAATACAGGCGGCGCCGACCCTTCAGGTTCTAAGTCGTACTCTATAAGTGCGGCCACATCTTCACGTGATATCATTCTAAGACAAGACAGCAAAACATCGATACAATAACGAGTCCTTCCATTAGTCTCATACCAGTCCCTAAGCAATGCAAGACAGGGTGCGATATCATCAGTAAATTTTGAGATATCGCGCTCATTATAACCCAAACGTTTAGCTAATGCGAGCCAATCTTTATTTGGATGGTTGGGTGCCAGCAGTTTGGCCGCCTCTCTCATCCATACCGGTTCCACTTGAAAAATATGGTCCCAACCATTCTCACGATTTAATGATTGGGAAGTATTGTTGTTTGTATCCTCATCTAAATTATTAAGTTTTAATAATAATAATTATTATATAATTTATATTACTTTTGAGTACAAACTTGAATTAAATGGCAATTGAGGAAAGTATCGTTGAATAAATATTGTCCTAACCTGTCGACTGTACTTACACTCAACGACCTGTGTTTTAATTATATACAGTATTTTTTTTATTGATTTATAAATCAAAAGTTGAATTAAGTTATATTATTATTTTGTCATATGATTCATACCTTTTTAGTGAGACATTGATTAAGTGGTAAAAAGTGTAGGCACTCGATATCATTGCACCCATCAATCTTATGCGGTTCACACGTCACATCACAAGGACAGGGAACTACTAGTTTGAAGTTAAGTCGTCTATAAAATGAATTTCTCAAATTCTCTAATTCTGTTTCAATTAAGTGTTGGACCTATAAATTATAAATTATTTTTCTTATAAACAACTGTACAAAAAATTAGAATAATTTAAATAATATTTTTCATGTAATTAAAAAAATATTGAGACCTTAACGCAGACATTAGCTGTCGGACCGATCAAAAAGTTTTCAATTTGATCTGTTTGTAACTCATCAAAGATTTTAATTATCATCAAAAATATACGATTATATTTAAGACATATCTTGAGTAGAATGTCGTGATCAAAGTCAACAGCAATTCTTCCTTCAGAGTTATACATCTCTGGCCTTCGACCCCATCCCTGATTCCATGACCAACGACTAAGTTTGACGAGTAATCGGGAAAATAAACCCTTTAATTAAAATAAATGTTTAGTGAAAGTATGTACAGTAATAGCTCTTAATTGCATTTATTATTAAACACTTACAACTGGCAAATGATTAAAATCAATAACTAATTGAAAGGACGAGTCTTGAAATGATTCGCCCGATTGTGCTATTACTGGTTCGTTGTCGGGAACAGCTCTTGTAATCCACGGAAAGAAATATAATTTAGGCACAGATGTGTTTGCGGTAATATCGGGCGCGTCCTCTATTTGAATATATGGCCGCAATTCAACTATTAAATTATTTTAGACATTAGCATATTAACAATAATTGTAATAAAAATTATTATATTTAAAATAATCTACAAAAACAGCTACAAATGTTATAATAACTAATTATAGTCAATATATAACTCACAAATAATATCTAATTTTTCGAGACATCCTAAAAGTATAAACTTTTGTTCCGCATATTCAGTCCAAACATTATTTATAATGTTTTCACTAAAGAAATTAATTGTTAATTTATATATTTTCAAAAAATATTTAAAAAATATATGAGACCTAAGTATACCATACTGTGCATTGTCATCGTCAGACACTTGTTTAATATAAGAGCATAATTTATAAATGCATTGAAGAAACCAAATGGGATCTAATATAATGATACCGGAATCGTAAGCGTTTTGAGATTCAAAAAGTGAAAAATATCCGATGTGGTCAACACAAAACACCTTTCCCTGATTGTGGTAGAAGTGAAGGGCAGCGTTCAGAGCATCGTATGATTGAAAGGCATCGATGCGAGAACAGGCAAACTCATGCAACTGATTGATGTCTGCAAAATAAATGCCTCTTTGTTTAAGTTTTTCAAGGATCTGTTCGAACTCCATCCACGGCGCAGGGATGTCAAAGTTTACTAACTTCTCCTTTATTACAATTTTCTCGATATTAGCTTTTAATTCATTTAATAGTATTGGTTCGTCATATGACATCTCATCACAATCTAAAGCCAAATAATTTTCATTTAAATGGTTTTTATAAGTCTTTCCCTCTAAACTTGAATATATCTTTTCAAACGATTCTTTTATAATCTGATCCCTAGTTATAGGTTCGACATGAACTGAGTTGCGATGTGTGGCCACTAATAGGACCTGAGGCTGAAGTTTTGTTTGATTATCCCATTCCTCTTCTTTTTCTATTTCCGTTGATGTCGGGTATCGACCAACTGTTGAATGAATAATAGTCAGCCACATATGGATTATATTTAATGTACTTAAATCTCCTTTATGTAATTCAGTCTATTATACATTTAAAATACAATTTAATTTTAGTATAAATTTACAGTAATTGTATAGAATTATATAACACTTTATCGATTACCACAAGTGTGTCATCTTTAGACAATTCAAGAGGCGCTTCCAAGTCTTCACTAATATCAATGACCAGTACATAAACAGCGTAAGCAGTAAAGAATAACTAAATAATATTTAATTTAATATATTAAATACAAATAACTTAATTAAAATATCGATTATACATTACTTGATGTAAAATAATATATAATGTATAACCAGTGAAATCACAAATATTAAATATAAATTTAAATGAATTTTCTTTTAAAATCACTTCATTTGTTTTTTTCAATTTTTCAAAATCAGTTAAATTCTGATTTTTCAACAAATTTTCAACCATTAAAGTCAGTTCTTCCGGCACTTCATTCTATTAAAAATTTTTAAAAATTATAATATTTTTTTTAATATAAATTATTTAAATTTGAATCACTTGAACCATTGAATCACTAATTTGTTTGACTTCTTTTGTTGAATAAGATCTTCTGATTTTTCTCGTCGAAAATTTTAATACATTTTTAACCAATTCTTTCGATGAAATCTTATTAATTGACATAATTTTTGGCATTTCTTCGATCTGTTCTTTACTATTAAAATGTATTTCTCTGACAATATTTTGGGCCAAATTCTTGTAGAGTTCAGTCTCAACTAATTCATTGAATGCTAATTGTGTGTCAATTATATTAGAGTTTAATGTCTTTGTATTGACCCAATTGCTATCAATTTTTGAAATACAAGTAACCGATGCGTCCAAACCTATTGGCGATGAAGTTTCTTCTGTTCTGTGATTATATTAATTATATATAATTTGATTAATTAATCAAATAATTTCAAACAATAAACACATTTTGATATTTTGTAATATAATTATAACAAATATATTTAACACTTCGTTTCTGTTTTTCAAAATAAACGCTTAGAAAATAGATAATTATAATAGACATATAATATTTGAGTAATTTTCATTATTAATAATATAAGTACTAATGTTTTTATTTACAGACAATAAATTTTAATTATAATTGCATTCTATTTTTCATAAATTATTATTGAAATAAATAAATTATATTTTAATGTAAAAAGTTTTGTTTAAATATATTTTAATAAAACTTACATATTATTGATTAAAATTTTCTTTAAAGTAGATTTGCCTGAATTATGGGGACCAATGAGCATAACTCGGGTTCTCCTATAAGGAACTACACCTTCTGAACCACATTTAAAAGCTGAAGTCATATCGGGTCCCAGGAGTAGCATTTCACTGGACATAGGATTGTCATACGTAGCAAATTGAATACTATTTGAAGATCCATACAAATCAATGATTAGCCAAAGAGGAGAATTAATGGGAAGATCTTTAAAAAATATTTGCGTTAAATTCGGTTCTTCAGTGGCCGTAATCTCCATTAAACCGTCAAATGTTATGTGAAGTATAATACTTGAGTCAATCAATTGACTCGGAATGGCTTTAATCCAGAAATCTTCTTCATTACAAAAACCGATAATATGTTTAGGCAATGGATTTTCAGCAAAAGACTTGGGATTACGTGTAGTAACGCCAAGAAATAGTGAACCCAACCACTGACTGGCCGAAGAAGATATCTTTATTGGTATAAATGAATTCACACGAATCGGTTGATCACTGAACACAATGCCATCAAAAAATGAATTATTCCTCAAAGCCTTTTGTTTGGATTCATTCAATTGAATGTTAAGGCCGTGAATATCATTAAACTTCATACTATCAGAAAGTCTCTACAAATTAATTCTTAAATTCTTTCAATTATCTAAAAATTTTGCAAATATTCAGTTTATTCAGTGTTTCAAAAATGCAAAAAAATAAGTATTGAGATTCTGTATATTCTGTATATTCTGTATATGTTATATATTCCTTATTTCTTAAAACATGTATCCATAACAACATTTTTGTTGTGTTAAACCATCAAAAGTGCAACAAATTCAATAAATGTCACTCTATTGAAGCCAATTATTCACACAATCTTGTAATTAGAGTGTCTATAAAGTACTGTATAGAGTGTATAATACTGTCAGACATTAAAAAAAGTTTGAAAACAATTTATATTTTTTTACTTAAACAAAACAAACATAAGATTCAGTTTTTCTGATAACATTTGATAGACTCTACAAAATTCGTATAATAAGTATCAAGAAAACACATTTTTAAAATATTATATATTTTATATAATTTATACTATAAATGTTTTATTTAATTATATCGTATTTATAAATTACATTATTAAAATTTAAACGTAATTTAACAGTATATTTATAAATATATATAGATTTATACTAGATTGTTAAAATTATATACTGTAGTTACATAATTAAATAAATATATCTCCTAAGTGTTTAAAAATAATACATTAGACTTAAGCTAAGTGTTCGAATTGTTGACCAGTGGTTATTCACGCGCGTTAATTAACCAATCAAAATAGAGTTCTAATTTTCATTGTTATTGATATAATGTACAGTGTGTACAAAAAATAATGTGACTAAAAAAATAATTTATAAATTTAAATATCTAATTATCATCAAATGGTAAAAATACCTTAAGAAGTTGAGGAATAGATCCCATTATCATCAAATGGTAAAAATACCTTAAGAAGTTGAGGAATAGATCCCATTATCATCAAATGGTAAAAATACCTTAAGAAGTTGAGGAATAGATCCCATTATCATCAAATGGTAAAAATACCTTAAGAAGTTGAGGAATAGATCCCATTATCATCAAATGGTAAAAATACCTTAAGAAGTTGAGGAATAGATCCCATTATCATCAAATGGTAAAAATACCTTAAGAAGTTGAGGAATAGATCCCATTATCATCAAATGGTAAAAATACCTTAAGAAGTTGAGGAATAGATCCAATTATCATCAAATGGTAAAAATACCTTAAGAAGTTGAGGAATAGATCCAATTATCATCAAATGGTAAAAATAGATGAAGAAGCTGAGGAATAAGTATAGTTATCAAATGGTAAAAACAACTGAAGAAGTTAATGACATGATGTTGATGTTTTGAGTGATGGTGTTAAATCTGTACTAATTGATTGTCCAGTTATTATAGATTGTATTTGTAGTAACTGGTTTAGTAAATCATCATTTTAATATTAATTAATAAAAGTTGAATTATTAACAAATGGTAATTATCATTTAAACAGCAGAATTAATCGATTGATAAGGACAACGATGACTTATGCATTTGTTGATTGTCAGACATGTCGAATGAAATAAAAATACAATCAATTTTTAAATAACTAGTAATAACTTAATTTACAAAACTTTTATAAAGTTAATTCAATGTTTTGGACCATTTTCTCAACATATCAGCTATTTTATCATTAGTTGATAACTGGACCTATTCCTCAACATCTTCAGCTATTTTTGCCATTAGATGATAATTGGATCTATTCCTCAACTTCTTCAGCTATTTTTACCATTTGATGATAATTGGATCAATTCCTCTACTTCTTCAGCTATTTTTACCATTTGATGATAATTGGATCCATTCCTCAACTTCTTCAGCTATTTTTACCATTTGATGATAATTGGATCCATTCCTCAACTTCTTCAGCTATTTTTACCATCTAATGATAATTGGATCCATTCCTCAACTTCTTCAGCTATTTTTACCATCTAATGATAATTGGATCAATTCCTCAACTTCTTTATATACAATTTTATATATTTAATAATATTACGTTAATTGATCACTATATCAAGTCACACACTGTACTAACAATTAAACGGTTAAACAATTAAATTAATTTTGATTGGCTAATATGAATTTGATTTTGGTCACATGATTCTGTGACAAAGTCACAATTTACGCAGTTAGCGACCATTCAATTTCTGTGACTTTGTCACTAATACTACGTCACGAGATATTCATTGTTAATTGTATATTTAATAAATTAATTTTTATTTATTATCACAATATTTATTAAACATTAATTTATAAAATTAAGATTTTTAACAAAAATTTGTATTTATTTATAAAAAGTTAGTTCTTTATAGAGATGGGAAAATATAAATTTAACTTTATTATTATACTATGGAATCCCCATATTTATAGCTATTGTAATAAATTTACTTTATTAATAACACATATAAAGGATCGGAGATTTATTTATGATTATTATTATTATTTCAGTCAAATTTTAAACGAGATTATTATTATTCATACGATTTATAAGTTTATTTTATTTAATGTTATTTTAATATTTAGTATGACTTTTAGCAGTAATTCAATATTCAATTATTATTGAATATTGTAGTGAATGTGATATTCCATTCACTGAATATTCAACAAAAAAAATTCTAACATTTATTTTGTTAAAAGTTTGTTAGTATAGTACTATCCGTTATATTCCATAATAATTATTATATTACTATCAAAAAGTCGAGTTTTAGCTACAGATAAGTAAAGTCGTGTTTAGCAACCGACCAGTGAAGTCGATATTAGCGCCTCAAGTGTCCTATCATACCATCATTACCTCGATATTTAAAATTAAATATTAATTAACTACTATTTTGTAACTAATTTTATACTTAAATAAACATTTGAATAATTAATATTTTTATGAAGTATTTAGTAGAGTAATGATGAGTGAATGTCGACTAAATAGTGAATTGTATTTCGAGTTTGTTTGCTTGATATCAGTGAAAGTGATTACTTCGACTGCGATATTGCAGAACCAGACATATTGTCTGAATTTGATTTCAAGTATCGAAGCTAATGAGCTATAGTTCCTTGAAGTGGTCCGTCTTTCGAGTGCGAAGTTCAGCCCATTTCACACATAATATACTCTAAATGAAAATGTGATGACAATAATTGCTTTGGAAAGCCATCAAAACCGAAAGCCCTAAAAGACATACAAAATGGAAAAACGTCCCCTTCTTTATAGACTACAAGTTGTAAGTTAAACACATACTATATATGACCGTAATATTGAAGATATTAAACATTTAAAATAAATTTATTTCATTTATTTAATTTAATTTCAAACTCATTACCATTTTGAGTACACACACTGTACTGTACTATAAGAATAAGAATATATACAATAAAATTAATATATGATAATAATTAGTTTTTTTTAAATTTTATTCGTCAATTAATTATATTTTTAGTTTAATTTAATAAATTAGATATAATACTGTATATAAATTTTTTACTTTAAATATTAATTAAAATACTAATAATATTTAGTTATTATTTTTGATTATAATGAAATTGTTATTAAATGACAAATATTAAGACAACAAAATTAATACTATAGTATGCATAGCATGCTATAGACTGGGCATACTATAGACAGAAATTTCTTTATTATTTTAGAAATTTTTCTTTTTTTCCAACACTAGTTCTTCATTACTATTTATTTATTTGACAATTTGTAAAATAATGTAATCATAGACTCATGTCTTAATATTCGCATTTAATTATTTACAACTAAATATGAAATTAATTGTGATATTATTTCAAATTATTTTTAAAATATTGAGAACTATTCCGGGTATATAAATACAGACAAATAGATTTTTAATAAATATCTCTAAAATCTTTCGATAATAAAAATTCAAATATATTTTAATTTACTAAATATATAATTTGGTAATAACTTTATAATAATAATAAATACTAAACTACTTATTGTAATATAACTTAAATAAATATAAGAAAAATTATTTCATATTCGCTATAATATATTATTTCTAAAATAAAAATGACTGAAAAACTATACCAAAACTTATATAAATCTATTTAGAATCAAATTAGTGAATATATTCAATATATATTAATTAAATACATTTTATTTTATTTTTTTGATACAAATTAAATCTTAGTTTTTATAAATTAATGAATAAATGAAATTTTATTTTTTATGTTAATAAATAAATTATTATGCAATTAAGATTACTATAAATGTAAATATTTAAATTAATACATGATTGGGACAAATATATAAAATGATTGCAATTTGGAAGAGAATATACAAAAATACAAATTAATACACTTTTGGATTTTAAAAATTAACTTATATTTAATATATATATAATACAATTAATGTTTTATATGAATATATGTGTTATTTAAATATATTTGGGGCAATTGAGGCACAACTAAATAATGTCTCATTAAATGTATTATAAATGTAATCTAAAATCAGAATTAATTTAATAAATAAATTAAATAATTATAATAATCATCTAATAATTTTACAATTTCTTATAAAACAATTTGATGTCTAAAAAATGCAAATCATTCATTCATATCATTCAACTACCGAAATACTCTTTCCATTTGATCTGAAAAAATGCTCTCAAATTATGACCGGCCTGTCCTACAGGTGACTCGTCCTCATTAAAAGTAACACAATTGTCAAATATTTGCCTCACATCCAGTGAAAACTCTTCTTTATTTTTATAGCTATGTTATAAAAAAAATTAGTTAATATATTACATAAAAATTACAAAATACAAGCCTCGAGGCATCCAATTTGGATTTGATTGTCGTCGTGTCCATTGGTTTCTTGATTATCTTTTTATAAGTGGGAAACTGTTTGGTATTAACGGGCAATAAGAATGGCCACGAATGCTCATTATCTTCCATGGCTTCTAAGATTTTCTTACAAAAGTTTAATTCACAACTTTTATCCGATTGTTTAGATTTCTTGTCTTTTTTCGGTTCTTTTTCTGTTTTATTTGTTCCGTTCGACATTCGTTTTGACACTTCTTTTACTGAACTCTTTTCCGGCGTATTGTTTATAGGAGTCGAAGCAATATTTATCGATTCAATTAATTTTTCTTCTGATGAATAATTATGAGATTTCTTCGATGATTTCTGAGAATTTGGTTTCTTTGGTTTACGTCCACACATATGACAAATCCATTTGCCTTTTAATGGTCTGTAAAAATATAATACAGTAGTAATTAATTTAAATCTTATTTATATTTTAATTGCTTACTTATTAATGGGTGGATCCAAACAGTTTGGATGAAACACTTTAGCACAAGAATCGCAATTCAAAAGTTTTCCTTTTTTGCCACAAACTATACACACTTTGTCGATAGTATTCTTTAAATAAAAATAAATGTCATTTCAATGCTTTTGAATTTATTAATTCTCAATAATTTTATACTTTGTTTTGACATTCAAAGCAAAACCAGTCGCCATCAGGAATTGACTCCATTTTTGGTTTAAAGCAATACATATGATATCCTTTATCACAACCATCACAAAGAAGAAGTTGTGCTTCATTTTCACCGGAACCACAAAACTGACAGCTCTGTCATTCAAATTTTAATTATTTAAAAACAATACTTAATATTAATTAAAAATTCAACACAAAAATCGTTACTTACAGCTCTCATAATAGACTTATCCCATGCAATACAACCTTCAAGAAAGTGGAGGCAAAGAGCGATTTGAGAACTGCATTCACTTTCTCTGACGGCTTCCCTCCATCTCAAGAGACCACTCGTCGCATTCTCGTCGGCCGCGTTCTCACTGTATTCATCTGAAGCTCCGGCGTCTGAATTATTGGTTGATATAAGAATTGTATTACTTTTGAAACCTAAGGGCGGCTTTAAATAACGCCGTTCTATCACAGCTTCGAGTGCTAGAAGTCGATCGCGTGCCACAAACACAGGATTTACACCATCTATTTCGGGACACAACTCTTTAGATGAAAGTGGAGATTCGTTATTATCATCATTTAATTTTACACAATCATTGTCATCATTATCTTCCGATTCAATTTTTCGTTTTATTAAACCGACAAAATTAGCCGCAGCTTTAAAATTCATATCTTCATCGTTTGAAATTCTAGGCAAAGGTTTCCAATTTCTAATTTGCATACTCGATGTCGTTATCTTCTCTTCGAGTGCTTCTATTTGTTCTAAAACTGTAATATCAAAACGTAGTGCCACTTCTTGACACCAATCGCTTGAAGCACATTCTTCATGAGGACATTTGCCATCTCTTGGTGCACCAAATAAACAATTTTCTGCAATTTTTCGGTCCAAATCTGTAATTTCAAGTTCAGCAACATTTGATTTACAGGACTGTGAAGCATATGTTAGATATTTAATTAAATGTTTTTGTAAATGTCTTTCTCTAATTCCTCTGTTATGCAATACTTCAATCATATTTCTCAATTGTGAGGCATCTGTTATCCTCCACCACCCGAACTGATACTCATTTGATATTTTCTGTGGTCTTTCGTATTGCTGTTCTCTCTGTTGAATAATTCTGTTTTTAAGAGCCGGACAAATATCGATTTCATTATCAAACAAAAGGTCGCCATTTATTGTCTCAAACATCGGTTTAATAGTTTCTTGTGTTTCACAATTAGATTCATTATTTAGAGACATTGTAGATGTCGTGTTATTTAAGTCTTTAGTAACCGATGAGGCCCTAAAAGACAAGGGCGATGCATCTGGAGGACAGGGACCATTGCCACCATTTTGTTGATTAAATAATGAACTCAATATATGTGGATAAAGGAATGCTTGCATAAACAAATTGGATGGCAAACCATTTATTAGAGATGAAAGTGGCAATTGTTGTATTTTTTGTGATGAATTATTTGAATCATTCAATTTAATTAATGTTTTTGGAGTTTTGTTAGTCTCACATAAACTTAAATCCATTTCATCGGGACTAACACTATCATCACAAGGCATTCGAGGCAAAACACTAAACCATGTCTTTTCCGGTTGAGTAGACTTTGAGTTTGAACTGTTATTCGAATTTAATCCAAACGATGTCGTGGATGAAACACCATTATTCAATTGAGAAGTTCCGTTGTTAAGTAGCAAAGAGCCGGCTAATACTTGAGTAACAAATGGAGACAACCATTGGCTATCATTTTGTAGCGCAGAAGTGATATCTGAAGACACATTATCGTCAATAACTTTTTCGAGATTTGTATCCGTTTTAGTATTGCTTTTTAAGTCACTTTTTATCACATCATTTGTAACACTTGTGTCAAATTTTACATCTGTATCTGTATTTGTTTCAGATTTCACATCTTTACTTAAGACACCATTAAAATTGTGTGTTATTTCATTAATTTGTTGGTCCGACTCTTTTTTAATATCTTCACTCTTGATGTCATTCACTTTTTCCGTACCATTTGTCTCATCTTCATCCAACTCCTTAATGTCTTCATTTTCATTCATATCATTTTCTTCTTTCTCTTCTTTTTCTTCTATACTGTTTTCCTCGTTGTTCTCATTATTTAAATCTTTTTGTAATTCAGAATCAGTTTTGCTATTTTCACACTTTGTTTCATTAATTTCATCTTTAACTTCATTACACTTATTTAGTTCCTCTTCAGTCCAAACATTATTAGCCAATTCTTCTGGTTCTCCGGATTCAATGCCTTCGACAAACACTCCGCCAGCATTTGGTAAAACCCAATACCTCCTCCTATACCTGTCCTGTCCTAATGGACTAACTCTATACATATTAATAGCTTTGTTTAACTTATTATTCATCTGATTGAACTGTTTCGTCAATTTATCAATTTTCTTATCGATTTCTTCGTTAGTCAGTCCTGGTTCGTCTTCAGAGTCATTATTGGTTGTATTAATCGATCCATTTTGTGTTTCTTCAGCATCACTATCGGCACTATCTCTATCTTCTTCAACTGTTTCCAAATCATTCTTCTTGTTTTCATCCATTTGTTGCTGCGATTTCTTCTCTCGTTTAGCTTTAATTGTCTTCCATTTTCTCAATTCATTTTCATGAATCCATTTATCTCTTCTAATATTAGAAACTGTTTCGATATTTTCATCAATTTGTTTAACAATCGCTTGATTACAGAGTAGTTCGTTGCATAAAAAGGCTAATATTTCTGCCTTTTTGATGGCATTGAGAGCGAGAAATGTAACCGATTTTCCCAAAATGTTAACCATTTGACTCTCAATTCTTTCTTCTTTAATATCGTCTCTAATATTTAAATTAAATGCTTGGAAATAAAGTCTTAAAATTTCAGTGATATTATAGTTAGTAATGGGCGCGTCTTTAAGCTTTTGTCCCATTATTGTTGTCATATTAGTTGGAAGTCCCGGGTCTTCAATAGCACAAACCAATAAATGGTGAATCACTGAAAGGAGCTCCTCTTCAGAGCCCTCATCAATATTAAGCAAAGCTTGAGTTAGAGTATTCAGTGTGGGAAGACTATCCATATCAAAGCCAAGAGTTTCACCAAAATTATGAAGAAATTCGTAAACCATTAAAGTGTCGGCAAAGACTTTACCGGGAAGTTTAAGACCGGGAATTCGATTTAGTGTCGGCAATGGCTGTAAATCTTTAAGCATCATATCGTCAACCGGTTTCTTCAGTTCTCTCATTAATTCCATTTCTAACTTTCTTTTTTGCATTTTCTTCTCTTGAAGTCTCAGACGTTCGGCAATAATCTCCTCTTTCTTTCGCTCTCTTTCTTCGTTTTTCTTATGTGTATCCAATGCTCGGACTAACATCATATGTTGACGTCTTCTTTCTCGTTCTAAGTCTGCCATTATTAATAACTCTCTCCTTCTTTGAATTTCTTGTTCACGAATCAGTTCCAATTGTTGTCTCTTCAGTTCTTTTTCCTTTTTGAGAATCTCCTCCTGTTTTTGTTTTTCCAATTCTTCACGTTTTTTACGTCTCGCTTCTTCTATTTGTTGAGATTTATTGATTTTCTCTAACCTCATCAGTTCCAGCTGTTGTTGTTCTTTTATATTAATTTTAAGTGCTTCGAGTTTGGCTCGTTTGGCATCTCTTGGCATCTGAGCTCTGGTCCTATCCATGAGTCCGTGATTCTTCCCATGAGTTTCTTTGTTAGAAATACTTTCGCCACTAATTGAATCATTGCTGGACTTTCTTTTATTGTCGACCCTATTGCCCGGCATTCGCCTCAATTCTTCCAATTGTTTGCAAAAATCTTTCTCTGATATAATCATCTAAAAACCAAATAATATTTAATTTTTAACTACAATTTAGTGACCAAAACTTACGTCATTTCCACTATTGCTTCTGATTTTATAATTTCCGAGAACTACTTGTGGATTAAAATCAAAATAACGTTTCGATACATTTGTTATGCGTTTTTTAGTTAAATACTATAAACAAAACAAAAAATAAAAATCATTTCATATTGTGGTAAATCAAACTCATATTCAATACAAACCTTAACGATATCGGAATAAGTTCTAAGTTTGTGATCACAGGGAGAATAATAGACAACTTCTCCTTCAACGCCGGAATTTGTAATATTTGTAATTCTTGTTTCACGTCTCCAACTGTCAAAATCATATATTTTATAATAAATAACTTTTTCAACAAAAATAAGTAAAAATACTAAAAACAAACCCAAATTGAAAGGGAATCCTTAATTCGTTTTCATTGACACCAAACATGTTGTTATATCCAGAAGTATGTAAACGATTGACCTGTGAACCGGAGTCGGTTCCCGATTCATCATTAGATTCAGACTCACTGGCCATTGAATCCATATTATCACTACTTTCGGAGACATTCGCACTGTTTTTATGAAATTTTAACATTTCATTTCCATTTAATTTATCGGAAAAGAATGCATTGTTGGCCAGTGCTTGCAATTGATGACTAAATCCCGGTTGGAGAGCATTTAACATCATATATGGCAAATGGTGTTGAAAGGCACTCGAAGAGGACAAGGCCTTAGTCACGTGGGATATATGAGCTGCTAGTGGTTGCTTGCTTTGGACACCGGGTAAAGGGGGTGACAATGTTGGAGGTCGGCCTCTCTTTCGAGGTTTATTGTCACTAAAGTTGGTCAATGCGTTCAAATTGGAGGGAACTGTCACATTACTAACTGTATTGCTTGAAGCACTAGTTGTGGCCAAAATTGATTTCGGTTTTCGACCTCTTTTTCTCGAGGAATGATATAATGGATTATATTGTGGAGTATTAATAGCTGAGATGCCAGCAATGTTGTGACTCTTGTTATTGAAAGTATGGTTGATATCAACACTGGATTTAGCAAATATTGATGTCTTTCTGATTTCAGAAGAAGTATCTTTGATTTCATCTTTTGGTTTCTTAACACATAAATCCAAAGGCAGAGCACAATCGTCTTCATTTGCATTCATTTTATTGATACGTTTACTACACTTTACATCGACTTCATCACGTAATTTGGAGATTACAAGAGGTAATGGTTGTTCATTAGCTGAACTAAATCTTTCATCACTTCTATTAATCACCACTTTATCAGTCAAATCGTGTTTTTTCTCTATAATTATCAATAAATATAATCTATTTTTGTGATGAAAATCAATTGAAAACTCACTTGAATTGTGTTTTATATATGAGCTGTCATTGCTTGTCATCAAATGGCTATTGAAAGACAAATTCATTGATTAATTGTTGTAAATCAATGTCAAGACATCAATCAAATACCGATTTATAGATGAAATGTTGTCTTTAATCATAACATTGTTATCAATTAATTTCGAACTAATATTACAACAAATGGTTGTATAAAACAATTAGATATGTATTGTGAATGTGATTGTGATTGTGATTGTGTGTCAATTCATTAGACATAATGTATAATACAATAGATTTATACATAAATTTCGTACAAATAAATGCTTTGTTATAAATCTATAAATGTATTAATAATACATAGAATACGATATGAAAAATTCATTCAATAAACTATATATTACTTAATACAGTAGTACTGTATCTATGAATATATGTTTTAATTGTCAATTTAATTATTAATGTTATATTCATTTCTCTTAATTGCCATTATTATTATTATTATCACTTTATTCATCTAATAATTAGATATTTAATAATTAAAGTAAAATTTTAGTACTCTTAAGATTTACCAAAAAATCACATATTTTGCTAACACATGTAATATAGCAATGATTGTAACTTTCCTTTTATAATAATTATGTAAATTTTCAATTATGTTTAATACATACACTTTTTATATGTGTTTATAATTTATAACTTTCTCTGAAATATCAATTTTTAATGCGATTTCATAATCACTTAATTGGTTTGATTTGAGAATAGTTGGGTTTATCTCTAAACTATTTGTAATAAATAGCAAAATACATGTACCGGTAGTTTCATTGAAATTAGATAACTGTTGGCGCGTATTGTAATTTAAAACTCAAATAAATATGATTTAATACTTGGATTTAAAATTGTAAAAATAAAATGTATTTACTATTAGTAATTTGACTATTTTCTACACTAATTTAAATCTATTATTATAACTCTCAGTACTTAAATAATAACCGACTCACTGTATATTAGTAATAGTTTGTAATATACTATAATAATAATTACTTATTATACTTATAATACAGTATATTATTAGCTCTATCTTATCAACTAATTATATAATTAAAAGGCGTGTTTATATATACGGGTCCCGATTGTCGGGATTACCGAACTATTAAGAAATTGTTATGTGTAAACAATTAAGTGCCAAAAAGTGTAAATATATAATACAACTGAATCTATGCTAACCCTATCCTAACCCAACTTTTGGTTCACTAAATGTTTTGAATTAGTTATTATGAATTAAGGGTTAAAACTTGACAATTATATTTGATTATAAGTTTGATTATAATTGGGCCAAATTTATGTATAAAACTATTGTATGTCTAAAATATTTATAAAATTAATTTACACACAATAATAGACTATTAGTATAGTTTTGGTGACTTTTATCTTGTCGTTTGGGACCTATTGGTAGACATAGAAATCAATGGATACTTTAAATCAATTGTATTATATAATAAAATGTTTGTGCACTCAAACGAAATCATTATTAAAATTTAAATCAATTTAAATCAATCATATAATTAATAAAATCAAATATTGTGCAAAAAATATTAATACAAACGCATTAAATAAATAATAAGCAAACCATTAAAAAATCGACAATTAATTTGAATCTAAACATTGAAAACAATTGTGATTATAACGAGAGCGACAAATAAATGACTCACATCTCAATTGAGTGCAATTGATTGCGTCAATCATGTGATTGGCATCTGTTTTAGCGGATCCGCCAGAGACCAGATCGACGGGTGACCACAAACTCATGTCTTTATCATATCATTTGTCATCAATTCTTACAAAAACATAACACTCTTAACAGATATTTTGTGTCCAAATTGAATATTATTAATCAAATTATATAACTCTTCATCAATGCTAACAATAAGTATTGTCTGATAGAGTGATACCTAAACTAAAGCAAAAGCGACACATCTTTACAAAAGTAGTCATAAAGTAATCAATAATTTATATAAAGCTTAAGTAAAGGCTTTAATCAATGAATTCAATGCTTTATTTCAAACCATTTATACGATTATCAATATTATATCATCTTTTTATTTATCATTTCATTATTTTTTACTAATTATCAGTAATTTCAACAAATATGCAAATAATGCAAATATATTGATAATTATATATAAAACAAACAATTGAGTTAACAATCACTGCATATGATATCTGTTATGTCAATGTCTTATATGTTATCAAATAAATATATAGTTATATAATATATATATATATATATATTGTTTGCCCTCAAACCAGATATCACTGACACGTTCACTACATATGGCTGTAGACTCTATACTCTAACTCACTGGCAGTCACTGCTCATACAGTCATGTATTACTGCATAACTATAACAGTTCAATACAAGTGATTATATAATAGTAATAATAGTTACAAACTTTACGGTTACTATTATTTATATATTATTTATACATAGAGTATAGTATATAATAATATTGTACAATAATAAAGTGAATATATATAATTTATATAAATTAGTCCATCTTTTTTTAAATTACATTATTCTTAATAATTTTACAGTTAATGTATTTTAAACGACAATATTAATTTGACTTTAATTAACATTGATCAATTATTTAATTATACAAAATTATATAAATTATTGATCCCAATCTAATCTATCAATGAAATAACTAAATGAAATAAAATTATAAATATCTACTAAATGTTAACACATTTATAATTGACTACAGTATTGTATTACATATAAAATACTGTATATCATAAGTGATATACCGGTATATGTATATTATGTTAGTATTAATATAATCTTATAATACAGTATACTGTATAACCCTATACAGTATATAATGGTATTAATTTAAATGGAAAACTATATTTATTACTATATTATATAAGATCAGCAAAAAGTTTAAAACATTTTATTGAAAAACACTTAGTTTTTAATTTAAATATTATATTTTTTTATATTAATTAACTTTATAATGTTATAATTTTTATGGTCTATAATGGCTTTCAATGTATATCAGCAAATGCATAATGAGATGCTAATTAAGTTTGATTTGATAGAAAATTTAAATATATATAAATCATATACAATATGACCATGTTGTTTTTTTTATAACTATAATATTTTTTTTTGAAAATATAATTTATTCTTCTATAACTAACTTTAACATAAAAGCTGTGATTAATTGTTACTGTTTTGAAAAATTAAATTAAAATACTCTGTGATAAAAAATTGTTTTTTAAATTTCTAACAGTACTTTAGTAAAAGTAATTTATAATTTTATAACTTTTTATATACACTGTACAATAAAATACCATGTTAAATTTTTGTAAATGTAATTAAAATTTTGAACTAATTGTAAATAATCTACTATATGATTGATGTCTTCATCTAATAAAATAATTCATAATAATTTTGTTTAAAACATAACTCTTTAATATAAACTACAAAATATTTATTTTAATATAAAATTTATTTTATTTTTATTAAAGTGATTCACATTTCTATTTTTATCAATTCAGTAAAACGGAATAATATACATAATATAATATTTAAAATTAATTATATTATTTTATAACTCTTAGTAATATTTTTCTAATAATTTAGAATAAATAAGAATCTGATCCGTAAATCAACTTTTAATAAATTTGTTCTCCATTTTGTATTTTTTATTATATAACAAAATTAATATTGAATTTTTATATTATATGTTTTTTATATACAAATTATTAGCATATAATTTATAAATTAAAACAATTAATTAAATTTAAAAATACTATCATATTTTTAATTGTGATTATATCAAACTTTTGCAGTTTTTTTTGATTTATTCATCGAAAACAATTCAATTTCAGAATAATTATGAAATGTTATGAATGAATTTGTATATAATATTTTTAACTAAATTTCAATATTTCATATAATTTTTTTTTAATAATTTAATAGTTTATACACCTCCCTGACTATAAATCCCGGAGCTGCGATACATCCAAACATTAAAATATCTGTATTATGATATACGTAGAAACCATAGTACAATAAATAATATTTAATAGTTTTATTCTAGATATAGTATTTAGAGAGATATTGACCAAAAACCAGTTATAACCTTTTTGACACTGATTTTATATTATTAGTTTATAAATTATAATTTTAATTTTAATCCGGGACAATCTATTATCAATGTTAATTGATCTCTGGATCTAATTCTTTGATTATTCCGGTCAAAATCCGTGACAGTTGGCAACGCTAATGATTAAGTTTATGAACGAACGGTCCCTTTATTAGTGTACACTTTGTATACATTTAATGTGTTTGAATTGAATGTTATTTTTTAGTATAATTTAAATTGAATTTTGATTTACTTATTGAATGTTTAATTGTTTTATATAATGAATAGATTATATCGATTGACAATCACTTTATCGGATGTAATCAATGCAAACATATTTGGATTTAATAGACGTATGAATTGTTTGAACAAACCATTGATTTTACTAACAAATTGTTGAATTACAGTCAATCCGGTGTTTGTGGTAAACATCGACCGAAAAGTGACCAAAAATGCTGACCATATGTCTCGTTCACTATTGGATGACATAATGAGTGGCTTTCTATGGGCGACACCAAAGAGGAGACTAACTCTTGAGCGAAGACTTGTTCGGCGATTCGGTGTCGAGAAATATCCGGACTCGAGTGACATCATTAGACCCAAACAAAACATCATTATTTGTGACCACTGCGGCCACTATCACGAACTGCACACCATTTGCGGTAATTGCTATAAACGAGTCAAAGACGAAACCAAAGTACTGCTCGAAAAAATGAAAGAACGGATCAACTATTTCGAGCCAATTGATAAAGAAATGGAGTTTAGGTATGAAAATGATAAAACAAATGACAAGACGACAGACAATAAGCGAATCGTTGAAGTGGACAGACAGAGACCCGATTGGTTCTCACAGAATTTGATGACCAAAAGTGTTGGCAATAAATGGATTCAAAAGAATGCTATTATTGCTGAACAACAACCAAAAGTCTTAACAAAAGATTAATTAATTTATTTTATTTTAATATAGATTTTGATTACAATTATTACAATTTGAAAGAATAAATTGTTGTCATATATAATATGTTTATATATTTTATATTATTATTTAAAGGCCCCAACATTTTGAGATCTGTTAGAATTAATAACATTTTATTTTAAATATAATCTAAATATGATATGCAGTGTATATAAGTAATATAAGTTGTTTTAATTTGAATTATAGTTCATTATATTATAACATGTCTATCTTTAGGCACTTTTTGTTTAATTGAGTTATAGATTAGTAAGAATTGCACAAAAAATAATAATTGAATAAAATTAAAATATAAAACAATTAATGAAAACTAAAACATAAATTATTTTAAATATCTTTAAATTTAAGAAAACAACACAATTCTATATAGAAAAGGTAGGAATTTGTTATAAAATGATATATAAGTTATAAACTATTTTTAAAGTCATTTTTTGTGGAAATAAGTAATGTTTAACAAAAATCCAAATAACTATCGATAAGGCTTTAGTATCCCTGATATTCATCTGGAGGTCTGTTTCCATATTTTGCTCTATGAATTGCAGCCAATTTTTCTCTGGCCTCAACCAATTCCCTCTCTTTCTTAAGTATCTCTTCTCTCGCAACTATTTCCTGAGCTATTCCAGGGACTCGTCTTTTACTGATAATAATGCTTTGTTCTTCGTCGTGTTCAATGGCCTGTTGTGCTGAACGAACCAAATTGTCGGTCGCTTTTTTGACTGCATTTCCTGCTGTTTGCAATCGTCTCATTGCTTGTGAATCGGTGTCAGCTTTTACTTTGCAAGCGACTAATAGTTGTGCTGTGGAACCGGCCACTTGTTTTGCAGCTGATATTAATTTTTCCTCTGATGCCTGTCCCTGGACTAAAGCATTGGCCGCTTCAACTAAACTATGAGTAGCGGCAGCAACATGTCTAGCAGCGGATATTAGACCGTCAGACCATTGGCCGTCATCTGATGCATAAAGAGGTTGTCCCTCAACCTTACCGGCCAATACAAGTTCTCTTTGTGCTGCAGAAGCAGCTCTTACGAGTGCAGCGGTTGCAGCTGTTATAGACTTTGCCGCTTCTAATATCATTTCATCGAAATTCATCTCTTCGTGTGGTAACTGAAATTAAATACTTGTTATTAATAAAAATGTTGAAAATTTCAATTAATAAAATGCAAATATATTGAAGTATTGTCGAGTAAGTGAATGGTATCATTAGATTCGCGTATATGTCTGATTCTCGGTTGATGTTATAATCACAACCAAGAATATCAAACATATCTCGAATATATGACTTATAATGTCTTAAATTAAGTGCTGTAAAAGCAAACAACATGTGCTCACTCTAATGCTTGTTCGTCGGGGCTGAAGACTGGCCAGTTTCTTAGCGGCCGCATCTATAGAAGAGGCTGCGCCCAACAATTCATTCTCAGCGATAACAGTTGGATCGTCGGGATCGACCCAATCTGAACCCTTTAGGAGTTCAGCACTGCTAACAATTTCTGTGACTGAAGTAGCAATAGTTCGAGACATAATAACCAATTGATTTTTAGTTTCATTTCCAGACATTCCTCTGCTAATAGTTTGGTGAACCATTTGTAACAGTTCTCTATAATGATAAGCACAGCTTCTTCCTGATTCTAACACACGAGATCTCAATTCTTGTGTTTCTGCAGAATTAGCGGCAGCTTTACATGTGATTAATAAATCATAAATAGCTTTTCGACCCATATTTGCCGCTACAATCACATCGTCCTGTTTACCACTTGTACCCGCGGCTACAGCTTTAGCAGTGGCTAATGTCACCGGTTTTGTAACTCTAACCAGATCTTCAGGAGAAGCTTTTCTAACAGTTGGCATTTCTCCAGAATCAAAGGCTCGAATTTCTTGTCCTATGGCTTCGATAGTTGCTTCAAGAGCTCGGGTACCTCTTTGATGCTCATCTTCAACTGTTTTTACTGTTTTTAGTAGTGATGTGACATTTGTGACCATAACCTATAAGTTATAGAAATATCAATTTGTTTATTATACAGGATATACAGGAAAATAATAATAATGTCAAACCTTTGCTGATTCCTTTAAGTACATCATCGCCGGATCATTAATGCTTTTTCCGGAAGCAGTCTTTGTCGATCCAATTAGTTCTCCAAGAGCTGTGGCTACATCTTTAACGGCATTCAACAACAAGACCTGTGCTTCTGAGTTATTAGAGCCCAGTGAAGCTGCACCTAATTTGACCACTTCTGACAATTGCATTATAGTTGTGACTGCATTTTGCGCGGCGACAGCTAACTGTTCCTGACTGGAGGCCGCGCCTGCGACTAATGTTTTCGTGTCCTCCACCAAAGCCTTTGCTGTTTTAAGAATGGCTTCTCTATGATCGGCAAACGTTTCGTTTTCATTTTCTGAGTTTAATGTTCCCGAAGCGGCAAACATTATAGTTGTGTCTAAATCTCCTATAATTCCGCTGACTGTTGAGGCAGCGTTAATACAGGCCTGAGTTCCTCTTGAACCGGCCTGAAGTGCAGCTAAAACATATGAAACCTTTTCGGATACATTCTTAGCATTATCTGCCAGATCTCGTTGACTATAGGTATCTCCAGGATTTGATTGACATTGACCGGCACTTTTGGTTATGTCAATACATGCGGTTCCAAGTTCTTGAACACTGGCTTTTATACGAGAGGCGACCTATTGGTGGGTAACAATCAAATTAATAAATATATATTTAATATATATTTAAGAATCAAACCTCAGCATTACTGGTGGCTCCAACCACACCATTCACATCATTGGCTAAATTTGAGTAATTATGAGACAGATTTGCGGCCAATGGACCTAAACTCGCCACTTGTGTCGTTGATTTGCCGACCTTTGAAAAGTTAATTTTATAAATTGCGTTAATATTGTTACTTTGATTTAATAATTTAAAATATATTATGAAATAATGACAGTTTCAGACCATGTCCTGAGCAATTCTTGCAATTTCTTTGGCAGTGTTAACCATTTTTGTCTGATAGTCAACATATGTAGAACCTGATGGCAACGCTGATGTCGATGAATATGAATAATGTCTTTCATCTATTTTGGTTATAGATTTTGTAATCGACTCTATAATACCAGTCACTTGTCCGGCTTCAGTGGCGGCCGATTCCAATGTATGTAACAAGTCTTGTAGCGCTTCTTTCATTGCATCACTTGAGTCGTCGATCTCCGCGTGAACTGACGAAGCCTTTGAGTTTCCTCCGCATTCTTTAACTGAATAAATCAATTGCAGCGCGCATTCGGTCACAGTCTTGGTTTGATCTAAGATTACCATTTGTTGTTTGGAGTTCTGTGTCTTAGACGCGCATCCGATAGCATTTTGAACCAAAGGATCAAAATATGACACCATTTGTGTCACAGAATGACCTAATTTTTCAGCTTCGGCTTTACCTGACATACGAACAGAATCGATGTGTTCGAAGATTTCAGTGGCCGCACCATTCGTGGCCTCTCTAAAGCCTTTAAGTGTATTATCTTGTCGCGACTCCAAGTTTTGACTAATAATATTGAGTGACGACTGATCCAACTCACGGATACATCCGCTCAACTTCTCAACAGCTTCATCGCACTCCCGTTGTCCGGGAGAGGCGTCTTTGATAGAAGTAACCAGTTTTTTGATAGAATCGCTTACATTTTTGCTGTGATTCGCCAATGTTTGCCATCCCGGAGGGTCTTTGGGATTAAGCGCAAGTGATTTGGCAGCAGTAATCATATTACAAGAAGCGTCTATTATTGCTTTTCCATACAAAGTGATGGGTTCTTGTGAAGAACGAGCTTTGACACTAATTTTTGCGGGAATGGGAGCAAATTCGGGTGAATTCGCAAATATAGTCAAGTTTTCAACGGCTTCAAGAAGTGGTTTCGTGGCTTCAGAACAATTGTAATGATTGCGCTGAGAATCCGGGTCCTGATCTAAGGCTTTAATCTCTTTGACTAAACTGGCCGTTGCATTGGCAACATCTTTAGCCGACTGAACAAAATGTCTTTTAGCGACAGGATTTGTTGTTTTAGAAGATGCGACGCGACATGCATTACACAGTGCAGACGTGTGCTTAGCTATGACTGTTGCCGCAGATAATATCTGTTGTTGATTACTAGTACGGGTAGACAACTGCTGACAAGCAGACTGAATGGCTTCATTAGCCCTATGGAAAGCATTGATATCAACTAAACCAGCCCTTCCCGAAACACTTGATGGATCTGATGAACCAACGAGATAGGCTGCTTGTGCTGCGCCCTCCAGTAGACCACAAATAGAATCTGAAGCCTCTTTAATGGAATGACCAAATTCTTGGTGTTCATTCTTCTTCGCGTGATTTGCAATACCGGTCATTGCGTCGCCCAGTCGTCTGCTTTTTTCTGTTACCGTTTCCAAGCATTCAAAATAAGTCAAAACATTTATTGGTTCACAAGGATTATCAAGTAATGGTCGCATCATCTGAATGTTTCTTATAGCAGAATCACATTCCTTCTGTCCCGGAGCTGAAGAACTGAAAATATTAACCAAATTGTTGATACTTTCAGTAACAGATCGGCCAGATGTGGCCAAAAGACTTCTAGTATTCGGCGCGTTTGGATCGACAGAAACAGATTTGGCGGAAACTAATAGTTTGCTCGAACACATCGATAGTGTCTTAAGATTGGATAACATCTGAGAGCGAGTGTCATAGTCTTTGGTTTGACCAGCAATTTCAAGTCCACAGTCAAATAACTGACTAAAATCGTCATTAAATTGTTTGGAACAGTTAGCTAACATACTCGGACTTCTTGAACCGTCAATGACATCGGAAACTGATTCACTAAGTTTTGAGGCAGCGTTTGACAAATTAATTTGCAATTCATTGTATGACTTGTGAGTGACGGGAAGTTCTTTGTTAATGAGTTGTGTTGAGTCCGTTATGTTTCTGATGGCTTCGTCAACATCTTTATGTCCCGGAAGACAATTGACACAATTATTCAGTGAATTGGATACACTTTTAGCCACTTGTGTTAGTCTTTGTTGTCGTTCTCTGTCGTGTGTGTTATGAAGAGCCCATTTTGTTTCTTCAAATAAAAGTATCGACTTTTCCAACACATCCCTTGCATTATCAATGACACGCATTTGAACATCTCGTTCAGTAGAAGTGGCGGCTACTCCTCTGACAGCAGTCGTCAAGTTTTTTAAGGCATTTGACACGTCTCTGGCCGCGTGTCCCGTGAAGTTTTCGTTGCCCTGAGAAGCAGCAGTCAAAAGCTGTGCCATCGATGAGCCCACAGATTTACATGTAGTGTTTAATTGTGAACAACAATATTCAAAAGATTCTCCGGGAAGTGGTTTCAAATGATAATTAATGGCCGCCTTTCGACATTCAGCTAATTCTCTGTCTAATTCTCTAATAGAGTCAATGGCGGCATCCATTTCAAGTGAAGAACTGCACGCGTCCTGTGCTTTCACTAAATTTAATCGCAATTCTGTCAGCGCTTCTGCTAATTGTTGTGATGTCTGTCCCAATTGAATGGCAGATGATTGGTCTGTTATGGTTGGGATAGAACTTTTGGAAGTCATAACGAGGCGTTGTGCCGGTGCTATAAACTGATCGCATGCATTGATAAGAGCTAACTGTTTGCTTGAGTTGTCGGGTTCTGCTTGTGTACCCCTAACTCCCTGAACCACTTTAGATATAATATCGTTGACATCTCTGCAAATCTGTAGCAACTCGTCTTGTGTGACGTCATTGCTATTATAAGGACCACATCCCTGTGCCGCTGCAATATTCTGTGTGGCCATAGCTGTAGCGTGTTTTGCACTCGACTCCAATCGGGTAATAACTTTACGTTTAAGTGCATTACTAGCGGCAGTATTTGTAGCAGTTCTTAGGTCTTCAGCAGCTCTTTTGAGTGCCGCCTGAGAGTCAGAGTCGTGCGGATTTGTGGCACAGCCTTTGGCCGCTTCGACTAGTCTTGAGGTCGCGTCAGCCAATACTTTGGCCGCCGATAGTAAGCGTTTTTGAAGGTCTGAATCTGGCTGAGTCTCGGCCTGACCTTTGATGTTATGTATAAGCTGTGCGGTCGCCTGCGCCAAGATTTTTGCCTGTCTTACCATTTCTGTTGCATCTCCTGTACTGCTAAATAACCTGTCAGTTGCGTCAAGTATGGTATCGACAGCACCGTCGTGTTCAGTGGGACGACGGCCTCTCGTATCGCTCAAACTTCTCACGTGATTTAATAGATTGTTAAGCGCTTGTGTTACATCTGCCGCCGCATGTTTCAAGTCTCCGATAAGTCGTGGATCAGAACATGAGTCTTGGCATACCTTAACAATGTTATCAACAGATTTGGCCACTTCTTTAGACGCTTCAATAATCTGTTGTTGACAATTGGGATTATTAATAGTGGGCGCAACCACTTTAGCGCAGGCGACTAATTGAGAAGTGGCTAAAGCGCACTGAGTGGCGGAACTGATAACTCTGTTTTGCGCCGTCTGATCTTCACAACGTGAGGCCACATCTTTGGCTTTTAACACCAAATTTGCTGCTGCATTAGCCACTGGTTTTGATAAACTTAAAAGCATATCTGCAGCTTCTCTATCATATTCATCCTCTTCTCCAATAGTATACAACAAATTAGTGGTCGCTTCTCCAACTTTGGAGGCGGCATTCAAAAGGCTCTGTCGCGGAGCTTTAGTAGTGGGTTCGGCAGCTTTAAGCAGTTCAGAAAAGGCTGAACACAGATTTCTGGCCGCATCGATAAGTTTTTCCCCTTTATCGTCGTCATCCATAAGCGCTGCAATAACCTTTACATCGCGAGACAATTCAGGTAAGTTAGTACTAATTGTATGAATGGCAGCTCCCAGTGCTGGATGATCCACTTCATCCTCAGAAACTGATGTCAATGTAATGACTTGAGCCGTTGCTGCGTTCAAAGCAGCCATTTGTGATGAAACAGTCTCTTTCTTGACATCCAATTGGCTTTGTTTCCATCCAAAGTCTGGACCATATTCTGGTATCTTAGCCTTTGTCTCTAATTCTTTAAGTGCTTTTTGAACCGCGTCCTGACCCACACCTATTGTTGAATGTAAAGCTCGTTGTGGTTCTGATAAACCAGTTTGAAGATACTTAGGATGCTGTGCAGCCATAAGTGGCGATTGTTGTACCGGCGCTTGACTTTGAATTGCTGTTAACTGCTGTTCAGGCATTTCTTTGATATTTATAGTTTGAGGTCCATTAGTTCCGGGTCTTATAATGCCAGGTATAGCCAAATCCTCGATGATTGGTTTGGACGGTTTCTGTCCGGGTTGGTGCTGAAGAATGGTTGCCTTTGATGGCGACACACTGTCCTCAACCATAGTCGAGCCTTCATCTCCTTCAATGCCAAAGTGATCTTTTGCTTTCTTTCGTCTTAAAATAATATCAATATATCCGGCAATTAATTGAGATATTTGTTCGCCTTCTGTCGTCTGAACTGAATAATATGAATCGGAATAATCGCCAAAATCTAATGTAAAACTATTAGGAGAAGCGGCCCAACGTTTGACTGTAGTCAATGGCCACGTCTTTATTATTTCTTTAGTTTTTTCATCCAAACGAAGAACACTATCTTTAGTAACACCTAAAAGTCGAGGAACTAATTTGTTTTTGCCTTTCATTTTTTCTTTAACCAAAAAGAAAGTGACGCCATAAGTGCTGAGAGAACGGGCCAGTCCTACATACTTGACTTTGGCCTCTAATTCAGACTCTCCGATATGTTGTCTGTGTTGACCCAATACTTTCTTTTCAATTGCTTTATCTCTTCGCGCGTAATCTCTCGGCAAAAACTCTTTGAGGTCAAGAAATCCTGTTCTGTGTTTGCTTTCAACGAAATCACCGAATTGTATTTGACATTGAATGCCAGCAAACTGACAGCCCTCATCAAGAGTGACGGGATGTGTACCCGCTATAATGGCATCCCTGGACTGAACATATAATAAATTCAATTGTACCGGATCTCTTGAGTCTATATTTTGATCCGAAAAGAAAAACTTTCTTCTCAATAGAAGTGTCTCTTCTTCATCTATACCCTGTTCTCTAAGTGTCTTTGAATGGTCGACCCAATTGAGGTCGTCATCAGTTTTAAGTTTTTTCTTCAACTGTTCCATTTTAGAGTCAATTGTTTTATCTCTGCCTAAAGTACTCGTCTTATCCTTTTTCCTGTTCAGAGTTAATGTTCCCGTAGAAGAAAGAGTTCCATCTCTAAACTCTTCTGGAAAATCTCTTACGAGTGAATACTCGTCATGATTTGTAATACCTTTTCATTATAATTCGACAAAACAATTAGACAAAGAGATAAAAATACAAGAAATGGCTAATTGATACCAATTTTTGTACAAATAACGACCATTAGATTAGAGACGGGTTGGCTGTCATCGACTAAAACCGTTTTGACTGATCCGTCAAGCATTCGCACCCTAAGAGTTCTCATTTTTCTTCTATACTCAAGTAAATCCTAACATCAAAACGACAAATAAATTTATTAATTTAATTGACTTAATGGACTTGAGCTGAGGGAAGGAACACATCAATAGTGATCCCGTCATACATATCATCCCCATCTCATACTATCCCATATAATATCCAATTTCTAACTAAACGATATCACTCTGGATGTGCGCATCCCTCCAAAAATATATCAAAAAATAGCTAAAATCAATAATTTTTATAACTTTTAGCCAATAGGGATAAGATGTCTTATAGTGCAAAACAAATTAATTTGATTGATAGACATTGTCTCAAAACGATATTTCATTTGAGTTTTATTTCAATTAATGATCATTTGTTTCTTGAAATTTCATTTTTATAATAAATAATAGGATTTTGTTCATTAAGCAAAAATTATTGATATACAGTAATGTATAGCGCGTATTGATTTAGCAATAATGACAAACTGTGGTAGACTTACGCCATTTCTAAGCAGATAGTACTCCAGAGATCGTCCCGGTTCTAACCAAACACCCTTTTTCGGGTCTTCATCCGTCAAAAATAAACCGTAATCTTTAGCTGTAATTATTTGAATCAATTGATTAGTTTATGCATAAATGATAAATCAATTGATATCATACGTTGACCGATGTTTGCTTCACTGATTTTTTCTTTGATTAGACGGCAGGCATCGTATATCATAAGCGATGGCTCGAATTGCATTGTCTTCACAACATTTTTGTCAACAACACTGATCTTTAGTGAAAGTGTTGCCATTTTTGCCACAACGATCACTATCTCACTGTCCTATTATATAATTAAATGCTTCATAAATCACTAAATATAATGGCTTTCCATTCAATTCTAGTTAAAGGTTATTGAGGTCTCTTAGAGATAAAACTTTATCTCTATGTATGATATAATAAACCTAAAGATCTATAGTTTTATTGTTTGTAGAGATACTGTCCTTTCACTCGTTATTTTATTACTGTTTGTCTCTTACATTGTTTAACTGTCTATCCGTTTACTCATTCACTTGATATTATATTTGATGACAAACCGTCGATACATTATTTTATAAGTTTTACACTAAATTTGATTTATTTATCTTTCCTCTCCCTATCGTATAATTTAATCAAACAATCGCTTACTATATATTACATGCAATATATCGTAACGTTTGTCCATATAATACATTGAATGCACACTGGAATCGATGGAATCGGCATTTCAATGGTCTCATTGAGTGATACATACAGTCAGCACTTTATATAATTTAATTGCATCACTATTCCTAACATTTTTCAACATTTATATAATTACACTATAGTTTTACATTGGTTTTGCATATAATTCAAATAAAAACTTATTTTTGACAACTTTTGTCAACTTTTTCTATTATCAAATACTATGACCGCAATGTTATTTTATATGATAAATCATATATTAATTAAATAACTATTGTTTGTTGTATAACAATATACTATTGTATATTTTAAAAACAGTTAAATTTACTTATTTATGTTAAATAATATTAGTTATCAAACGTCGATATTATGTGAAAGTAAAAAAACAAAGTGGCCTTGCATATATTTTAATGTTTAGAATTAATTGATAATAAAATTGTAATTCATATAAAAATTGTGATTTAAAAAAAAAGTTTTAATATTGACCCCAATTTTGTAAGTCGATAACCCCAACCCCAACCCCAACCCAACCCAACCCCCGCATACCTCTCCATATGACCACAGATGGGACAACAATTAAGACTAAGAAATGAAGACAATCGGAAATGATGGCGATTTGTGGCAATGATTACAATAAATTGTGTGAATGTGTTGTTAGTGTTGAGAGATATATAGAGATATATAGAGATATATAGAGATATATAGCGTGGGATTCATTTCCTATTATAGAACTTAAAGCTCTAAAGCCTTATACAGACTAACAGGCATTGCCTTCACATGCATTCAAATCAATGAATTTAAAAAAATTGTGTCTAAAAAACAAATGTTAACAAACTTTTATTTAAATCAGTTGTATTAGCCCTCCTAACCCCCACCGAGTCTACAATAATGTTAAAAAGTAGTGAAAATTTATTAAAACGAGTATCAAATTTGTCAACTATTATTTTTAACACATTATTTTTACATTTAATTATAATTTGCGCGGATTTCCTATTTTATAAAATATAGTTGGAGTTAGTGTTTAGTATGTGTTGTGTATGTTATGTATGCTATATATGACTTGTATTAATATTTTTAGACAACTTTGGTGCCAATAATCTGTCAATTGCTTAACAAACATTAATAAACCATTTTTTATGAATACAATATTATTACATAATACATAACTAACCACAACTTTCCTCTTAATAATCTTTAATAACAAAAATATTTATCACATATTATTGTTTAGTTGAAAACAAAAAAGTAAAAGTAATTCAATACTTTTAAATGTCAGTCAATATGTAGCTTTAAATGATAAATACAATATTAACTATAAGTTATTTTCAATAATTATTAAAGTAATATTTGAAAAATGTTAGTAAATAATGACTTTCAATAGTTAGGACCCGTTTTTAGTTTACAGATTTGATACTTATTTATATAATCAACGCAAATGTCACGAAAAAGTTGTTTATTTAGGGCTAACTTCAAGAATATTTGGGATTTTATCATTTTTGGCGATAGTTTTAAAGTTTAAATAGATTTATGAAATGAAAAAAGTATGAAAATGTCAAACCTTTCAATGGTTCCTATCGTTTGAATCGTTGGTTTTGATATCAAGTGATTATAAATAAAAATCAAAATATAATAACAAATAATTACATTAAGTGTTGTTATTATTGTATGAAATCCAATGTCAGTACTGTTTCAGTGAATCACTGGATTTAGTGTTGGTTTTACAGTGCACTCAATGTTTGAACACTGGCTGTGAGCACAGGCACTGAGGGAACGGGATATACGAGAGCAGTCACTACTAATTGCTCTCATATGTGATCATCGGTGGCGTACAGACTGACAGTACTACCAGTGTTGGGCATCGGTTGCCAACACTTATGGCATACATTGCATACATCGCTATCTCTGTTGACTGCATTGAGTTTGCACTGCAGTTGTGGTGGGAGTTATCAATACAACATAGGGATAGCAATACATTGAAAATACATGTTAAGCACCGATAGCTTTTCCCCACTCCTTTACCATAGACACACCTATCGGAAGGCCGACCCACACGCCAACCCCCGGCAAACTTGAACTGATGGCCCAAACAGTGGGTCGAGTGCTTTGCCATACAATAGAAACACTGCAGACATCACTCATACGGATAGCAGAGATATATCTTAAGTATATATACAGTATTTGTATGATATGTCTGTCACACCCAATACTTACTGAAAATATGGCGCTTAAGACACTATCTGTTCCAATGACGTCATCAAACAGTTGTTAAACACTTGACTGATAAGTCAAACACCGAATAATCAAACTATTAGTCTGTCTTTGATCGGTCCCATAGGTGTCGAAGTGTTGACTTCGTTATCAAAGAGTTGGTCAAAGATGTCAATTGTAAGGAGTGTTTGGTTTATTAAGGAGTAAATAGAGAACTACTTAATGATAGCTAATATAAGGCAAAGTAATGCAAAGCATAAGCTTAAGGGAAACACCAACTCATTGAGTGAATGTAGAAAACGGGACAAACCTTATATAGACATGAGGTTTGTATTAGGTTTGACTCTTTGGCACAAACATTACAAACATTACATACATCTCAATACAATCCATTTCGACACACATTCAAATTCATTGACTTCCCAATTGTGTCCTCATTTTATGTCACAATGTCTTCATCTATTGCTAGTGTTTCATCAAAACTTAATTCATTAATTATCATTACCTCTAACTTACAAATTTAGTATAACTTTAGATTTTAGTTTATAGTAATTCATATCCAATAGTAATTCAATTAGACTATAGTTATATTATGTAATTCTTTACTAAAAGGATTGTATGTATTGAATGGCAAAACAGTTTGAGATTTCATTTAATTAGATTAAGTGATGGCAAGAATACACTATATATTCCCATATTAATGGATACTATTATTCACATTCAATGAACAGTTCAGTTATGACAGCAATACATGGCTTTCAATGACATCAATAACTGACTAAATGAATGCAATTCTTTTATTTTATCATAAAATATATGTATTAATGCATAAATCTCTCTCTCTCTCTCTCTCTCTCTCTCTCTCTCTCTTTCGCTGATTTATATAACTTTGAAAGTTAGTACTGAATTGAGTTGTATGTGTTAGTTGAGTGCATCATACGAAACACTGCTATACTGTATTGATGAGCATCTCATACAGTGAACATTGAATGCCTTCCCATCCCTGAGTGTCTCTGTATTTCTCTTTTACTGTTAGTCTACAGTATTTTGTCTGCATTTATGTGGCACTCATTCACTCATAAGACATAACATTTCCGGACAATACATATTGTGAATGACTGTAAATCATAGAGTCATAGAGTGATGCGGGGAATGGGATGTTATGCTTCTAAAAGTTGAGTTACTGTAACATTGAGAGAGAGAGAGAGAGAGAGAGAGAGAGAGAGAGAGAATGTGTAGGGGCTGTAAGCACATAGCAAAAGGATGCAGTGATGCACACATTGGCCAATAGTTCAAAGATGTTGAGCTAAACCAGTGATTTCTTTTATAAAACTATAAAAATGAGGGGAACGGCAGCTAAAGTGATGTGATATAGAGTTGCCTTTACTTCAATAGATTTTGGTTTTAGTTTAGTTATGCAAAAATGTTTGGCCCGACTGGCAGTCATTGAGTGAACACTGATATTAATGTAACTTTTCCTGCAGTGACTCAATGTTAGGAACCGATGAATCTTAACTACTGTCACATTGTTTTGTCAATTGAACCAAAAATGTGTTTTTAGCCAACAATTTCAGATTTATTTTAATTATTTTCTATTCAATAGATTTGTTGATGTAATTTATTAATCAAATCTTTATTTCTCCAAATTATCGCTTTAATGACTATAGGACAGTAAGGGAGTGAAAGTTCTGTTAGGACAGGGATGTGAAGGAGTAGACGATTACAAATATATAGTCATTTAATAAAATAGACAATCATTTGTCACGTCCGACAGTATTTAAAATAATGCTATCTATGGCTTGTGATAACATTGGCTGTACTCAAGTCATTGCTATATCGTTATCTGATGACAAAACATATCTCAATCTTTGCTTACAATTGTCTATTGAGTAGAGCAGTAGTAGTAGTAGTAGTAGTAGTAATGGCTTTTGTAGTTCAGGTCTGTGCATCAATTGATCGGATATAAGGCGCCGCACTCACCGAATTAAAATCAGATCGCGACCTACTGGCGCCTACATCTCAATACCATAGCAACCAACAAAATACTGCATCAAAAAGACATGTTATCATAACTTACAAACTTTTGTTAACATAAGATAAATGTGAGGCATAGTTATGTTATGTCAAGTTATGTGGATATTCACCACTTTCTTCATACAACACATCTATAAAAACCACTTTTTAGTGGAGTTTCGCTGCAGTCAAACATTGCACACAAAAATATGACTCTTTATCACAAAAAATACTAAGAATTACTGTACTGTACATCAAATTGAATGTAAAGCCAAATCAATTCAGCAAAAAATATGAAAACTAATACATTAATGTTATACAGTATTCATATTATATAAAATATTGATTCTCATCTTTATTGCTATTTTATACATTACATCAATTATTTAATAATTTGATTGTCATTTTAGCCAATTTATTATATATAAAATTATTAGACATTTAAAAATAATATTTAATAACAATTTTGAAAAATAAGTTATTTTATAACATTTTTATGGTTTATTAAGGAGTTGTCGTAACATATAGTGAAGAATACCGCCATTTCTATAGTATTCGAGTTCTACTTCTGTGTCAAATCGCATAATCACTTCAAAGCTTTTTCCGTTATCCAGCTTTCAGAAGAAAATATCAAAATTAAAAATAAATTAAAAAAATTTCATTTAATAATTTACTTTAACTGAAATCCTATGTCTTGTCGATAAATTGTCCGGAATGTCAATACTATACAACTCCTTAGCCGTCAATCCTAAAGACTCAGTGTTTTGTCCGTTCATGAATTGCAAGGGAATGATTCCCATACCAATCAAATTGCTATTAATTATATCAAAAATTACATTTTATTGTTATATAAATTTTAATAAAACAGACCTGCGATGAATGCGTTCAAAACTTTCAGCGATAACAGCCCTAACACCCAAAAGATAAGGTCCTTTTGCTGCCCAATCTCGTGATGAACCGCATCCATACTCTTTACCACAAATTATAATCAGAGGTATTTCCTCAGATTTGTATAACTCTGAGGCATCAAATACACTCATCTATCAAGTAATACATTGGAATCAACTATTAATATAATATTATATTTAAAAACAAAATATCTATTTTTATAAAATTTAGTAAAAACAATATTTACTATTTAATGTTATAATAATAATTATTATTGAATTAATTTTTATTCTATATTTTTTAAATTGATAAAAATGTCTTTTTTTATAAATCGTTAACTATATTTAATCTTTTTAATAATTTAATTTATTATAAATTCATCAATCAATTAACTCATAAGTTAAAAACAATACAGAAATTATACATTCAAACAATTAGAAATGATTTTCACTCACATTATGTATGAGTTATTGCATTTTTACTCTCCGTTTCCAACTGTTTCAGACTATTATAACTCCCAAATTATCCTAACATATCCTAAGTATACTTATAATAATGTAATTCAATGTTATATAATATTAGAAAAGTAAAAAGTGTAGAAATTGTGGTCTTATCTAACATAACATCACTGTCTTTTAGTGTCAAATTATTAATTGATATTTGAGTTAAGAAATTATTATTTAATTGATTTAATATTATATTAACTTTGAAACTAAACACAAAAAATCATTTGAAAATAATAATTTTTTGTTTATATTATATATTAAACAATATTTATAAAATTTAGATGTAATGTAAATAAATTATTTTAAATCAAAAAATTAATTAGTTATAAATAAATATTTAAATATTTATGTTTTTATAATATACAGAATATTCTGTGATAAATATTTACTCAAGTTTTATATCTATGTTTATAAATATTATATTAAATTTAATTTTTTATTATATAAATAAAAACTATAAAATCACAAAATCTAAATAAAATAAATGTTTTAAATAATTAAAATCTGTTATAAAATATATCTCTAAATTATAATATTATTATTCAATAAAGAATATACTTAATATGTTTTATAAATTGTTTTAAAAATAGTTATTTATTAATATTTTTAAATTATTAAAATATGTCATTTGTTTATAAATACAAAAATTTTATGTTATAAACAAATGTGTCATTGCGTTACACTTTAAATGAGTTCATTACTATTTATTGAATTTTCACCCAATTATGCAACAAAATAAACACAATAAAAATATAACATTTTCTAATAATATATACACACTTATTGTAACTTTAGTCGTCTAATAATAAACACATTTTGCAAATTAAGATAATCTACTAAAAACAATATCACAGGTGTGTAAAACTCAAAAGTAATATTTAATTTGTATGTAATTAAATTCAAATCATTGATTCAAAAATGTTAATAGTAAAAAAAATTCTCATATATTATATAATAATTATTTTATAAATTAATATTTTCAACAAAATTATAAAAATTTTAGACTAATAGTGCAAACTAATTATTTAGTTAAAATTATTTAAAATTATTATTTAAAATTATTATTTAAAATTAATATTAATTTAAGACATTGTGTGACACTGTAATTATGTACTACTGTATAGTATTACCGATATATGATATTTTAAATTAAAATTTTTAATTAATACAGTATTCAGTAATAATTATTATTAATTATATGTAAACAACAATACAGTAACTACAGTATTACATAATGTAATGTAATTTACACTAAAGTAAAGTACAATATAATATAATATTTTTTAATTATTAAAATTAATTTTATCCAATTATATGTTTATAATTTTATTTAAATTAGATATTTCATTAGATCTTTGTATGTTAGACTGATTATTAAACTTAAGAATTACACATTTAATTACTGATATAACGATTATAAAAAGATTAAGCATTGAAAACATCTTTTTAACACAATTTTTGATAAAATTTTTGACAAATTTTTGATTAAGTTTAACTTCAAAATATAATTACCTATTTTTATCGTTTATAATTATATTATAACTTTTGGTGGAAACTTTACTTTTTCTATAATAACTTTACTTAAATAATAGTTTATCAATATTGAAATGATTTACTTGTTATAAAAATATATATGATATGATATATTAAGCAAATTATGATACCAACCTCTTTACCAGTAGAAATGTGCAAAGTGTATGGTCCGGGTTTACTCATTAATTTGTTGACCAAACGTATGTTAGCAAATGTACCCCTTGTCATAATTGCATCGTTACCTCTAAATGTATATAAAGTTATAAACATTTAAATATTGTATTATTAATACAAAAGTTAAACGAAAAAAATATTTCAATACCTGCGAGAACCGTACGAATTGAAAGCTGACGGAGAGATTCTATAAGAGATTAAGTAATTATATAAAATTGCATTAGTATTGTATTAATATAAAAATAAATAAAACAAACCCCCTTTCCATCAGATATTTAGCGGCCGGACTGTTACGTGCAATAGAACCGGCAGGTGATATGTGATCAGTTGTGACGGAATCACCTAAATTCAAGAGCACTCTTGCATTATGAATGGATTCAATTTTAGATAGTTTAGCCTTCATTCCATCAAAATATGGCGGAGATTTTATATATGTAGAGTTTGGATCAAATTCATAAAGAAGATTATTAGAAGCATTCAATTGATTCCAACGTTCATTTCCGTAGCGAATCTTTGAATAAACTTCTTTAAACATTCCGGGAATAACACACTTCTGTTCCATTTCATGAATCTCTTGTCTTTGCGGCCATATATCCCGTAAGAAGACTTCATTACCAGATGTGTCTTTACCTAAAGGCTCAGTTTCAAAATCTATATTAACAGTTCCAGCGATAGCATAAGCCACTACTAATAGAGGTGATGCCAAATAATTAGCCCGAGTGTTGGGATGTACTCGACCCTCAAAATTACGATTTCCTGAAAGTACACTCACAGCCACCAAATCTCCTTTATCTATAGCCTCGACTATTGGTTCGGGAAGTGGCCCACTGTTACCAATACATGTCATACATCCATAGCCAACGATATCAAAACCCAATTTTTCCAGATAAGGAGTAACTCCGGATTCATTAAGATAATAAGTGACAACACCACTTCCCGGAGACATTGATGTCTTAATATAAGGTGCAACTGATAAACCTTTTTCTACAGCCTTTTTGCACAACAAACCCGCACCTATATGTTTAGTATTTTTCCATTACCGATAAATCAATTATATACAATTATGCGAACAATAATATTTACCCAACATTACTGAAGGATTGCTTGTGTTTGTACACGAAGTGATGGCTGATATAACAATAGATCCGTGAGAAAGAGTATACTCCTGTAAATGAATATAAAAAAATTATTTTGTCAATAAAATTAATTAAAAAAACATACTTTTCCATCAAATATGAAAGGAATGCATGCTTTTGTTTTATCACTAGAAATGCCAAATCCTTTAAAACTAATTTTATTGGTCAAACATTGTTGGAAATCCTCTTTCATTTGCGATACCGAGACCCTGTCATGAGGTCTTTTAGGTCCACTAACACTGGGAGTAATAGATCCCAAATCAAGTTCAATGACTTGAGAAAACACAGGATCTTCATTGCTGTCATTGTAATCATTTCTAAACATTTTTACTTTTCTTAAATAAGTTTCGGCATATTTTATAACATCTTCCGGACGACCAGTTTTTGTTAAATATTGGAAAGTTTTCTCATCGGTTGGAAAGAAACCAATGGTAGCTCCATATTCTGGACACATGTTTGCAATGGTTGCCCGATCTGCTATAGACAGTTCAGAAACTCCCGGTCCGTAAAACTCAACAAATTTTCCGACGACACCGAGTTGTCGCAAATTCTTAGTTATAGTCAAAACAACATCAGTTGAAGTTGCATATGGAGGAAGTGTTCCCACTAACTTATATCCCACAACTTCTGGTAAAACCATACATATAGCCTGACCTAACATTACTGCTTCAGCTTCAATGCCACCGACACCCCAACCAACTACTCCGAGACCATTAATCATTGTTGTGTGTGAGTCTAGTCCCACAACACTGTCCGGATATAATATATTGTCATCGCTTTTAAAGACAACTCGTGCCAAATACTCGAGATTCACCTGATGGCAGATTCCAGAACCGGGAGGAATAATAGTCGTATTCTTGAGAGCATTTGCCCCCCACTTCAAGAATTCAAATCTCTCTTTGTTTCGTTCAAATTCTAGTTCTTCATTCCGATGAAGAGCTTCGGCACTGATTTATAAATTATTTTATTACAAATTTAAAATCAATGTTTTGTTAGTATAAAGAAAATTAGTTAAAGTCAAACCCCAATGACTTAAGTCGATGAAAGGGACAGGTCTTATGTTTCAATTTAGAGTCTGCGTATGGATTGATCCCATTATTTAAGCTTAGATTTTCAATACTCGGGATTAACTGCTCTTTAAGACTATCTTTATTATTGTTAGGAGTATGTGATATGTGTGGTCTCAATGGTTGCCAGCTTTCCAAAGGAGTTGAGTTCAAAGATAATCCATTTGAAAGTGGATGTCTCTTAAGGGGAATTGAATTTTTTGATAATGTTTTTGCGAGAGCGCACTGACCACTACCGGCACAGTCATCGCAAATAGCATTTATCACTTCACTTGATTTTGCCGTTTTTTGTAACACACTATTGGAAAATTGGCAACAATTATGACAACAATTGAGTAACAATTGGTAACTATATTAGACACGCTTTGCAAAGACTCAAAGACACAGATATATGAAAAACAAAGCATACGTTCGCGAGAAGTCCACCTGAACTGAGTGGTCAATCACCAGATCTGCCGGACATAAAGGATTGATTTTGTTGGCGTCACCACCGAGTTTGGCAAATGCTTCTCTCATTGCTATATAATAATAAATATAATATTTAATATTAATTGTCACTAATTGATACAATCATCACCAGCGAAATCGACAACTGCGGGAACTCCTGTCAAGTCTTGTAAGATAACTCTCGATGGTTTAAATGGTATTTCTGCGTTTGATTTCTGTTGTATTTCCCAATCAATTATATTTTGGACGTCTTTTTCCTTTACTTGAAATCCATCACAACTTCTTACGGCTGATTCCAGAAGAACACGAATACTAAACGGAAGTCTTTCTGTATATAAATATAACATAATTTATAAATTATATTATTATTTCAAAAAATAATAGTTTAGTCATTATATTAACCATATTTTGATGGATTAAGAGTAGAGATATCATAATATTGATAGTTATTGCCATCCAATTCAATATTCTTCAGTAAATATGACAACGGATTTACTAATTAATTAAAATTATTAATATTAATAAACAGTATATACTGTACAGTGATATACAGTATAATACTGTATTAATCTTAAATGTATTATCTTATCGATAAAGTCATACAATTTTATTAATTCAAATCTATTTTATTACAACATTTAAATTTTTATTTTTAAAAATAATTAAATCAAATTAAATTATTTACCGTTTGATGACATATCTTGATTGCTGTTATAACCCCGTAATGACTATATAATAGCAATAAACAAATTAATATAAATGTTTATCATTTAATAGGAAATACTGTTAAAAGTGAATACGTGATCGACTATTGACTACAAGTTTGCAAATAAGTTATAACAGTGACAACTGTGACAATCAAATCAAATGAATATTAAATTGATTTAAATTATATATTAATATTAATAATACCTATACTTTGTGTTGACAACCAATTATGATACTTATAATCTAATGCTAACCACAATTGCTTTTAATTTTATTACTTCTTTATTATATAATATGTATATTTCCTCATTTGTATAACAGTTATACTGTACTGTACTGTACACTACACTACTGTACGATATAATGTAATTATTTTATATTTGAGCATAAAATACATAAATATGTATAATTAAGGTAAAATATACCGCTACAGTATAACATACATACAATTACAAACTAGAAATTTTAGAAAAATTACAATGTATTATACTGTAATAAAAAGTTACATTGTTTTAAATGTTTAATATGTTTAATAAGTGAACCATTTTAGGGAATTAGACACAAAAGTCTTTGTTTATGTTTTATATGATTTTTGTCATCAAAATTATAGTTTTTTTTTCACTTAACTGTAATCTAAATTTGCAAACATTTAATTTAGTCATTCATTGCTTACATTGTGAATGAAAACAAAAAATGTCAAATTAGATGACCCCAGGAGTTGGTATGAAACCCCCAAACATTATGGCTATTCCACACAATCATGTGATGTATCAAAATGACCTAGAGCACCATCTAAAACTAATACTAGGATACTGTACAGTATATTACATATTAATAGCTGTATGTCATATGAATATGTGATATACAGAATACCCTAAGTGTATGATATACTATACATTATAGGAATAATTTAATTATAAATTATTATAATTTAAAGTGTGTTATATAAATGATATGAATCTATTATTTTATACAATATACGGATATACTTAATGTACATTTTAATATACTGTACTGTATTTCTATAGTCTATATTTTATGATTTGTATTTTTTTCAAAATATATACACATTTGAAATCAGTATATTGTATCAAAATTTACAAATCATGAGTAAAAATAATAAGATGTAATGAAAAATAGACATAAAAATATTATTATCGTGTAATGGTATGTATCGGTTATATACAGTAATACCTTAACCGCAATACTTATTTTATGACCTGTCATTGTATACCCTATTCCATGGTTATACTGTAGTACATTAACAAATCATTATAATAATATAATAGAAATGCTTAAAATTTTTATTAATTAACTTTACATATATTATATTAATATTTAAAAATAAATAAATTATATCATATAAAAATCATCTAAATATCTCAATACATTACAGTTGTATTAGGCGCCCATTCCATACAATTAGATAAATAATAATATATTAGATATAATTTGTTTAATAAATTAATTGTTTCGGTAAGGATTAAAAAGTAAAATATTTTGTGAATTCCAATAAATATGTGACGACCGGAACACTAGAGACCAGATGTAGGGAATAAAAAATTCTTCGGGCTGTTCGTCCTCAACGTATCGGAACCTCAATTCCGGGAATTTCTAACAATATATATATTTTTTAATTTACAAAATAAAAAGTTGTTATTATTTGATAGCAAACCTTAAGCCTATCAGATGGCCATTGAAGTGACGACTGTTGTATTATTTCGTATACTTCTGCAACCGAAAGATTTCTATCGACTGATTCAATTCGGTTCGAGAAATATGTCAAAACCGTCTCAATGTTCATAACAATGTCCTGAAAGCACGGGTGAGAGTGAAAAGGCTCTAATACTTGTCGCTTATATAACAAAGTATAAACTAAATTAGGGTTATTAGTCAACTGTGCGGCCAAACAGGCGTTTATTATTTCCAAAAGCATTCGTAAAACTTCTTCAAATATAGAAACGTCTTGGACTACATCCGGTACCACTGAATTAGTCTCACAATCAGAACTGGCATCAGACTGGACCACACCGTTTGATGTCTTATTATCGTTAGTTTGTATCTCTTCTAGAATTTTATTGAATTTTTTGGATAATTTTTCAAATAGTGATACCAGTCTTTGTGAGACATAAGGACTGAGACGTTTAAAATGATTCGACATATTGGCTAATGTGGCGCAAAGATTAGTGTGTAAAAAGCGGTCCTAAAAATTAAATAATATTAAAATAATATAAAAAGTGGTAAATAGATAAAATCATTATTACTCTGGATCTCGACATATTGTATTGAATGGTTCGAATAACAATAAGAATAATAAGACCACCCAAAGATATTTCGGTAAGTTGTCTATCAGTATACCAAACAATACTCTTCAATGTCTTCAAATCAAAACAAAACAAACCGGTAATACAAATATTAATAGTTAAAAAAATATATTGAATAAACTTACGATGTCGTGAATGGATTCGTTAAATAGATTATCTTCGCTGAGAACCAAAAGAATAATTAAAGCCATATAAATATGATGTGAGTTACGGTCAGGGGATGTATAAAGAATTTTTAATATAGGAATCACCAGTTGATCCAATTCAAGTGCACGACTCAATACAAATGACTTAAAGTAGTGATTACGATGGAGAAGCATATATAGTAGAAGTGTTGTTTGATCGTCATTAAGGTTAACACAAAGGGTTTTATAGAGTTTTGTAAAATCTATTTTAAATCCGGTGACCGTCTGGTCTGTAGCTGTTTTGGACTCAAGTTGTGAATCACAGCAACTAAATAAAGCTTCTCTATAGGGATTCACTTCAGTTGTGCAATGATTGGTCAAAACCAAAAGCAAAAGCAAACTCTGTCGGGCAAGAAATGCCGGTTTATCACTGTCGCCACCTTTGCCATAGCCAAGAGTCAAAACATTCCAAAGACCAGAAGCTAAACCCAAGATAATACTTCCGCTCTGAAACTCTGGTGCAGGTCTTTGAGCGACAAAGTTTGTTAAAAGACTTTTAGTTAATAATAAGGCATGAATTGCACATTTCTTCTGCATAACTAATCTATAAATGGATGACTTGTTTGCCGGTCGGGCCGAATACATCTGAGTTGACAAAAGTACTAAAAGACCATTGATTGCTTCCAATTGAAGATTATATGTCATATCACTGATTAGTTAATCAATTAATTAATTTCAAACTTTATTGAAACTATTTAGAAATAAATGGTTACCTCAGAGGAATATCCACTAGAATCTCAATTAATGCATTCAACAGTTGTTCAATAATAACGAGACCGGACTCTTCATTCTTATCGCTTTTTGTATCGTTTGAGTCGACAATTGCCACGAAATGACGAATTATATTATCTTCAGTAAGTGTTTCAATCAAATACTTAGCGGCCGATCTCAAGATGAATAAAGCGTTATATGTTTGCCATACAATCAAATTATAACTAATTGACAAAACAATCATTTATGGTATATATTACTATATATAGTATACTATCCTAAGTGTGTCTATTGATAAATACTTTTGTTGATCACTCTCTTCTTCTTTCAATTGACTTGTTTTGTTGATTACAATGCGGACAATGGATCCGATGTTATGTGAAGTTAAATTGTTTTCAATAAGAGTGGACAGCAAAGGAGCGACGTTTTCATCAAAAAACTTCTGTTCATTACTTAAGTGATAATAAAATGAATTAATAGTGATATAAATCAATGGTAGATATCATTTGATATAATACCACATTTGCGGCAAATTGTCGAAAGCAAAGGACAGCAATTGTTTCCAGAAGTCATCATTTGATGCATCGGTACTAATGTGTTGATTGGACACCAATTTGTTTAAGTATTGGTTTTGCTTTAAATTGTTTAATGAGCTTATATTGAGACCCATCAGTGATATTGTTTTGATAATACTATTAATTAATTATAATTTAATTATAATTATATTAAAGTCATTAACAGTTGCATTGGTTGTCAAAATCCCAACACATATAACATACACATCATTACATTTGTTATTTAATTTCAATACATATTAATATACACTAAATGTATACCTATTTTATTATATTAAATACAGTATTAATATAACAGTAGTGCACGTGTAGACAGTCAATAACGCTAATTATTATTTATTTATTTTATTTATATAAAAATTTAAAGTATTAATAGACATGAATTGTTAAATACTTTATTAAATTATATTTGATTAATCAATTGTTTTTTAATTCATTCATTTATTATATATTATAATTTAATTAAAATATTTGACCCAAACTTTTTTACATTAAATTTAAAGACCCATTATTTTTAAAATACTGTAAATTTAATTTATATTCAAAACTGTAGTAATATTTGGTAACGTTATATATGAATATATATTTGAGGTCAAATGTTATGAAATATTATTATTATTATTATTATTATGACTACAGTATAGGATATATTGTCTATTGAATGAATTGATTGATTGATTGACTCAATAGTGAATTTATGGATCAATTGATGAATTGATTTAATGATTAATTTGTGACACAATTATGACATTTGATGTCAACATTGTTTTGACACTAAATCTATTGATTTGATACGACTCTGACTTTGAATATGAAAACAAAGAAGTGGTTACCGGACTCAAGAGGCCAACGAAATGATGGTTCGTTTGATTTGTTGGATTTGTGGCAACATTTAAGACGAGAGCATATCTTCGTTTCCAATGAAAGATATCAATTGCAGAAACTCAATGAAAAGGTATTATTATTTAGTAATTTATTTGATGACATAATTATCTGACTTTTTGTTATTGATTTGACAGATGATAATAAGCTCATCCCGAGTATTCAATACATCTTATATATCACGAGAGCAGCGGTCAAACTGTGAACGTCTTCTAACTCATGGAAACAGTGATCTCTTGAACTGTTGTAATGCATCCAATCGTTTGGAAAGTCTTCACTTTGTCGACTCATACAAGAAGTTGACAGCAAATGAATTGCATATTTCAGAGTTAATGAGTTTTCTTCGAAAAACTCCAGAAGTGTTGGCTAAGTGTGTAATAAGTATTGGAAAAGTGAAGCCAGAAATGGTTGAAAATATATCACATATTATTTTGTCGACTCTTTACTCCAATTGTATCTTAAGTGAAGATAAAGTGTTTGCATTGAATCTAATGAAACATTTGATTGTTTTGGAGTTATCTGTTCTCCCAAATCCACGGCGAGTATTGCGTTACAATTGGTGTGCTTTTAATCATATTTATCGGTTATTTTGCGACCAAATATTGGATGCAAAGCCCTTCCTTACGGCAGCACTTTATGAGCCAATTATGCAATTGTTAGCCGAAGACGATCTGTTCTTAGATATGGATCCTAATAGAGCTGCCGTCAGGTTTGCTCCGTCCGAACGGATCAGACATTTTGGTAAAGAAGGGACTCAATTATATTATGAAAATCTTCAGAAGTATAGAATTTGGACAATCAATAAATTAGCACATTTTGTCACGAAGTTTATAGAAGGCATTCAAAACAATATTTACTGCTTTCCTCACAGTCTTTCGTGGATTATAAGACAACTCTATGTTATTATTATTGAAAACAAAAATATTGAGTCTCGAGAAGTCGGTGCCATTTGCACTGATCTCTTGTTTGGCTTTTTTATTTGTCCCGCTATTTTGAATCCCGATTTTTTGGGTATTACCGACGCTCATGTCAGTCATATTTCACGATTTAATTTACAACAAATTGCGCAAATCATTCAAATGTTAGCTCTCTCTAAATGGGAACAAATTGATTCTAAATTAGACGATCTCTACTCTAAGGTACCTAAAGAAGGAATTGCAAAACTATTGGATCAAATCCTTGATAAACGTAATGATGATTTACCAGAAGAACTTAATAATCCACAGATTATTACTAAATATTCAGTTCTTATATCAGAATTTGAGCTCAAATTATTTGTTAATATTTTAAACCAATTGAATATTGAAACAGTCGATGAAAATATAAAGAAAATGAAGGAAATTCTTGATAAAATTCCTGAGAATTTTATTATTGAAAGCAATGATAAATCAAATGTAAATTTAAATCCAGAAAATTCACCGCGAAATCGAAGAAGTATTTTAAACAGGGTTACTAAAAATAAGGGTAAATTGACTGAAACATCTATCACTTCACAAAATGAATTAATTAACAACCAAAACAAGTTTAGTGACAATCAATTAGCAGATGTATTAGTGATACCTATTGGAAGCACTCGTGATTGTCCCGGAATGCTCTCTGAAGATAAAGTATTAAAAGCTGAACAACAAAAGCGATCGACAAAAGTTAGACTGAATTTGGATTTATTGTTAACTCAAAATAATGAAGAGACTGAAAGTGTTGTCAGTGCTGTCAGCGGTAGTGAAAAAAGGACACGATTTTCATTATCTCAAGATCAGGAATCAATTGGAACAAGTGATAACTTAGAAGCCATCTCTGAGGCCGCTTCTAATCATTCTGTTGAATCCTCTTTAGATTTAGAGAATGAAAACGACAATATGTCTGATATGGTTTCAGCGAATGTTAGCTCAGGTAGAGGAACGCCTAATGTCAGCGGTCGTGATACCCCTTCATCACACTCTCCGAATCAATCGAGTCCTTCGTCTGATGAAGAAGTCGAAGATGAGCCGATGGCAGATGCAGTTGCAGTGCCCGTAAATATTGTCAGTTCTCGTAATAACTCAACTTTCAGACGTCTTAATACTATTCCCGTAACTCAACCCAATCGTCCCGCTAATAGAGACGACATTGAAGACAAATTTGGTAAATTTGATATAAAACCTGTGGCTGCTGTCGATGAAACTAAATCAATGTTAAGCGACACCTGGAGTACTGATGTTTTGGGCAGTGATTCGGAAGCTATCGAACAATCGGATAATTTAACAAATTTACAAACTCCGGGAATTAATATGTTATTTGCTGGACAACAGTCACAAACATTGCAATCAATTTTGGATTCATCAGAAACTGCCAGTCAGAGTGATGCCTGGAGTACTGATGTGTTGACATCAGATACTGAAAGATTAAAAGAGTTTGATCCGGACGATAGTGTTAGTGTCACCCGATCGGAACCTGAAGAAGAAACTATGTCTTATGAGTGCAATAGTCTTATTGAAAGTCCTAAGAATGGGACACTTAAACAAAGAAACGTCAAAATTGGTCCAAATTTGGCTCATTTTTCACAAGATGTTACCGATTCTTCTGGCACTTCTACAATAATTCGGTCCAAGAGTTCAAATTCGAATTCATTGAAATTAATAAATTTAGCAAAAAATGAAATCGAAAGGAATTCATTTGGTGATACACTTGTTAGTGATAATAGTGACCATTTTGGTGATAGCTTTTCTATGTCTTTATCGCCCACTTTATTATCACATAATATGCAATCACTCGGAAGGTTAACATTTGATGTCCGAAAGTTTGAAGAGGATGTTAACGTTCGGTCTGTAATTAATGACAATATATCTAAATGTAATGTTATGTCTACTAATGGATCCAATGTTTCTGAATTATTATCTATTGATTTGATACAAAAGAAAGTAACAAAACAAATAAATAACGATTTAGTCAATAGTTTGATTGATTTTGAAATGGATATCTCTAATGATGCCAATCAAACAGTAAAGACTATGGAATCAAATAATATGATTTGTAAGATGCAAACTGAAGAGCATTCAAGTGAACAATTGACAGTTTCAAGTGATTCAACATTTAATACTTCAGATCTATCGATATGTAGTACAAGTAGTACTATTGAGATAAAAAATGTTAATAAACAATTCAATCACGAATCTACCGGTGCGATACCAAAAACTTTAAGACCTATTATAAATACAAGCGGTCGTCATCCGGGATATTCACCTAATGATGATGAACTCAACCGTCACACTAATAGAAAAGGATTTTTCAAATTTTCAAACTTTAAAACAACTTTCAAAGACAAAATGCGTTCACTTAAAGACAACAAAAGAGTTTCATCTAATGATGACTATTATGATTACGATTCTTCTAAATTCAATCAATCGAATGCTGATTACAGTATCAATGAATCTTCAGATGAAATTTTGGCCAAATATAGAGCTAAAAGTTGTTTAATGAATACGACTAGTGATGAGAGTCCTATAAAAGCAAATATAACAACAGATATGCTTATTGATGAAGAAAAGAATAATTCATTGAATGAATTGGAAGTTCTTGAGATCACTAAAAGAAAATTAAGACGAGTTCTAAGTTTAATTGATTTGATTACAATACCAGCTCTTATGAATCATACGAGTAATGCTAATAATAGGACAAAAGTTAATGAAATTATTAATATTCTTAAGGTATGGCATAAACATTGAGAAAATGATTTATATTTAGTAACAATTTATTACAATTTACTAGTTTTTAACATTTGTTGTATTAATGAAATATTATATTAATTTTAGTTACTTCGCGCTGAAGCTATAAATCTTAGGAATATAAGTCATTCAGTTTTATTGAACGAAACTCTTCGCAGTATTGAATCTCTCGATGAAAATACATTTCAAAAGTTGTTTTGGTCTTTAAAAGAGGATTACAAGAAAAGGAGTGTTTATATATCATATCTGACACGATGTCGACAACAGTTATTGTCGAGTTTGGCTTATTTTGATAGTATTTTACAACACATTGAACGGGAAAAATCTATTTGTTCTCGAAATTTGATATCACTTTCTGTAAAACAATTTCTTGAACGTAAAGACAGAAGCGTACAATTGTTTATCAAGAAGTTTCAATCACTGATAGCGGCCGACGAAAAGACACAATTAGTCGATAAATTTATGGTTTTTCTTGAAAGTACTTTAAATAGTGATAGTCAGTGGCAATCGGCTACTGAAGACCAGTTAGAAATGGCTAAACAACTGATTGAGAGACAAGTGATGAGTCAGATCTATATTCATGCACTTTATCCTAATGGTGACGGAGATGTCTTACGCGATCAAATTCTTCATAAATACATTCAAAATTTATCGCAAACTATAACACCAAACCATAAACATCTAGGAATCCCAAAGATATACCACTCAGAGAGTCCCTGGCCTTCAGCTCAACATGAAATACAAGCCATTGGCGCTCATAAGACACCCCGAGATAAGATCAAGTGTGTGGTCAAGTGTTGCACTAATATTATGAATTTGTTGAGTTTAGCCACAGACAGATCGGTTCCAGCGGCAGATGATTTGATGCCTGTTCTCGTCTTTGTTCTCATCAAAGCAAATCCACCATCACTTTTGTCAACTGTTCAATACGTCAGCAGTTTCTACGACAAGCATTTTGAAGGCGAAGAAGCGTATTGGTGGACACAGTTTTGTTCAGCCATTGAATTCATTAAAACTATGGATTAATCCATCCATTTATTGATTTTATTGCAAAACTATTAATAGGGTTCACAATATATATATATATATATATAATGAATTAACTTTTATTAATATTATTTATTTAACAATAATAATAATATATTTTTGTTATATTAATGGTAATTATGTTTTATAAATATGATATAATGATATGATATAATCATTTTATTGATAAATTAATATTATATTTCAAATGAAAATTTACTTTTAATTATTTAATAAAAAATACTTATTTATTGTCAAACAAAAGCTTATTGTATTAGTTATGCGATCAATGAACCAAACGATTAAAGATAGCAATTATTCGTTCAATAAGTTATTTACAATAATATTATACAGAAAATAGTTTGCGCTTTAATTTTGGTTATAAAATAGTTTTTAATAATATAAACAAAAGTATATGACGTCATAGTATGCGTTGATATGAGTGTTAAATTCCCATTAATTAAAACAACATTTGTTTTATTTAGTAATTATAGCGATAAATGAGTTGTTATTAAGTGATAATTACATGAATTAACAATATATTTGTATGAATGAGTGGTTAGTATAAGAGTCATCAAAGTAGACAATTGTTGATCACATTTGCATTGATTGGGAATATAGTGTTTGTCATAACATTTGTAACTTTAAATCGTTATTCAGATATGTTGTCAACAAAAGAGTTGTTTTGACTGAAAGACAAACAATAGTTGTGACCAAACAATGAGTCAAAGATATCATCATCACTCTCGACGGCGGACCAGATCTTCATGTGATACCGACAATAGTGTAAATCAGCTAAAGATTGTCAATAGTATCGCTGAATATAAAAATAAGGTTTGCTTTGGTTTTGTTTGTTTGGTTTATTAATACCATTGTTTTGTCTCTTCATTGAACAGAACCATTGGTCCAAATTATCATCAGGTCTTCAGCGTTTCAAAAGGGACTCAAAGTTTTGTGACTTTGAACTTAAAGTCGACGGAAAAGTATTTAGTGTCCATCGGGTAGTGTTAAGCGCTTCCAGTCTTTACTTTGAGGCCTTGTTTTCAAATGATTTAATAGAAAAGGAGTTGAATTTTGTTGAAATCAAAGACATTTCATCTAAAATATTTGAATCATTACTCGATTATATCTATTCTGGAGAAGTGGTTATCACTGGTGACAACGTTCAAGAACTGCTTTCTGCAGCAAATCGTCTCGATTTGAATGAAATTGTGTCCATTTGTTGTCAATATATGACCAAACAATTAGATCCAATTAATTGTATCGGAATCTTAAGATTCGCAGACTTTCATTCATTAACTCCATTAAGATTTGATTCAAAACGTTATATTGAAAGACATTTTGCTGAAGTCATTAAAGAAGAAGAGTTTTTTGATTTACCAAAAGACTTATTAAAAAGTTTTCTTCGAAGTGAAGGTTTAAGTATTGACAATGAGTTTCAAGTATTAGATGCAACAGTCAAATGGATTTTTAAAGACCAATCAAATCGGTTTCAATACTTCGATGAACTTATGGATTGCGTCAGAATTCCAGTCATTCCTATTAAACAAATGGAAGCGTTTATTAATGACTGTAATGATGAAGAAGTAAAATCAAAACTGCGATCAGTTCTCGACAAATATAAAGAGGCCATTGCTTTAGTTGAGAATAATAAAAAATCAAATTTATTGGCCATTAATTGTCATAATAATTACGGTTTGAATGGCTTTTACGAAGTCCGATGGCAGCCCAGAATTAATGCTAGAAAATACATTTACGTTATTGGAGGTAACCATCAGGCAAGTCATCGATGGGATGATATTAAACCCGTTGCTATTTGTGAGCGATTAGATATACTTCGAGGACTTTGGAAGGCTTTACCACCTCTTTTGTATCCAAGAAGTTTTCATTGTGTGACTAATCTCAATGGCTTACTATATGTAGCCGGAGGTGAATGTGATTCACTTATTTTAGATAGCGTTGAAATATATGATCCGCAAAACAATGAGTGGACTAAAGGAAAAAGTTTACGCCAACCCCGCTCTTGCTTTGGTATGTGTGCTATCGACTCATATCTCTATGCTTTTGGTGGTTGGATCGGTAATCTGGTTGGTAATAGTATTGAAAGATACGATCCTATAAGCAATGAGTGGAATATTTATGATAAACTGCCGGATATACGGTTCGCAATGGGAATCATTTCTTTTGAAGGACTCATTTATATAATCGGTGGTTATAATGAACAAAATCGTGTCTTAAAGAGTGTCATGAGTTACAATCCGGCCACTCATGAGTTCAGGAAACTGGCGGATATGATTCAGCCCAGAGCATCATTTGGATGTACTGTTTTACACGGAATGATTTATGTAGTCGGAGGGGCTAATGATGCCAATCACGCCCTGTCTTCAGTAGAGAGATATAACATTAATGAAGTGAGTCTTGTAATTGATGTTATGTATAAAATATTCAATTTATTTGAAATTATGCAGAATCTATGGTCACGAGTGTCAAACACACCATCACCACGAATATCTTCGTGTGCCTGTGCTATCAATGAATGCCTTTTTGTTTTCGGTGGTAAGACTTTAGGCGATGAGTATTCACTAACAAATACATTAGATTCGGTTGATATCTTTGATCCCGAATCTAATCAATGGAGAGAAAGCATACCTTTGCCAACAAGTCGTTCTGAAGCAGCCGTTGCTGTCATTTGAAACCATTGTTATTATTGTAAATTTTTAGACTATTTTTTATTTTATCTTTTATTAAAACAATCCATCAGCTATTGGGCGCTATTAATATAATTATTTTGATGAGTTAACTACAATTTAGTGACGAGCGCTCAACTGAATGTCAATTGTGATAATGTCTACAATTTTTTAGTTATTGTGTATTATATTAAAATAACTAAAAAATTAAAGCATATTAATCACAGAAAAATATATATATATGTATGTATACTATTTTAAAATTTCATTACAATTATAAGTTAAAAATAAATTGATAAAATTAATGAATTATAACATTTTGTCTGAGAATTATATGTTTTAAGACACATTAATGTGCTTTGACTTTGTTCAGTTCATTGTAAGTTATTGTATATATATTAATGATAATGTATTTCAACAATTAATTATAATTTACCGGTAATATAAAATATTTAAAATTTATATGCAATAATGCCTAAAGAATCATCGGTTTTATATTACCGTATTTTACCGGTAAATCAAAACAACATAACAAATAAAATAATCCAACATTAATTAGTTACCAATTAATTACTGTACGGTTAAATGAAATTCAATAATTTGAGTGAAAATATAACCAAACAATTATTATAAGTGCATTGACTAGTGATGAGAATTGAATAATTAATATATACTGTAGAGTAGTGTACAATACAACCCATTATTGATCTTTCTTTTTGGTTGTTTCTGACTTTCCATTTCTTGATAACTCGTTCTTTGCGTTGGAATCGCTGTTTCCTTTAGCTATAATAATATCAAACAATTGATAATTAATTTTATTTGTCGTAATTTTCTAATAAGATTAAGATTTCATTTGATTTATTTACATAAAAGAATTGCCAATAATTGATAGTAAATATAGATCTACTTTACAGCTATTATATAGAATTAGATAATTACTATAATGTAGATAATGTTTTCATAATATTTCATTAATTATAAACTATAAGTATTTTATAGATTAAAACTACGGTAATAAATGTTTTAATTTTAATGATTCTGTTAATTAATTTATTTGAATCATAAAAAGACTAAAGTGTTTGTCACTAATGTATACTATAGTGTAAAATGTGTGCAAATGGAGCAAACATTTACCGTAATTGCAATTCATGATAAAATTAGAATTAGGTCTCAATTGATAAATTAAAAATAAAAATTGTTTATAAAACATTACTGTGCAAATTGATAGATAATATTAAATATTATTTGATATTATTTGCTATTTTTATATAAAACCACTGTTTTAGAAAATATTCACTTATACTAACCACCGGACACAAGTCGGCCCAATGCGTCCCAAATGCCACCAAAAAATATGGCACAAAATAGATTCTCAAATGGTATAAATGGGTCGTGAATTCCTAATAACATCGACGACAACTTAAAGTAGACAAAGAATATGACGATTCCGAAGTAGACCAACGATGGCGGAGCTGTTATCCAATCGGTCTTCTTATCCATTATGAACACTATTGAGGCCGCAATACTAGCTTTGGTTGCACTATAAATGATAATTTAATAAAAGTCAAAGTTATGAAAATTATTAATTATTATCATATTTGTATCATAGCTTACAAAGTGGGGGTCAAAAATTCAATAGCATTTGGTGTCCAAACTCCACGAAGTGTTCGTTCAATTAATTTAAGGAAAGCGGATCCGTTACCTGTTTTTTCATAGTTATTAACATCACTTCATTTGATTCCAACAATGATTTTGAAAATGTTTAAATACCTTTAATAGTACCGATGATAATCATAATCAGATATCCATTGGGGTATAGCTTAGCCGCGTGAAGGACTCCATCGTTGACTTTCTTGCATCGAATCACTTCTTTCATTGAGGCGAACACTATCTTAATGGGCAATAATTTGCATATTTTGTAAATGATGTCAAACGGCGAGTAAAACATTAAATACCTGACAAATCAATACAATTTAGTTCAATCAATACAAACAAATATTATTAAAATTGATTTCAATTCATACCAGACGGCAGTCGCCAAAAGCAATTGATTGGTGTTTTTGAATGCCATAAGAATGGGTTCGGCCAACAAAAAGCTCGACAATATATTGCCCGCAAAGATAGAGACCATACACGACACCCAACAGGCAAACGGGTGTTTCCGTGAAAAGGGCAGACATCCTAATGGACACAATCGTACAAAACATATATTATAATCAATTGAATCAATAGTTGTGATGTCAGACCTGCTGCCATATCTTCTCTAATATAGAGACAAGAGATGATAGCGTGTGCCACTTCAAAGTACGGATACATCCGAAGTTTGGTCACCTGATTGGCCATCTCGAGGAACGCCTCGGGATCCATTGGGCAACTAATTTGTGTGATTACCACTTATATTATATTATATATAAACCAACAATTTATGTCATTTAGTCACTAATTCAATGTAATTGTTATCAAAAGTGCAAACAATGTATAGTAATGTATGGTTTGGTTAAATGGTATGTGAAGTCAATGATTGAAACTTTAAGCTGACGTTAGAGAGGACTCTAATGTTAGTCTATTTGTGTCTCACTTTATATCTACAGTAATATTATAATACAGTAGTCTATAGTCTATAGGATTTTCTGTTATAATAATTCACATATTTTCCAATTCATATCATATGTAATGCATTTTGTACTTCAGATAGTTTTTAAATCTATTTTATTCACAACTCTTTCTAAAAATAAATATTTTTTTTAATTATTTTATATAAATTTTATGTTTTATTTTGTAAAATTGTCATTTAAATATTATATCGCTATTATCAAATTGATAAATATTTTATTAAAAAATTATTTGAATATTTTCATATAAAACAATAAAATAGTATAAAAATTGGTTTATTCATCAATAATAAACATTTTTATATGAATCAGTTCTAATTTATTTTATGTATTCATATATTTTATTTATATTTTATTACAATATTTATATGTTTTTAACTAATGGTTAAATGAGATGATTGTTATATTTATGAATTAAATTATAAAAACAATTAATTTAATTGAAATCCTTGGGATCTGTATAAAATCAATGCTATTATTAATACAATATAAAAAGTGTTTATCCCATTTAACCAAATCTCATTTAGTATAAAACATTTACTTTTATACAGTTTATATAATACAGTATATGATTGTAACACTTTTGTTTCAAATATTTTTTATTACTTTGATAACAGTATTTTATATTTGATCGTTAATTAAAACATAATCTGAAAGTAATTTTATTTACTCATTACATAAGGGATACCTATTTATAATACCTTTAATTGACTAAATTTTATAAATTTTTCAGAATATTCATATGAAAGTACTGTAATAATACAATGTTTTTATTTTATTTTATTATTTTATTGAGTACTAAATAAAATAAAATTGAATAAATTTATTTACAGCTAATATTAAAGATCATTAAATATTTAGTTAATTTACTTGTGATACTTAATGTCCTCCAAGAAAATGATTTTATAATCTATAATCTAATTAATGCTTTTATATAATTTTTTTGTGTAATAAAACTACAATTTATGTGATTGTATTCAAACATTCAAAGGCTAAATGAGAAACATTTATTTCAAACTAACATTTTATGTAATATAATAATACTGTATTTGTTATATTGTTTATTACAATTGATGTAATGCAAAATAAACATTTTTGAACTAAAAAATAGATATACAGATAACTTATTTAATTAAAAATAAGTTTATAAAACTAATAACACAATAACTGTACAACAAATTCACGAAATTATTTATGTATTTGAGTTTTTAATAACAATTTCTTTCTTATATTAAATTATTAGAAATTATAAGTTATGTTAAATACGTGAACGAACTTTTGGTTAACAATTTTACTAATTTTTGTTGGCATTGGAATTAAAGCTTAAAATTTAAATATCATTTTATTCAGACACCTGTCCAACTAATTGCACGAAATATATTTATAAAATAAATTGATCCAATAATTGTATTCATTATATACTTGTAAATAGTTTTAATTGTAAATTAAAAATATTATTATCATTTAAATAGTTGAAGTGTAAAAACATAGAAAAAGTTTGTTAATAAATAGGAAAATATTGAATAAGTTGTATGAAATGTCCGGAAACATAGACTCATTGACTTCAAGCTCTACTAAATGCAAATCAAGTGAAACATCTCTGAAAAAATCACATTTAAGTTATTCGACTTCAACTCTGTTTCAAGTAATCACTGATTCTTCACAATTAAAGTCTTTATCATTGAATGCGACAAAAAAGTTAGGCTTAAAGTCAGCTAAAAGTATATTCAATTGTTTGCCAAATACTAGTCATTTAAATAGTGGGTTAAGTCCTGCGCGCAGACAATACTCGACATCAATATTCAGTATAATTGAAGGCGAAAAACAAGTGACGGATCCCATCAACAAAACACACACAAAGATGTCATCGGATCTGTTAAATGGTGACTCACAAGACATTCTAACAAAACAAGTGAGACGTGATGTCGAGGCTCAGCCATGGGCTACACAAACACAACAACAACAACAACAACACGTATGTTAAGTATTAGCCATTGTTTTTGATTATAATTAGCTAAACATCAGGTGATGAGTTCGTGTCCAACAATTTCATTCATCTCTATCTCAATGCTAACTAACTCTTACTGTATATCAAATCAATTATATTATTAATCTTTACATAACTAACAACTCAATAGTTTAATTCAAATGTTTCTTAATTTTTTAAATTATGATATTTTTTATCATAAATTAATAAATACATTATTATTATTATCATACAAAATATTGCAACTGATTTATAACTTTATTTTTATTAAGTTTTCTATAATGTCTTATAAAATATGAGAAAAATTATTAAAATTAAAGTAAGTAAATCTTAAGTAAGTTACTATAATATTTAAAAAACTACTGTATTTGTAATTTTTAATAATTATAATTATTTTAATTTATAATACATTTCTAAATGTAAGTTAAGTACAGTATATTACACAGTATTTTCATATAATAATTATACTGTATTTATAAACATTACTTTTATACCTGTACTGTATTATATGCTTTAAATTTTATAGTATATTAATATTTTCTAAATATAATAAAAATATTTTTAAAAAATTAATTAATTAATTTTAGACTTAAAACATTTTAGATAAAAATATAACTAAAAAAATAAAAAATGAAAGTATGGGCCCGTCCGGGATTTGAACCCGGGACCTCTCGCACCCAAAGCGAGAATCATACCCCTAGACCAACGGGCCTTATGAATGAACGTGTATTAGGCTTTGATGTCATTCAATGTCTATTCAATTATTTATAGCATAAGAGACCTAAAGGTGTGACCAAATGAGTCACACATATAATACAAATAATGTAAATGTAATGAAAAAGTTTGATTCAAATATTCAATACATTGTAATATCAAATATGAATTTATTATAAAATTATGTAATTTTTAATTAATTTTTATTTTTACTTAAAGTGTAACAAAAAATAGTAGTTTGAAAACATTTATTTGTTTTGATAATTAATATGAAAATAATATATTAATAGACATTAATGACAATCATTGAAACATTTGACGTATTGTTTGTATAAAACAGTTGAAATCAAACGATAGACTCTTTAAGTCAAATAATTTTGAAAATCAATTAAACGTCAAAAAAGTGATTTGAATTCAAAGTTTGTTTAAAATTATTGAAACACTATTTTGTGTATTAATTGCAATCAAATTATTATTTAATTGCTTTTAACTGCAAAACCAAAGCAATCGCTAGTCGTGTCAATCAGTATTAGAAGTGATGGCAAATCCGATCACTAAGAAAGTACCGATTCATCTGCAGGTCAGTCCATATGTCGGTCGATGTCTTTACCGATGTTTTAACTCATGAGTTAATTATTGATTTGATTACATCTATTGAATTATATTTATCACAATTTAATGACTAATTAAAAGCATTGACCTTAAGACGACCTCAAATTGTCTTCAAAACTAACTATATTTGACAAACACATGATTTAGCTGTTAATCAGTTGATTTAAGTAAATGACGAAATGGTTAAAAAACTAAACTATTTTTGAAATGTTTGTAGAGTTCACAGAACCGACTGCTTGTCAAAGGAGGACGTCTTGTAAATGATGACCAGATATTTGATGCCGACGTTTACATCGAAGAAGGGATTATTAAGTAATGAGATTAAAATAATATGATATACAATATGTATGATATGTTTAATAAATTGAATACTATTTGCAGACAAATTGGACCGCATTTGATAGTACCGGGCGGTGTTAAGATCATTGATGCAAAGGGCCATTATGTGATTCCCGGTGGTATTGATCCGCACACACATTTGCAGCTCCCCTTTATGGGCACCCGAGCTATTGATGATTTTTATACGGGAACCAAAGCAGCTCTGGCCGGAGGAACCACTTGTATCATTGATTTTGCTATTCCCGACGCTAACAACCCAAGTCTTTTGGATGCATATGATAAATGGCGTCAATGGGCTGATGAACGAGTTTGCTGTGATTACAGTCTTCATGTGGCAGTCTCTCAATGGAAAGAGGGTCAGACAGACAAAGAAATGGCAGTTCTTGTGAAAGACAAAGGCGTCAATTCATTCAAGTGTTTTATGGCTTACAAAAATGTTTTAATGCTAAACGATTCGCATCTGATATCAGTATTTGATACGTGCAGAGATATCGGTGCTTTAGCTCTGGTTCACGCAGAAAATGGTGATATTATTGATGCTAACACCAAAAGATTGCTTAAAATGGGAATTAATGGACCCGAAGGTCATCTCCAAAGTCGTCCAGAGGAAGTTGAAGCTGAGGCTACTAATCGAGCAATTGTTTTGGCCAATCAAGTCAATTGTCCGCTATATGTGGTTCATGTTATGAGTAAGATGGCTGCTGACACACTCGCAAGTGCCCGCATGAGAGGTAATATTGTGTTCGGTGAAGCTTTGGCTGCTGCTATTGGAACCGATGGAGTTCATCACTTTAACAAATGTTGGAGACACGCAGCCGCTCACGTTATGTCACCTCCTTTGAGACCCGATAGATCAACAGCCGAACATTTGTTGGATTTATTAAGTAGCGGTCAGTTGCAAACTCTTGGTTCCGATCACTGTGTCTTTACGGCTGAACAGAAGGCTTTGGGAGCTAAGGATTTTTCGAAAATACCAAATGGAGTGAATGGTGTTGAGGAACGCCTAATGGTTTTGTGGGAAAAGGGTGTTCGCACTGGAAAACTGGATGCCTCTCAGTTTGTGGCCCTCACCAGTACTAATGCAGCAAAACTTTTCAATTTATATCCACGAAAGGGAAGAATTGCAGTTGGATCCGATGCAGATTTGGTTATTTGGGGACAAAAACCTAGAATTATTAAAGCAGAATCTCATCAATCAAGTGTTGATTTTAATATATTTGAAGGAATGACTGTCCAGTTTGGACCTCTTGTTGTCATAAGTAATGGTAGAGTGGTTTTGGATGAAGAAGGTCTGAGAGTAAGTCAAGGAAGTGGACGGTTTGTTCCTTGTCCTCCATTTGCTCCGCATGTGTTCAACTCTATTAAAGAACGAGAAAGAGTTGGTCCCATTTGTGTTGATAGAAGTGGCGATTCCAAGAAAGCAGTTAACGAGGCAACTAATGGTGTTAAAGGATTGGTACCTATTGATTATCCTACTATCTCTGAGCCCATCATTACAGCAACTCATGTGACTGGCGATGACGCCCAAAGTTTTTTCCGAGCTCCGACTAGAAGTGGTGTCCGTAATCTTCAGGATTCATCATTCAATTTTTCTGGCGCCCAGATTGATGACGACAAGATGGGAAAGACAGCTATTCGTGTTCACAATCCTCCTGGTGGTCGTTCCAGTGGTATTTGGTAATTAGATCCGCACTTCAGTATTACATGTCGTTTAAAGTGCTTTTAATTGTTTTAATGTTTACAATACTTTATAATTTTATTATACATTCCTATCAATTGATATGCTATGGCTTATTAAGTATTAATATACCGTATTTTTGTTTGATTTTTAATACGAATTATACTCTTGTAATGAATCAAATCTTAATTTTAGTGCTTATATATACACTCAATGAATAAATGAATCTCTTATTGGAAATTATTTCTAAATAAAATTTAATTTGTGATTAAATCAAATATATTTATTTAAATCATTGATTAAATAACTAAAGTAAACGTTATGTTTGAATACACGTATAAAATAAATGAATTTCGTAATCATTTGCAGTTTGTTTTGTAAATGTGTTATAAAGTGTAAGAAATATAATAATATTGTTATTAAATATGCAGTGAATGTATGAATCAATGAATCAATGGTTACATTATGTGACACATTAGCCATGGATTAGTTGTAACCAATTGATCGCACAATGAGTAGCACTGAAGACAGCAAATTGAGTCTAACTGAAGATCACTTCAGTCAAGACAAGTACCAATTGGACGCAGACACCGATGAATTGGTTTGTTTGATATTATTTTGTCATTAATATTAATATTAAATCAATTTGTCATCATTTGGTTAATTCATTGATTGCTTAGATGTCGACCACCAGTCAGATGGAGTCGGCGATCGATAAACATATTAAAATTTTGCGTAGAGTTACCGATGATGACATAAAAAAGAAATTAGTGATAAAAATATGTGAATTAAGGATCAAATTGAATCAATTGAATGATATCAACGAACAGTTGTATGTTTGTGGACACAAACTCGTCCAAAGAAATGACAACAAGATTGGGTCACAACTTATCTGCGATCAGTGTCTTAAGCGAACCAAAAACAAGATATTCGGTCTCAAGAAGAATGATAACATGACATTGATTTGTCAGTTCTGCCAATTTGTTGTCCACCGATACTGTCAAACCAATGTATGTTTATTTTAAAATTTAAACAAAAATTAATGATATGTTTATTGATTTTTGTTTGAATTAATTGATAGATAATGCGAAAGTGTCCGAAAATGATGTTTGAAGAAAGTGCTCTTAATGTTAATCAAAATGAAATTTCACGAAACGTTATCTTAAAGATCTGCCCAGAAATAGGTCTTTCAAATCAAGACTTTCGTTGCGCTGAATGTAAAGCAACGATAACTCCAACCAATAGTCGTATTTGTGATTATAATGGACTATATTATTGCAATTGTTGTCATTTCGGTCAATTAGATGCCACCCTAATTCCCGCCCGTATTATACATAACTGGGATTTTACTCCCAAACCTGTTAGTAGAAGTTCACTACAATTTATTAATTATATCAAATTAAAGCCAGTTTTGTTTAATATCACTGAATTAAATTCAATGCTTTATGGATTAGTTGATGAATTAACACAAATAAAGGTTAGTTATATATCATATACTGTATATAATGATTATATCGTTAATTGATAATAATTACTATATTTTTATAGAGAGTTCGCAGTGAATTGACTCATATGTTTAAATACATCCGTATTTGTAGACAACCGACAAAACCTAAGATATCACTAAATAATTATTTATTGGATGAAAATTGTCTTAACTGTTATTCATTGTCTGATTTGTGTCATTTGGATAAACTTTTACTTAGTGTCAGTGATGCGCACAAACTATTTATGGATCATATTATAAACCATTGTGAGGTATAATTGACAAAATAATTAATTGTATTCATAAATGTATTTTAATTTTGTAAACATTTTAATTTAAAGGGATGTCGAGGAAAGGGTTACTTTTGTGAGTTATGTCGCGATAGTGACGACCTTTTATTTGCTTTTTCTTCAAACGTAGCAAATTGTAAAATATGTTCAGCAGTTTATCACAAGTATTTTTTTATTATAATTTTATATTAATTTTACCATTTTTTATATTAAAGAAAAAATATTTTTAATAGAAATTGTTATTATCGTCAAAACAAAGTATGTCGACGTTGTCAACGACTGGCAAACAAACAAATGACTAACGATTCTACAATAAATGAATCAATTATTGATTAATAAATTATTTATTTTATGTAATATACAGTATTTATTTATAAAAAGATATAAAACTAAGTATATTTACAATTTATGTTAGATTTATGAATTTTATAATCAATATATCAATCAATAATAACAAATATTGTTTTTTAAATATTTTATAATATTAATAGATAAATTTAATTGAATTTGATATGTTAACATGTGCCTTTATATAAATCATCATTTAATTTAAAATTAATATTTTATTATAAATCTCATAAATCAAGAATCTTAAGTATTTTAGTGGAAATAACAATTTTTAAAATTATTAATTTACTTAATATTATTTGAAATTAAAATATAGTGCATATATTTTTAATTAAAAATGTTTACCGGTATTTTATTGTTATTTATTAGAAATTGTTTAAGAATAAATTATAATAAATAAATAATTATTGTTTTTAATTAATTTGATATCAGTAATTATAATTGATTTATAAAATGTTGAATACGATTGTATATTCATCAATAAAGTTAGAGTTAATCGCTTTAATAAAATCTAGAGTTTACAGAATCGATAAAAAATGAGTGATTTGTGGACTGAAAGGTTGTGAATAAAGATTTAAATGTGGATCAGCTCTAGTTTAGACTAACAAATGGATAAATCGGTTTGTTTTGTAAATAGAGTTATCACAACAACAAAATCTAAAATAATATAGAAATTTGTGTCTATGGGATCCCACATTAATTTAGTTTTCTCAATAATTGTTATTTTGAAACAATTTATTTTAACTATAAATATTAACTAAATTATATTATTATTAATATTTTAATTAATATTTAAAGTGAACAAATAATTTATTTAATTACATTAAACTAAAAATATAAATCAATTATAAATAAAATTTAACAAAAACTATAATTATAATTAGATAATTATATTAATTTTATAACTAAGAATCCCATTAATATACCTGTAGTAGTGTGTGGTGTGTAATATATAATGTATATTACTCTAATGCTCTCAAAGGTTTATTATTAATTGGTCCCTGCAACGTTAATTATACAAAAAATATTAAAAATAAATAAATAAAACAAATATAACATAACAAAATTTTTAATTAATAAAAAAATGTCTCAGTACAAATAAAACCAAAACAATAGCAGACGCACCACAAACACATAGATTACACTTAATATATACATACAAAAATACATAATGTTTTGTATAAACTCCGCCCCTAAGCATTATACCTAATAATATTCCGCGAATATACATAAACTACTGTGTTATAGGGTATCATTGTGTGACGGCAATTATTGTTTTGGTTTTGCTTATATTGAGATAGTTTTAAATATAATTTGACAAAAAATAATTTTGATATTACTGTAATAGTTTATTTGTAAATGAGTAAAATATATTATTAACATTAGTATAAAATACGTAATAAAGTTTAATTCAAAAATCTATCATGATAGCAAAATTGATCATCACAGGTATATTATATATCATAAGTAAGTATTACAATAGCTATACATTGTAGATATGGGGATCCATAGTATAATGATAATGAAAAACTTTCTAGAAATTTTCTTAGGGAAATTTATTAGAAAATTTCTATTTACCCATCTCTATTTGTAAGTAATAAGAAAACAGAAAATATAGACAATCAAAGATTATTGTGTTTCGGACTGACAAACAACCAGTCGGTTGACCTGAAAGTTGGGTCTAAAGAGTTTAAGGTATACTTTCCAGAGTTCAGACAATTAATGGAATTTATGAACGGAAGTGTTGTTGTCATTAAAAGTATAGATTTAAACCATTTAAACAAATTAATTGATTGATTAGTAATCAAAAAGTTAATGATTTTTTATTCTTAGTTTATTCATATGATGTTAGTTTTATAGCTAATACTATTGTTAATACAGTACATACAGTAGTAATATAATTGGTTATACAGTATTATTGGTAAAAAATAAAAATATGTTTATTCCTTATTATAAATTTTAATAATAATATATTATTATTATTATTATTATTATTATTATTATTATTATTATTATTATTATTATTATTATTATTATTATTATTATTATTATACTAGTTTTATATTTTCAGGAATTATATTTTATAGAATTATAATTTAAATTTAATTTAGTTTTCTTTCGGTAATAATTAATGGTAATTAAGTACTTCATACAAATCTATATAATTTATAATTTTGTACTTTATTTTAGACATTGCTTTTTTTTATTATTTTAATTGAAATAATTATTATTTAAATAATTTATTTTATATTAGCTACTAGAATGATATGCTAATAATATACTGTTATAACAATTTATTTGTTATTAGAATATAAATGTATAATATTGTATATAATATGGAAATCATGAAAGTCATAGCAATTATAAATATTTGAAATGAGTTGTCGGATAAATACATCATTAGATGTAATATAACTAGTATTCTGTTATTAAACATTTATAATTGCATTGTACTGTAATTTACTATTCTAAGCATTAATAGCACTTATATTCATATTATCGGCAAAAAAATCTGTTAATTAACTAAAAGTCATTATATATATATATATAAATATAAATAAAGTGTCTGTAAAATCAGTTAATTTTTATCTCAAATAAGTTGAACTCAAAAGGCAATGCTCTTTACAATGAATTCCTGATAAACATTTAATTATTTGTTTTTTACTGCAATTTAAGTTTGATATACCTTTATAATTGTGTTTTCTTTACATTTTTATTAACTAAATATTATAGTATAAATTATATATCATATAAATATATACAAGTGATGGTTATGTAAAACTAAAAATCCTTGAATAAAACATGTATTAAATTTGGCATAAACTTGAAATACAGCCCATTAACCATAAAAGTTAGTGTTTATATTTAAGGCAACGCTTTAATGCAAGTCAAGTGAGATTCACTAACAATGAACTCAAGTGAAACTGGATTTCAAATAAAACATATATAACTTATTACTCAATAAGTTAGACATCAATTGTGAGACGAGTTATGAAAGCAAATATCAAAAATATTGATATAAAATTGAAATATAAATTTATATGTAATCTATAAATATATGAAATTAATAACCAATTGGCAAATGAATACATTGATGGCAATGATGTCAATAATAAAGTATTGCATTGAAAACTCTGTTGTTTGTTGTCATCACAAGAATTAAGATTATTCTTAGCATAACTTTTTGAGCGCTTATTCATCACTCAATGTTATATATAAGGGTAAGTCAATTGTGAAGCAAACTATAACATACAGTACATTGTGTTGTATATACTATATATTGCTTATGTAATCATAACTTATCATATATTGTTACCGTATATATGGCACAAATGTTGGTCATCTAAGGTGTCAAAGACATTGACAGAGTTGGTAAGCGATGCAGTTATGGACACTTCACTCGCAACTATTAGTTGCCCTCCAATACAACGATTTATCAACAGTCGAGTCAATCCTTAAACAGGGAGTCGACTCCGATGTTCGCTTCTATTCGGGTACTCATCACATGCCAGCCCTATGTCTGTGTGCACAGAGAGGACACTTGGATCTGGTGAAACTGTTGCTCAAGTATGGCTGCAGTACCAATCAAGTGGACACTAATGGACGATCAGCTCTTCATTTTGCTTGTAATCATTTGTTTGTGGAAATCGTAAAACTTTTGATAGCAAACAGAGCCACACTTAATATGGCATCAAATTATGGTCACATTCCTCTTCATTTAGCTGCACAACAGCCATCACTTGGTATAAAATACATTGAATTTCAGTATATTTATTGAGTAAACATTTTAAACAACAGAATCACAGAATATTAAAATAAGAATATAATTTGTATTATCACTAATATTCTCTAATTCTTTCATTACTTGATATTTACAGAATTGGTTCGTTTGTTAGTTGAATCGGGAAGTGATTTGGAGAAAAAAGATTTAGATGGAAGAACTCCTTTAGTTTTAGCCATTCTTAACAATCAGTTTGAAATCGTCGAGTTTTTGGTACTTCAGGGATCAGATGTTAATACAGTAGACAATTGTGGAAACACACCACTACTTCATGCCATTAATAGTGGGCTCAGTATTAATCCAGAAATTGTTAAAATACTTCTTCAGGCCGGAGCTAATCCAAACATCTCTAATAACTATGGACTAAATCCTTTGATAACAACGATTAGAAGAAGTAGTGATCACACTCTTGATGGTCAGGACACAGTTCGCCATCTAATTGATCACAATTGTGATCTAAATATTTATGAATACGATTCAGCCATTTGTGGAGAAAGTGCTCTTCACTTAGCCATATCTCGAAATCAGGACCGTATCACTGAAATGTTGATCCGAGCGGGTGCTGATGTCAATGTCCCCAATCAAATGGGATTAACTCCTATTTCTCGATTAGTAAAGGAAGGAAAGATAGATCTGATAAAACTTATGATCGCCAGCGGCGCCGACACTAATCTTAATAGAAATTTGTCATTAAATGAAGCAGTTCTTCGCAATCATTTAATAAACAATGACAATGAAGTCAATAAATTAATTGTCGATCAAAGCCATTGTTTTCTTAGACTAAAACACTTGTGTAGAGTTAGATTGAGGTCTTGGCTCGAGAGGAGAGCTGATTATGTCATCAAACAAACACCTATTCCTTCAACAATACGTCGCTATCTTCTACTCAACGATTTATAAATATTATAAATATAATACAAATAATGTATTCTTTAACTAACAAACTAATGCTATTTATAATATAGTGTATATAATTATAAACATTATTTTATAATACAATTTATATTGTGTTTAATTTAAATGTTGTCATAACGTAAGTTCAAATATATATTACCGGTAAACTTATTACATGACTAAAATTATAGCAATACTGTATAACGTTGTTAATTAAAACTATTCATTTAATTTATGTTTTTACTTTAATGAAACCAAAAATAAAATACTTTAAACCAAATATTAAAATAAAAATTCTAATAACTTATATTAAAAAATATAAGTTATGTTGCACATTTGATTAAAATTATATTGGTATATTTATATCAAATATAATTTAATCGACCCTGGTTAACATAAATTTATAATTTTTATACGAAATCAACACTATTGTATTATATACTGTAACATTTTAAAATTTTAATTATAAACCATTTTTATTTTACCGTAAGTTACAACATAGACAATCAAATATAAAAATAAAGTTTATAAATATTATTTGGTGTCTCTAACTCTAAGCACAGCCGGTGCACAAGTACACGGGAGGACACCATTTTCAGTGATTACTACTGATACTAATTCATGTGGCGTTACATCGTATAGAAGATCCATAAAATTTAAATCCTTATTATTTGCATCGATTGAAGACTTAGATGAAGTGCATAATGAGTTCAAAAGGACTGTTGAATCACCTAAAAAGTTATTTATTTTTTAAAATTTATTATTATCCGTAGTTATCAATAATATTAAAATTAATTACCGATTTCGTTGTGTACAAAACTATCGGTGTGGACCCGTTCAGAAAATTTATATGTTTCACAACAGACAAGAACCGGTACATTGTATGCCTGAGCCACTAATGCAATCTGAGAGCTGCCAATATGTCCCATAACATAACCGTTGGCTAATAATGAATGTGCGCCTAAAAATACTTTAGTCACCTTTAAATCACATTAAAAATAATCTTAATTAGTATTTATATTAATAATAGCACTTAATTATAAGTATAACCGGATAATACAATTAAAAAAATAATAAATACCTCTTTCATGGCATATGAAATTGCATTAATAAGTATATAATTAGAAGGAATATTATGTTTAAGTAAAAATTTAAGCATTTCTTTGCCATCAAAACGAGGTCTTGAGTCGACAACAATTACACGAAATTTCTTTCGCATTTGGATTGCATTATAAATGACTTGTTTGATAATTAGAGAGCAGCCATAAGTCAATATAACGTCAGAATCATTGACTTTAGTGATGGCTAGATCTGCAATACCTCTTTGAGCGCATATGATCTCCTCGTCAATGAAGTTATCGATTCCCTCACATAATATCATTTTAGCGCTATTTTCGTCAGTTTGTGCGGGAATTCGGGTAAACGTTGACATCAAAAACTTAATACCATTTGTCATACTTATAGATAATGGACGACATTTACCTAAAAATTTAACGTAAATATCAATCAATGATTTCAAGTCACGAATCATTTCCTTTGATGGCGGAGTCGTATAGTCTTCAATCACTTTCTTAAATGCCATAAGCATTGCAACACATCTAGCATTTGAGCCACGAATCAGATTTTTATTGATTTGGTAACCAATTTGAATAACAATTGGATGAATTTCTGAATACTTAGAAAAGAGTTCATCACTTAATTGGTTTAAATCTTGAGTTCGTTTGGGAATATTTGCAAATATTTGTATTCTTTTGGTAACAGAAGACCCAGAAGTCGATGTAATATTTGTCACAACATTTGTATTTAATTTATTTGATGTTAATTGTAATCCATGTATTACATCATTAGATGTATTTGTAGTCAATTTATTATCGATTGTCTTAACACTTGTTTCCTCAACTTTTGGCAATTCTTTATCTTTTTTATCAACAGATTTGTTGGATATATTCTTATTGTCATTAGGTTTAGGTTTGTTATCAGATTTGCCACTCTTTTGTTCATTATTACCAGTCTTTGCCAATCTTTGAATCTCTTGTTTGGTTCGTCTTTCAGCTTTCAATTCTGCCTTTGATTTGTTTTCTTTATCTTTGGAAGCGTTTATTAGTTTGTCTTTATTTTGTAATTCCTGTGAAATGAATGATCAAAAACAATAAAACAATAGAGAAAAATGTCATTTGATGTCCAAACATACGAATTGTGCTCTTCGTTGTGCTTTCAATAACGCTTTCTCCTCTTTAGTCATGTTTTTGTCACCACTTTGACCACCACTTTGACCACCACTTTGACCACCACTTCGATCACTATTTTTATCCATATTTATGATATTATTAACAAATTATTGTAATATTAATACTAATACTAAATGTATTGTTTGTTTATTGTATTTCTGACATTCAATCAATGTTTGCAATACATGTCATGTGTTGCAAATATATAGTAAATCAACTAAACTTATGTAGAGTTGCCAACTGTCCATAATTTTCATTAATTTTTAATTTTGACGAAACAATTATTATAATAAATTGGCTAAATTTATGTACGAATTGTATAATTATTAAAAGTTGAATACAATTAAGTATTATTTTTATATTTATATTATATATAAAGCGAAATAAATATCGTACTTCAAAATTACATATATTTTTTAATTGTTTATTTTATTGAAAATAAAATTTACTTGATTTTTAAAAAATAAATATAATGAAAATAAAATACAATTAATAATTAGAATATATATATATATTCACAAAAATATTTTGTTTGAAATAAGGCAATTGCTATCATATAAACTACATAATAGTTAGTGTCAATGAAATATCAATCTTCATAATAAGCTGAATCTCTTTTGGAGTTTTTAATAATTATATCAATTAAGTCATCCAAAAGACCTAACTTTTTAGCGTCAGATATCATACGTTGAATGGCCGCTAAATTACTATCTTTTGTGTCATCTGATGGTGAACTCAATGAAAACTCGCCAGAAGTTGAGCTCAAATCTTGAGGTGATTCCAATGGATTTAAATCATTTAAGTTATTAATTGCGATAGTATTTGGATGTAAATGGCTTTTAGTATTGAGTATCAATTGATTACTTTCGTTGATTTGGTCATAGTTTGCATTCATATTTACAGTACTTAAACCATTCAGATCTGTGACATCCCATTCAAGTGTTGGTGTTTGAGGTTCAGTAGTCGTGAAATTAAACTTATCGATCAAATCAGAGTCAGAGCTCATACCTAAACTATAATCAGGGCCTAAATTAAATAATTTTGACTCAAATTTAACATTTGAATCTTTGACATCAAATATCTGTTCATCGATTTCATAGACAGAACGCTTTATATCTTCTATTTGATTTAAAAGCTGATCCAATTTAGCCACAGTATTGTTTCCAATCGGTTTAAAAGATGGTGTTTGAAATGAACTCGAATCGTAATCCAATCCATTATCTGTTAAATTGAAAGCCAATTCTGATGCCCCCGAAGACAGTGAAGGTGTTTGAGACCAATTAACAAATGGTGTCGATGTTATCATTTTGTATTGTATTTTAGTATCATTTAAATTATTGGATAAATCGATATTTTCATCAAAAATGTTAATGTTTTCAAAATCTTCTTCAGCGCCCACTTTTGCAAAACCAAATGGAAGATACTTAAGCTTTTTCTTCTTCTTCTTGTTTGACATCAATTTGTAACAAATAAGAGATCCAAAGCCAAGAAGTAAAACCAGTGAAGAGAGTTTAACTATAAATATCAAATAAAAAACAATATTATTTATCAATTAATTATAATCAATGCAAAAAAACCTTCACTGAAGACATTGCTATCTAAAAGATGTCCACAATTAGGACAAATAGTGCAATCGTTTTGAAAAAATAATGAAAACTCTACGGAAGAGATGGATATTCTGAGATCAGACACCGATAACATATCTATTGGTCACCACTGGTCACTATCGGCATTATAGCCATCACTTCAGTCACTATCACTTCATGTTTTTTCTCTAATTAACTAATTATAACTACATTTTGATTTTATTTAAAACTATATAATATTTATAAATCATATTTTGATTCTTATATTTATGATAATAATGTTAACAATAATTATTAGATAAACAAAACAATGAAAACACATTCAAATATTTCATTTACTTCTATAGTCACAGAGTCTATGAGTCGATGCTATCATTCAATCGATTACTTATTATATTTACAAAACATAACTCAATAGTCAATGCAATTCATTGACTGTTTTGACTGCTATTGACTTACATTTGCTTTCATTGCATTTGTTTGTTGACTGGATTTTCATTAATATTATTGTAGACTTAAATAGTATTAAATAACTAATAATATACCAAATATTCATACAATAAGTCTATATTTGATATTTAAAATTATGAAAACACACATTAAGGCCAATCAAGACATAAATAAAAAAACAAATAAAACGTATTTATCATTCAAACTGAAGACCAAAAAACTGACCTCATTTTGCATCAGTTAAGGTATGGTTAGATACGGGTTAGACATGGGTTAGGTATGGGTTAGACATGGGTCACACTTATTTGAATCTCTAATACAAACCTATTGCTATTAGTTATTATAGCAAATTATCATATGATATGTTAATTTATAAATAGTATCAATCAATCAATTTATACATTATTTAACATTCATATCAATTATTCATATTATTTATACACTACTATACTGTATAGTGATTGTAATGACATTACAAACAAAATCAGTTTGAATATTGAATATATAAAATCCAAAATGTTATTTTAATACTTACTTATTATTGTCATAATTAATAAAAGTTAATATTAGTTATTATTTTTAATAAATAAATAAACATTAATTAAAAACCAAATGAGATATTATTTATTGAAATGTGTTTTCAAAATCATTTAAAGCTCCCAATCATTACTCCTATTGGTTAATGCATTCACTTTAGGGATCATATATACAGTACATTATACTACTGTATATAATGAATAAAACTTTTTTTGTACGTCTATTGTAATATCAAATAAAGTTTTATCTAAAATATTCTAAAATTATAGCAATTTTGGACAAATATAATAGAAATTTATTATAAATTTACTATAAATTTCCAATAGAAAATTTCTACAGTTTACATTATTATTATACTAATAATTTTTAAAAAATATGAATATTATTAATGAATTCAATTGTAATATAAGATCTCAAATATTAATATGAATTTATCGTAAATTACAACAAACATTGTCTTAAAATTAATTAATATCACGTATTAAATATAAGCACAAAATCATTTACAAACAAACAAAAAATTAATACATTTTATTATACGATTGTTTCATCATATAATAAATAGTATAAAAGCAATCGTATAATAAAATGTATTAATTTTTTGTTTGTTTGTAAATGATTTTGTGCTTATATTTATTTAATTTTTATGTTATTATACAATAAATTTACTGTTTATTATTATTATGATTGTTAGCAATTTGATTATACAAATTACTATTATAATATATGATACTAATGTACTGTATAATAGTATACTACGATAATCTATTTTTTTCATTTAATTTTATAGTTGACTTTTTCTAGCAGTCTATTATTAGTCTATTAACTAATTAGTTTTACAATTAATAAAAAATGATCAATAATTACAATATTGTTTAATTTAATATTATCAATAACTATATAATTTGTTTTTTTAATTTTAATTAAATTTTAAGTATGTTTGATATACAGTACAGTTTTAAGATTGTCTCTTATAATTAGAGCATTTATTTCACAAATAACTTATATTTTTTGTGATTAAAGATAAATTTATTAACAAAATAATTAGATATATAAACGATTGATTGAAAACTAATAATTATGGCAAAAGTTTTAGTCACATAAACACATATAACAACATATTTTGAAAGGTAGTCACATATTATCAAATATAAGCACATATTTCACATATAAATATAAAATAATGGAAAATAATAACTAAATTACATTTTTCTTATTTTTTTCTATTATCAATATATGTATTATTGTGTTGAATATTTAAAAATAAATAATCATTTTATGAATTTATTATAGATTATTACTATTTGTTAATTTTAGACAAATACTTTAACATAATATTTATTTTTTTTAATTCTACTAATTTCTAATGTCTACTAAAAGACAATAGGATTTAAAGATTTATTTATATTGATTTTAATTCTACTAACAGTTTAAAAGTTGTATAATTTTAATTAATGTATTTAAGTATAAATAAGAAAAAACTGAAATATTAATTAATTTATCAATTTTTAAATTTTTATTAAATATAAGCACATATTTTGACTATTTTAAGAAAATATAATCACATATTTTCATGTTTTTAAGCAAATATTTCATTCAATAAAACACTAATTTTAGTCACATATACTAAAGTTAGTACTTATAATACAAACCGAGACTTAAGATTCAAATTGTATTATAAGATTACATGTGTTAACAATTTATTAAACTTACTATTATTTATGTAATTATTATAATGTATGACAAAACAGATATTGCTTTTTACCTATTGATTAACATTTTGTCTGTTATTACAGTACAGTATGTTATAGACAGCAATACAGCAATATTTACTGTACTCTAAATAACACACATTTAAAGGTCACGTGTTTTGTTGTATACATTCATATGTCTTACCATTAATACAAACATTAAGACAATGGATTTGTTTGATGTCTTTGACACCGATAATAGTCAGACAATTGACCACAAGAAACGAAAACTTGACGAAGAAGAAGAAAAGGAATGTCATCAAGTGTTAGATCAAGTGATTGGACAACAAATTAATAAGAAAGTCAAGTCAACCGATGAAGAAGATGTCCAAATTATCGAAGTTGACGAACAAAACAATGATAATAATGAAGATTCTGAAGAGAAATACGAAGAAATGGTTCCCAAAACAAAATGTCATTCTTTAGAGGGACGTGAATCCTGTGTTCACGAAGTGGTCATTCCTACAGATCTTGAATATGTAGCGCTTCGGGAATCGCATCAAAATGCTAACTATAAGGCGGCAAAAGAGTACGCATTTGTTTTGGATCCGTTTCAGACAGAGGCCATACTTTGCATTGAAAACAATCAAAGCGTTTTAGGTATGGGTTTAACATTACGTTGAAATTTTATTTGAAATTTCATTGTCTTTATTTCTAATAGTGTCCGCTCACACATCCGCTGGTAAGACTGTTGTTGCCGAGTATGCAATTGCTATGTCTTTAAGAGACAAACAACGAGTCATATACACGACGCCAATCAAAGCACTCAGTAATCAAAAATATCGCGAATTTCAAGAAGAGTTTCAAGATGTGGGTCTTATTACTGGAGATGTGACTATAAACCCAACGGCTTCTTGTCTTATAATGACGACTGAGATCTTAAGATTAATGTTGTTTCGCGGCAGTGAAATCATGCGTGAAGTCGGTTGGGTTATCTTTGATGAAATACATTATATGAGGGACAGGGAGAGGGGTGTAGTTTGGGAAGAAACCATCATTTTATTGCCTGATTCTGTTCATTATGTGTTTCTTTCGGCTACCATTCCTAATGCCAGACAATTTGCTGAATGGATCGCACACTTGCATCACCAATCATGTCATGTTGTTTACACCGATTATAGACCGGTTCCATTGCAGCATTATATTTACCCATCGGGTGGGGACGGACTTCATATGGTTGTCGATGAAAGTGGCAATTTTAGAGAAGACAACTTCAATCTCGCAATGAATGTCTTACAAAACGCTGGTGACGCCGCCAAAGGAGATGTTGCTATGAGGGGGCGTAAGGGAGGCATGAAAGGTATGACGTTTTTTCATTTTCTTTATATTACCGGTAAATAATTATAATTTTTATTAATTTATTTAAAGGTGAATCAAATTGTCTGAAAGTGATCCGAACTATAATGGAGAGGAATTTAGCGCCGGTTATTGTCTTTAGCTTTAGTAAGAAAGAGTGTGAATCATATGCATTGCAAATGAGTAAATTGGACTTTAATTCAAGTAATTTAAACACTTTTCTAACATTAAATATTTGTAGCATTTTTAAGAATTTGTTATTTAAGGTGAAGAAAAAGAGTTAGTCGAAGAAGTATTTAATAATGCAATCGATGTATTAAGTGATGACGACAAGAAACTACCACAGGTTTGTTGTTTACATTACCATACGGTAATAGTATTGAAAATAATCAATTGCCGTAATTAAATGTACGGTACATTAAAAATTGTTGATTACATACAGGTTGAACATATATTACCACTTCTTAAAAGAGGAATTGGTATTCATCACTCGGGATTACTTCCAATAATTAAAGAAACGATTGAAATTCTTTTTGGCGAAGGATTAATTAAAGCCTTGTTTGCAACCGAAACATTTGCAATGGGTCTCAATATGCCGGCCCGAACTGTCGTCTTTACAAATGCCCGAAAATTTGACGGAACAGATTTCCGATGGCTTACTTCAGGAGAATACATACAAATGAGTGGACGTGCCGGTAGAAGAGGTCTGGATGAAAGAGGAATTGTTATTTTGATGATCGACGAGAAGATGAGTCCATCTGTTGGCAAAGATTTGGTTAAAGGCGCTTCTGATCCAATCAACAGTGCCTTTCATTTAACTTATAATATGGTTTTGAATTTACTTCGAGTTGAAGAAGTAAATCCCGAATATATGCTTCAACACAGCTTTTATCAATTTCAACATTACTCACAATATCCACAACTTCAACAAAGTTTGTTTTAGATTTATTTAATTATTGTGTTGTAATTATCAATAATTTTTTATTTTAAACAGAATTGGAAGAACTTCAGAAACAGCACAATGAGATCAATGTTTCAGACGAACATAATGTTACCGAATATATTAAACTTAAAGATCAAGTGAATGGTTTATCGCAAGACTTTCTTCAATATATAACAAGTCCTCGATATATACTTCCATTTTTGACTTCGGGACGTCTTTTAAAGGTAAATAACACTTTTAAAATATTTTATTATCAATTTATTGTATACTTTTTTATTTATATATCTGTAATATCTTTTATGTTTATTTTGGTTAACAGATTAAATCCAATGAAGATTTGGATATGAGTTGGGGAGTCGTTGTAAACTATAACAAAAAAGTTATCAAAAAGAGATCTATGAATCCGGCGCTCGAAGAATCGACATTTTATACGATTGATATTCTTTTAAATTTAGCTAAAAATATTGATCCTAAAACTGATGCCATATTTCCACCTAATGATGGAGAGAAAGGAGAAATGAAAATAGTGACCATAAGTTTAACTAATATTACTCATATAAGTTCTCTCAGAATATTTATTCCTCAAGATCTTAGAAGTCTTGACAACAGACAATCGGTTTTTAAATCAATAACTGAAGTCAAAAAACGATTTACTTCTGAAGACAAAAAAGTTAATATTCCTCTTTTAGATCCAATCGAAGACATGAAAATTAGCGACAAAGAGTTCAAAGGAATAGTCAAGAAGTTAGAAATATGTGAAAAAAGGTTAACAGGATTTTGTAAAATTGATTCAAAAGCTGTTGAGTTACTCGAGAAGAAGGCTAAGATATCCGATGATATTAAAAAAGTTCGACAAAACTTGAAAAAAGCTCAAAGTTTACTACAAATGAATGAATTGAAATGCAGAAAAAGAGTCATAAGAAGACTTGGCTATTGTACGGCTGCCGATGTCATTGAAATTAAAGGTCGGGTCGCGTGTGAGATAACCAGGTATTGTAGTGTTTATATAACTGTACTCAATATTACCGATAATTATATATTAATAATTAATATTTTTACTTCTATTAAGTGGCGATGAATTACTATTGACAGAAATGTTATTTAATGGTGTATTTAATGATCTTAATGTTCACCAAATTTCTGCACTCTTGAGTTGTTTTGTATTTGAAGAGAAGACACAACAATTACCAAAGTTGACGGAAGAGTTAGCCAAACCATTGCGAACAATGCAAGAGTTGGCAAAACGTATCGCAACGGTTTCAATTGAAGCCAAACTAGATTTAGATGAAAATGCTTACATTGAAAAATTTAAGCCCAACTTAATGGATGTCATCTATTGGTGGACCAAAGGCGCCACTTTTGCACAGTTATGTAAAATGACCGACGCTTTCGAGGGTTCAATCATTCGATGTATGAGAAGATTAGAAGAGTTATTGCGCCAAATGTGTCAATCGGCTAAAGTTATCGGAAATACTGATCTCGAAAATAAGTTTTCTGAAGCAATCAAATTAATTAAGAGAGACATTGTATTTGCTGCCAGTCTTTATCTGTAATCATTTTTTTCAATTCATTTAAATATGTAATACTGTACTGACATTTCTAATAAATATTTTTATGGTTATTTAACTATGAAATTTATAAATTATATTAAATAAATAATAATTATTATTGCTTAATAATAACCGGTAATATAAAACATTAATTTTCTTACCTTTAACTTATAATGGATAAAATTATTCAATTGTTATGGTATTTATACATTTAGCACATATCAGTAATAAACAGTAAAAAAAACTTTCAATTTACAGTAGATTACGGTATTTTATTACTAGTAGATATTTATTGAACAAAAATTATACTACCGGTAAATGAAAATGTTTTCAAATTTACACAAAAATTAATGAAACATTTATAAAATGACATTTAATAAACATTTATAAAACACTAAATGTGTTTAATTAATAATTATCGACAAATAATTTGTGATTAGATTTCCTGTAAAATAAAACACATAAATCATAAATGAAATCAAAAACAACTCTTTACTAAATGTTAAAACATTTATACCGAAGAATCCGAATCAGAGTCCGAATATTTTTTCGATTTTTTCTTTTTGTTGTCGGAATCATTGTCCGAATCAATTTTCTTTGCCTTTTTATTGCCGGCATCTGAATCATCATCTGATGACAACTGCTTCTTCTTAGTCTTTGATGATTTCGGTCGTTCATCGGAATCGTTATCCGAGTCTGAGCTGCGTTTCTTAGTCTTCTTTTTTGATGTTTGTTTCCGTTTGTCTGTTGACTCTTGTGATTCGTCATCTGAATCATCGATGTGTTTGATTGCTTTGTCAATCTTTGGCAACTGTGCCGTCAATTTGTTCCACTCTTCCAACGACAAACTAATTCCTTTCTTTCCCGGTTTTCGGTCTCCATTATCATCGAAATAAAACTCTCGGATATCGACTCTGGTCTGACCTCTGAACTCAGAGACAGTAATGAAACGGCTTTTACTTAATTGATATGATTTGTCGTTTGAAGAGCTCGTGTTGCCTGAGATGACATCAAATGGTTTAACATTAATAACAGTAAATATCATTAGATCTCTATTATAATCACTTACTCTTTGAGTAATTGCCTTTAGATTTGAATCCTCTGTAAGACATTATGTCGAGTGATAATCAATTGATCCGATGATGTCTTCACTTCAGTTATACTCTAATAGTCTTTCACTTTGTATACAATAAACCCTTCAATCATAACGTTATCAATATTTGTGTTAAAAATATATTCATTCATATATTATGTCGTATTTACTGTATATGTGTAATACAATTAACAATATTATGATTTCATTATTAATTATAATCTAAATTCTGTATTAATATATATTTATAAATAATTAAATTTAATGTTTTCCCATATCATAAATATCAGAGAAATGTCAATCATTAATATATTTAAATATTTACTACAGATGTTAGGGGACATTGGATGACATTATAATTTATAATATTAGTGTATATTTACCGGTAATAATTTTAAGACAACTAATTTAATGTTACCGTAGTTTAAAATTATAATTACAAAAAGTGACAAAAATTAATTCAAAACCATTTATTAAATTTCAGACCACATTTCAAATACATATTATTAGTCAGTAATATAAATTAAACCGACTCTTGAACAGGAGGTTCATATCCCTCAGGTCTATCCACTTTCATGGGTTCTTCTCCGGGAACAGCAGTTGTAGTGGTCGTTCCTTTGCCTTCGCCGTGTATTTCAAGAAGTTTTCCCAAATCAAACTTCGGTTTCTTCAAAACTTTCACTTTGCGGATCATAACGTCATGCAATGGATATATTGATTGACAGGTCTTTTCAATATCTTTAGCAATAGAGTCGGGAATCAATTTGTTGACAACCTCTTTAAGGTCGCTGTTCTGAACCTCGCGTGTGATGATATCAGTCATACGTTTACGGATTTGTATGACTTGCGTGTGTTGAGCGTATGATGTCTTCTTCACTTGGTTTTGCCATTTTCTGGTGAAACCGATGGCAAACACTCGCAATAAGTATCCATCAGTAGTACGGACATCAACGTTGGCCTCAATCAAAGTTTGCCACTTTTTAACCATTGATCTTAACTTATCGGTCGTTAGATCCATACCATGAAAGTTGGTCAACACTATCCTTCCCTGAACTTCTTCTGCAATCAATCGAAACTTCTTGTATGCGATCTCATCGTTCTGCAAGTCAGCCAACGAACACTCGAAGACTCGTCCCTTAAGACCTTCGGAAGCAATTCTGGTTCCCTGTGTTTTGTTGACCAGAGTTTTGCCGACGTTTCTCACCGAAAACATTGACGGACTCTTGACATCGTACCACTCTTTACGAGTAAATGGATCCACAATTTTCTTTTTGATACCTTTTTTGCCGCCTTTGGCCAAACCTTTATTCTTTCCGACGGCCATTGATCTGATCTGTTGGCAAACCTATGAATCAAATCAAATAAATGACAACAAATTCAACACAAACTACACGTTTAGTCAAGACTTTGACGGAAAAGGAAACACTTGTATCAGTCATTCATCACATATTACGTTACAATACAATGGGTTTCAATAATACTGTTAATACTGTTTGCAGTATAAAGTGTACGCTTTTTTCAATTAAATTTATAACTTTTAAAACTAAATTTATTAATTACCGGTTATTACTACAGTATTTTAAACTATTATATAATACAGTACTTAAGTTAAGTTACAGTATTTTAGTAAAGCATTATAAATTTAAACGACTTATAAAAGTTTTATTTAATTTTTAATATAAGTTATGAAACTGTATTTATAATTACTATTTTGTAATTTAATTAATCAGTATTGAGTAGTGATTTTTATAGGTATATATATATAACTAAAATTTATAAAATATACAGAATATATTCCTCTCTCATATCTACTAATATATTATTTTATTTTATTTTGTTATTACTGTCATATTTAAGATATTTGTGAACTTTAAATTAGATTTATTCTTAGTACAGTATATTGTTAAAACTTTGCATAATTTTAAATAATATTTTATCGCAAATTATTAAAAAATAAATAACTTAATTAGTATTATTTAATATAATACCTTTAACATAACGCAATGCCTTATTACTTATTACATATTGTTAATGCATTTTTAATTATTTAATTACTTTACTACTTTTACTTACTTACTAAAACTTTTAAACTTAACCAACTATAAAAATAATTAATTAATTTTAATAAATATATCTATAAGAAAACTACAATTATCTAAACTTAAGTTTATAAAAGATCAAATTATGCAATGATGTGTGATTATAGGAAATAGTAATTGAATTTTGATTAATATTATCAGTACTACTAATTTAACGATATATAAGAAAACAATACACAATGTATTACACATTATTGGTGTATATAATTAATTGACGGAATGATATAAATTTAATTTATAAAAAAATTAATTCCCAATTCTTTGCTTTTCCTCTATTATCAACAAATTCTTATGATTTCCATGTTTTTTGTTACAATTATTTTTAAAGATATAAATTAATTTAATTAAATTTAGAATATATAACTATTTTGTTGTCGCTGTAAATGAGACAAAAATATTTGCAAATATAAGTTTGAAACAAATTTGAATAAATTTTTACGATTAGCAAATATATATATATATTAGCATTTGTTATTTTAAGCAATATTAAATATTTAAATGTATTTTAGTTTACTATATTATATTAAATTGTTAAAATGTAGTTATCTGGCAACACTATATCATGCAAAGTGGGTGTAATCATATGCATGTATTGATTGGACAATTTTGATGTGCTATAGACTATAGACTCTATAGTATAGAGCCTTAAAGGTATGTTTGGTTTTGTATGAGTTGTGTCTGAGTTTGTGCTGACGAGAGGTCATCAGTGAATCATAATATCAATCGATGGTATAAATGTTGATTAGTTGAAGATATGGTAGACTTGTCTGGAAATCCCGAGTCTGGCGGACCTATAGAACATGGATTCAGTAATTGGGTGTTTATAGTGCCCGCACTCATCACCGCATCGCTCGTCGGTAGGCATACTATGCATACATATATACATATATATACATACCTGTCATATATTATATTATTAATTAATTAATTAATTAATTATATATATATTGTATATAATATTATTATATTATATTATATTATCATTTCTTCTATATATTACTTTTAATTAACATTTAGTTAATTAGCTAATGTTTTGACAAAACAATTGTTTTATGAAATATTTGTCAAAAAATATTAATTTAAAAATAAGTTAAATGAAAAACAGGTGTTTTTAGTTAAAATTAATAATAAAATAAATGAATTGACAAAATGTTATGAGAGGTAAAAATGAATGATTTGTAACATAAATGCAATTGAATTAAATTGTTATCCAATTAAATGATGAATTGTTATCTCATTGATGACTATTCAGTAACTCTTGGTTTCAATTTAACACTATTTTCAGTTTAAATCAATACACGTTTGCATTTGTGTTAAGTTAAGGTCATTGAATGCCTTTTAAATCATATTAAAAGTTATGTTAAACTGCTTTTAAACATCACTTGTGTTGTACAACGTGTTCAAAATAATAGACACTTAATTAAACGTTTAGTGATTTTTATTTTAATTGACTTTAATTAACATATTGTCAACAAAAATGAGTTTAATGTTACTATTAATTTTGATACCACTTATAATTTTAGGTATTTTCTTGTATATTGTTTAAAATCAGTGATTCTTATGATTTATAAAATTATATAAACATAAAAAATATGATGAAATTGAAATATTTTGTGTGAATAGGTTTTTTCTTTTACAAACTGATCCAAAGTTTGATGGACAAGGAAAAGAAGAAAGAAGAGAAAAAGAAATTAAAGGCACAGAAGAAGGACAGCTCGAAGAAGAAGACCAAATGACACCATATATTGACATTGATATTGAAATTTGATAATTAAATTATCATATTTTATGTAGATTTGTAATTAATTAAATTAATTATTAAGGGAAACATCATTTGAATTGCTTATAACATTCCATTCAATCAATATCTTCCACTAAATTATCAATTTATTATAAATTATCGCAAAAATAAATTTCTTTTATATATTTTTTAAGTAAATTTCTTATTTTTTCAAATAAATTGTTTCAAATAATTTTGTTTTATTGATATTCTATTAAAATATTTAGTAAATTATTGATTATCACTAATTTATATTATAATCAATAGAAAAACGAAACCATTTCCGATAAATTCAGATGTTTTCACTTATTTTATTGTTATAACAATTATAATACAGATTTTCAATTCAATATATTCCTATTATTAATATAAATAAATTAATAATTGTAATAAAATTGGTCTACTTTTTATAAAATAATTTAAATAAAAACTAAAATTTTTAGACAAACTTATTGAATGATAAAACACTTATATTAACTATTTTAGTGATTTATCACTTTATTATAGCTATTGATTAAAAATTGCAATAATTTGTATATTTGTTTGTTATCTCATATAAATATTTTTTTCAAGATATCTATATTATACTAATTTATAGATATTAATGATTATATAGTAATTTTGAATATCTATTTTAATAATTTATACAATATATTTACATTAATATTGATTATATATTATTGATTTAAAAATATAATATAATTAAATTGTTGTTTTATTAAAATTAATACTGTATTTACTAATAATAATTATTACATTTGTATAATAGTTAGGTCATCTAATAAGTTAGAAATAATATATTTATTTGGCATGTATTGTATAAGTTTGTAAAAATATTTAATAGAAATGACATTAAATTGTTATCAATAATATTGTAATCATTAATATATTTTAATAATCAAACAGTAATTTCATATTTTATACGACTATTACTACTCTATTAATATAATATAATTCATTAAATAATTGATATTAAAGTAAATCAACAAATAATAGATTTTGTAATAAACTTTTGAAGACCTCTAACATTAATTTAATATTATAAACATCTCTACAAAATATAGACATGAAATGGCATTCATTTTGGTTTTATTCGATTAATTCATACATTGAATGCATTGAATGATTGATTCAATTATTGAATAATTAAGTGTTTGTTTAGTTATTATTGATATAATAACTGGTTTTCAATTGATTTGCATTTTAGTTATAATTTGAATCAATTGTATCACTAAATGGTTTGTTAAGACAATGTCTGAACAATTGGTATGACTTTATATGATAGCAATGATGACAACAATTAATGATTTAATTGATTTTTATCAGCAAATCACCAATAATTGGGTGACTGTCGAGTCAACCGATTGTATGGATACCACAAACAATGAATATCGGGACTCACGGGACAAACATGTGGCCAATAAAGACTCGGCGATTGATGCCAATGGTGGTGATTGTGGGACCAAATCAGGTAATGTTGTGATTGATGGTGTGGTTGTTGGGAAGTCCAGGTTTTATGAGATAAGTGGTCCCTTTGACAGACTTATTGATTATTATTTGTATTGTTTGCTATCAATCAATAGCTTTGTTATCATTCATTGATTGTATGTTTAAGTTAAACAAAATTTACCGATTATTGACTTGAATTGATTTGTCATTCAAAGAAACATCAATTAAATGATATCAGGTATACCAGTGTTAACAATCTTAATGGTAATGTATTAATCAATTGCATTGTGATATCATTATTAAAATAATTTAGTTTTGTTTTTAAAGTGAAAAATTTCGTCATTTTATAAAACGATGTAATGAAGCCATCGATGGGTAAGCAAAGGGTTTTGTCTGAATTATTAGTAAATTTGAAATACTTTTATTGATAAGAAAATGATTGTTTGCTAATTGAATGATTGGACACAAGAAATGTGTTTTTTAATTAATTAGTAAGTATTGGTATATATTTATATAATAAAATTGTAGTTATGGTATAATTTGTGGTTATTTATTGGTGAGATCACCACAAACAGGCAAAATGCACATCAAATCTGTCCCTCTTTTCTCTCTTAAAACCCGGACTTTCGCTGAATAAGAGTAATGTTTGGATTCTTTAATTGATTTCGATTTATAAATCTGTTATCTTTTGATAATTGAATACAGATTCCGATTCAGAGACTGATAGAAGAAAACGCAAGAAGTCTAAGCATAAGTCAAAATCAAAGAGAAGGAGACATAAGTCGTCATCGAGTTCTAGCAGTTCAGAGTCAACGGATTCGAGTGATTCTGAAGATGATCGCAAAAGACGAAAAAAGAAATCTAAGAAACGTAAGCACAGATCGTCGTCGAGTTCGAGTTCAAGCTCTGATTCGTCTGATTCAAGTGAATCAGAAAAAGAGAAAAAGAAACGAAAGAAAAGATCAAAGAAAAAGAAATCAAAGAAACATAAAAAAGATAAAAAATCTTCAGACAGTAAAAGGAAAGCAAAAGTGAGTAACGAAGAGAAGAAAAAAGTTAAAGAAGAACCAGAAGTGGAATTCGTGACCGTTATGTCTGTCGGAAATTTACCCATTGAACTGAAATGGCCTAAAAATCTAATTAAATTTACAATAACTGAACCTATTTTACAGCATAGCATTAATCCTAAAGTAAACATAAATCCCGATGACTTCAAACACTCGGCAGTGTTTGACAAAAGAAATAATTGTGAAAATGAGTCCAAAGAAAAGTTAAACTCAGAATATGAAAAATTTATCGGCGAATTGAATCCAGTTTCAGGTGTTAGTAATAACGACGATTCACATGAAATGGAAATAAAATTGAGAGAAAAATTAGTTAAACAATTGAATGATAAAAGAAGTCATCAAAATCATGACTCAGATCGAAGAAATTCAGATAAGAAGAAGTCTGATTTGATTGATGACCACCGAAGACGAGATGATAGATCACCAAATGCTCAAAGAAGTCCATCGCATAGGAGCCATAAATCTGAGAAACATGACTCTAGAAGTAATAAGTCACACGAAAGAGATAGTCTTCATAAAACAAATAATAGTATTAGCGATCGCTCGCATAGTTATCACAGTTTTGATAAAAAGCATTCTAAAGATTATTCAAATACTTCAGACAAAAATTTAGACGACAAGAAGAGAACTGCTCGAGAATTGTTGGAAAAAGTTAAACAAAAGAAAGATTTAAATAAAGAAAAAGAAGACAAAACTAAAAGTAAAGAGATCTCATCCCATAAAAGTAAGGGTTTACCACAAACAGGCAAAATACCCGAGAAAAAGAAGTGGCTCTCAAAGACTAAAACTGCTACGACTACTACCACCGCAAACGCTGACTCTTCTCAAAGCACTTATGTGTCGCAACCAATGAAACTTAATATGAATTTTGATTACAATTGGTATTATAATTATTATTATAACTCATTGTATGGAATGGCTCAATACCCGCAAACCAATGACCCAACATTGGCCTCAGCCTATTACGCCCAGTATTCTATGGCCACGAGTTATGATTACAGTCAAACAGATTTAACTAATTGGGTCTCAGAAAGAGGTTATTCCATTGAAACACCACATAATGAGCAACAAATTGAAAGTAATACTAAAGAAAATAATGAAAATAACATTCAAAATGGAGAACAAACTATTTTGACGGGTGTTGTGTCAGATGTGATTGAAAACAATTCAACTCTTATTTCTGATGTAATATAAATTATACTTTTGTTTAAATGATTAATGTGTTTAATATTTTACTATTTTTTGTAGATAACTATTAAAGAAGAAACGACTGACACTGATAGCCATAAAAAAGAAATTATGAAAGAATCAGATGAGACAAATAGCGGACAAAAAATAGAAACTTTAGTCTCAACAATATATCCAGACATAACTTTTGATGAGTTGACTGCAGAAACCAAAAGTGAAAATCAATTAGAATTGACTCCAATTTCTTCATTATTGAATCCTAAAGTAAATGTGAGAGAAACAGACAATTCAATAGATAATGAAATGTCAGAACCAAATAGCCCGCCTCCGCCACCAGCGTTACCTCCCAGACCTCAAATAAAGACAATGATATCATCCGAGTCAATAACACTTCCTAACGGTGAAGTATTGCCTCCCGGAACCAAACAAATAATAGTTCCTCCATATGTTCATCCAAATCAATCTGAAGATCCCACAAAATTTACGGCCGATTGGTATTATAATGCGTTTAATGGACAAAACACGGCACAAACTAATGTTTCATAAATTTACTCATTTAAAACAAATTGAAATTTAAGATAAATATAAACTTTATTAAAAATTTATCGTAAAATATTGTATAATAAACTTAATTTAATATTTTCTTAATTTAAAATAACAAATAAAAACATTGAGATTGCATTATATATCAGTATTTTGTGAATACTTATGGACAGCGTTTACAAAAACTGCTAAATTATCGGGATTTACGTCGGGATATATTCCGTGACCCAAATTAGCAATATATCTATTGGTCCCAAAACTTTCAATCATATCTTTAACTAATCCTTCAATTTGCTGACTGTCGGCATAGAGAGCACACGGATCGAGATTTCCCTGAAGAGTAACCGATTGTCCGGCTAATTGTCGGCCTCTCGACGGCTCAATAGTCCAGTCAATACCTATCACATCATATTGTGAATGACTTAGAGATTCAATGGCAAAATGACAATCTTTAACAAAAATAATCATTGGAACCGTTGGTAAATTCAGATCAGTTAATGACTGTTTTACAGAACTACTGATTTGTTGAATGAAAGGAAGTGAAAATTGGTTAAATAATTTCGGTCCCAAAAAGCCAGCGCTAGACTCAAAAACTTGAAGTAACTGAGCGCCAGCCTTGACCTGAGACACTAAGTACTTGATTACGACATCTGTTAATAACTTTAAAAGTCGGACACTCTCTTCGGGGTATTCATACAACCATTTCTTAGTTTTAGACAACGTTTTAGAACCGCCGCCTTCAATCATATAACCCATGAGAGTGAATGGGGCGCCGGAAAAGCCTATTAGCGGGACTTTTCCTTCGAGTTTATGTCTGGTCAGAGTTATCGCTTCCATAACATAACTCAACTCTTTTTCCACATCAATATCTTGTTTTAAAAAATCATTAATATTTTGTGGTATTACAAGAGGTTTTGGAAGAACGGGACCAACGGAGGCCACCATTTGTACTTCCATTCCCAATGCTTGAGGAATAACCAGAATATCTGAGAAGATGATGGCGGCGTCCAAATCGAAGCGACGAATTGGCATTAAAGTCACTTCTGCGGCCAACTCTGGTGTGCGACAAATCTCGAAGAAGTCGTGTTTTTGTCTAAATTGTCTAAACTCTTGCAAATACCGTCCCGCCTGACGCATGACCCACACCGGTGTTCGCTCTGTCCGTTCACCTCTCGCCGCACGGATTATTAAATCATTCTTCAGTTCTGCAAATTCTTTATTCATTTCTGTTTTTTGGTACAAATTGTGGTTCAAATAGCAAACACTTGTATTAAACAATTTGTACAACAAATCATATGAACAGTGCTTTCAATGTTTTTTTTCATGCCTTCAATGCCTTCAATGCCTTCAATACCTTCAATGCCATACATTTGGAGACATCTGTCTATTGATCACTCATTTGTCACTTGAATTCAATTCATTCATTCATTACTTAATCAGTCATTTCAATGCATTTGACATTATTTTCAAATTTATAACATATTTAACATTTAATTTAATTAATTTATAATGACTTCACTGTTATTTCAACTCAACTTTTAATTTATATGTTTTGTTGTTCATTATAAATTAATTTTCAAGTTTTTTGTGTAATATTACAAAATACAAAAATATTTTAACACAAATTTACAGTACAATTAAACATCTCATGTAATGAAAACTATTTATTTATTTTTAAATAATATCTTAAAATTAAATTAAACTTGAAATTAATATTTTTTACAATCACAATAAATACAATATTTTAAAAATTGTTTTTAAACTGCTCACATAACAATATTTTTAAAAAATTATAATTTATATTAATATGCAACTTAAATATTTATAAAAAATAAGGTTATAAAAAATTTTAAAATAATATTATTTTAACATAATTCATAAATAATAATTCAATGTAACTTTTTAAATTACAAATAAAAATACTTATTATTATAAATTAAATAAATATATTAACTATTTTTATCAGAAAAGTTAAGAAACGGTTCAAAGTTCAGCTTTAATTTAATCATAAAATTCCTGACAAATAATATTAAAGATTAATGTTTTGCTAACATTAATAGACATTTTTTTATATTATATTTATTATAACTTAAGCAACGTTTTTATATATTTGTTTTTAAATTGTAATAAATTAACGTTAATTAAATTTAATAATATAATATATTATATTTCCTTTATATAATAATTTGTAAAATCTTAAAATAATTTATTTGTCTAAATGTTATTTTGTGCGATGTTTTCTAAAATGTATTACAAATTGTTTACAAAATTAGATTAATTGTGATTTGAAGTCTTTTTTTACTAATTTATTTAAAAAATGACAAGAGATGAGTTGATTTGTGGTCGTATAAACATCGGTGAAGAGGATGAGCTGATTATTGAAGGATATATGCCGTCACACATTCGCACCATTTTCTTCCTAATATTGATTATCATTTCTTGTGGTACTTTGCTTATTGTCATCTCATGGAAACCATCACTAAGAATAAGATTGACTCACAGCCGGTGTTCATTAGATCAATCAAATTCTGTTATTTTAAAAGTAAGTTTCAATATTTCAATAATATTTATAATTACCTGAAAAAAGTTTAGGACATATTTGGTGAAGAATACGTGGAAAAAGTTGAAAAAATGATTCAGGGATGTAATAGTGCCGCCAATTGTATACATTTTTATCATAAAAAAATTAAATACATTTGGAGAATGGAAATCAATCAATTTGTTAAATTAAAGTATTGTTTTTTTTAATTTTTATATACTATAAATGTATTGCAATTTACAATTTAAATAAAATAAAAAGTTATTTATAACTATTCAGAGGATTGGAATCGAGTAAATGTGGAGTAATTTATTCAATGATTGAAGGCTTAAATACTAATGAAGTTTTTCTTCGCACACAACTATATGGACTGAATTCAATATTAGTTGAAATTAAGCCTATTTTCAAACTTATCATAGAAGAGGTATTTAACTAATTTTTCTAAATAATTGTTTTACATATTAAACATTGAAAAAATTAAATTAATTATTAGATTTCGGGACCATTTTATATCTACCAAATGTTTATATTCACAATTTGGATGATTCAACTCTACTATCAATTTTCAGTTTGCGTTTTATTACTTTCAATATTTTCGGTTTGACTTTTAATAATAATAATAATACTAACAGTAATTTTTGATGATTTAAAAAACAATTTTATATTTATATTTAGGTTACTCTTCATGTTTGGCAAACAAGAAAAGTATTCAGAATTTCTTAATTTATTTAAAATTAAAAATTTTAATTAATTATAGCAATCGTTAGCACTGAAGAAGAAGGTCCACTCAGAATCGGAAATAACTGTTATAAGAGATGGAAGTTCTGTAAAGCGAATGTCCAAAGAGTTGGTTCCGGGAGATGTCATACTATTGTCCACTTCAAGCAAGTGCTTCACTATGGAGTGCGATGTAGTCCTCATGAGTGGCAACTGTATTATGGATGAGAGTATGCTTACCGGTGAAAGTGTTCCCATATCTAAAGTATCGCTAACTGACGATTTAAGTTCATTATACTCTCCAATGACACACAAAATAAATACATTGTTTTGTGGCACAAAAGTTCTTAGCGTACAATCAAGTGATTCTCATTATGTCAAAGCTATAGTTGTGAGAACAGGTATTATATTTGCAAAACTTGTAATTATTTATAAATAATATTTTATATAAAAATATTAATTTTTAATTTAAGGATTTTTCACAACAAAAGGAGAGTTAGTACGAAGTATATTATTCCCAAAACCCGTTAATTTTAAGCTTAAAAATGATTTATTAAAATGTATGACAATATTCTTTTGTTTGGGGATTCCGTGTATGGCTTATACCACTTACTGTTTCTTGCAATACGGGGTAAAACTTTTCAATTTATTTTAATTTTATAAAAAATAATTTATTAATTTAATGTCAACATAACATTTACATATTTGTGAAAATAAGTTTTAAAATATTGTTTATTTTATAATAAGAAGTACTGATTATTAATTTAATTTGTATCTCAGGCCCGTATCGGTGATATAGCAATAATAGTGTTGGATGTGGCCACTTTCCTGGTGCCTCCATTATTACCGGCAGTGATGACCAGTATTAATGCACACTCACAGAGACGGCTCAGTAGTAAAGGTGTGTTTTGTCTCAATTCAAATGCTATCAGCAGTTGTGGTGGCATTGATGTCATGTGTTTTGATAAGACGGGAACTTTAACCGAAGATTCAATAAATTTGTTGGGCGTTATACCAGTTAATGACAAATCATTTACTCCTCCCGTTCGTAATATCTCTCAGTTAGATATAGACAGCAAAATATTGCTATCATTGGGCGCCTGTCACTCGTTGAGTGAACACGAGGGCAAAGTAGATGGCGATGGACTGGATTTAAATTTATTTGATACTATAAAATGGGAATTTAAAAGTGATTATTATTCCTATAATAATACAGCTTTTGAAAAAAATCCCGAAAGAATTGTTGGACCAATTGTCGAATGTGTGGACACAAGTCCTGATTTATTAGTTTATGGTATTGTCAAACAATTTCCGTTTGAATCATTACTTCAGCGGTTACTTGTTATTGTGAAACAAGCATTCACTGATCATTATGTGGTTATAGTTAAGGGAGCGCCTGAATTGATTGCTTCGTTTTGCAATCAGACATCACTTCCTGAAGATTATTCAATAGTATTAGAGTCCTATACAAGAGATGGACTAAGAGTATTAGCCACTGCTTCTAAAGAGATTGACGTCAATTTGGAAACAGCTCTTACATTAAGTCGAGACGAACTCGAATCTGACCTCAATTTTGATGGATTTCTTGTATTTCAAAATCCACTCAAAAGTAATACCATTTCTGTATTGAAAACAATAAAGAATGCAAACATTCGCTCAATTATGATAACCGGTGATAACTTATTGACTTCAATAAGCGTTGGCCGAGAATGTGGTCTCATTGATGAATGCGATTCTGTGGTTAAAGTAGATGTCGAGCTCTATGAGAGTCCAAATCTAAATCAAGCTCTTCGTGTTTTCTATAGTTATATAAAACTTCCCGGTTTTAGTGAAAAAATTAATTTGAAAACAAATGGAGGACTTGAAGAAACTCTTCTGCCAAACATTACACAAAATGGTCGATACCATATGGCTATTGAAGGCAAAGTGTTTGATCTTATCCGACAAAATGATTTAAAATTATTGAATCAAATTGTTCATAAGGGAACTATTTTCTCAAGAATGACACCTAATTTAAAATTACAAGTCATTGAAATACTTCAAAAACAGGGACATCAGGTCGGGATGTGTGGCGACGGTATGACATTTGATTAGGTTTTACATTCATTTTTATTATATACTGTATAATAATAATATTGCAAAAATAGGTGCAAATGATTGCGGAGCTCTGAGGACAGCCAACGCTGGCATTTCATTATCAGTGGCCGAAGCATCAGTTGCCTCACCCTTTACTTACAAACAAAAAGACATATCATGTGTACCAATGCTTATAAGTGAAGGCAGAGCTACCCTATCAGCCACTATCGGTGCCTTTAAATACCAAGTTTGCTATTGTTTTGTATTACTCGGAGCTGTTCTCTTGTTATTCTGGGAGGGAAACAAACCATCAGATGGTAAGTCTGATTGAATAAATCATTAGTTTAATTATCAATAAATTTTAATTTATATTTATAAGGAACGTATGTTTTTGTGGATATTATTTTAAATATATTACCTCCAGTTGTATTCGGAACCACCAAATCTTACCCTATTATTGTCAAACAACTCCCGACGCGAACTATTCTCAGTTTTTTGCCTCAATTCTCAATGTATTCATTCATTATATTTCAAGTTATTATATATCTGGGAGTCAAATATTTGACTGTTTCTCAAATTTGGTAAATATATGCAATAAAGTGATAACAAATGATTTTAATTTTTTTGGAAATTAAGTAAATTAATATTATACAGTACTGTAGCTAATTTTTAGCTATATCACAATTAAATAGTGTTAAAAATACATTTAAAAATTATTATTAATAATAAAAGACACTAAAAAATATACAATATATATTGTACTGTATATACTATATAGTGATTAGAGCATTGTTACTATTGTTCTAATATTTATTACATATAATATTATACAATCAAAATTTATATACTTATATGCATTGTTTAAAATTTGTTTAATTAATATGTTATACATTTTATTAAAAGGTATGAACCGTTCAAATTTGAAATATCGCGAACACATACCTCAGAGGCGTCACAAATATCTTTAGCCATCTTCTCTGTAAATATGATTTCTTATATTATTTCAGCCATTATTTTCAGTCCCGGACCTCCTTATAGAAGTGATATCTTTACAAATAGTAATTATGAATACTTTGACATTTGCAACAAATTTTAAAATATTTTATTAAAACAGAGTGGTATTTAGTGGTCGTATTAATTAATTTTGCATTAGTCTCATGTGTTGTATTATATCCACCAAACTTTGTTTTGACATTTTTAAATGTAAGTAAATATTAAAACATAATTTAATAATAATACTTAAACTTTAATATATTATTGAAATTAGTTTAAAGATATTCCCTATCATTTTAAACTAATATTGTTCACGATATCGATTGCAAATTTTATATTCTCTTATATTTGGGAAGTGATTATACTTCAGGGAATTGTATTTAATTTGGTTTTACCAAAACTCAGAGCAATGAGAGGACCCATACATTCATTTGAAAAGATTGAGATTGAAATGGAGTTAAGTGACAGATGGCCTCCAATTACAAACACTTTTGATACCATTTATGAAAATAACAAACGAAAAGAACAAACAAAACGTAGACCTCTGAAGAATAGTCTAAGAAATCAACCAAATGCTTGGGTTATGAGATCAGTCAGTACTGACGAGGAATTGGATCAATACTACCCATCAATTATTGCCACAAATAATAGCTTAGATTCACCGGTGGATACAATGTCTCCAAAGATAACATTTTCAACATTTGGAAACAGCAATAATGAAACAAATATTGTAAATGTCATGAATTCAAGTGTTTAAAAATAAAATTATTATCTATTAATATATTGTCTTATATTATATATACAGTATATTGCATTACTTTACTTTTTGTATATAATTTATATTAATTTTTAATAAAATAAAATAATATAACTATAATATATTCATTGTATTCAAACATTACTTAACTAAATTAATATAATAAAAATTTAACATTAGATATTTGTTTTCAAATACTAACCCTATATTACTGAAGACAATGTCATTATTATTATTATAGTATAATACTGCTGTTAATACTGTATAATACAGTGTATATTATTACTAATAATTTATTAGCTTAAATTATTTAGACATTTATTTAGTTAAATAATTTTTTAAATACAATGAATATACAGTTATATTATATTATTTTATTTTCCAAATGTTGAAAATATTATATAATATAACATATTTTGAGACATTGTATACTAGAGTACTAATATACTAACAATAATTGTATTACTACTGTAGTAAATAATAGGCCGATCGGAAGTTTACCTAACCTGGTGTATGCCTCGCAAACCAATTTTCACTGTAATTGATTTGATAGTATTTATTTTGCAATTGATTTGATAACATTTGTTGTGCAATTGATTTATAGTATTTGTATATTAATTGTATTAATATGTATTAATTTTTATGATTAAAATAATAGCATTATTAAAAATAATATTCTCGCGCTTACCAATAATAACTAATAAGTTATATGTATTAAAGTTTGTTATATTAATGTTATGTTAATGTATGTGAAGTCAGGTATGTTAGGCCAAAATTGAGTAGGTTTTAGGTATTTCCGTACTTTTATTTTTCTCAGTATATGTTATTTAGGACCCAAAGAAATGCTTTCCGTTGAAAAACAGTTTTATCACTTGGACTCTAAACTTCCGATTAACCAAATATTATTTAAAACAGTAAATAACATGTAATTTTATTTATAAAAAATTTAGGAACAAATGTAGATTATAGTCTATAATTTATAGTCAGCCAGTAGAAAATTATTTGCCCCAAACCCATCCCCACCCACCCAACCACTTCCTAACCTCACACTCACCCAAACTAACCTAACTAAATAATAATTAAGTAATAAAACTAACATTTTATATATGTATAATTGCATAAAAAACAAAACTTTTTTGCTGGCTGTCTATAATATACATTTAAGTCAAAATTTATTTGAAATTAAAATTTATTTATTTATATTCATAATACAAATTATTTTGTCACAAAAAAATAACATTAAGTAATTTAAAGTGTAATGAAAATATAAAATTAAGTAAATAAATGAATTTTGTATGAAATGTTTGTCTTTTTTTTATATATCACTTGATTTGGTTTGTTTGGGCGGTTTGGTTGCGAATCAATATTTTCTTTCTTCTCCTAAGTAGAAGAGCCGATAATATGACAATCTGTAGAAAATTTCAAATAATTTAATTTTTAGTTAAATTTTGTTGAAAACAATTAAATTATAGTTTTATGACCATTAGTGCGATGTAAAGGACGCCAATAATACTTAAGACAAACAATATATTTATTGTTAAAACCTCTCCGTCTTTGTTATTCATTATCCAAACTATTAAAGTGAATCTAATGTTATTATAGTTTAGTTATAATTCAAATCTAATTTTAATATTTTTTATCAACTTTTCAGTTAAAAACTGAACAGAAATAGTAATTTTATTTTTTAAAAGAATAAATAAACATAATTTTGAATTAATTTTATTATAACGAGATTTATTACAATTACATAATAATCTTTATATCGTTGTATTGACAATAGTATTGAGAATATTATTACAATAATATAATATAATTAAAATAAAATATATTAGTTTAACCCCGAGTACCACATAAACTAATTTAACAAAACTATTGAACCTATAAGTAAAAGATGTCACGAAAACAAACAGAAATAAATAATTATTTTCTTAAAGAGTTATTTTCATAATAATCATTATTATAGCAAAAATTAGAATTTATTTATTTGTTTCCATAGTTGACTCAGATTTAGTTTTTTGTTTAAAAAGCATATAATTTATATTATAATTGTTTGCGTGATTAAGATATTAAATTAATATTATCAATATTTCCAAATTTAATAATTTTAAACAGAAATCATATATAAATATTTAAACTCATTTCTAAAAGTCCTACATTTGGTATACAGATTAAGAAAGTTTTATAGTTTAAGGATTAGTAATATTTTCTATTAATATAAGTCATGAATTTATAGGTGGTTTCTGTATAAAAACACTCAATTATATAGTTGGGGGGTTCTTTACTATAGCTGCCACTTGTTGTTCACGCGATTAATATTTAATACAATTTTAACGATAAATATACTAATGTCGCGTGAATTACAATTAATTTATTATACATTAAATTAGAGAATATTTTCTATCATATGTCTGTCTTGAAAGTTATGTCTGTATTGGTATTATGGTATTATAAATTATTAAAAAGTATTAGTGTTTGTCCCATTACATAACCTGGTGTTCGCCTCTCAACCTTAACATAATTATAATGGTATTACACAAATGTTAACATAACCTAACCTAATGTATTAGTGTTTGCTCCGTTACCTAACCTGGTGTTCGATCCGCAACCTTAACCTAATTATAATGGTATTACACAAATGTTAACATAACCTAACCTAATGTATTAGTGTTTGCTCCGTTACCTAACCTGGTGTTCGATCCGCAACCTTAACCTAATTATAATGGTATTACACAAATGTTAACATAACCTAACCTAATGTATTAGTGTTTGCTCCGTTACCTAACCTGGTGTTCGATCCGCAACCTTAACCTAATTATAATGGTATTACACAAATGTTAACTTAACCTAACCTAATTAATTTAATAACTTATTTGTTATGTAGAAATTTTTTTTAATTTAACATTTATTTACAATAAAAATTAATTGTAATTCACGCGACATTAGTATATTTATCGTTAAAATTGTATTAAATATTAATCGCGTGAACAACAAGTGGCAGCTATAGTAAAGAACAGCCTATAGTTGTATAACAATGTATAGATAATAACATATCGTTATATCGCGCGGCACATTGTTTCACATTTTTTACTAACAGATTAATTATAATAAATTTATATATAGATGTGAGAAATCATATATAACTCACTTGAATATAGTTTATTACTTTTATAGTTTTAATTACCGAAAAAAAAACTAATCTAACTTATAGTAAGACTAAACCAAATATAAATATCATTTTTAATATTATTATTTTTGTTATCTGCATATAAATAAATTACAATTTGTAATTATTTAAGTTAATCAATTATAACTGTAATTAATTATAAATTGATTTTTAAATATTTTAAAAGTTTATAAACAAAAGTTAGAATTATTTATTATAAAGTAGTAATAGTATTGTTTGAAAAGTTATTAACAATAATTATTAGGCATTATTGTTGTAAAACAACAAAAATAATTCAATAGTAATACCAATACATTAATAGTATTAATACTACAGTACTGTATATATAGTGTAGAGTTTGCGCACAAATGACTGACTCATTGTTAACGTTGTCTTTGTTTGTAATATTCACTGACTATTCAGCCATTTGTTAGACTATTGATTGCTTCTTAAGGACCAAATATTGGTGACAATAACCGTATAAAATGGCAAATTTATCGCCGTTTGTCACTTCACAGTACAGTCATCCGGGTTTTAATCCAACAAAATTGGGACAAAGAGCTCAACAGATGATGGTAAGTACATGAATGTCATAATAAAATGTTTATTAAGTATTGTTTGATCCAAATGGTGATCACATAGAGTGAACATCGACTGCCAAAAGCACCGAAACCGCCGGACAGACCATTGATGCCATACATGCGCTACAGTCGAAAGGTTAGTATAATTATTGATAATTTCTTTGTGAATAAATCAATGAATCGATTGATTCATTGGTGAGATTTGTGTTGTGAACCAAAGATATGCAACTTATGGTCAAAGAAGTGACCACTTATGATATGGCAGTGTTGTGTTGTTGTTGTTGTTGTGTCATTGCAAATGTTGCACCGATAGGTATGGGATGTGGTAAAGGCCCAGAACCCCGACCTAAAGCTGTGGGAAATCGGCAAAATCATAGGTCAGATGTGGCGCGACTTAGCCGACGATGAGAAGCAACAGTACATTCAGGCCTTTGAAGCAGAAAAGGTTTGCTTTGTATTTGCTTTGACATGAATTTGATTACTATTAAAGTGTCGACACATGTATGTCATGATTAGGTTGAATATAACGAAACTCTTAAGTCATACCATAACTCACCCGCATATCAGTCGTGGATCTCAGCAAAAGCCAAAGGTATCTATCGATGACACGATTCATACGATGGAAACTCAAACTTATTATATCTAATGTTATGCCACTTCCGATTAGCACAACGTGTTCTCGAAGACCACAACAAAGGGTCGGCTCATGACAGACATGACAGACACACAACCAATTTGTTGGTGAGATTTGTTCTTACAATCAGTTCTTCAGTTCTCAATACTTGAGAACACTTGAGGCCAATCACTCGAGTCTTTGTCTGAACATTAGTTCTAATCCAAGAGTTGCATATTTTTGGTTTTTGCAGCTTTTGCTCTGTTCTCAGTTGTGACCATTCATTTGAATCCGTTTATATGTCTAACGGTTTTTCTATTTATTTTTGTAGGGCTTTCCTTCACCACAAAAGCAAAGTGAAGGAAAAGTTAGTATTCAATCGGCTGAAGATGAAGACGATGGCGACGAGTTCTCTGTCAAACACTTAGCTGCCGCCAGATATCAACGAAATCATCGATTAATTAATGAAATATTTAGTGATTCTGTTGTACCCGATGTCAGATCTGTTGTAACTAACGCTCGAATGCAAGTTCTTAAACGACAAGTGCAGTCATTAACAATGCATCAGAAGAAGTTAGAGGCAGAACTTCAACAAATCGAAGAAAAATTTGTTCTAAAAAAAAGAAAATTTATTGAAGCGAGTGATCAGTTTAAAGAAGATATGAGAAAAAAGTGCGCCATTAAACCCGTCGATACAAATACTTTCAAAAAAATGGTAGACAAAGCATTGGATCAAATGAAGAAAGAACATCAATTGAAAGAAGAACAGATGAGTAAAGTTGTTGATAAAGTTGACAAACCTGGAGCTGACGGTCAAGAAAATGAACCACCAATTGAGCCAATTATTGATAATCAACGAGAAAAAGAGGTCAACAGTAATGACACGGTTTTATCTGATGGCTTAACCGAATCAAAAGATATATCAAATACTAATACAGAAAATTTAGTTGAAAATAATGATGTCATAAATGATAGCATTATAGAAAATACTTCCAATGATAGCCAACAAACTGATATCACGATAAATATGGAAACAAATGTCGATCAACCGGTCGAAGAGTCCAATCCTATTACCACAGAAGAAATGGAAACCATTGAACAGATTAAAGATGAAACTAATTCTGTAGTTAACAATCAAACAATTGATAATAAAAACAATAATTTGATTGAAACAAATGATACTATTGCTAATAATGAAGTACAGGGAACGGGAGTCTAAATAAATAAATATAGTGTTTTTTATTGATTGATTGATTGAAATCTATGTAAATATTATTAATTTATTTTGTCTTTTATATAACTCAATAAAGCATTGAATTAAAACAAACAGTATTTGAATCAAATATAGTATAACTGGTTATATCCTCCAGGAGTTGCTGTTATCGATAATGTGTTGCTCTGTTTGTCGATACAATCATTGCTAATGCTATGCTATTCTATGCTTATGACTACCAGTATTGCAAAGTTAGTCTCTTTTCTCCTAAAGTTGTATCTCTGTCTCTATAAACACAATATTTATATTCATATGAATTGCTAACTGTCGGCGCATCACATATTATATCGATATAAATGTTTTAAAATATTTAATACTACCGTATAATAAAATACTATTTTAATTCAAAAAATATATTGGTTTCAAGCATTTGCAACACAAGTGTCACTCTAATTAGTGCTTTATATTAATTAATTGAAGTGAAAATTGAATGCATCAAATCTATTAAATGCTATTATTTTTTAGTAACAATTTTATGCTATAATTAAGTGATCTATGAATAGTGTCTTTTAAGAAAACAATAAAATTATGTGTTGCAATCAAAATTTTAATACATTATGTAAGTATTAAATCTAAATTAATTTTTAAAAATTATCTTAATATCATTTATTATGTCATATATATAACATTAGTCGTATCTGTTAAACTAATTGCAAATTGATTATTTATAATCTGACATAATAAAATGTACTAAAATACATAGTACAGTACTGTACTAATGTATTAATGAGTAATATTATTGTATTGTTTTTTTGATTATTAAATTATTTATTTATTGGTTTGCATATAATATTTGTAGTTTAGTTTTTATGCTTAAATTTTCATAAGAAGTTGCGTCTATTAATACTAACCGTTGCCATTGGATTTCAATAATGCGTTTACTTTAATAGTTATAACTATATATTTCTATATACCTGTATTTATATTTTATTTATTTAAAGTTTACATTCGTTTATATATAATATAGTATATGATAATATATACAGTATATACATAATCATACAGTATATTTATATATATTAATATATAATAACAATACAATCAATTCAAGTGTTATATATCTATAATTTTATTACAATTACCACAATTACAAAAGTTATAATAACTATTTGCATTTATTTATTTATTAATGCTAAAAATATTGTACATTTTATTGATAATTTATTATTACTTTTTTACAACCTTATAGTATATTTCAATATACTAAAAACTCGAAATTAGATTTGCAATGAGAATATTATAAAAATTGAATTTATAAATATTTTAAAATGTTTGTTAAACCTTAAGTTTAATCATAAACTTGTTTAAAAAAAATTATTTGAGTTTCATATATTGTAATCTATATAATATAAAAAGCAATTCAATATTGTTATATCAAATATTAATACAATATTTGCAATATTGGTCTTCAAATATATACAAAGTTTTGATGTCATACAGAAAAGTGGTTTTTAAGTGTTTTCTTTAATATAATATTTATATATCTGTTATTTTTCAATATAAAGTAATAATAAGTTTTGTTACAATCAAATTCAATAACTATTTTACTTTAATATTACATTTATTTAGCTCTTCAAATATGACTTTTATTTTATTGTTAAAACTAAATAAATATACCAATTATTTGTTTATTTGATTGAATAAGAGTTTTGGTTTTGATAATAAAAAACTATATTTAGTTGTATTTATAGAAATTAAATAATATAAATTAACAAATAGTTTGTAAAATATATACTTAGATTATGTAATGTATTTAAATATTTTTGATACGTGAGTATGAATTAAACATTTATGTTAATAATATTGTACAACAAAAGAGAATTCAAAGTTAATTATATAAGACAACACACTAACTGATAATATATAACTACTATTATTTTATATAACACACTATCTTAATGTTTATTTTAATTAATTTTTTATACAGTATTATGTTTGCTTGACTTATAATAACCATCAGTTTATTTTTCTAATTTATATATAATTAATTAAACTAATTAATTGTTGTATAGTATAAGATATATTAAAATAATTAAAAATGTTTAAAAATGCACTTTTTATGACAATTACACTATAAATTCTGTTAAATTTAGTCAAACCTACACTCTGTTAACAAAATCTAAATTTTTGTAAAACAATTAATTTTGAATTGTTTTGATTTTGATCTCTAATATCAATACTATTTATAAAATAATAAAAATAATTTGGATTAAGTTTGGAATTAGTAGTTCTCTAAATAGTTTATAAAAAAATGTTATAACAATAAATATTTCTATTAAATCCAAACTCATTTTGGATTGGAGTTTCGATCAAACAATTTGTTTCAAATAAGTTTGGATTAAATGAGTTTAAACTTTTTACATTTATACACAGATATATTAAATATACTAAAAATGAGTTAATTTATCTATAATTGTAGCTAAAAATATAAAACTGCTCATTTTATTATTATTATTATTATTATTATTATTATTATTATTATTAGTAGTAGTAGTAGTAGTAGTAGTAGTAGTAATAGCAGTAGTTGTTTTATTTTATGAATATAATAAATATTTAATAAATAATATTATAGTTTTAATATATATATAGAAAAAAGTAAATTATAAGAAAACTTATTAAATATGAGTGAATATATGATTACAAACCGAACCACTATTTTGGACAATAAATAGCTTAACTTACTTTCGCATAGAGTTTACTGTCTTTTATATAAATATGGAATTCATGATTAATAATACATAAGTTATTATAAGAGTGTATATCAAACATATAGCTGTAATAAATATATGTATTGAGGGATAAAATGAGTAAAAATGGACATTTGATGTATTCGTGTTAACCCAACCACTGTTATCACGATTTCAATTTATTTACCACTGATTTTGTATCCAACTGTTCCCTAAAACTGTATTGTTTGTCATTACATTTAATATAAAACCTAAAATTCATATGCAATATACAGTAATAATAAAGTATTCATATATTTTCATCAATTCAATTACTTTGATTTTCACGACATTTATAACATTAATTAAATAAAACAAACATTTGATTCAATGTTTTTATATTTAATTTATTATATGAATTTGTAAATATAACTGTTATATGTATTACTTTATTCAAAATCAAAGTATTTTAATATTTATTATGATAATAAAGTTTTGTTTGTATTAATATTAATAAGTAAATGATTAATTTAAACAAATGACACAATAATTTTAATGAAATTGAAAATTGAATAATTTATTTTTTGTATAACTTCAGAAAATTAGTACAGTAATGTCAAACATTTATAATATTAATCTATTTATTATGTTTAATATCTCATTATTATTATTATTTTAACTATTCATTTTTAATAATGATCCAAGTTAAGTTAATAAGGTTATATTTAAATATAAACATAAACACACAGTAGATTAAGATTAAAATTAATGATTGATATTTTAGTAATTATCAAAATAAGCATTAAATATAATTAGAATTTATTTATTTTATATTGTGTTAAATTCTGTAAATTTAATCTTAAATAATGCTTACAATTTGTAAATTATTTTTATTATGTATATTATTAATGTTTTTATCAATTATTTTTAAATTTACCTATTTTTCTATGAATTTATATTGGAATTTTAGGGAATTTTCTCTTTACCCCCCCCCCCCCCCATTGATTTTGGATTTTTTAAAAAATTGCCGTTTAAAAATGCAACAAAAGTCTACACCTACTCTATACCCTCTAAAATCCAAAACCTTGCTTAACCCTGATCTGTAATATATTGTATTATACTCTATAAGATATAATAAAAATATAATTGTAAGTAGAAATGTTTCTTAGTATAAAATTGATTTAATACATTACATAAACTACATTTTTATATTGTTTTTCATTTCATTATAATATATTATAATAATGTATTTATTATTAGAGTTCTAATTATAATATATTATTTTTTGTTATATACTAATAAATATTAGATATTAATTTTATTAAATATTTAAATAACTTTATACAATGTTTCATTAAAAATCATTTATAGTTATATATAGTGTTGGTAATTTTTCGCAATTCAATTTTCGATTGCCGCAATTGCGGAAAATTGCGTGAAATTGTTTGAAATTGCGCGCATGAGGGAATGTATAAAAATTAACTTTGACAACGTTAAAAATTTTGTTTACAATAGATTAAAAGAATTTACTAATTTATTATTATTTTTACATGGTTTTTAGATGGCAACATTTTATGATAAAATAATTAAATTTTATATAATTAATTTATGTTTTTATTCATATTGCTTTGCCATTTAAATTTTGTTAATTTTTTAAAAATTATAAATTTTTCTATGTTACAATTGCGATTTTCGCAATCGAGCTTTTTGCAATTGCGGCAATTTCACGCAATTTCCGAGCAATGCAATTGAGCATTTTGCAATCGGTACATCACTAGTTATATATATATATAATTTTTAGTACATTATACTGTTATAATATAATAACTAATGTATGTTTAATTCAATTAATGGTTTGATTATTATAATAATAAGTGATATCACTATTGTATTGAAGAAGATTTTGTTATTATTTTTATAATTTTATAATTAAAATGTAAAAGTAATCATAATATATAATTTATATTAAATATAATTATAATGCATTATGTATGAGATTTTTATGTATGAAAAATATATTATTTTTCAATTAAGTAGTCCTGTTTTATATTGACAAAAAAATGTTTAATTGTGAATATACTGTACAATATTAATATTATAGTATTATTATTGCTATAATATAAATTATTTTATATCATATCATAATGTATAATAGTATTGTATTGTATTTCATACAAATTCTATATATAATATAGAATCCCTTAGTAATGTATAATAAACTAAATTTCTATAGAAATGCATTACTGAAAAACATTTTATAAATTTTCTCAGAAATATTTATTAGAAATTTCTATTCGTTTTTTTATTCAATATTATTTATTATCTATAATATTATATAACATATTAAATGGAAAATTTGAGTATAAAAATTTTAATTATATTGTTGAAGGAAAATGAGTTTATAATTATTATGCAAAAACATTTAATTTAACTTTAGTTTTATACTTTTTAATACATTAAAAATCAATTTCTATAATACATTGAAAAATAACTAGTTTATTTCATTTGATATTACACTAATAAACATTTTTTAAAAAGTTATTAAATGATAATTTCTGACTGTACATATTTTTAATGTTAGTCTATTATAATTTATAACAGAGTATTTATGAACATTAAAAAATGATTGATTTGATTTTTAAAAAATTGATTTAAAAAATTGACTTAAAAAATTGTTTTAAAAAATTAATAGATATATGTGTGTAGATTAGTAAGATATAGTTATTGTATATTTCAGACAACAATTAGATTATATACAGTATTTTATGAAAGTTTAACTATAAAGTATGTTTTGGCAACGCTGTACTTATAATTCTCAACTGGTTTACTGGTTTGTAATACTTTAATTATTATTAGTAGTATTACATTATTATACAGAATACTACATTTAAAGTACATTTATAAATAAGACTTAATTATGATAAAAATGTTGTATTAATAATTTTGTTTAAATGTTATGATAATTAAAAATATTTAAAAATTAAAATATCAGTAAATATTTTGTAACATTTAGTGAATTATTGTTTAAAATATATGTTATATTATATAATAAAATAGTAGTTTGTTTGAACACGCAATCTATAAGAAAGTGTAAAACAAAAAAGTATTGGATTTAAGTTCGCGATTATTGAACAAAGTATTGAAACATTTTGATGTCTCCATAGAAACTAAAATGAGATCAAATTGAGGTCCAAAACAACTCTAACTTCTTATTTGCACTTTTGCTGCCATTACTTAATAATTGAATTTTTCTATCTATTTATTATTGATGTTTCACTAATATTAAATAAATTTAGTATTTAAAATAAACTATATATTTGTAGTATTCACATTTGACAGAATTTCTAATTATTTATTTTACAAATCAATAGCAGTTTGAATACTTCAGTTAGATTCACAAATATTGTAATTGAATTGATAACTTAATTGTAAATTTTACAAAAGCAATATAAATGTCGGCAAATAGGAGTTTACTTTAATTTCAATTGAGATTTTTTAATAATGTCTCACAATTTATACTTATATTTTAGAATAAAACATTAAAAACATTATTTTGTAGACAATACTGTATTTACTTTAAATTCTCTCTCTCTCTCTCTCTTTCTCTCTCTCTCTTTATAAACTAAAATTCAAAGTATTATATATTATATTAATAGTTAATGTAAATTATATTTAATGTAAAACTATCATATAACATATTAAATATACTAATATTTTACTTTGCTCAAATTACATTTTATTTTTATCATTATTATTATTTACTATTATTAGTCTTTATTCTAGATTTAAATAAATAATAAATGTCTTATAAGTTATAAACATAAAATAATATTAACAAAAAAAAATGAATACAGATTTAATTAATCTTATATTTACTTTAAAGTTATTAAACGTATAAAAGTCCTGTTTGTATAAACAATTAAATTAATAAAACTTATTTATACATAACATTTTTAATGTATTATATATTAAATATTTAAATACTGTAAAGAATATATTTATAGAATATATAGTATTTATTTATTTCATTTATTTGCATTATGAAAAACTAAAATAAAGATAACAAAGTAGAGAAACAAATTATTTTTGCAAAATTATTTTTTATAAATTATTACACTAATGACTAATAATATCGTACTTAATATATTTTAATAATTAAAAATACGAAATATATCCAATATTAAATAATTTTTTATATTAATATTATATAAATATAAATAATATATTTTAAAATTAGTTTTATACATTTTAATTATATTTTAAACATTTTACATTATTTAAAAATAAAAATATATTTAAAATTTATATTAATAAATATATAACTAAGATATGATAAATTAATGATTCTCTTACAAATAAATAATAAGATATCAGTGTACTTAATATATATATAATTTTGATTAAAACTTAAAATATCATATTTATAATACAAAATAAGAATTAAACAATAATATTTTTGTTGTCATTATTATGTCAATTGTTGCACTAATAATGTAAATAAAGAAAAATATCTAAAAGTTTGATTTATAATAATCAATGTAATTCTATTGATTAAATTTATTTATTTTTTGTTTATTCAATATTTTGTCTATTTATCAATTTGTCTATTTAACTTTTATATTTAAATTTTTTTTATACTTTAAACTAGTAAATAATAAATTTAATTTTATAATATATAATAATTATGTATCAAATATTGTTGTTCGTCAAACATTTTACTGGAATCTTAATATGATATTGTATTGCAATTTAATATTATGTTATATTGGTTAGATAAAGTTTAAATATTAAATATAAGTTTTGAATTAAGTTTATTTTGTACACTATTGATCATATAATAATAATAATAATAATAATAATAATAATAATAATAATAATAATAATAATAATAATAATAATAATAATAATAATAATAATAATAATAATAATAATAATAATAATAATAATAATAATAATAATAATAATAATAATAATAATAATAATAATAATAATAATAATAATAATAATAATAATAATAATAATAATAATAATAATAATAATAATAATAATAATAATAATAATAATAATAATAATAATAATAATAATAATAATAATAATAATAATAATAATAATAATAAAATATATATCAAAATAAAAATTAGACTTAAAATTGATTTTGTCATTTTAGGTGCCCTAACATTGCATTGTGGCCTATAATTGGATTTCATTGCCATTAATATAATGAATTTGAATTCATTCACTGCATTCATAATTACCATAACATTTTCATTATATATAGCTCTACCAGAAGTTTTAATGTTAGAAATAGGAAGGTATGGTATGGCCTACAAAAATATTGTGTTTCATAAAAATATAGTTATCGTAATTGAATGATGGGTTGACTGCCACTTCTTTAATATTTTATGTCAATTTAATGTTTTGTTTTAACCATTTTTCTAATTTTGACTCTAGGATTTAGAATTATTTTCGCTTTTTTAATTTAATTTAGTTACTTTATTATTAATTACAGATCTTTTAATTTTTATATTATTATATCAATAAACTACAAAATTAAAATTTAATTATAAATTTATTATCTAATGTTCAATAAATAATTAATGATCAATTAATTTACTTAAAAAATATAAATGTTATATTGTAATTATCATGATTACGGTAATTTAAATTATTTGTTAACTATATAATATAAAAATCATAAGAATCAAGTGAAATATTTTTAATTAATCAAATATACATATAAATTATATGGCATTTATATGTCGTTATATATTATTATGCAAAATATATAGTAATATATTTCAATAAAACATTTATGATAGTTAACAATTAGTTAATTATAATTAGTCATCTATTATATTAGTTATTTAGTAAACATTATTGATAATAAATATTTAGTTAAATTTATATTATTGTACTTACGATATATTAAAATGAATAAAAATCTTAAATATATATTTAAGACAACTAATATTATTGCTAATTAATATTTTATTGGTTATTGTATATATAAATTAAATTTGTTTACTTACCATTTATACTCTATATTTTATTATTGCTTTCATCTGAAATCTAAAACAATATGTATAGATATATGAATCATACGGACAAACAAATATTGGATCACTTATTAGATCCAATAAGATATGATCACCGAACGAGACCAGCAGGTAATATCATTTATAATCTAATTTTATTCAATTACAATATAATTTAATACTATCTATAATTCACTAAATCTACAGTTAATTTATTTTAATATTTAATATAATATATACTGTATTACAATATATATTAATAAATGTTGTAATACAATTCAATTTACATAAATTATAAATTTATACAATTATTGCATTTTATACAATTTATTATTAAGTTATATAACACATTATATTAAATAAGTTATTTTTTATATCTACATTAGTATCATATAATCTATTATCTACTTTATTGTAGTCAAAGAAATATTTTATAATAAAGAATATTCTGGTAAATAATGTTAAACTATGCTTTAGACTAAATGTTTAAATTTGTTTTTAGCAATAAATTTAATATGTTTTAAACTACTTTTTTGACTATACTAAACTATACTACTACTACTAAATGAGTTATGTTTACGTAAATAGTGAAGACAGTGGTAAATGTAAGCGTTTTGTTGTTGACATTGTCCTCTCCGGATGAGTCGAGTGTGACCTACGAAATAGGATTTATTATGCTTCAGATGTGGGACGACCCTAGAGTTGGTTTCGAAGACGGAGGCAAACATAAGTACTTGAATGCACTGATGCACGCAAACATGCTATGGGTTAGTAGTTTACATACATGAGCTAATTAAGTTAAGCTAAATGTCTATTAATTATATTTTAATCAGATGCCGGATACATATTTTATAAAACACGGGGAATTCAAATACCCGTTGGATCGTTTTGATCCCATCCATATCGCGCTTAAGATATATCCAAACGGAACTGTTATCTACACCACTAGGTCTGCAATTTGTTAACATTTAAGTTATAACAACAAATTATAAATAATATATTAAATTATATTTTAATCAATTTCCAGACGTAATATGATATTGACATGTGAGGGAAATCTTAAGATATTTCCATTTGATAGTCCAAAATGTTTTTTTGCTATAGAAAGTAGTAAGTATTGTAATTAGTAGTCAATTAATTATTAAATTATAAAATAATTATTAATATTAATGTTGAAATATCAGTATCTCATGAAAGCGAACAATTGGAGTTACGTTGGGATACAAAAGTGTCGATAAAAGCCGCCGATTCTATAAAGACAATGAATGCATATATGATGAGAAATGAGACCCATATATGCAATAATAGGCACACCTGGAGAAGTGAATACAGTTGTCTCAGTGTTTTATTGGTCTTTTCGAGAGACAAATCATTTTATTTCAGTACAGTGTTTGTTCCGGGAATGGTATTAGTGACCAGTTCTTTCATTAGCTTTTGGCTGGACGTCAATGCAGTGCCGGCCCGAGTCATGATAGCCGTGACAACAATGTTGAACTTCTGTACCACAACTAACAGCTTTCGGTCGAAATTGCCGGTCGTCTCAGATCTGACAGCTATGAACTTATGGGACTTTGTTTGCATGTTTTTCATCTATGCCTCAATGATTGAGTTCATTATTGTTAATTATTTACATCGAAAACTTCCTCATCCCAGCCGACCTAACTCTGGTGATAGACAGAGCACGGGTGGTATGAGTGACTATCACCACAGTTTCCGACATCAGGTATTTGTTGCAAATTTTGATAAATTACTACACTATTTATTAATATTGAGATAATTGTTACGTTATTTGCAAAACAGCCAAACAGTCGAAAACTGGTTGATTCCGGTCTTTTCCAATCAGATCACATTCAGATCACACAAAATAAAGAAGAAATTGAATTAAAAGCACCTCTTGTTGAAGGCGAAGATCCTTCGGTGCCACCACTGATCAATCAAAGCAATCATAGACAACAACGACCTAATAGGAACCGATCTTTTAGTGATATTAATCAGTTACACTCACCATTCAGAGCACCGGCTTCTGGTAGTACTTCATTTCATGAAGACGAGAGACTGAGAGCAACGGCTTCAGTGTTTGCTTGGCTTCGAAGACCACAAATACTTCGGTCGACAGAACTGACTTCAAGAGCACGAATGGCCCGATCTATAGATCACATATCAAAAACAGTGTTCACTCTTCTGTTCGGTCTCTTCTCATTCTTTTATTTTCTAACCTATGCTGTCATAAAACCGGCGCAATTGGATGATTGGATTGAAAATGAGTTTGAATTGCCATCAAAGACTAACTAACTAACCATTACATCAATTACATTGTTTTTTGTGAATATATCATTCAAGTAATTACTTTATTGCCTTCAAAACAATGCCATTTATGATCTCATTTATGGTAATTTAATACAGATTCTCTATATTATAATATACTTAAAGCATAACAAATTATAATACATTTATTATATAATTGTATATATAATCAACAGTCTTCTGCTGTGGCATTGAGTATCACAGCCTTAAGATTTTTTGCACCAAATAATGAAATAAATTTAATATTTATTTTATTTATATTATTTTTTATTGTTATACACTTATTACAAAAACACAAATTTTATTTAAAAAGACAATATAAGCATCAGAGTAAAAATTTTTAATTAAATGCAGATATGTATCTGTAATTTACCCAAACATCGCTCAAATACTTGTTTGTTATATAACTAATGACAACTGGAAACAGGGATTATATTTTCGTATTTATCATTAAATTATAATAATAATAATTATTATTCTTAATAATTAAAATATATAGCAATATATTAATAATAATCTAAAAAATCTAATAATTAAACTGTCAATAACGCATCTTAAAGGGTATCTAACTTAAAATAACTATTGACTCATTTTATTCAATTTTAATATACCTGTAATTTTATTTCATTGTAAAACTACTGTATTTTACAAACTAAACAATAATTAAGATTACAATCATTACTAAAGACATAATAATTACTAAAAGCAAAATAAGTCTTAAGTATACAGTATATAGATATAAATATATATATATTCTAATATTCTGTTGCTTTAATTAAATATTTTGTTGAATACAACATTTAATTTAATTATACAAAATATATGGTACAGGTCTTCAATTTTTCTTATAATTAGATACTAATGTTATGACTAACTAATAAATATATGCTTTCATTGCTGTATAGTTTGATTTGGAGTTCAAAAGTTATGTAAACGAATTGAGAAATTATTGAATTTCATTTAATTATTATTATTTGTGGGTTACATAAAATAGACAAATATTAAAACTTTCTTAAGTACATTAAAAGGCATTTTTTTAATAATGGGATTTATGGAAAATACTAGAATTTTGATTCAAAAAATTGTAGTTTTGAGAAATTTTTGGGTAAAAAATGATATCCTTATACAGATACCCTTATAAGGGTATATAATTTACTGTACAATGTATATGACATTTGTTTAAATGTTAAACAAATTTGTCAAATTAAATACCTGGATAAACAAACTTGTGTTGACATACAATATAGTTTTTAAAAATGTTTTTTAATATACATTTTCATTTACCATAAGATAGTTATATAAGTAAACAACTTTTTATTTGAATCCGTTACCATAACTTTTAACTCAAAAACTAAATATTGTTAACAATTATTACGAGAAATACACAATTAAATTAAAATTTTAACAAAGATATAAATACAACAAATACTATATGTTATATAACATTATATAATTTATAAATAAGTTGTAAATGCAAATTTTTTATTATGTTATTATTGTTAAAATTTATTAAAATGCAAATATTAAATTAATAAAACTTTTCTCAATACTAAAATTTATTTAATTATTTATCGTACATTATATACATAATATAATATTAATAGCATTTAACACTATTTATCTAATTTAAAAATGTAATATAAAATATTGTATTATTATTTACTTTACTTTTATTTATTAGATTAAAAAGAGATAATTTTTGTGAAGTTATGACTGATATATACAGCATTTGGTGACTTGTCTTATATTTTTTGACTAAAAAATTATTAAATTATATTAATTTTGGAATATATTGGATATGTTTGTTAATATTATCATTTGTTAACATTTAAAGTATATGTTATTCTACTGAATGTTATTAAAAATGAACCAATGCTTCAATAAGTATATTAATGTGTTATTTAATAGACATTTCAATTGCACTCAAAAGTTGGACCGTTAAACACATAATACATTATAATATCTACAGTATATTTATATTAACAATGGGGTCAAACTTTTTCGGTGACCTCATGACCTTTGATGACACTATTGTATCAAATGTTTAAAAAATGCAAAAAATGTTATAAAAGGCGGAACTTTGTGAATGACGTCAAGCATTGAATACAACAATAGATTCATTTTTATTGTCAATCAATGACATAGACTTTAATTATATAATAAATATATTGTTTTGTATTGATTGGCAAAAAATATATTCTAATTAATAATATATTTAATTGAAATTTAATTGAAATGTATAACAAAAATACAAATAAAATGGAAAATATTTGTTGGAAATCAATGGGAATGAAGTGAACGTAATATATGAATGATTTTAATGTGTAATGTATTCCGGATTTCAACAAAAAAGGCATTGAATTGAGTGTTGTTTCCGGAGATCACGTTTTGTCCACTTTTGGCACCGATTGACAACATTGTTGGCACCAATTGTGGTGATAGTGGACGACAGGACCAGTTGTGCATGACTTTCCATCCATATGTTGGATCAGATGGTAAGCTATTGGTGTGTTGTCAATGATGTCCAGTCATTGCTTTCCGTTTCTCTCTAAATGTCTATTGATTTCAATGATGGCGTCGTTTCCGTCACTTTCATCACTTCCACAACAAAACCATCCATTGATTTGTTTACATACACTGACCACTACATTGACAATTGTCACGACAACAGACAATAATGTGTGTCTTAATTTTCATTGAAACAGATCTTATGGTAAATAATGGACACCAGCGGACAACTGATGAGCGATTGCATCAAATTTGTCAAAATCAACTCAAATCAATTGAGGTGACATTGTTTTCATTTAGACATTTGTGTCAAATTTATTATAACTTTTTATTATTTTTATTCCTCTAGTGTATCGACGAGTGGCCACAATATGTTGAGTCCATCGCAAAGTCAAAGCAACAGTTTGTCTCCAAATATAAATTTATTTGATTTGGGAAAGAAATTACTGGAAGCGTCAAGAAATGGTGAGACCGATGAAGTTAAAGCTTTGATGCAAAGTGGAGCTCCTTTTTCTACCGATTGGTTGGGCACCAGTCCATTGCATTTCGCTGCTCAGTTCGGACACATAGAAACTGCAGAAGTTCTGCTTAGGGCTGGAATTAGTCGCGACGCCAGAACTAAAGTCGACAGAACTCCACTCCATTTGTGTGCACAAGAAGGACATCTGACTATTGTTTCATTACTTATAATGCATGGATCAGATGTCGATGCGAAAGACATGTTACGAATGACACCTCTTCATTGGGCTGTTGAAAGAGGACATACAGATGTTGTTGATTGTCTGCTCTCCAATGGCGCTGATGTTAGCGTTCAGAGCAAGTTTGAGAAGACACCCATTGATATTGCTTATGACAACGGAAGACTAGAACTGATTCCTACACTTCAAGTATTACTTTGTATTTAAAAGAGTAACCAATGATAGTAATGATTGTTGTTTTTGTTGTGGTATAGAAATACATTGGCGTTACGCGTACTAAACCTGAACCGAAACCATCGCCAACACCAGCAGTTAAGATGAGACCAATAGTATTGCCAAATAAATCGAATCGTACCTCAAAATCACCCAGGAACTATTTACATTCCAATAAACCTGTATTTCCTCAGGGAATCAATTGGAAGAAAGGTTTATTGAAAATATTTTGATTTTAATTAACAATTTGATTATAATTAAAATGTTATTTAATTTGAAAGATGATACTAACCCGATATTGACCACTTTGGCGGCACTCGCAGCAGCTGGTAATGGTATGTCAGTTGCCGATGCATTTCATTTTCTTGAAAGTCAAGGTCTGTCTATAAACAATGCGAGTACCGATTCAGGTCTGTTTCAAAATGTGTTAGAAAGTGGACAGACTATGTCTCTGACCGAAGCCGGAAAACTTGCGCTCAATTTCACGAAAGATCAAAATTGTCAGAAACCGTCACAATCTTCATCAACTGTTACCACAAACACGAATAGTGGAAACAATTCAAAGTTGATAACTATTGTGGCCGATAGCACACAACTGCCACAAATCATTAACAGTACTCAGTCAACACCTATTGTAGTGGTCAGTGGTTCAGCACTTCAAGACACTAATGATACCCAAACTACTGGTAATAGTTCGACACAAAAGTTTACTCAAATTCAAAACAGAAAAAATATAAATAATGCAAATACTTTCAAAATTAATAAAACTATTACAACTACTGGTAATACCAGATTTACAACTATACCCAAAGCACACAATATAAAACATGTTGTGATTTCCAATTCCGGTACTACAACTACGACAACCATTGAAGAGATTGTCAGAGAAAGAGATAGACTTTCCAATGAATTAAAACAATTGAAACAAGAATTAGAAGATTACAAAAATAAAGTATTAGAAAAAGACAATGAATTAGATAAATATAGACAAGAATTGAATGATTTGAAGTCTACTCGCAAATAACACAAACATTTGACTAATTTAATCATTTTTGTTAATTTAATTTAAAGCCATAATTTGTACATAGGTTTGTATTAATTATAAATATATATATATATATATTTCTATTAAAATCACGTTTATCATTATACCATTAAATGTATTTCAAAATATTAAACTTATTTAAATCTTATATAACACATACGGGATTTGTGTAATATCAACAAAATTTGATAAATAAATTGTTTAAATACTCGCATATTTTTATAATATAAAAAGTAAAACACGACATTTCATTATATTGTAGTTCATTGTTAATTATAGTATTTATTCAATATTTTTTAGACAATATCACAGTTATTTAAACATTAATTACTATAACTTATTTAGACAATATATACAATTATTGTTACTTATATACAACTGTAAGTGTCCATTGAGTGTCTCAAATGGTTTACAATATAGGCTATGATTCATAATATAATTGGTATAACTATTGTTAATCTGATTTATATATCAAATGTATTGATAATATCAATGAGAGAAGACATGCGCTAACACTCATCAATTGTATCAATCTATTGAATGAATAACTAATTTAAATGATTTGATCGACTAATTGTGTCAGTCATAGCATCTATAGATTTGCTGTTAAATATAACATAGTTTTGATTATAATTGTAACTTATTTTCATATTTATTTTTATCAATTTATTTATACAATATTAGATTAAATAATTTATATTAATGGACATAATTTTTTTTAAATGTTAATCATTAGACAAATTTAAACCAATCATCAATTGATTAAAAACAATGTCATAAATAGTGACTCATATATAGCTAATTACTATTATATTCTGTATTATAATTTTATAATATATTGTTAAGTAATGTTAAGTAATGTTAGACAATATATAGTGGAGAGCAGTGACGGCATAGTAAATGAGCGCTAAAATAGTAGTCAATGTATACATGATTTGCATCCCTATCCCAATCTGCTATCATTTATATGACTGCATTAATTAATCATTTTATTGATTATCATTAAATTTAATAAATTTTTTTTATATATATACATATATATTATATAACAACAAAATGATTTAAAGACAACAATTAATTATAACTATTGATGACATTGACATTTAGAGATAATTATATAAAATACATGAATAAAGTGATGACATTTTCAATGAAGTGATACAATAATATTAGAGATGATTGTCCTTAAGTGTGATGTCTATTGAGGTGCAGTCTGTTTAACAATAATTGTTTGGTTAGGCATTCAATGATTGGTTCATTCATTATATAATAAGCTGATTGTTATGACTCTAATGAATATAATAGAGACTAAGTTATCGTTAGAGTCATTGATTGCCCTAACAATCGATAGCTAACTATAGTTAGAAAGTTAAATATAAATCATTATTAATACTGTATATAGCAATGGTATTGGTATGGATTGCTATGGTTTGTATGGATTGTATAATTGTATGGATTATATAATTGTATGAATTGTATAATTGTATGCATTATATGAGTGATGATTAGTGTCTCGACAATTGTTTGGTGGATATGTTTAATGTAATAGTGTTTAAGTCATTCAATTCATTCATTGATCGCCTCTTGTATTGAAAGCGATCGCAAGTGAGGGGAGGAGTGAAGACAAACTCTGTTAAACACTGACTATAACTATAACTATAACTAATATAACTAAACACTAATAGCAGTGAATCGGGTCTTCAATGTTATCCAATGAGTGAACGCTAACTACAAACCCAACACTTGAAACACATTTAGTTATATAGCGCTTCACTGTTAACACTATTAATGCCATTAATGGTGTACTGTATTAGTGCTTAAACAACATTCAAATCAATTGTGTATTAAACGTGTGATTCGTCTCTCATTGTATTTAGTGTTAAACACATTGATTGTGGCAATTGTGACAACAGTGTGGGTGCGGTCATACACAACAATTAGACTGACCATTACGGTGACCATTGAGTGGACAAGACATCATTACAATCAATATTAAGGTAATAGTAGTACTTGTGGTCAATAGGTACTCCAAGTGATGACTGATTGATAACAAAAACAACAGTTGTTATGTTGTTATGCTGTGAAAGCATTGCTTTTGTTGAAGCATTAGAGGCATTGCATTGATTGCAGTGTTAATAGCATTGATAGCATTGAATACATTGAATACAATTCAAACAACTATTGATTGTAATAATGGCTCTAATAATGGCAGTCAATGGCAGCCAATGTTTGAATCAAATGTGTGTTCTTTGTCTCTAACATTGCATTCAAACATAACTCCAATGCCTTTATATGTCACTCATATCACTAAACATAGTGTCCATCAACTCATCCATCACTGAGTATTCATTAAATTTATTATTATCATCACATTTGTCACCAAAATCACCATATTTTGCTTAACCATATCTGATTAACTATTTTTCATTAAATTAGTAATTTTTAATTGAGTTAATCAAATATCTTCAGTTAATTATAACTGAATTTACCTTTTTTTTGATGACTTGATAACCACTTTATTGTTGATATTATTGTATCTAATAATCTGAATCTATTGTTGATGTCTATCATATAGTGATAAAATTCAATATCAAGTGATTGATGATTGATATCGACATGAGTTCGCAAACCCATCACAACAATCAGTCATACCTGCAGTCATATCAGGTCCACAATCCTCAGATCAGACCCGTCATCGAAAGGGGCGCCTCTTGGAGTTACAATGAAACACGAATATTGCTGTCATTATGGGGACAGGATATGGTTCAAAGACAATTGACAAACTCAAAGAGGACACGACATGTCTGGGAGAAGATCGCCGAACGGATTCGTGAACACGGATTTGACAGAACTGCCGGTAATGACAACTATAACGACTGACCAACTGAGACATAGCATACTTATCATTTGATTTGATTTCTGTTTGAATTATTTAGACCAAGTGAGGACTCGTGTCTTTAATATGATAGCAGAATATCGAAGAATACTTAAAAATCCAACGCCGGAGCGCAAGAAGAAGTGTATATTTTTTGACGCTTTAAATAAGATATATCAGGCAAAAGACTCAAATGCCATCAAAATGGCACTCAATAATTATGAAGAAGAATATAACTTTGAACCGATCGAGTTTAACAATACTGATGACAACATGGATGGTACCAATGATAACGATGATGGAGGCAATAGTGGAACGGATGGAGAAGACAAAAGTGAAATATTTGCCTATTCTTTGTCTCCAAGCGCTACACTTAATAACAATGTCGTCAACACCAATGGCAACAATGTTCAAGATTACCATTCAAATGGTCTGTATATTAGCTTTTGCTCTTTGATTTACCAGTGTTTTTGTTTTAATTGTTTTCTTTATCATAACTATATTACTATAGAAGACTCAAATGATAACATTCAAAATGATGGTAAGATTTTTTTCATTGTTTACACATAAAAATATTATGCAATCATTATATACTTTATAACTAATATAAGCGTAAACTAATATTACGTGTTAGTAACAAACGATTAGTTAGTATAGTTTATAGTTAAACTTTTTAAGGATGTAATGAATTGTTGTTAATATAATTTGCAAATAATTAAATGTATAGATATACCAATAATTCCGCCGTCGAAGAGATTCAGAACAGATGGCTCTATAAATCAATCTCAATACCAAACAATGAATTCATTGATGGAGAACTCGTCTTCAGCTTTACTTATCGACCGAATGTTTGCTCATTTGTCTAAAGAAACGGAAGTAATGCGAGAATGGGTTGGATTAGAGAGGGAACGACTGGCGCAAGAAGTGAGTCGAAGGAAAGAGGAAAATGAAAGAGACGAGCGAAGAGAAAAAGCTTTACTCCAACATTTGATGCGAATGCAGGAACAGATGCTTAACTTTTTATCGAAACAACAATTACTAAATCCGGCGGCGTCTGTGACCAGTGGACTTTCATTACCAGTTTCACCATCTCATTCAACTGATCCGATTCAACATAAAGATTAAACATTAATTGAAATTGAGAAAGACTTCATTATAGTGAATGGATAATAACGAATCCAATATTTAGTTTTAGTATTATAACTATGATTTGAACAAAAAAATATTTTTGTTGAGCATTGTATTATATGCTCTTTAGTTTATTTATATATATTTATATATTAAGTTTAAATTAGTGACACAATTAGTGAACGCCATTAGCTCTTAAAAAATAACAAATTTATTTGTTGTAAACATTTACTCATTGATCTAAAGGGCAACCGATGATCTGTTGACCACTAATTTTGTCATTGAAATCCTCCAAAGGCCTCAAATCATATAATTTAAATGTAAATAAGCGATAATTTCTTATATTTTATGTTTTCTCTAAAATTTAGAGATATTATAATCATCTATATTCTAGTAATAAGTTTCCAATCAAATGCCACAGTATTTGCTATCGATTTGAAGTCGATATCGTGTCAATCGTGACAAACATTTCATTACTTCAACCAATCATTACTATATATAAATAGCATTAATTTTGATTAACTTATTTCGTAATTCAAATATATACTATCGTTATAATGTAATTCACACCTGATTTCATTAATAATTTGAATGACATTTTTTCTAACTTATTAGACTTTTTTGTTAAAAGTCGACACAATATTATAATAATAACTTAATGTATTAAATGAAAATAAAAAAATCTAATAACAATTTGTTATTAATTTCGTATTTTCATCGATAATTTACGTATATTTGAATATTTTTACTCAATTTATATCATACAATCATGTCATAAATATTATTTACAGATAATTATATAATAAACATCTGATATAAAAAAATTATTTAAAACCTAACAAATGATTTATTGGCCACAAGTTTTTATAAATTAAAAAATTAATTATATATATATATTTATATATAGATTTATATAGTCTATCAATATTTGTTAAATTATTACAAATAGTAAAAAGTTTTATGACATTTAGCGATATTTTTAACCAATTTAATAAATTAAATTACAGTATATTTATATACTTTTAGTTTTATTTTTATATGAATAATGATATAAATTACAAATATTTAATAATGAAATATATAAATATTCAAACATTTCTGGCGTAAATTTAGCCGATTTTTGTCTTAGGCCTCAATTGTGGACAAATTATTACAATATTTGTTTTGGACACCTATTTTGTCATTTCCTAATGTAATATCATTTATATAAAATGAGACAACATTTAAAAAAATAATTTAAATTAAATAATTATTGTAAATTCCTTATATACTTTCTAGAATATATTTTATTTATTGTTAAGTTTATCACAATATATTTAATATTAAATATTATGAAATAGTTGTAACTGTCAGAGGATTAAGTTACTTAATATTAATCAATATTTGATAATATATACATTTTATATGCAATTTATTAAACATTGAATCACATTAACAATAATATAATTTTGTAGTTATTGTATATCATTTTATGATAAATTGTATAGCATTTAATGATTATTTAATAATGAAATTATATCTACAAATACAGTATATTTTTTATATTTTTGCTAATAATAAAAAATATAATATGAACTTTAGAGAGAGAGTCTTAAATAGCAGCGGCGATGCTATTATTGATAATTACAATTATCTGGTCGACTGCAATTATCTAGCCAATAATACAATTAATTAAAAAATGACCAATTACAATCTTATTTAGTTTAAAATTATCTACAACTTTGCCCTTGGTCACTTTTAAATCCAACGTAATGTTGACCAGATAATTGTGATTAATAGCATCGCCGCCGCTGTTTCATACTCTGTGAACTTTATTTATATTCAAAATTAATTTAACACAATTATTTAAAAACTTTAATTAAGTTTTTCTACAATTTTATACTTTTTTCATCTAATTTTAAATTTTACTATTAATTTACTTTTGAAAATTAACAATTTAAATGATATCATTTATAAACTACAACTAATATATACGATTTATAATTTATATATAGTATAGTATTTACTCAATAAATTAGTTTAAAAGCAATACATTGAATGAGATTTAGGACAGAATCCCACACACAATGAAAACCAGTTATTTATTCCTTATTTTATTTACTCAACATATCATAAGTTTTTCTCATAAAACAGTATTTGATTTCAAACATAGCTTTGTTGGTCATAGAGTTCATCATTTGAAAGCCATTTATATTAATTTAATCATTTTATGTTTCCAATTATTTTACTATCATTAGTGCTGTTAAACTAAGAAAATAATAAATTTGTGTTATCTTTATATTTCAACAATTAAAAAAAGTGAAAACCATATCAACTCATAGATTTATTAACAAAACAAAATACAAACTTTGAAAAGTGTTGTGTAAAAAATAAAATTGCCTTAAATTTAAATTTTCTAAAATATTTATATATTCAATAATTTTGAGCAAAGAGTGAGAGTGAGAGCATCTGGAGATTTGGCTCTGGAGTTGTATGTATGTACAGTATGTATGTATGTATATATGTGTGTATGTTGGCTAACTGTGCAATTAGTAGTGTGTATAGTAGATGGTAGTGTCAAATAGCATATAAGTTTGAATAGTTAGCAAATCATTGCAATGTTGATGACGTTATCGCGATCCTGTGTCTCACCAAACAGTACTCCGGGACACAAAATGCCGAACAAACAGAAAGTGATTCAAGAAAATGATAGCGAAGCTGATCTGTCAGACAAAGGCATCAATGGATTGGAGGAAATTCCTAATATTAGTGAGTCTTTCACAATGTCTTTGACCAAACATTTTCATAGTATATCTCAATCGCTATTTTAATTTAAAGTCAAACGCATTGGGCGTTGGTTTGCATTAAGACAAACCATATATGGCTTTAGTTAGCAATTGTTATAAAAGGCATTTCTATTCATTGATAACTGCATTGAGATATTACTATACATTCATTACTACAATGATTTGGCAAACTATTGATTAATAAATTATTAATTTTAATGCATTGACAGTGTATTCCCATAACTTGACTCGACTCACATTAAGCCATAATAAAATCAAAAGTAAGAAACAATTCAATTATTTTTAGGCACATTTCACCAGAGCTTATATGCATTTTACACACATATATATAATACATATAAATAGCATATTATTTTACAAATTATATTAATGGTTACATATTATCTATAATATGAATAAACTGATAGGTCTGCCGCCATCGATGGCAAACTTATCAAACTTAGAACAATTGAATCTTTGCAACAATCAAATTGAAGAATTGCCCACATCTTTGTCATCAATGACACGATTAAAAGTATTGAATCTCGGGTTAGTCCACACAAACAGACAATAATATGACGACACACTTATCTCTTATGAATATATATATTATCATCGATTATATCCCTAAAGATTGAATCGCTTGCATTCACTGCCGCGAGGGTTCGGCGCCTTTCCTGCTCTCGAAGTGTTGGATCTGACCTATAATTTTTTGTCTGAAAAGTCATTGCCCGCAAACTTTTTTATGCTCGGTATTTGATTGGATTTGATTGACAGTTCAATAAATGATTATTTTTCAATTATTTTAGAGACCTTAAGAGCACTTTATTTAGCAGATAATGAATTTGAGTATTTATCTCCAGATATCGGTTCACTTAAGAATTTACAAATTGTAATTATTTTAATCTTTTAAAAAAATTATTATCGTATTTGTAATTTATTATATAATTTTAGTTAGTTCTTCGGGATAATGACCTAATAGTACTTCCGACTGAATTGGGTCTTCTCATACGTCTTCGAGAACTTCACATTCAGAACAACCGATTAACGTAAGAATACATTTACCGTAATTGAAAATCTCAATCAATTAATAGTTGTTTTAATTTAATTATTGAAATATAGAGTACTTCCACCAGAATTGGGTCAATTGGATCTCTGTTCACACCGTAGTGTTGTCCGAATGGAAGGTAATCCATGGGTTCCTCCGATTGCAGATCAGTTGCAAATAGGAGTCACACATGTTATTGAATATATTCGTACCGATACTTATAGATTGTAAGATAATTAGATATATTTATTAATAATTCATTAAAATAACTAATTTATTCATTAAGTCTTTACGGACGACACTCTCAAACAATGACTCCGTCGGCAATCCCTCCACGAAATGAAGAGCGAAGGGCCCGAAAGTTGGCCAGAAATAAACAAAATCCCTATAAATGTAATTAACTCTAAATGAATTCAAATACTTATACAATGGTCTCATAAACTGATCTAATTTTACAACAATAGCTAATATATTATTAATACATTAAAATATTAACATATTTTAGTCATTGCCTTAAAATGTCCAATAAATATATGAAAGTATTTTTTTTGTAAAAATTGTAAAACAAAAAATAATTAAATTGTGACAAATAGTGCCATTAGTTTCACTAAATTACTGCAATATTAGTGAACAGTAATTAACTACAATTATAATTTTGTTTAATTTGTTTTAATATATACTATAAATACTAACATTTATTAAGTCATTAAATGCTTACATTACAGTTATATTACAAAATAAAAGTTATAATTAATAATATCATGATTTCATGTCTTGTTTTCAAAATATCAATCAATCACATGATTTGGTTCGTTTGTTTGGACCGACATCTGGTCCCATATCTGAGCTAATGGTTTGCATTACATGTGACTGAGATTTGAGGGTTTGTTTTTCACAATTGTTTGTCTGACTGATTGGCAATTTGTCTGATTGTGGTTTTGGGCTTAAAGTCGATTGATTGGACAGACATTGTGAGCCAAACAGATGATTATTGTCTGTAAGAGATAAATAAGATGTGCTTTGAGATGATGGCGAGTGAGGCACGTGTTTGGTTGACTTCTTAGAGAGTGCTTCTTGTAATATACGAGAACTGATGGTCTCCTGATTGATGTCTTTATTTGAGTGCAAAATCTTATTCAAAAGATAGCGTCTCTCTTCTTGAGCCTTCTTGAGCTTATCGTAACAAACATTAAGTTCCGACTGAACGGCACTATTAATGTAAACCAATTGATGAATTTGTTTCTGAAGACGAGTACATTTGTCTTTGTATCGCTTATTGCGGAGCTCTTCGGCCGAAGTAGTGGTCACTTCTATAGCCAATGAGTGGTACGAATTGGACAACGCATTGGTTGGTCGGGAACTGTTGTGATGAGGCGTACAAATGAACGAACACGACGTCGATATGGATCCGTTGCAACAGTTTGTACTAAACATCTCTTCATTTGATTATTTCATTCAATCAATTGTTTATCATTTGTTGTCAACAATCGTCTCTATAATACTCACACATAAAGTACAACTCAATCACACAATCATTTCATACATTTATTATTACTATTTTATTAATCAATTAATACAATAAAAATTTTAATTTTAATTTCATGTTATTTCAAAAAATGAATTGTTTTATTGAAAATCATTTTTTTTAATTAGTAGCAAAAATTATTTATGTTGTCTACAAATATTAATATTATAATACAAAACTAGTAGTTAATTAAAATAAATTTTAACTTTTAATATAGAAATATTTTATTGCAATTCATAAACTGTGACAAAAATTTAATAAAATTATGAATCGTTGAGTTAATTAATAGCTGACTTCAAATTAGTTGATATTTTATTCATATCATGTGACTCTCATTTATTAGGCAATTGGTTTCCAAACTTTATTTTTGCAAAAATGAGTTGCCTTTGAAAATAACAATTATTAATATATAACTATTTTAGTATATCTTAAATAAGATGTTAATAATAAATTTAAAAATAGCACTTACTTTACAGGCCTCTGCATGAGCTATAGTATGGCACCAATAAGTTGGTCCAAATGTGCATTTATGTCCTCCCAATAGGTGAACGCCTTCACTTGAATAGCACATATCGATTGACTAAAGTAGTTATAAATTTAATTAATTATCAATAAATGATAATTTCTAATATTTATGATAAATAACTTACTCTACAAATCTTGTCGGCGTCGCTCAAGTGGCCAATCATTTGTAGGAAATATGGAGCAAATGCTTCAATCATTAATTCACACTACAATTTAACAATAATAATAAATATTAATAACAATTAACAAACTTTCAATTCATAGGTATATATACAATACCTCAACTCTTTTGGCTTTATTTTTCAATGGATGACAAGCTTTCTCAACATATTTTGCAACCTCTTTGTCAAACACATTGTTTTCTAGCAAAGTATCCATTTGTTGCACAAGATTTCTGCAGAGTTCACACTTTTCCTGATTATTCACTTGAAAGTCTTGTTGTGGAGATTGTGCCGTTGGAACAGATATAGTAGTGTTTGGACAGAGATGTAATTCTTTCTGACAAACAGTTGTCGGATCAAAGACATCTTGAGCTATGAGTTGAAATATCATCGGTCCATAAGTTTGAACAAAGTTATCGCACGCATCCTTAGTCATGACTATCTGTAATCGTTGGCAGAGTTGGTTTTTAATGAAGTTTTCAATTTGTTCTTCATTTTTATAATCATAGATTTCTCTCTGAATGAAATGCATTAATAGTTCGCATTCAAAACATGCTTTGCTGTTACTGTTGTTTAATTTATCGACTGTTGATTCGCTTGAAATGCTTTCTTCAATTTCAGTCCATTTCACAGAACTCTTAGTATTAGCTGTTTCCTCCTTTTCGACATCATTTGATCGATTCATTGGTTGCCAAACACTTCTTGGGACACAAACGCCAAGTAGAGTACACGCAAGGTTAGGATCGCCCTCATCGATGAGGATATGAATCAACTCATTGGCATATTGTTCAATAAAATTACTGCATTTACTTCGATCTCTTACTGGAAACAGTGAGCAGACCTGTTGGAGAGCTGTTATTATTTCTTCTTCTGTTCGGTTGTCAGACAGTTGTTTAATGACATATTCGACAACTCTTTTACAAATAACACATTCCATATCATTGTTTCCATTTTCGACAGCACTTTGCAGAGGAGTCAACTGAACAACAGTTTGTGGCGGAAATATGTTAATCACTTCAGAAATATCGGCAAATTTTTCCGATTGATTATTGCTTTCAATTATTGCTTTTGTTGTATTACAGGCACCGATTGACTTACAAAACTTCTTAGGATTCAGATTTTGGCGAATATATTGAAACATATTATCGATATATTCATCGGATAAGCTGACGCACTAAAGGTAGTCAAAGTACAACCGTTTATATATTACAGGTGACTACAAAATATTTATAAAAAATAGCAAATTGATTAAGTATTACCTCATTTTCAAAGCTACCCAAGTAATGACAGGCGTCTTCAACAAAAAACTTGACCTCTAGTTCAGTGGGTCCGCCACTTATTATCTCCTTAACATTAGTGACAACAGTGACACAGAAATTACAAGTCGGGTCATCGGCGATGTTAGTCTCAACAGTATTAATGTTAATTGTATTGTTATGACAGGCAGAGATGTCATCGCAAAACGCATTTTTGTCCTATAATTTGTTTCATTAATTTAGTTTCAATAGATAATTACTTCATATCATCAAACTTACCACTTTGTTAAACAATTTGAGTACATCATTGACAATATGTGTGCACTATAGCATTAAAATATTAAAATTAATTACCGGTAATCAATCATAAAATAAATTATTAACTAAATAGGAAATAAAAAAAGGAATAAATCTATATTATAGACAGCCAGTAGAAAATTATTTGTTCCAAACCCACCCCCACCCAACCAACCACTTCCTAACCTCAAGTATTGTTTTTATGCAGTTATTCATATATAAAATGTTAGTTTAATTATTTAATTATTAATTAGTTAGGTTAGTTTGGGGTGAGTGTGAGGTTAGGAAGTGGTTGGTTGGGTGGGAGTGGGTTTGGAACAAATAATTTTCTACTGGCTGTCTATAATATAGATTTAAGCCTAAAAAACATAATTTTGAAGACAATTTTTATTTTTTAATAAAGTAGTTATTAATTGTGATCATTTTCAATTTTATACTTTTTAGGTCCATATATAAATAATTTTACAATAATAATTATTGTTGAGGGGTTTAACTTACAATATATTAATATTTTAAATTGTTATCAAACTTAAACACATTCATAAATATCATGTTTAACATAACATTCATAAAATAGTTTATGTAATAAATTTTTAAATAACACTAATACTTGTCGTGGTTTACATACAAAAAGTCTGAGATCGAAATCAGTGTTTATTATAGATTTCATTATCACAATAATTGTGATTAAAATTTGACAAATAATTTTGTTAATAACCTTATATTATAAATTATATTAAAATTTAGTCTTAAGTCGAATATCTCGAATTGTTAGTAATATATCGATCTAAATGGTCTCTAATAACTTTAAATTGTAAATAAACCCTATTTGCGTCATTTAATACCATTAGTCCTATAATAACCTGTATATATGCTATAAACTTTAATGTATAATTATATCGATTATAGAAAATTTTTAATAATTCATATATACATTTTAATAAAACTTTACTAAAAATGTGATAGGTTAATTATAATATTTTTGTACTGTATATATTTATGATATAAAATAACTAAAATTTATTATAACCATTGAATGTTTAATGAAAAAACGACTTTAAAATATAATGTGATATCATATTATAACTTATGATATATTTATTAAGAGTATTGAATGTAATATATGATAATATTTAGAATAAATAGCAAAACTTGTTTCAAATGTGTTTATATTTATAACCAAAGATAACGAAATCAGTCAATCATTTATTAAATTTATATATTTATCAATAAATTGTTTACTTAGATATTAAATTATTTTCAATCATTTATTTATAATGCGCTTAAAATTGTTGTTTTGCTTAACACGATATAAATAACAATAAAAAATAACTGCATTGCAATAAAAATTAAGAAATATTAATAAAATAATGTATTTAATGATCAATCAAAAGATATCTTACCGTAAGTTTGGTTTGTTTGCCGGGAAGTGATGAGTAGTCGTTACACATCGTCACCAATGCATCCGACAAGAGTTGGGATGAATTTGTGTTCAATTTATCGATAAATGTGACCAAAGAAGTGCATCCTTTGCATGTCTTGTCCACCGATGACAAGTTGTCCACCGGCTGTGGCAATGCATTCAAGCCTATAGTTTTCGATTCAAACGATACAAATGAATGTCATGTTTGTAACATATCATCAACAATGACATACCTTTTGTGGTGATCGACAATATGATGAGTAAAAGACTTGTCAATAATATTTGGTCCATAACTTACTCTTTGTTTGATTCAATTGAAATGCAGTCAAATGTCAATACAATTGACTATTACTTTACAGTTGTGATCACTGTTTATATAATACAATCATATGATGCGTACGACTAGTGATCACTGCTTTTAATCATCCAATCAATGATCACTGAAATACACTTACAATGACTCATATACTGTAATATAGTGTAGAGTAGTGTATAATAAACACATAATTATTAATAAAATAAAATCAATTTTAATGTTAATGTATTGCTATTAATATATTAATGTTACTAATCATACAAATAAAACATATTAAATAAATTAACAAAAATATCAAACTGTAGACAACATTTGGATTATAATTTAATGGCTAAGTCTATGAAAATAAAATATATTTCCTATTTATATGAATTATATCATTAATAATTAAAGAAATTTTTAGAAATTGTATTATTAATTTATATTTCATTTATTATATAAAATTAGAAATTAATGTTAGGAATTAATTAAAAAATTAACCATGGTATTATTGACAACTAGTGTTAATAAAATGGTAACAACCGGTAAATAAATACATAAACATTAAGACAATACTATATAATTGTTGACAAACTTAACGGTATTTTTTAAATAAACGTAAGATAATATATTTTTATTAACTTAATAATAAATTATTAAAATATTAAAAAACAAATTAATGCCATTTCTACTCATAAAACTATTACCGGTAATTATGATAATACTATTTTATTGTTACAATTAAAATAATTTAAGACTTATTTGAGACTCAATATTAATAAAATGATATTTCAATAAATAGTTCTCTCAATAACTTTATTTATAAACAAAAATTTTTTTACAATATTTAATTAAGTTGAGTACGGATTTCTCGGTGCAAATGAACCAATAGATCAACATATGATGGGCCCTCCAATTTGGTACTGATATTATTGAAATAAAAATTAAAATAAAAAATTATTTAATTACAAATATATAATACCTATCGCCAGCCATTGAATTATTGGACGCTTTTTTATCTTCATAAAGAAAGCTCCTAAAAATGGTCTCTAATTTATCAATTGATTGTCTTATAATATAAACTCTCATTGATTTCTTTCTTATATTTTCAATATTTTCAATGATTTGATTTAAATAATTTGATTCACTTGTCACCAATTTAGGCAAACCCTGCGTCACACAAAAAAATACATTTAACTTTTAAACTTAAAAATTAATACGACTTAATACCAATTCTGGCTGTATTTTAGAAATATTGTCGACATGTGATCCAAAAACTGCGCTCAAGAATTGATTTTGTCCAGGAATTGAAACGTTTGGTATATATATCAATATATAGAAACCATTCTCTAATAGATAAGCAAATGCTTTTGTATCCATTATTTTGTGAGTTGAACACCGGATTTGTGTGGCTCTTAACTGACCGCTGCTGTCATCGCACTGTTTCAACAATATTTCATTAGTTTTATTCAAATATTAATATCAATAAACTACAATCAATACCTCAATTTTTAATAATTGTGGATAAAGAATCACCTGTGATAGAGATAGAGGAGCACCTATAATAAATGTAATGTTATATTAATTAGTATTCAAATATAAGTAATATTAAAAATGGTTTTTAGTAGTTGTAAACTGTTGCTTTCAATAACAAATTGCATAAATTAAATGTTTAACTATTTAAACATAGGTACAGTATAACTACCGGTAAATTATTATCAATATTAGCGGTAATACAATATCTAACAATTACATATTGATTGCAACATTTTAACAAATAAAAATAGATAATGTGAATCAAAGACCAATTAATTTAATTTGAGAGTAAGCCTTATCATCGGGTGTCATCTCTGGTCCGCCATCAATAGCATCGCACTTTAGAGCACCGCATATATACATCGGCAATAACTTTAAGGCTTCGGGAAGTATTAGTTGACCTGATATTTGATTAGACAATTGACCACAATTAACAACTGCTATTTTAGGACATGACATATCACTTATACCAAGTGATGAACCGGGTTGTGCACAATGACGGCGATAAGCTGTTAATATATTAATGGACCGATTAATCAGTGTTTCTTTTGATTGCTGAACTGTTTTATCTCCATTTCTTTGGGCCCAAACCGCTGTTAAAAAATTAAAAAAAAAAGTATTTGAATAAACATTTTTAAAAGATCAGTTAACTCACTCTGTTTTAATAAAATATTGATAGTTGTATCACAACATGCATTCCTATAAACATCGGCCACCTGTTGACACGTCGATAGTGCCATATTATGGACACGAACTCTGCGTTCACCACTTAAAGCTGTATAAAGTATTGCTACCTATAAGAAGTAAATTATGTGATAAAAAAATTATTGTAAATATTTTAAACGAAAAATTTAAAGCAATTATTTACTTGAATGACAACAAACTCGTCTTCAGGCAATTTGTCGTCATATTTAATTTCGACCGCAATATTACATCCCGTGTTGATTGTTGCGCACTCGATATCACTTGTAGTCCTAACATAATAGTTGCCAATATAATCATGTGGACGAATCCCAGTAGAAGTTCTCACTATTATTAAGACATATATTTAATTGTCGTTTAATTAATTATCAATTTATTATCAATTTATTAAAACAGTTTTCATACCTTTCATAATGGCATCGAAGGCAAATGTTGAACGCAAAGAATATTTTAAATCAACGAGAAAACGGTCGGTAAAGTCATTAAAATATTTATAGATAGTTCCCGTTCCTGTAATTCGGACCAATTCACCCAAAGTGGCCACATCTAGATATGAACCATTAATTGGTGGAAACAAAAATAGTTCGACACCACTGGCAAAGTCTGCGACACACCGCTGGCCTAAACCAATGTAGTATTTATTAGAAGCCGGAGATAATATTGTCTTTTCTTTATCAGTTCCCAAAAGTTTTCTTATTTCATCTGTTAAGACAATAATACAATTTAAAAACATATAACAAATTAAAAATATTATATACCCGGCGAAGTAGTCCATCGAGGCTTAAGTCTGCCGGGAGTATCGGCATCAGTACCAAAGTTAGGTAAAGTACAATGAAAGAGATAAATCTTTCCGACTGGCATTGCCTGGTTATTATCGTTTGGATTATATCCTGAAAACCAATTGCCAGAATCTACTTGAGCTGTAAGAAGAGCCGCTTCAATGACTGGACCCAACACTGTCTGTGTTTCGAGCTCTTCATTAGCAAAAAGAGTTGGTAACGATTGTAGAAAACTAAAGCAAAAAATGCGATATTTCTAATACAAAACTTTCAAATTTAGTTTAAAAATTTAGTTTACCTTTCAATCTGTTCAAAATGGACTAACGGGTCGACCAAAAATGTTGTAAACGGAGGAAAAGTAGAGCTCACGTCACTAATGATATGCGAGTGACCGTTGTTTATAATATCATAAATTTGAATCTTTGAATTGTAGGTTAAAAATCCCACTAAAGGAGGACTACTACTGGGATTAAGTGGATCTCTATAAATAATAAGCGAATTAGAATAAGTAGTTTATTATATACTTTAAACATCAATACCGCGGAAGACAGTCTCTAATAATACCCGACAAATGTTTCGCTAAGTGGTACAGAATTGGCTTAGAAGTAGCGGTCAATTCCATAGCAAATATTATATGAGGTCTTCGGGCGTTCAAAACAGCTTCGTATAAATAATTTATAATTACTATAAAATTATAAATAGATTAAAATACATACAGTTTCTGCAGTATTCAGCTGTGGCACGAAATTCATAGCTTCCTAAGAATAGTTCCGGTCGATTAAATTTGTCTAATCTTTGGCCTAAAATATTTAAACTTATAACTAAATCATGAAATATAAATTACATGTCATGACAGACCCGTGTGATCCAAGTTTGCATAATAAGATGGACTGCAATCAGTAATGTGATGACAAAGAGAGCACTGAAATCTTCGTCCGCCATCAATGAATCTCATATATGGATTCATATATGCTTTGCAACGATTGCAACGAATTATTTCGCTGTTAGTGATGGGAACGACCTATTGAGCGAAAATACATTAATTGACTTAGATTTACATTGTTTGTAATATTAACTAAATTAATAATATCATACATTTTTGCCATCAACTTCTGTGTCATCAAATGGTTGAATAACAATTCCCAGCGGAATATTAGTTAATTTTAGTGTATCTTCAGTAATGGGCACTTGATATATAGTAGGTCTTAAATGATGAGGACGTGCAGATCCGCCATCATTTATGATACCATATTCGTTATCATTAATAGTTGTTACTAATGGCGGAACAGACGCCGGAATCGAAGTTGTGAACAAAATATCGGTTGTATTAAACTTTTGTTTGTCCTCTTCTATTACTTGAACCACACTCGGCATAGCTTCAGGATCTAAGCGTTGTTGAGATTGTTGTTGATAAGATTGTTGTTGTTGTTGTTGATAAGCTTGTTGTTGTTGTTGAGGAGCGCCAGACATTGCTGATGGAGAACCGTAACGGTTTTGCATTGGTTGTTGAGCCATCTGTCCAGGCATTGGAGGCGCTGACAATGGAGCCGACATATTCTGCATTTGTTGTGTTGGCGGAGGAGGAAATCGTGAGGCCATCGGTGGCATTTGGTTAACTGTTTGTGGAACTGAAGGAATTTGTTGTCCCATATTTTGTGGATTAAGTGATCCTCTTTGCTGAAACTGTTGTGACTGTGGAAGTTGTGGTTGTGGTGTTGATTGTGGTAAATATGTATTACTTTGAAAGTTTTGTTGAGTTTGGAGAGAATTCTGATTCCAGTTATTTGTTTCCGATGTTTGTGGTAACTGAGCGCCAGCTACGGGAGGACGCGACCAGTTTTGTTGACCGCCCGATAAATCCAAATTTGGTTGAAGTGGTCGTTGTTGCGGATCATTTTGAAGCGATGGAAACGTAGATTGTGTTTGCGGTAAAGTATATGTTTGCGAACCAACCGGCGAAACGGGTGATTGTTGTTGTGTTTGGTAACCGTTATGTGATTGAAACGGTTGTTGTTGTACACCACTCAACGAGACATTTCTCATTTGATCCGATAAGTTGTTCATATGTTGTGATGTGTCAGTTGAACCCAAACTTGTTTGCATTGGTTGTTGATTTGGTCTTTGAGATTGCAGTGAGTCTTGTGATAGTTGTGGTCCCGGAGGCACACTCTTAACGGGTTGAGATACCTGTTGGCTAAATGGCGGCGAAGACATATTGGTCTGCGGCTGATGTCCGTAGGGCTGCATTGGTGTTGGGTTTGCCATTTGGGCAGCGCTTCCATTGATCTGATAGTATTGCTGTGGATTCGGTTGCGGTGGTATGTGTGGGGTATTTGGTTGATAATACATTTGCTGATCCATTGAATTAAAAGACATGAAGAAATGTCAAATAATTAGATAACAAATTGTAAATTAAATGTAATGTAAGTCAATGTCGACGTGTCTTACAATCGACGACAACAACACTGAAAACATTAAAACTCTTACTGAAGACCAATAAAACGTCTTTTATTAATATTTTAATTATTTATCAATTGTTCATTAATTACGCTATTATTAAGTGAAACCCATTTGAAAGTCATTACATTTGAAGACATTTGTATCATTTGATAGCATTTTTCAGTAATTCATACGTTTTTTATGGTAATAATTGAAGAGATTTTAATTGTCAGATGTTTTGATAATTTTGAAAATCAATGAGTGATTTGTGGACACAATATTGGGGCGAATCGTTGCCGACGACTCCCGAAGACACCAACATTTTAACCGTTGAGCGCTCACAACTCACAAGAGTTACACCAATTGATCTTCAAAACACTTCCGATAAGTTAGACTTGAATTTGACTGACGAGAAGCGCAACTTTTGGTCACAACAGCTAATAGACAACAGTCTGGTCAGTGATGTGCCGATCGGGTGTCCCGTAATGCTTCAGACCATCAAATTGTTGCGACTTTTGAGACAACTTAACAACGGCTCAAACAATGATATCACCAGACAATCCATTCCTCAACTCATTACATCAAATACTCAACAAAACAATGGTTTAAATATCTTTAAGATTAAGAATAAAGTGATTAACGAAAAAGCAATCAAAGAATTGATGAGAAGATCTGTTGTTATAATTAGTAACTTCTATGGTATTGATTATATGAGTCAATCAGTTATGGATTTATTGGTTGACTTAATGTCTGAATATTTGCATCGTTTGTGTCAAAGAATTCGCATTACAACCGACTCTTCAGAACTCAAGTCTTCCAACGATTTCATTGATGTAATCGACAGAGTCTTTCATGACATGAATGTTTCAAACTTTGAGGCTTTACGTCAACACCAGTCAGACATAAATCTTTATAATCAGAATCTACTTAAAGAAGTGGAAAGAAGAATATCTATAAATGAATCGATAATTAATAGCAATAAAATGTCAAATGAATTACAGACAATAGTGGACAACGAATCGATTGTCGACAACAATTCGCCATCACTTTCATCTAGTATTCAGTCGTTAACCAAAGACACAGAACCAACGCTATCACTCAAATCACTTCTCAGTTCATATAAAGTAATGTAAAATATAGATAACTTTATAAACAGTGATTATAATTAGTGATAAATTGTTTGACAGAGCGATGATGTCCACGAAAACGAACAGTTGTTTGGTTTGACATCTCCTTTAAAATAATTACAGTAATTATAATGTTATATTAAATTTGACATTTTTATTATAATACGGTATATATAGTATTGTTTATAATAAATTTGATATTTAATAATTTATATACAGATTACACACAATACTGTCGCTGACCAATGGATCACACATTTACGTTAATTATTACAATTAATAATAATTATTGCATTTGTTTGTAAATATTTTATAATTTTTTTGGGTAGACTATCAAAATTGTAATTACGGTATTAAATATTTAATTTAAATATTTATTGAATTTAAAAGATGTTGAATTACTGCAAAATATGGTATGAAGTGAATTACAATTTAAATTAATATAATATAACTAAAGCTATGTATTAGTAATTGATATCCTTTTATCGGTGAAGAAATTCTTGAGAATCATGACCTGTCCGACGCCTATAAGTAAGACAACACTGGTTTCGATGAGAGACCACCACAAGACTCTTGTGTTTAAATCTTCTCCCCGTTTCCTTCCTTTGGATTCATTTAATCGATAGTGTGTTTGGGCGTCGATTACTGAGTTAAGACTTTCATGTATATTGGCTGATGACTGTTCCATCTGTAAAGTTATACAAATAAAAGATTAATCATTTAATTAACAATCTTTGATGGGTTGAGTAGTTTGACATACTTTAGTCATAGCAGTCATGTGTTCCTGAGTGCCGGGAAGTGCCGGTTCTTCGCCCACTTGAAAGTCAAAGTAAACTAATTTGTGACTAAAAGTAGAGAACTCGTTGCTGAAGCAGACAGTATACGTGCCGGTCGTGGCCGGTGTCCACGTGAATGTGTCGAACTGCTTCTTGATTCCCTGATATAACACCTCACCTCTTGGTCCCTGAAGACTCATATCAACATCATAGTGACCGCCCGTCACCACCTAATGATACAATCATTTCATTAATATCTCATCACTTCAATTGGTCACTCACTCAACACATACCTGAAACTCGACCGTTGATTTGACGCCTTGTCTGATATCTTCATGAAAGCACTGCTTTGCGTTGTCTGGCAATTCAAATGTCAGTTCAACACTCAAGACATCAACAAAAAGTAACCACAAATACAATACTAGCAAATGAATGCCATATTTGTTCATCTGATTCATCAATTGGTTGATCATCATTGGCCACCGATAAATCACTCACTAATAACAAAATAAGTTTATTATTACAACGGATCCAATTTATGGTAGATTATGGATGTCATCAACAGTTGAGATAATCACCAAATGGATCACTGCTTTCATATATCAGTTAATTGTCAGGTAATGACACTTCACTTCAATTCAATGCATTAATTGGTGTCTTATGTGTCATACTATTGGTTGACAAACAGTGTAAACGACGTGGCATTCAATGCATTGCATTCAAGACATTGCATTTAATACACTATTTTCATCATTACTCTCAACATATGGCACCCAATAGATGGCAATATAACTACAGTATTGTTACTTAAATCATAACTATTTATATTATTAATAAATTATTACAGTTTTATTATTATTAAAAGTTTTAAATAATTAGAGATTAAAAATGTATAGACTTTTTATTATGCGATTCAACATTTTTTAAAACTTTTATCCGACTCTAATATTGATAATTTTGAAATTGTAATAATTCAACATTTAGTTCAACATTATATTTATTTATTTTTAAATTTTTACTATATTATACAACTTTGATTATTTATATAAAACTTTTTTTAAAAACATTTTAAGCAAAACAAAAATGAAAGCCATAAATGATATAATACATAATTATAATACAGTATTAATGATATAACTTAAGTATACATTTAGTTTGATTTGTGGCATCAAAATTAACAGTTTATTTTTAATACTGTATTATTAATAAACTGAGTAAATATACTGTTTTATGTTTCCTCAATGGATCCAAATATTTTAATTTATTATAATGTCTGTTATATATTTTGACCACTAAATACCCATTTGAAACATTATTTATACAAAACATGAAATTGTGTCCACGATTTTATCTGACATTTCTAGTCATAACATTTTTAACTGGTTTTTGTATAGAAAACAAAATTTTTATTATAAAATAAATATTTTGATTAAAAAATAATTATAAGAAAACCTTTTTTAATCTCATAATTTTCAAGTCTTGATTATTAGATCCTATATTTTCTAAACAATTATATGATTTGTAATATTGAATATCTGTTAATTGTATTATTTTGATAAATGATTTAATACTAAAACTATTTTTCTAAATAATTGTTTCAATTAAAAATTAAGATAAATGAAGTATAAAAATGTAATAGTTATCTATATTTCCAGATTTTTTTCAATAAATTAATAGTATTAAAATTAGCATTAATGCAATTAACATGTTTAACAATAAATGTTAATCAATTAACTACAGTATAATATTATATATTTAAAGTTAATATTGAAGTATTTTAATAGTATTTCAAATTACAGAATATTTTAAATTATTTAATTTTTATTTTTTATTCACATATTATCTAAGTGTACAATAAATGAATTATGCATTAGATTTTCACAATACATTAATAATTATAGTTATTTCAGTTAATTTATTATTATCTGTTACTTATTATTTTGGGATTAAACTAAAGTAAATGATAAAAAAGATTAATTTAAATTTCATGCATATCATATACAATGCTATATAATTAGATCCATTGTTAACAGATTTAATTGTTTTAGTTTTAAAATAATTATTAAATACCATTTTTGTTTAAACCAATAATTTATATTTTAATAATATTAATGATATATTTTAAACACACATACAGTATATTGTTTATATAAAACAATAATATAAATAATATTATTGATAAATACAATGATATGTCAATACTCTTGGTCTTAATGTTAATGTTATTAGACATTCAATTCAATTTAAATTAATATTTATAGTATATTACTGTTAATAAGGTCTAACAATTCTATTTATTAATTTAAATATTATAAATCAATTTACATAAAATGCTGATTATTATTATATATAAAAACTTAAAAAATAATATTTATTTATTCTAATAAATAAATAAAATAATTTTAATTAAGAGTAACTAATAAGAGTATTATTATGCATTGATAAAATATTTGAACTTTTAGGCACTGAAAATAACACAATTAAACTTTTCATTATAATAACAATAACAACAGTATTATTAGTTACAATTTAATTATAATTATTAACGATTTTTATACTTTTATTTGTTATTATTTCTTCAACAATTCTTGGATATATATTTGTATAATTATTAATTTTAATTAAAATTATTAATACTACAATAAAAAAATTATTATTTTAATGTTTTTAACAAAAAAAATAGTTAGAAGACACTGTTAATATGTTTAATATTTTAATTAATTTATAGCCTATTTTTAAATGGCTATAATTTTTATGTATTTGGAAGACATTTGATTTTGTTGTCGGCATTTGCCTGATATTTAATATGTTTATAATTATGTCTATTGGAGACAATCTTTTTAAATAACATGAGTTTATTAATTTCTCAAATAAACTAAAATCTTTCAACAATTTTTAACATTATTTTAATATCTTGAGTTTTCTAACACATTATTCAACAATTAATTTATTAATACAATATAATCTAATATATATCTAATTTCTAATACATTGCTCATATAATATAGACTGTATTTAATACTTTAGATTTAATAATATTGTATACATTAATACAGTATATTGCTATTTATACACAACAAAGTGTTCATCAAAATATATTTACTCGTTGTTTGTCTAAATAATTTAAAATTATAATATAAATATATATTTATTATGAACACTATAACTTTTAAACATAAGTCATATTCAATTAAATTTGACACACATTTCAACAATTTTATGATTTTTAGTAAAGATAAGGACGGGAATTAGGAAATGACAACAAACTAATTCATAGATTTCAATATTATGTTAAATATTATATTAGAAAGACGTCGGCAGTGAGTTGTCATTCATTGAAACATAATATCTAATACTATAATATATTCAAATGATAGAAATAAAATTTATATAATTATATATTTGTAATTAAGATATCGGTCGGAATGATAAATATATTAATTTATAAGTCGTGACCCAAACGGTCCAATTCGCTCAACAAGAAGTCAATGTCCTTTGTTTGGACGCCAGAGTTTGATATAATATTGCGAAAAAAGTTGGGTATTTCGCCGACCGGTTGATACCCTATCATAAGTGTTCCCGAATTCATCATTCGTGCCTTTAGTTGTGGTGTTATCTTATTTTAATTAAAATAACAAACATTACTTAAAAACAATAACTCAATCATATACAGTATATATACAGTATATATATATATATATATATTTATTCTATACATTTAAGTTATAAGTAATTCAAGTAATAATTCAAATAAATTGTGTTTAAATTTTATTATTAATAAAATAACTAAATAAAACTTATTTATTTTAAAAATATAATTTTAACAATTTGGAAATAGTTTAAACTATAATTATAAAACTAAAATGTTTTTAAACGAAACTCTTGATACTGTATATTCTATGTACTCTTGTAAGTGTTACATAAAATAATTTATTTTAGACACTATAGTGCTTTATAAAAATATTTGTAAACACTATTTATTATTATTATATTTTTGAAAATTATTGGAATTCAAGCATTATATGTATAAAAAAGCAATAGAGTAGTATTGTACTAATGCTATAAGTTATATAAACTAATCAATAAATACTATAAATAAAACTATATATACTGTAAAACTCTAACAGAAAAGATGCAGTTTTGGCAAAGCTTTTTGATAAAAGCAATGTTTTGCAGCATATTTTGATAACAATGGTTAGCATACCGTTCCCAACTCCTGTATTCTCTGTCGATCGTGTGGTACATTCCTAAGCCTTGTAGGGATATACCAGAAGCTAATATTGACGCATTCTGGCTCCGGTATAATCAAATAAAATTGATCAGGGCGATCCTTTAGCTTTTCAACCATATAACTGTTACATTCCAAATACATTACAATACATTGGATCATATTTTATGTAAAAATAGTTATATGAAAACAATAATGTATTGTATTATTAATTGAATGCATACTCAGTCAAATCAAACAAATGGTCGATATGTCGTTCATAGCCTTCCATTCCCTTTAAATTAATAAAAAATAACAATTGATAGCATTTTTTATTGATATACAATTTAAACAATAGAAAAACAGCTAAATTGCTTACTTTTGATCTCCACATAATCCACAATTTAAATATATCATTGTGTCGACCGCATTGAATGACTTTATCTCCGGTATCATAGCTGACATCATAATGTTTGTCCTGTTGGAACAGATAGTCGGCGCACATTTGATTTGCATCCATAAGTAAACCCTTTATTTTTAAAAAGAAAAAATGACAGTAAGATAACTGTTATTCAAATGATTATTTGAAACCAACATTTTCTTTGAAATGAACGGTTGAACACTGAAGTAAAGTACTCATGAGTTTGTGTGGATTCCAAGTAACAGATCGGGCCCTTTCAATGCCATCCAATTTGTGTCTATGCTTTCGTGACAATAGACATCCTCCTCCCCACGCGGCCTATAGATAGATATGCCGACAATACATACAATTGAAAATACTTTACTCTTGTTTTGTACTAATCAGCTTTTTTTACTAATTCATAATAAATACTTAGTTTCTATGTTTAACATTAATAATCAATTATTAATAGACAGTTTAACTAATAATATGTCGCTAATTGCATATAATGTTTAATTTAAATGGAAATACTATACATCAACGTGAAGCCAAATATTATATTTGTCGGCGATATCTGCCAATGGGTTGATTTGGTCGAAAGCTCCCAAAACGGTGGTACCAGAGGTACAGTTGATAAAAAATGGTCGGTCACCTCTTGAAATGGTTTCTTTGACAAGTCTTTCTAACTCTGATGGTATCATTCGTCCCCTAAACTCAACAAATAATTTATTAAATTAAACTTTGATTATAATTATATGACTAAACTATAGAATATTAATAGAAATTTATTTGCAAACCTTTCATCACAGGGAACGTCAATAACATTATCTGTACCGAAGCCACAAACAGCACCAGCACTTCGAGTCGAGTAATGGCTCTAAAAAAAGAGATGTCTTTTAGTTGCATTGTGTTGTGTCTTAACGAAACCAATTAGACACGAATTGACAATTTCTACACTATTTTTCAATTATATATATCTAATGAATTGCTTTATGGGTCCACTTGACTGACATACAAGAAGTCTGGGTTTAGAGGAACTGCTATTAGCAGTGCTTACGTGTTCTGATGTGAAGAGAACCAGTTGTTGTGAAAGTGCTTTAAGTCCTTTAGCCTTATATTCAGCAAACAGTTTGTGTCGGGCGATGATTACAGCATACAAGTTAGATATTGCACCACCTTTTCATTGGCATATATATATAATTTAATATAATATATATATATTGATATATTGATATATACAGCACTTTAATATATTTCAATAAAGTTATTTAATTTATTATGTATTAAGTTTGTTTAATAACAACGCAAATATAATTAACTTGATTTTTATAAATTACAATAATATTATAAAGTACAATAAATTTACAATGCAATACATTATTAAATTGTATAAATACAAAAAGAAAACAATTAATTAAATTTCCAATAAAAATATTAGTTTATAACTTTTATAACTTTACTAACTTTAATAAATAACATAACTTAATACATAACTGAGAAATTTAATATAATTTCATATAAACAAAATAATAATTAAACCAATTTATGAAAATGTTTTTAAATGCTGTGAAACTAATTGGTTGCTATAATGAAAGTTGAGTGCATACATACCGGGGCATAAAATTGAATCTCCATTAGTAAAGCCGATAATATCTCTCATCTTTTTAAGGATATGATGTTCCATTAAAATAAATACCGGTGCTATTTCGTATGTAAACCTATAAATTGTATAAATTTTAATTTATCAAAAATAACATTTAAAATAGTTTAATATAATAATATACATATTAGTATTAGCGGCGGCCGTAAGCCATTCTCCGGCTAAGGAGACAATGTCGAGACCACACGACAATTGGTTGAAGAAATGCGGATGAGCTAAGCGGACAAAATGTTTACAAATATGCTTATAATTGCCTTTGTTTTGCTTTTGTCGCTTATATTTAAGATTAATAAACTATTGTTGAAACGGTAATAATATGAAATATATTGCAAATAACACCAATCATTGTATAGACAGCTGTTTAACTCATATCAAGCATTTAATTCCCAATCCCTGAGTCAGCCGTCGAAGTGAGAGAAGCGAAAAGCCAAACGACACACGAGTTATGGCAAGAGTCGGGTTGTGATACAAAATAAAAGAAGTTTAATATTATCGGAGGGAATATAACAGTGGATGCAGTTATGTCATCAACACAACACTGTATGATATGTTTGTGTGTCTGTATTTCATGTGCCTAACAGACCTGCTTTCCTACTGTATGTTTGACCGTCAAGTTTACCATCGCTTATACAATCAAAAGAGTGCCTCAAATTATTTTCATTCACTTTCTCTTTTCAAATGTATTATTTGAGCCCTTTTTCATTGTATTTTACAACTGACTGAGCGATTATACAATAGGACATACTTTAAGTGTAATCTTGTGTTTAATTGAAAATAATTCACAAATTACTGAACATTATGTACACTAAATGTTTAATCTATAAATATATTCCTGTATTTAATTAAAATGTTGCCTAAAAATATTTATTTTTTGGTTTTTATAAAAATATAAAATATTAATGAGATTTATAAAATTATGAGAATTAGATAATATTTGCAATTAAAATTAGCTTATTATTTGACTCTATTTTTTAGACCAAAAACACTATTTTATAATTTAAATGTTGTTTTACTGTAACAAATATTAACACTAAGTAAAGAATATTATTGTATATAATTATAAGCAATAACTGGTATATCATTATAACTGTGATTTAGACGGAGAGTCAGTGATTAGAGCACAGTCTCATCACTTTAGCATTTATATGATATTTATAACATAAAGATAACTGTATTTTATATCATAAGCTTAATGTCAGTGAAATGGTAATCAATAAGTTATAGGCCTATACTATATGTTTAAACATATGGTTTGCGCTCTCACTTTCACGCCTGTAATGGTATTGTATTTCAATTTCATATTTTGTAAGTAAGTGTCGGTGCAGTGGCTGACAGCAGTATTGCTCACATTAAATGTAATTTTAGACACTTTTATTATAATATTCTATTTCTAACTTATAACTCAATGATTTGTATCAAATATAATAATAAGTTAAAGTTTATGAAAATATAAATATAGAATCGTTTCATATTTAAAAAAGATTTATGATTTTTATAAAGGAGTATAAAATTGAAAGTTTAGACGAAATGTGAATTTTATTTTAACTGATAGTGCCTTAAGTCGTGGCAATCAAACAGATGACTGATGTTTTAGTGAGTTAAGCCATGTCTATGTTGGACACAGTTATGTATTTTCAATATATGGCTTAGATATAGCTCAATCACTATCAGCACTGTTGCCATACATTTGGCTTATCTTTAGTGAACAAATATATCAAAAAATGTGTTACACAAGTGTAGTACTCATTGATTAGTTTCCCATTCACTTTATTTCCCGACTCTCTCTCTCTCTCTCTCATGATGTTACTCATGTCATATCGGCAAACATTGAATAGTAAGCTATGAACAATGATATATATTTCCCAGTGTTTAGTATATTTATAAAGCACTGCAGTTAAAGCATTCACCCATTGGTGTGTTTTACAATATAACTTTGAGGTGACATTCATTTGCACCGTTCCTCTAATTTCCTGATGTGGTTTCTCTGATAAATTTCATTACAAATTGAATTCAAGTTACTAACGAACCTTCAATATTGCATGTAATCAGTTTTTATTAAATTTTTATCGTTTATACTGTATAAAAGTTATATAATGTAACTTTTTTTTGGTTTATTTCATAATTAATAAAATTTTATCAATTCTAAACTATATGAAACTACAGATTTTCTATATTAATTAAAATTGATATACAGTAGAATATATACAAAATTATATATAATATTTAATTTATTGATATTATATTTATATTAGTTTTTTGTCTATTTGTGAATGTGACTAAAAATAATAATCCTTTAGTTATGAGAAATGGAAAATAATATACAAGTACTGTATAAGAGATTATATTTTTTTTGACAAAAGCAATGGTTGAGAAAACTAAGTGTTTAAATAATAAGTACTTATATGTGAAGTAGAGAAAAGCTAATCATTTAGATATATATTATACCAAAAGACAATCATATGATGTATGGCTAAACCAAACGTTTCATACGATAACTGTATGTCATTTCAATTACTCTCATCTTTCTCTCACTTTGTGTCTCTTTCAGTGATTCTCTCTGTTATTATTTGTGACAAATAAGAGGATTAGAGTCATTCACTCAACTGAAGATTCCGTACTTTTTCTATCTCTCTCTCTCTCCCCTCTCGTAAAGAGAGTCTATAGTTTATGAGTGGTATGAGTGCCCAACATTTGGGACAATAGAAAAATAGTGGCACTGGTGTTGGCAAACGACTGTTCAATTCACTGAGTAGTCCTTAGCGGTGATAACCGATACATACTGTCTTTCCCTTCAAATATATAATATATATCTCTCCCTCAAAAAGTCAAGCGAAACAAAATTGCAATTAATTGGCGCATAAATATTTTTCAATATTCCTTCTCCTATGCCATTATGAGGGACTGAGATCCAGTTCCTCTTACAAACGCTCTTATTATGACTACACTAACATCAACTCAAATATTGAATTTCATAAAGAAAAACAATATTAGTCTTTAATGGCAATGTAAGGCTCGACCAACAAAACAGTGCCTTAAAATGTGTGCGATTGTAGTGTAAGCTTAACTCACATCCCAAAGCACGCCTCATATAACCACTTATTAAAAAATGAGTTCATCTGAAAACTAATTGATAATTTGCTGCCTTTTACTACACAATAACTCTATTGTATGCCAACTATTATATTAGTCGACTTTAAAATGATTTTTTCAGACAAAACTATTTGTTTTGCAAAATAACTTTTTTATATGTTTTATCATAAGTTTTATAATACTGTATTAGAATTGGAAATATTATTAATATTAGTCACATTAGTGGCGTTGAAGTCATTTATAATATATATGTGTTTATGTCGACTACAGCTGACTCCTGTTTTATATCATTATATATATATATATTGTGAAAAATATTCAAATGAATTGCATTGAAAATGTAAAAGACATACCAGTTTTCACTTGATATTTAAGGGCATCTCTACAGTCATTCAATATTTGTCCGATATTTAGTGGTTCGTCGGGTATCGAAAAATCAAACAATTTTTGCAATTCTTCAGGTGTGTGAAAGTCAATCACTTTAGTGGACCTGTCGTTAGATTTTTGAATAAAGTCGAGACATATTTCAATGACTTTTAGCAAGAATTCTTTGGTCGGTTTGTTTCCGTTTTCATTGATTGGAAATAAATCTATAAAATAATGTAAAGTTTAAAATTGCATATAATTTGTATTATATGAGATGTAAGTCGTATTTGTTTGAAAATCATTAAAATATTAGTTAATTTTTTTTATATAATGTAAATAACACTTCAAGAGCTAATTTTAAAGTTTATTTTTGTTATGAAATCAATAATATTTCTAAATTTAGATTAATATAAATTTGTTATATTGTATTACAACAATTGTATAACATTTTATGGAAATAAATATCATTTAAATGAATGGATATGTTATCAAAAAAGTTCAGGCCTTGGATTTCGTACAAAAATACATATATTTACTGATTTCATGAGCCATGAAAAAAATAGACGAATACAGACTCAATCACTGTATGCTTGTGTTTGACTTTATAACTAAAGACTTCATTATTACTTATTTACATATTGACAGTAGTTATATATACTGTATAGTAGTAATTAGTATAAGTAATTAGGTATAAGTAATTTACTCAATAATCCATTTGAATTACATAATAATAATACTAATTATAATAAAATTATTTTAAAACTAAATTAACATTTAGTATAATCATTTTTAATGAAAATAAAAAAATCATAAAAATATGTTAGTGAAATAAAAAACAGGTTTTGATATTTACATAAGCAATTTACTAAATATGATTATTTGTAATTTTCAAAATCAGATATATCACTAAATATCACATTCATAATGTTATAAATTATATAAAAATAAATTATAATTATATTTTATTTATACATAATAACACAATATTTAACTATTATTTTTGGTAAAAATTATAATTTTCTAATCTAATAAATAATGCCACTAAATAGTGTTTATTTTTATAATTTATGAAATGTATATTTAGTGAGTCTCTAGTTATTAGACCCAACATTTAATTTGAGACACTTTTACATAGCGTACTCTCGCGAACCACTGAATGCCATAATTTGGTTGAAAAGAGCAAACGGTGAGCACTAGAGCTACAAAATGATGACTTTCCTCATACAATAGGTTTTCATAAATCCCATCTCTTGAGACTTTTATATCATACAAATAAATACTTTTCTAATTTGAGACCCAAAATCACTGAAGCAGTGATTGAACGATGTTTTGGATCAAACTTATGATTGACTTGTAATGAATGTGTTGTAGACTTTATTTGCTTAATATGTTATTTGAATTATTTAGATTTTTAATAATAAAACTATAAACTATTGTATATTACTGTATAAACAATAAAAATATTTTTACTGATATTTCAAATGATATTTTATTATTAACTTTTTATATTAAAAAAAGATTATTAATATTGTACTATAAATTGGTCACAAAATCCCACAAAATCTAATTAAATGAGTATTTTATTAAAGCCCACGACTTTTCAAATGATTGTATTGTAAACATATTTAACGGCATTTAAGCACTCATTCTGTACTCTAAATGAAGTCTCTATTTAACATTATTCTTGCAATTTATTTGTATAATAGTTGCCTCAAAACATCATACATTTAACTCATTTAATGCTAATTTTGTGTCATTAATGCGATTATAGTACTATAGATAAACATTTTAATCCATTTTGTCAATAAATGTATTTAATATATTTGTAAAAATTAGTGTTATATATATTTAACAAAAGATTACAGTAAAAAACCTGAGACATACCTGTATAATAAAGTTGTGAAATGTTTGTCGAGTTTATTATCTTTTTTTCGTCATTACAAGAACAAGAAGACGCCATTTGGATAACTGTTGTTTAAACTATTATTAATTATACAAATTTAATAAATAGAGATTTAATTATTTTATAATAAATTAATACAAACAATATTGAATTTTGTAGTAAACTAATGGTTGAACTTATATATAGTTAAACTGCTGTCATTCGCATCACTTATTGCCTGTGGACTACGGGATTCAATGACAATATCGCTTATATATATATATATATAAGAGAAGTGGTCGGACTCTCGTTGGATGTAAGAAGTGGTGACGCAATGGCGAGTCTGACAAATGGTAGACTTAAAGACTGCTATTTTACAAAATTCCGATATCTTCTGCAGCTTTGTGTTAACCTCCGCCCACTTCTGGCATTATTTTTGGTATACAACTCTTGTATAGTAAACTAAAATACATATTATTTCAAGATTTTCTAACAATTCATTCAAAATATGTTTCTATCATTTACGCCATCAATGATTTCACATTTTTTTGACTAACTATTTATATAAAGTCAAAGGTTATATAAACTGCGGGGGAGACCATAGAGAGTGACTGAACTATTCAAATGTTATCAAAATTGCGTAATACTTTGTGAGACATAGATTATTATTCATAAATGTTTCACAAATCTATGATTTATTGTCTGTTATTTTAAATTAATATAATATCCTAATAAATAGCTATATTTTGCTTATTATTATCGGTTAAAGTTTATGGACAAATACATACTGTAGAGACAATATATATTTGTAGTAATATTTTGGAGCCATAAAAATAAATAAAGATGAAAGAGATGAGAGATGTGTGTGTGTGTGTGTGTGTGTGTGTGTGTGTGTGTATGTATGTATGTATGTATGTATGTATGTATGTATGTATGTGTGTGTGTGTATGTGTGTGTGTGTATGTATGTATGTGTGTGTGTGTGTATGTGTGTGTATGTGTGTGTGTGTGTGTGTGTGTGTATGTGTGTGTGTGTATGTGTGTGTGTGTCTATGTGTGTATATGTGTGATAGTTTGACATTATATGTGAGAAGTCACTCCCCAAAGGCTTGAGGGATAAAGAAAACGAATCGTTTGGATAGCATTTGTCGACACATGAAATCCCGATATAAACGACTTCAATGATTGGAGAGAACGGAGCACTAAATGATAACTAATGCCCTTTTGGAGCGCATATGCATTCAAATAATAGTTAGATATATGTGCTCAACATTATTGTAATCATTGAATTTAATTGTCTATTATTATATGTTATGAATTATTAGTATTTTCGCAGCATTTTCTATAAATCAAAAATTTGTATATAAAAAATATAAATATTGCTCAAGATTTAAATTACAGTAAAAGTGAAAAAAAACTTATATAATACTGTACTTAACTTTTTGCTTCAATAATTTTTATATTTAATCAATAAATTTTTATATTTTAAATACTTAGTGTTTTTGTTAGTCTATTTAAATCTTAGTTTATATAGACATTAAAATGTGTTTACTCTTCATAACAAAATATATTGATAGACTAATATATATACATATATTAGTAAAACATATTTTATAAATAATAAATTATGTTATTTATTAAAAACAAGTTATAAATGTAGAACTTTAGATTAAAAAAAAATATATTGAAATAAAATACTTTAATAAACTTTGATCAACTTGTAATAAAATTCACCCATTTTGTTATTAACAACAAATAATACAGTAGTCTATGATTAAACAAATTGATAGTCAAACAAAATATAAGTCATTACATCCCGCACTTCAACATGTTATCAATCACTAAATCGACTTCAAATAAAATTTAATGTTTGACATGAAATCATTAAAATTAATTAAATGTGATCTGTTTAATGCTATTTGCATATCATCAATATAAAAAGGGGCAGGCTTATTTACCACTGATACATAAAATTGGTAAATAGTTTGTAAAAATTAATTAAATGAAAATTTTTGTAAATTTCTGTTACCATTAATGTGTTTTTATACACAAATACTAAACAAGATATTCAAATCAAATCAATGTCATGATTAATAATTTACATTTTTATTTATTGTTTAAGTAAAATATATTGTAATTAAAAAGAAATTTTATTTTATTATAAAATTATTATTTTTAATTTATGAACACTTAAAGCAATATCAGTCAAATATAATTATAATTTAAATAAATAATTATCATAACATTTAAATTTGATATTTTTTTAAAATATTTAGATTTTTCATAATCAAATTAAATAATGTTTGACTAATTTGGGAAACTATTAGAAATTCAACAAAATATATTAAAATTATAATTTAGTGATAAATCTATAAATAATTTTATATAAATTTTATATTAAAAGATTTAAATCCTAATAAAATTATGTGAGAGATGTAAAGTCAATGTAGAGTTAGTACTGAATTGTAATTAAATGTCAAATGTGTGAACCATTTGAATGAAATCAAACCCGAAATGCCTCTCAACTGCATTACAGTCAAAGTGTGACACAGAGTGTGACCTCTGGTGTGACACACAATAGGGTCGACAAAAGCAACGGATTTTTGTTAACAACAAAGTAGTCGACTATTTCAGAGTATTGGCGGTATTGGCGACCCCTGTCTTTCATTCATATGTTTCATCCAATGACTGATTGTATTGCTTGTGATGTCATCTCGTGTTATGAGTTGTCGACCAATTGAAGTGATAGTGAAGGCAGTGAAGGGCGGATGCAATCAGTTATTGAGTCCATTGTTTGGCAGTTTGAATGAACCGTTGGTTTGAAACTGATTTGAATCATCAAAAAGAGCCAAAACTCTAACAAATAGTTCAACAGTTGACACAACTGTCAGACATCTGAAGATATCGACCGAAGACAACAATAACAAGAATAATGCCACCGAAGACCAGAACAGATAAAAGCAGTCGAGGAGACACTCAGTTGTGGTCCAACCGAAAGGCAGTATTGATATCGATGTCAATTGCCGTTACATTTCTGGCCGCCACTTATTACGCTTACAATCAGTTCGGTCAGCGATACGTATCAGTGCCTCACTTGCACTCACTGACCGACCGATTAGTTTGGACTCTTCGTTACCAAGTGTTGGGTCTGTCAGTAGTCATACTAACAACTATTAATGTATGGGTAAGCCGTCTATTGAGTCACGCTATTAATCCATTGGCCGGATATGAATCGGTTGTCGAGAGATCCAATAAGATCTTAACCAACACATTGGAACAGTTTGTCATGAATGCCATCAATCAACTAATTCTGTCGACCTATTTATCAGAAAGCAATTTACGATTTATTCCACTATTGAATGTATACTTCTTGATCGGTAGAATTGGATTCTGGATTGGATACCAAATTGCACCCAAATATCGCATCTTTGGATTTATCGTAACTTTTGTTCCGACTCTTTTGGTCTTTTCGTTGAACGCGTACTTCCTTTCGACCACAAACAGCAACTTTCTCTTCGATGGCGGCAAACCTTTCGGACGAACCATTTGAATCCAAAGCAACTCAATCATAGATATAACAAATCTTTTAATATTTAATTATATTTTGTTTTTCACTTCATATGTAATTCAAAACATTTTTAAGTATCTTTGAATATATTAATTCATTGCATGAATTCATTATTTTGTTATTTTTAACCACTCGTTTGAGTAAAAGTAAAGTTATATATATATTGTAAAACTACTTAAAGACAATCATTTTCATTATCATCTCATATATCATACATTTAATCTCAAATCATATTATTTAATGTAATTATTAGAAATATTCATGCATTTCATAAATATATAGAATTATATATATATATAGATTATTATCATATTTCGATTGGCATATATATATATATATATATAATAACCATTACATTAATATACATAAAATGAAATTATACTCAAATAATTAAATTCTTAAATAATAAAATTATAATTAAAACTAGATATGTGTTGAATTCAATTAAAAAATATAAAACTTATTAGTAAAAAATGTATTATTATTATAGTTAATCTAAATCTGGTGGTCGTATCGAAACATCTTTGAAGTATCGATGACTTAAAGCCTTTCGCGCAGATATTCTTCGGTTGGGATCATATGTCAAAAGTTTCTAAAATAAAAAGTTTGGATATAATTAAAGTATTGAGACAAATATGAGACGAACCGCAATCAGATCAATGGAATCCGATTCCATGTTTGGCAACAGTTTGCTTATGTCTTGTTTGGTCCACTGAGGGAATGTTGACTTATAGTCGGGATAATTACTAACTCCGGGCCAAACTTTTTCATCTGGTGTTCCTAATGTTCGAAATATTCGGAACAACTGATCGATTTCAGAGTCTCCCGGAAAGAGAGCTCTTTTAGTGACCATTTCGGCAAAAATACAACCGAGACTCCAAACATCAACTGATGGCCCATAAAAGTGAGAGCCCAGTAGTATTTCGGGCGATCGGTACCAAAGAGTAACCACTTCGTGAGTATAGGTGCGTATGGGAAGTCCAATACTTCGGGCTAAACCAAAGTCTCCTAACTTTATGTTACCGTTTGTGTCAATCAACAAATTCTGTGGCTTAAGATCTCTATGAAGAACTCGATGCGAGTGACAGTGGGCTAAGCCTTGCAATAATTGCCACATATATGACTTGACCAGAGATCGGGCCAAACCACTACTTGTACTGTCCAGCAGTTTCTTCAGATCCTGATTGAGGTATTCAAACACAAGATATAGGTTTTTGTCGCAATGAACCACATCGTGAAGTCGGACTACATTCGGGTGATTCAACTCTTTGAGAAGTGCTATCTCTCTGATGGCTGTCGAGGGAACTCCTTCTGACTCACTATTAATAGACAAACACAATGTCAGACAAATAAGTCAACAAAAGACAACTTACGAGTCAAGTCTGATCTTCTTGAGTGCCACAAGAGATCCATTGTGTTTGTCTTTAGCCTTATAGACGATTCCATAACTTCCTTCTCCAATCTTCTCAATCTTTGAGAAACTCTCTTCAATTGTCTTCATTTTGTCCATCGATTATCACTTAAGTTATACAACTATCGGACCATTCATTCAAATTATAAAATGATTGTTAAATACCAGAAAATGTGAGACAATATTAAAGTGCATTAAAAACAGCCAATCAATGGATATTTGGCGCTAAAACTTATTGTTTAATTCCCTCCCTTTCCTCACAAACACCTGTCCTTTACGTCATTTATGGTAACAAATCATTTAATAAATTCATTTAAATATTAATATTTTTTACATTTCCATCAATTATGTCAACACTTTTGTAACCCTTATTAATATATTATAATATCAGTATTAGATGTTTTAGTATTTATTGAATTTAATCAACTAATAAAAGCAATAAATACATAAAAAATATTTAATTATTAATAGCGTATTAAAACATTGAATAATAATAATAATTAAAATTAAAACAAATAACCATGATTCATTTTCTATAATATCGCTAAATATCACAAATAATAAAAATATGTAATTATTATTGTCATTAATTTATTTTAAAATTTTAATAAAATATAAATTACAATAAATATAAATTTATTCAACTTAAACTATTACAATATTATTAAAAACGTTATATTGTTAATTAATTTGTTTAAATTGACGTTTTGATCATTACTTTTTAAGTTATTCACAATATTTTTTCAACAAATTCCCAATTAATCAATTACTTAATGTTAAATATATTGAAAACATAAGAAAATACAAATCTATTTATTATTTTATTTTTTCTAATGAGTTAGTGTTTATAAATATTAAAATATCTATGAAATAATAAAACATTAGTTAAGAAATTAATTATAAAATGAATTATAAAGAATTAAAAATGAATTATAAAGAATTAAAAATGAATTATAAAGAATTAAAAATGAATTATAAAGAATTAAAAATGAATATTAAATAATATATATATATATATGTTTGATAAGTGCTGTACTTATGTATAAACTAAAGAGTTAAACAATTTGCAAAAATAGTTTTTAGTACAGATAATATATAACAATGTTTTAATATTTAAAATAATGTTTTAACATATTATTATTATATTTATTAGTTATTAAAACAAAATATCTAAAGTTTTAGAAACTGATTGCAAACTAAGTATTTAAGAGTTTGTGGAATCAATTTATTGACACAATTGTCAAGAAAGTCAATGTTTTAACAGAGAAATGAAGATTTAGTGGCACAAAGAATAGTCATTTAATGGTGTAGTTATGAGTCAAGAGCTGGCCATTAATGGTGATCCAGTACTGGCTCCGGGTCCGGGACCAGATTGGCTCTTATTTCTCTCAATATAAAGCTGTAATAACTTCATTTTGCTTGCATTTAATGACGACACGTATGGATTAATCGCATCGGAAACAACTGAATGTATGGAAACCATACAAAAAACAGCGGCCTTACGAACGGCACTCTCGGGATTGTCGTAAGCCTGCGATTCATACAAATAAACAATTAGTGTTTATTATTATAAATTATTTTATTTATAAATTACTTGTAGTAATGATGGCATCATTTGGGGTAATAAATCCATCACAATATGCTTTGGTTGTAATTCAATTAACTATAATATTAAAAATAATGTTATAGATATTAAAATATCATTTTGTCGATAATTGTAGACTTACTTTATTTAACATTTTAATAGCTGCAATGTTAATAGGACTCTCACTGGTTTTAATAACAGAGTTAAGTATTTTGAGGCACTGGTCGGGTGGCAAAACAGCTGCCGCAGTCCCGGCCGCGCCTTCAGCCGCACGAACCACTTCTTTCTCAGAGTCTTTACTCGACTCAAGAATTCGAAGAATAGTTAATTCAATAAATTCAGGAAAATATTTAGTCCTTTTCATTAATAATTCACACATTACTCTTAAAGCCATAGCTCTAATGGCACTATTAGTTAATTCAGTCATTTTATCCAATAAAATACGATAAACCTCTTTGAATCGTTGAGCCCATTCTTCATTACTTCCCTCACGAATCAATTCAATCAAATCATTAAGACTTTCTTTTTGAGATTCGGTATCCTTTGTGTTGGAACGTAAGCTTATAAGAACTATATTAAAGTAAGCACTGTCTTCACACTCAACATATTGTTGACTCCCATTATGATCACCACTGGGGCCACCGTTATGGTTGACACTAACATTAAGGCTATGATTAAGATTATGGCTGCCACTACTATGATTAATAATGTGATCAACAGTATGGTTAACACTCTGGCTTAAACTGTGGTTAAGGCTATGGTTAGCAATATAGCTGTCATTAGTTGGCAATACATGCATGTCATGTATAGTTGACTCTTTATATGTCTTTTCCATATAAACATTGAAGTATCGCGAGGGAGACGCCGACCGACTGCCCGGTTGTGACTTTGAAACTCTTGATTTAGATCGACTCCTATCGGGTGATGTAAGCGAAGCCAAATAATCGGCCCTTTTATACGTAGATCGAGCTGTTAAATGTCATCAATTAGTAAATACAGACAAATAATTTAAATATTTACTATAACTACATAATTATAATTTAATAAATAAACAAAAAATTTAATTAAATTTGATTCACAACACTTACGACTGTTAATAACTTTAGGCTGTGCCAGAGCTGAAATATAGTCAGCTCTTGCTTTAGCCCTTTGCTGTGCCCCCGAATCAATAGCACTGGTAGTTCTAAAGGGAGAGGGCATAACTGAACGTGCAGGTACTGTACATCAATCAAAATAATAAAAATCAAATCAAATAAAACATATTCTATACAAACATGCCTACAAAATAATAAATAACTTATGAATCAAATATAAACCTTCATTTCGTGGTGAAAGGACAGGTATTTTGGATCGGCCGCCGATATATTTAATACTTGGTTGACGACTCAAATTTTCGACCGAACCATTGGAAGACAGACTATTGGTTCGAAAAGTTCGAGGTCTTTGAGGACTCGATTTGTTTAGTGAATTAGTTGAACTCCAGTTCGTCATATTATATTGTTCGCCGTGAAGTATCCGTTGTTTAGTACCATCTAATGAATTAAGCAAATAGTCGGCCTCTTTCTTGAACTTATCAGAGAAACCCCAGAATGCTTTGCGTGCATAGGCTCGGGCTTCGGGATCGGCGTCACAAATGCCTTTTTTAATTGCATCCGATATGATACCCACGTGCTTCTCCAGTGCCTGAGGAGGCCATGTGTATAGTAATTGGGTAAGAAATTCACAACAAGATTTGCGGATCTCTTTGGATTTCGACGATATATTGTATGTAATGACTGGAATTAAACGATTTGTATGAGTCGATTGTATTATAAAACGGATGGCAACCACTGCAGAGCTCGACATAATTTTGGCACTATTTTGAATCAAATTTATAAGAGTTGGTAGCAATGCTTCGACAAATCGGTCACATCTGTAAATAAATTCATTATAATTACCGATAATAATACAAATGCAAAACCACAATATAATACCTGATCCCAAGTCGTTCAGACATATAAGCAATTGTAACGCAAGCCTCGCGAACTACTTTTGATCGCAAGTCTTTAACCGACACTTGGAATGACAGCTCTAATGGCTTTAAATAACCAGAAAACTCGTCAAAGTCTGCGGCGCCGGCTATTAGTAGTGACCGCAAACGCTTCAGTGCTTCTGTCCTTTTCTCCCAATGAATACTTGGATCCGAACAGATCTCTCGGATTTTTGCTAATTCTCTTTCCAGATCTTTGCCCGAAAATATCATAACTCGAGGCACGTCTTCAAACTCATTCATAAACAACACTTCATCTGCAGCACCGGCTTCTGAAGAATATATTTATTTGAGTTAATAAAACAAAAACCATTATTAATAAAATGTGTCAAACAATATATGACATTAATTTTAACAATTGGTTCAATTAGTTGTCAAACCCATTAAGTTAACTACAAGACTAATACAACTATTTAATTATTTATTATTATTTATTTAGATTAGGTTTGGGAGGGGTGGGTGTGGGTCGGGGTTAGAAAGTGGGGGAAGAGGTAGCAATTGGTTTCATCCATAAGCAGTTAAAATGCGGTTAAAATGCGCGTCAAATGACATAAATGAAAGCAATGTATTGCTAATCAAATCAGTGGACAAATTCATATAATTTTATTTTATTATAAAATATGTTATTATTTTAGTACTAAATAAGTGTAAGAAAATATAAAAATATAATTTAATGTATTAAATGATTGACACATTCAATGATAATAGTATTACTTGAGTTGGCGTCCATTGAATTGATTTTATTTGTATTTAAGGCATTCCTCTTGACTGGTGGTGCAGAAGTGGCCCGTTTTACTACAGGCTTATGTAGACTCATCTGATTTATAGTTAACACAAATATATATTAATTATATATTTAATTCAAACTATTGATTAAATTGTTTATATTTTCCTTATAATTAAGGGTTAGTTTTGTGAGTCCTATATATATATATCAAGTTTAACAACGAAGCAAACACTCAAACACTGTATATAATACTATATAAGTGCTGTATATAACTATATATACACTATATATACACTATATATACACTATATATATATACACTGTATATATCATATATGGTATACTATAGAAACTCCCTTACAGTTTACACACATTATATTGTATTCAATATATTGTTGTATTAATAATACTGTAATAATATTTTCATTATAAACTGTCGTAAATGTTGATTCATTCATGAATTACGTCAATTAATTTAAATATATTTGCATTTATTTAGTTTAACAAATTTAGTCTAATTTGTTAAAAAATTAAAATTATGTGGATCAATTTATTAATTATGTATACAATATATTAATATCATTAAACATTAGATTAAATAATACTATTGTTTAGTTTATTGTATTGTATTGTAAAATAAATGTAATAGTTTTGAGTATAGTTACCTAATCTACTGTTTAATAATCTAATACTGTTTATTGTATAAAAATATAGTACAAACACTTATAAATAATTAATAAACTATTGAACAAAAATTAAACTAAACTATTGATGATATAAATAGTTAAATGATATGATTTTGTATTTTCACGTAATATTTGAATTGTATTTTTTACGATTCAATCAATTGATTGAAAAATTGAATCTAATGTTCGCTAAACTATTATATGGCATAACATTATACTAATGTAGTAATACTGTAGTAGTAGTGATGCAATAGTGACATCACATCACAACACACTATAAACTTCATAAAGTAGTATAAAGTATAGAAATAATCCAATTTATGTTAAATTTAAACCTAATTTATAATACAATACAACTCTAAAATATAAATAATTAAAACAATAGTGCAGTTATTGTGCGCCAAAATTGTCCAAATGGTTAAAAGATTTTTTGGTAAATTTGTAGTTTTAAAGTTCAAATTTTACAGTAAAAAATATATCAAATTTATAGTTATATAAATTAAATAATTTTTTAAATAAATTAAACCAATAAATATCATCCGATAGATTTTGTAGGTTTTCGCTAAAAATTTCTTTTTTTAAATTTTATTTGTCTCATATTGTTTTTTATTTAATAATATCATTAATTAAATAAATAAATATAGTATTTAATATTTAATATATTTTAATTGTTCTATAATATAATAGATAGTATCTATAGTTTGCCGACAATAATAAAAACTTTATTAATTTTTAGATAAGATTAAGATGTATAGTTTATGGACTTTTTTAATAACAATTATTAAAATTGAAATAATTATTTTAGTAAATAATTGATTTAATTTATATTTATTGAGCAACAATTGAGACACATGTGAATCCAATTTGATGGCTAATAATAATAATAACTGTAAACTCAATTAATATTTTTGTTTAAAATTATTGCAATACTTTTGAATTGTTTGAGCACTTTATAAGTTATGACTTTATAGCGGTTTTGTTATAAATAGTAACTTAAAAATTATTTTAAAATCTAAATCAATCGGTTGTTAAATTTAAGCCATTATTTGAATTAACAGATTGTCAGACGATTTCATAGAGTTATCTCTAGTTTATTGCCTTTTCTATTAATCTTTGGGGGACCGGTAGTTATATCTGGTGGTCCTAAACATCGAAATATAAATGTAACCATATCTTTACCGAAGTTGGCTTCAAATCTGAAATTAAAAAATATTTATTTATTTATAAATAAAAAATAATTTAAAATAGTATTAAATTCATTACTCGTTACTAATTTGAATTTCTGGTGGTTTTCCCAAAGCATTTTGAATAACTAAAAACAATTTCGTTACTATTTCTATAACATGTGTTGACTCAAACAAAAAGGCTTTTCTCTCATCAATACCGCTCTGATCCTAAAAAATAATAATATTTTCAATATTTTGATAATTGATAAAAAATTGAATAATTATTTCAATAGACTATATAACTAGAACTTAATACTGTATTATAAAATACTAACATAAATAGTATGAATGATAACAATATCATCCATATAAGGACTCAATGATATTCTATGAATGTGTTGAACAGGTATCCGATACTTGCATTGCATAGTTCTCTGATCCATAATTATCATAGCACTTGTAGTTATGATAAATAACTTTTGAACAAACTTTTTTGACAAATAAAAATTAATTATTTATAATTATTATGATATGACAAAAATATAAGTCAAATAAATAAATTTCAAGTACTTTTCCTCCACTTTTAGTAATTTTATTGACAATATCTGCAAACACGACGTATTGATCCCCCAATTCAAGTGAACACCTTTTCCAGCGAACACTTTGTCTAAGTCTGACGTAATCGCCTCGGAATGGATGCCAAACACTCTTCTTATATGAAGTCTTTCGGTCGCGAAATATCAAACTCGCCGTTACTTTCTCTCTCATTCGGTTTCGGGCCGTTTGATCGAAACGTAATCGATATTTATGGCACTGAATATACATTAATAATACATGTATTATATAAATCGATAGTAAAATAGGAAAGAATAGGATTTTTAGAAATAATTTTTTTCATCGATAAAATTAGGGTATGGCCATTTACCCCTTGGCCATTGGCCCCCCCCCCTAAGAAAGACAAATAGACCCTAAAATTTAATTAAATAATTAAGTCAAAAATGAAACAAAAAGAAAAAAAATTATTATTTAAAAAAACTAATTATATTACAAGTAAATATAATTTTAAGATTATAATAATAGAATATACATGATTTTATAATGTTTTTATTAATTATTTTTACCTTTTAAATGCATAATTATTACATATTTTTAAATTTTTAGTCAAAATAAATTAATTGTTATTAATTTAAGAATTAACAAAATGAAAATATTAATTGAAGAAAAAGAAAAATAATAAGTATTACGTCAATATTTATCTAAATTTTAAAAATATCTAAAACATTAATCTATTTAAAATATGTACTAAAAAAACTAAAACATAAACTATTTGTTCAATAAAGCTATTGTTAAAAGTAGAAAATCATCTTAAAATAATGACAATAACTTATACTGTAAACATAAGGGATAAGATAATCGTAGGTAATAAATATGTAACGGAGAGTTAGAGTAATATTTGTATTAATATACCTATTTTTTATGGGAAGTTTTAAATGCGAATATTCAGGAATTTAAGGAATTTTTAGAGAATTTTCACTGACTTCCTCCTTGATTTTGAAATTTAAAAAATTGTCGTCTAAAAATGCACTAAAAATGGACTAAAATTGGACTAAAAATGCACTAAAAATGCACAAAAAATGCACTAAAAATTCACCCCATCCTATACCCCTTAAATTTTTTATGAGATTTTTTCCATTTTACATATTTCCCTATAAAATCAATCAAATCTTGCTTAACTCTGAATATAACGTAAATTCAAAATTGCTTAACCAATGTTTATGGTTATACCACAAAAAAACAATAATTGCAAATAAAATATTTTCCAAAAGCTATTCTCCAAAATGTCAAATCTATTCTAAATTTGATTTAAAATAAAATATATAGTATTTGTAATATAAAATGCTTTTTAAACATACCCTCCATTTATGGTAAAGTTTGCGCAGAATATGATTTGTTGTCTGTAAAGATCTCGGCGCTAACGGCCACTCACGGCTTATTGGGGACAAAGAAGGTAATCGTCTCGATAACCATAATAAATATCTTTTACGCTTTAAATTAAATTAATTGTTATTTTTTGTGTAAATTAATCAAATGTAAGATAACATACTTTCCAAATTCTATAATTTTTGGCAATAATTTTTTGGCTCTTAAGTAATTGCAAAAATAGTCTCCTTTGAGTCCAACCCCTCCACACTTTTTTCAGTAGAGTTGCCAATTCATTGAGTCTTTCAGTGCGATACTCATCTAAATCTATCATCTGAACAAAGCAAACAAACTAAAAATTACTAAAAATTATATACAAATAAAACAATTGTTAAATTTTATGTCATTTGAATAATAGTTTAAGTTATGCATCAATAAATTTTGTACTTAATTATATAACTTAATTTAAGTTATATTATATATTTGTTTTGTGGCAACAAAGTTAGTTAAATTTAAATTAATTAAAAATAAGTCTAATAAACGTAAGAATAGAAATAAACATAACTTTCAAAATATTTAATAAAAAAGTAAACATTTGAAAAATATAAACTAAATATAATTTTTAAATATATGAAAATATAAATACCAGTCTAATATTTTTGATAAAAATCTTAGTCTTTCCAAAAGCATATTCTGATGAATGAATTGGGAATTGTTTGAGCAGAAGTGTCACCCCTTCAACAGGACTACCTTTCCATTTGGGCCAAGTAGTCGATGATATCATTTTAAATCTTCTCAAAAACGATTCATAATCTTCTTTATGAAAATATCCTGTTTTTCTGAGTTTTGCAATTTCGAGTAACAATTGATACCTAATCTGATGCTCAACTAATGCCGTTTCAAAAATTTGTGGCATTTTTATGGCATTAGGTTTAATGCATTTTATAAAATGAATGTCTTTTGATTGTATTTTTTTGGTGAGCGCACCGATTGATATCTTAAATTGATTGGCTATAGAGACCGGCTTTTTTAGATGAGTTCGGTAGGGATTACCCTCTGGGAATAGGATCTTCAATAATGGGTGTTCACTTTGAAACATAACATATGATAAATCTCTGTATAATATATCATTGTTTTTGTCAACAAAACCATTTACAGAATAAGTCACCTAAATATATATATATATATATATACAAATTATATTTAATATAGTTTATGATAATTTTTTGTATTATATTTTTTATATACAATAAAAATATTATAATAAAAATAATTTTTAATAACTTAAATAAATTAGCCTTAAATCAAACATTAATTATTTATGTTATATACAAGTATTGTGTTATAATTATTATAAATATAAAGCGTAATAAAGTAACATACAGTTCCTGCAAAATGTCTGACTCGAAAGCAGTGAAGAGGCAATGGTGGCAGTGATGAAGCGCTTCCGGGATTATGTGATTCACAAGAAATATTCAAATGAGGCACTACTACAAAGTTTTTGCATCCGTGGCTTTCATAGTATGGGTTGTCCTGACTGTCAAAGTAAGGATTATTTTCACAAACATTACTTAAGTTTTGAAGGAACGTCTCATCGGTTGCTGGACTGGGTTTGTGACACTCCTCGTCCAATAGATATAGTATTCCGTGATTGTTCTGATTGTTATAATTCATGTAATTTATTAATCATAACTTTTAATTATTAATTAATTAATATTAAAGTTTTACATACCTTTTCAATTAACTCACAAATAACATTATTATTAAAAAATTCTATTTTCTTCCATTGAATTCCCTTAATTTAATAATTAATATACAATAAATATAAATAAAATACAATTATTACAAGTATTTATTTTATTATAAACATACACGAAATATAAACAATATTTATCATTTAAACTTATATTGTACTCACTAATAGTATAGTTTAAATGCAACTAAATATAGTATTAAATTTTGTCTATATTGTTTGTATATTAAACAAAAATCTATTTTTTATAAATTAAAATTTTAATTAAAGTTGATTATTCACATTATATTATTTTTCCAAAGTAATTTTCTCAAATTTACAAGAAAATCTTTAATAGTAATATTATTTTGTAATATAATATTAATATTAAAAAATAATTTTAATTTTTTTAAGAAAATATATTTTTTAATTATATACTAATTTTTACAATTAGTATTACAAAGCCATCTGATCTCTGATTTAAAAGTAATTTATATATAAGTTTATATATATTCACATAAATACATGATTAAAAAATTTAGTTTTGATAAAATAAATTATGGATATATATAATAAAAATAGTAGTTATTAATCATGTCGTATATATATTATTTAATTTAATAATAGTATTATACCGGTATATACAGTATAATAGTATTAATAGTCTTATAATAAGAATCTATAAAAACTATAAAAGTTTGTTTGTGTTTGTGTTTGTGTGTAAATAATTTGAATAAAACAACACTTACTTCTTTAATATATAACTCCTGTTCAAACTTTAACGTGAGATCAATATAAATTTGGTGTAACTTTTCATTGCAATAATTTATTAAAAATTGTTCGTAAAAATTTTCCTAAAGTAAAATTTAAATAATAGTTATATAAAAAAATAAACAAATAATATGAATATATTCTTACTTGAAAAACTTCAAACCCATAAACGTCAAGAATACTAACAGAATTTCTTTTACTAACAAATTTAGCCTGGATCAATATATATATATTTAATTTAAATATTTAATTAAATTATTTAATTTAAATAATAATTATATTTACTTTAATTAATTCATTGATTTTTGCTATAATCCAAGCAAAAAGACGATTATAAAGTGCTTTACATAAGGCATCTCTTGTTTTCCTCGCCTGAAATATATTAAAAGATTGATTTGTGTTATAAAAAGTGATCAGATTTGATGATATACTTCGACAGAACAGAGATCAGCGACAAGAAGCTCATGTCGTGACTCAACGATTCGTTGCGTAAATGCGGTCTCCATTGCCGTCACGTCTGCGGCCAATAGTTCGCACACATCGTAAAGCTCTTCATTAGAAATAATATAAAATATTTTATATATTTATTTCATCGAAAAAATATATTATTTTTTAGTACACAAACCGTATTCATTGAGTAAAGCACAGCCTTCTGTGCCATCGATGTTGGCTTTGGGTATAAATTTTAAATTTCCTAATTTAAGGACAGCGGCTATTATTTGAAAAATTGAAACAATATCTTCGGCAGTAAATCCAATAGTTTCCATGGCTTTCTGTTAATGGCAAACAATTAATTAAAATTTTTAAATATAATTATATCTTAAAACTTAATAAAATCTAATACAAACTTTTGTTATAAAAAAATTATTTTTATCATCAAAATCATCGGATTTGAAAGATTGGGTGTCATTAAAAATAGTATAACATTCAACATTTCGCTGAAGTTTTAAAAATTCTAAAAAAATATTTAAATATCAAATAAATAAATTACAATATTATAGCTATTATATTAATAATATTAAATAATATTACTAAGTAAAATGAGTTAACTATATAAAAATCCTAATAATTAAATTATATTATAACTAAAAAAATATTAAAACATTACTTAAGAGATGTAAATCAATTCCATAAAGCATTTGATAAAATATATGAAAATTTCTTTCACCAACTGATTGATTAACAACACGAGACTAGAAATATAAAAAATGTGTTTAATATTTAATGCATTGAAAAGTATTTTTAATATTTATGTTATAATATGAATACACAATATATGTATTGAAAATACCTTTTCCAACAAATCTAACGAAGCATTTTTAAAATTAAGATTTTTAGTTAGTTAGCTATTGTTGTTATAAAATAATATGTTATTATTAAATAACTCACAATTAGTAATACTTGCGCCCATAGGATCTCCTTTAAAGTCAAATTCAATATCTAATAGCATTCCCTATATATTTGAATGAATGAATGATATATTAATATCGATCTAAAATAGAAAAAGTGTTGCAATTTGTTTTCATACAAAACGCGATGAATTGTTATTATGAATTGTGACTGCATTACCAAAAGCTAATAAATAAATATATAAAGACATTGATGTAAACCATAAATATATGATTGAATTGATGGCAAACCTTCTAAGATATCATTTAAACAAAGCAACTGTTCCTTCAAATATTCAAGATTTCTTCGACGACTTGAACCATAGATTAGATATTGTAATACTATTTTTGATGACTCTATCAATTCAGATGTTAATTCAATTAATTAGAATTTTAAATAAAATTTTTAGATATCATTTTATAAACTATCTATTAATGTCTAATTATTATTATTATTATTATTATTATTATTATTATTATTATTATTATTATTATTATTATTATTATTATTATTATTATTATTATTATTATTATTATTTATATATAATTGTTTTAATTATACAGTAACTGTAAACTGTAACACATGTACTGCAAGGAAGTGTCTTTTGATTTGCCAAAAACTAAATTTTTGAAATTGAATATTAAATAATAAAAAACTTAGAAAATTTAAAAAATTACCCGTTTTTCCAGATCCACTCTCTTATTAAAAAAATAATACAAAACTTTTTAGTTTTATAATATTAAATAATCAACAAAAAGCAGACATACCTCCCGTTGCAATAATACATTGATCGCGATTTCGCTCTTTCATCAGTTGAAACATATATTCTGTTATTGCATATCTTAATTAATATAAAAAAAAAAATAATAATAATACAAACATTATTTTGAGGAGTTAATACAATTTATAAAATTTAGTAGAAATTGTAAATATTTGTCATAAAAATTAGATATTAATACAAATGTGGCGGTAAGTCGAGTAGATTGTGGTGTTGATAGGCAGCAATTACTTCAGGCGAATAAAAAGATAATTTTTTGTGTGGATTGACGGCAATAACCATTGTTCCGATATATGTCTGTATTTATAATATATAAAAATATGATATTATTTATTAAAATTATTAATAAATTAAAATAAACAAATAAAACGTACGTATATTTGGTCGCTAATATATCGTTGATAAAGATTATGGATAAGTGTTTCTTCAGTTAACGGATCAATAGCAGTGATATCAGTTTGGCCGACCTCTTGGTCCAAACAGAGGACTCCATGAATTTCTTGCCATAATTGCATTGACATTATATATACAAACGATCACAATTGAGGCAAAAACGACCACAACTTGCAATTAGTAACAAATACATCAATCCTTGTGTCTCATCATTATGTATGTCATCCAAACATTTCTCGATTCTAATTGTAGTAACTTTTAATTTGCCAATAAATTGTAAAATAAATTTATTATATTTTATAAAATCATTTTTAAATTTTAATCATAAAATTATCAATATTTTCTGTCAAAAACATTTTAAATCTGAATAAAAAAAGAAATAAACAAATAATTAATTTATCAAAGATATATTTAAATCAATTTTATAGTATATTAATATATTGACACTATTTTAACTAATATAAAAATATATATTTAATTTAAGGGCGTGTTTCGAAAAAAAGTAAATTATAAAAACATGAAATAATTACAATAGTTATCATTTGAAATGAAAGCGAAGCGCCAAATATTATTAAATGAATGTATAGTAATGTATAAAAAATATATTATCAAACATTATTTTAGTTAAACATTGTGTTAGATAGTGATAGAGACTGAGCTAATAATCAATAAAACATCAGTTAATGCGCTAATACTCACATCTGTTCACTCATTATTTTGATTCACTTCTCAATTGATTCCCAATCTATTGTAAACCATTCAAACACTATTGTCTGCCATTATATTGTTGTTATAACACAATTTCAGATATTATTATATAAATTAAGCATTTTTAATGATAATTTTTTATTTATATAAATGAAAAACACTTAATATCGAAGATAATGGAAGAAATCAACATTAATTTATTACTGGTTTACTCTACCATATATTGCCATATATTGAATGCTTTTTTAGATTTATATAATCTATAGTATCTATTATATTATGTTTGTTGCTCTCAATGCTTTCCTTTTGCCTTTTCATTGCTTTCTCAGTGCTCCCTAAGTGCTCTCCCAGTACTCTCCCAGTGCTCTCTTAGTGCTCTCCCAATGCTCTCTCCAATACTCTCCCGCATCCTTTCCATCGCTCCCAACATCGGTGAGAAACAACACTTACAACACTCCCAATTGACTCTTAGCTATATCTATGATAGCAGTCATAGCGCGCATAAACATTGTGTTCACCAAATGGTTTGACTATCAGTTGTAACTTTCATTCAATAATATGTTTTTATAGTTTTCATATTACTTTCTAAACTAAACATTTGTTTCTTTCATATACTATAATCAAACATCAATTGCCATAATTTTCAATGTATTTTCAAACTTAGATTATATTAAATCTACTGTTGAATAAAATTTATTCTTTGTTCAAAATTCTTTGTATAAATAATTTTTTATAATTCAAGCATTTTATCTTATTTAGGTTATTATATCATATAAATATATTATTTATATTATATATTTTACATTAAATTATTGTAATATTTAAAATATATGCATCTATTATACAGTATATATAACAGTGATCTATTGTTTAAAAAACATTTACGGTAAATATTGATTATAAATACGATTATGATATTAACGAGTATTTAATTATTATTAAATCAATTAATAATTTATCAAATTGTTTTTTATTAATTTATCTAATACTTATAACATGAATTCAAATATGATTTCATTAATTGTCTGTTTAAATGTATTATAAATATCTTTGTGCTTTCTATTATAATTTATAAAGTGATTACTTAAACATTATGTTAACAGTTAGTTAGGATGTGCTCTCATTTATAAAACTATTGATTCAATAATGTATTGAATGACAGAATAATTATTGTAGTTTTCATTAATTTGAAAGTTAATGCATCGATCAATTAATGTTGTATTATTAAATAAGTGAAATACTTTTATCACACCATTTATATCTCAATATAAAACTTTTTTTAGTTTTATCACTACTTTATTTATCATATTTTTAGCGTTCATTTAGTTCATATTTATACTGTAGTATAAGTTATAATATCATAATTTAATTTATATTATATTGACTCTCAATAAACAACTAAAGTTACATTAAATATAAAGTTACATAAAAAATAAAAATCATGTGAAAACTTGTCATCAGATTAAACTTTTAAGGAAACACTTGATAGACAATCACTATTATAACTCCATTATATAACTGTTGGACTTAATTCAAACAAATATTTTGCTAAAAAAATAACAAATAATAAATACTCTCTAAAAATAAATATTAAAATTATAAACTATTTACAAAACTATTTTAAGAAAGGACTCAATTAAAAACAATACAAATAGTAAACAATCCTTTGAATACATACCGTAATTGCTAACAAATTAATGCTAACTGTCGTAGACTTCAAGGCTGTCCCCTTATTGTCGCCAATAAGATATTTTTGGCTTTAAGTCAACCCTTTTATAAATAAAGTTAAAAATCAAGTTTATGGTAAACTTGGCATTTATTTAGCATTTTTTACATAAATACATATTTATATTACGGTAATTATTGTAAAAACTATTTATTTAATTATTATTAATTGAATGAATAATGAATAAAACAAATGCATAATTTGTTTCATTTGAGACAAAACAATATTATTGTAATTTAATAAAATTATAGCTATATTTCATTTAAAATAAATTCAATACATATCTTAAGTAATTTTTTAAATACAATTTGAATACAATTGAAAACCTAATAAATTTATTTAAAACAACTAAATTATAATTTGATTTTTAAGAGCTATTATTTAATCGATGTTCTTATGTCAGACAATTGCCAGCAATGTCTTCGTGAGGTTAGATCTAATTGATGTAAACTAAACATTGATAGTCCGAGTCCTGCAAAGGTTAACACAAATGCTGATGGAGTCAACAGTCGATCCAATTTTGGCCTCTAAGACATCAAATCACTTCATTAACATCACATTAACTTATCATTTATTTAAGACATACCTGACTTGTATTGACTGTATTGAGTGAATTGTGGGACAACCTATTGGCCAGACCTACGATGCGAGTCATGTGTGAACTGATCATACTATCAATGGATGAATGGTATGGATGTCCTCACTCTTCACTTCCTAATACATACAAAAACATTCATTTATTTATTCAAACAATTATTTCAACAAAATTTTGTGATTATAATAAATGCTATTTTATAAATAATTTTATAGATAATTATTTATTTGTTATATTAATTAATTAAAAATTAAAAAGCAATTCAATTAATACATACAATATTAATACATTTAATACATGCGATGGTTTGCAGACATTAACCACAACGGAAAGGGATGTCAATACATATATAGTCACACAAAATGCACGTCATTTATGACGATATGACATAACATAAGGACAGGTATTATTTAAATTAAATATTTAAATCATAAATTTTACCAGTGCTCAATATAAAGAAAATTAACATTAATATAGGATAGTATTACTCTATAGTATAATATTAATAGATTTGTTGACCAAATTGGTTAACAACATTAAGTGAGGACAGTATGTGTGTCAGTGTATGATAAGTCATGTCAATGACCCGTCACTTATGTTAGTGTCGTATGACTACTGGTATTGTATTGCATATTATATTTGTATTATTACTGTAGTATTAATTTAATTAAATTATTCGGCAATAATATTATGCAATAATTTTGTTAACTCTTAACACTGTTTGTTATACATTAGACGCATTGGTTTTAGATCTCATTTAATTTAAATTTAGTTAAAAGTTAACATAAATTTGGGAAAAAACAATTGATGGCAAACAATATAAATGTTATAATAAATAATGGTATATACAGTACAGTACAGTATAGTAAAGTTCTGTATCATTAAACACTTTAACCGTAAATAATTATATTGACGTGAATTTCATGTTTAATATACAATAGGAGGGCCCCTCTAAACAAAAAATTTAATGTCAGATAATATTTTATTTAAAAGTTTTAAAACTTACTTTCAAATTATAAAGTATATAATAGTAAAAAAGATTAAATTATATATCATATATAAATTTTTTATACAAAAAACATGAAATAAGTATAAAATTCAGTCAAAACAGTTATATTTATATTAATATATTGTTTTATTTACTATTTTAAGTACAAAACAACATTTGTTTAATTTTTATACGTCAGTGTCCTATCAAATATAATTATAGACATGTTTTATGGAAAATTGTTTATCAATTTTTTTGTTAGAAATAATTGTTGTGATAATACAATATATATGATATATTAATATCAGGGTTAAGCAAGGTTTTGGATTTTTTGGACAATTGGCTGAATACTAATTATTTAACTTAATTTTTGTTAAAGTTTTAGTTATAATAATTATAAAATTAAAAATATTTTTTAATTATATAATTAAAATTTAAAAATTATTAATAATACTATATTATAAGTATTTATTGTTTTACTAACTTTATTTATCTTAAACTTCTATTTAAATTATAATATGATTACTGTCTTTTGAAAAATAGGTAATTTTTAATTTTTTAGTTGAATATTTTAATTAAAATATTATTTTTAGATGAGTTTTAAAGTGATTTTAACTATTTTACTTAATTTTAATAAATAATTTGATTTATATAAATTTTAAAAGCATAATAACATTTACTAAAATAGTATCAATTAAAATTAAAATTATAATAAACTTCAAAAAAAATTTCGGCGCCGAAATTTTAGGACAATCATTTGTCATCGTTATTATGCAACAATTTTTCCAATTTTGTCAAAAAGTCTGGTTAAATCACAAAATCTCCATCTTATGGGGGTATTTTAGCCTTACCCCCTCCTACCCTCTTACTTAACCCTGATTAATATATATATTATTTAAAAACTTTTCAGTAATGATATAAAATAAACGATAAAAACTGGTCAAACAAACAATCAAAGTTTATTAACACAAACTACAGTACATTATATTATATGATATGTCTGTCTATGTGATTGTATGAATAAGTAATGTCCTATAATTTAATGACTAAATGGACAAAATTACAGACAAATATTATTTCATCAAAATTTTACTTTTTTTTTGTTAAATTTAGTTTATCTTTGGGTGAGTAAGTAATGAATAAGTGGGTGAATTGGTGAGTATGAAAGTGGGTGTGTATTTCATTAAATGCTGCAAATTGGTGTGAGTGGGTTAGAAATAAAATCAACTAGGTATAATTATTAAAAAGTTTGTTCTAGTAATGATCAAACATTTTTGAAATACAATATTAATTATTTGATACTAGAATTGTTTATTTCTAATATAAAATACTATATATAATTGTGATTTGTTGAAACCTCTTAATAATCAATTAGATTTTAAAAATAATAATATTAGTAAATTTTCAATAATTCAAATGATATTTAATACTGTATTTAGTGTCAAATAATTTTGGTCTAAACAAGTGTTTTGAATGTGTTTTTTATTTAAATAAACAAAAAAGTTTGTTGTCTTACAATATATTTATATGAATTGCTTACTTAGAGTTTGGATACTTTGAATGCCATAGATATCAATAATATGATATTATGTCAAATATTAGTTGATTTTTGACGAATAATTTATTATAAATCTTATCAAATAAGTTAATAGAGTCTAACTATGATAGTTAGTATAGTTGATTAATTATATAAATAATTATCAACAATATTTATTTTTTATTTGTTACCTTGCTAATTTAATGTTTATTTTCCTTTAAATTTTAATTATATCTGCAGTAAACAATACAATTTTAATAATTTTATCAAATTAATAGTTTATAGATATACCGTATAATATACTATTATTAACATTTAAGTGTAAAAATAGGTAAAACCACTATAAAAATATATTGCAAAAAATTATCAATGTCTCTATAAAACAGGAAAATCCAAATATCTTATCAAAGCATAAAATTTAATGTAAATTAAAAACTAATTTATATAACTATAAGACGATATTTGGTTCTTATATTAGTTCTAGATATCTAACATTTAATGTAAATTTTTATTTCTATTAAAAACTATTATACAAATGAATGTATATAATGTATATATAATTAATATAGAATTAAAATAATTAATTAATAAATTAATAATTATAATGAATTTCCTATATTTTTCTTGCAATAATTATTTAATTTCCAATTTTCCTCATATTTTAAAAATCCTATTTTTACGAGTTATATAATATGTGTAATACATAGTATATAATTAAAAACATATAATTAACATAAAGTTTAAACTTTAGGGAAAATACAGTAATATTAATAGTAATAATGTTAAAATCATTTCCTCAAATACAGTACAATGTATATCATATTATCTAATTTATTAAAATATACATTTTGTATACACTATTATTAAATACATTGTATTAAATGACATTCAAACAAATTTGTTTATTTAGTAATTGATGAAAACAATTGATCCAAACAAAGTTGCAGAAACACAATAGACATGTTTATCTCATTTTTTAAAATGTAAAATATATTTATTAATATTTATTTGATTTGTCATTTAATTACAATAATTAAATAATTTGCATTTTTTAATCAATTATAATTAAAAAATAGTCATTTAATTATAAGGCAATAAATTATAAAATTAAAAGTAATTAATAAGTTAAGCAAATATTTGTCATTACATTACATGTACTGTACTTTGAATTACATAATAATTGAAAACCATTGACACGAATACCGGTTACGAGTCTTAGTATTCAATAGTAATGTGTTTTACAATGAGTTCCCTATAGTTGTGATGAGTAAGTGATTCGAGAGTCGATTCAATGATTTAGTCAATGATTTAGTCAATCAATTGAAGACTTATTGAAGCGTTGATCGCATTATTTGTGGATTTTTTGAGTTCAACTAATTTTATCACCAAATCGTATGTTTGGATGACGTCATCACTGAAGTGGTGGCAGTAGTGGTGGCACTCAAATAAAGACAGTTATTGTCAAACACTGACACTTGAAGACCAGTTAAAGACTTTGCAAAATCCAACACATATTTCAAAGAAAACAACAATGAGTTCAGTGTTTGAACTGTTGGGTCGTTTCACAGTTTTTGTGGCTATTATTTGGATCTTATCAAAGATTTTGCGAGGACTGTGGACATCGTTTGTGGCATACAAGTTGGGCTTCGGTGTCAAATGGCGGCCATCAGACAACACGTGGGCCATAGTCACGGGCGCTACCGATGGCATCGGCAAAGCATACGCCCAACAAATGGCTAAAAAGGGATACAATTTGTTAATAATTAGCAGAAATGAAGAAAAACTAAAGAATACTCGCGAAGAGATATTAGCCAAACACAAGAAGTGTTCACAAGTGAAAACCCTTGCCGTGGACTTCACGTCTAGTGATATATACGATCGATTGGAGGCTGCGATCAGCGAATTGGATGACATACATGTGCTGATCAATAATGTCGGCATTTCCTACATATATCCCGAATATTTCACACAAATCCCAAACTCTAAACAATTGATTGAATCGATGATCAATTGTAATATCATTTCAATGACTCGTATTATTGAAATGGTTTTGCCAAAAATGGAGACCAAAAAATCAGGTGTAGTGATCAATGTGTCGTCATATTCGGCCGCTTATCCGATCCCATTGCTGTCACTTTACGCCGCGTCCAAGATTTATGTGGACTTTCTTTCCCGAGCTCTTCAGGTTGAGTATAAAAATAAGGGCATAACTATTCAGAGTGTATTACCAGCTTATGTGTCGACCAATATGAGCAAAATCCGTCGCACGTCTCTAATGGTTCCCACACCCGATGTTTACGTCCAGAATGCGTTACAAACGGTCGGTATTGAGAGCCGTACTTATGGTTATTGGCCACACAAAGTGCAGGGTTTCCTTCAAGACTCTATTATATGTAATACTATTGGATCTGATTTTAATAGCAAATTGGCTTTCGATGCACTTAAAGATGTCCGCAGAAGATATTATAAGAAAGAGGGACTTAAAGAAAAACTCAATTAATATTTACCTCTAATTATATCTTATTAAAAGTTATTAATATTATATTTTTAATAAATTTCTAAATCTTTAGCAATAAAAGATTTTTTTGTCATAATTATGATTATATTGATGTTATCGACAAGTTATTAAATCGTCGGGAATTTAATATTTATACAATTCTGTTAATACCACAAATTTCAATGAAATAAACACCAATTGTTTTCTCGTTTTTAAGTGTTTTTGGATAAATCCCGAAAAACTATATAATCGTGTTTTTTGCCGAAATTTGATAATTTATGAAAAAACAACAATAAAATACATATTCAGTAAAAAATTAGAATCACATCCAATAAAATATTAATTCAAAACAATGAATGAGACGATAAGTATCGGAGGAAAACACAGTTTAGACAATATTTTGCTATAAAAGCTGTAGTTATGTATGTATTTTAAACATCTGTATTGCAATTACTGTACGTAAATGTATTTTTGTTAACAATGCGTAAAACAAAGTTTAGATTATAATTTTAATGAATTTTAAAATCAAATAATTAAAAGTTTTTAGCAATTATTTGACAAATAAACTACTATTAGTACTGAAGGAAGAAAAACTAAATTGAATTTCCCGATTTATATCCCGATTTCCCGACTGATTTTGGCCATTTAAACTCCCGAAGATTCATCGCTAGAAATATAATATAATTTTGTAATGTTTTGTTTAAATGAAACATTTATTAATGATTTTTATTTTATTTGAAATGATTGGCTTTTATATAAAAGAAAACAATTAAAACAATTAAATCTATTATTAAATCAAATGACGAGACAATAGTGGAAGTAATAAATTAATTATTTTGTCGCCTCTTTTCTGGTCGCGTCTTGTAATAGCGTCACATCGACCTCATCGGCGGGCAATTGGACATAACGGACGACCGATCCTCTGATGAAGCAGTTCTTGACAGACAACATATATGGATGTTTGTGACCATTGATTACTGTAATGTCAGTCATCTTGACATTCAAGTACTGGTCAACCGAGTGAAGAGTGCCGGCAATTGACAAATCGTTCTTCAACTCCACCACCACTTCCTTACCAATCAAACTCTTGAAGAATGAGAAGAATAACATTTTTCATTCACTTGTGTCCACCAATTTGTCCGATAATATGACAACAGTTACACTAATTATCACAAATTGACAATAAATTCAAATCAATGTTTAATGCATTCAATCAAATAATAGTGTTTTCAATACAATAATGTTTTCTCAAGTAATGACATCTATTGGTTGATCACATGTTTAATTAAATTATATTTAAATAGTTAAGTATTGTATAAATACATTATCGATATTACTCTTTAAAAAGAGTACATTTAATTAATAAATTGAATGTTAATGTAACTAATCTAGGTCATTCACATACTTATTATTATTATTATTTACTATGCTAAAATAAAATCATTTAATTCAAGATATATTAATACATTAAACTATCGTAAATTAAATTATACTGTATAAAATGTTTTATTTAAAAATATCTACCTAATAGATATCAGTAACAGTAACAATAACTTATCCTATATTTAAAAATATTATAGTAATTACAATTTACATTAATTAAAATGTATATTTCAGTATTTTTATGTTAATGTATGATATTTTAAACACATGAGAGTCATTGATAGAGACATCAAAATATGTGTTTAATATATTTCTATCGGTTCTATATATTAATCAAAGGAATAGATATCTATCAAAACCATATATCATATGTATTTATATATCATTTTAACAAATTATTAAAAATATTTTTTTAAATATACAAACATTTTCACATAAAAACTCATTAAGACTCACTTCATAAATAATATACTATTTATACAAATAAATACTGTAATAATTTTTATAAATACCATGAAAATGATTTTTAAAAAATTAAATATTTACATAAAAAAATCTTTAAAAAGACAATTATTAGACTTAAAATTAAACTCAAGAATTATATCATTGGATTTGATAGTAATTTTTAAGTAATGACATATTTATCTTAAACTTATTGATTGATCACTTTTGAATGCAATGTAGTGAATGATAAATATAATTAATACTAAATAATGTCTACAAATGCATTGTCTCTACATTTGTTTAAGACTGTCGATTCTGTTTTAAAATTTTGCTTTTATTAATATATATTATTTATTTTGAACTTTTAATTATTATATTTATATTTTCTTATTTATAAAATTGTATTAAATGACTGTAAAAACTAATGTAATGTTAATCACTTTGATGTGTAAATGAATTTATCAATGAAATCGTATACTTAATAATGGTATGAATGGATAGTCACGTGTGTTGATCATAGAGTTTATGCAATGCTATGTTTACAGTGATATTAATAGGTATGTGAAGTGATGTTATGTTATGTTATGTTATGTTATGTTATGTTATGTTTGTTATGTAATGTTAGTAATGCTGTCAATCACTTGAACTCTTGAAAACAGGTCTTCACTTAAAATGAATGATTGTATTGAACGGAGAGATGGCTTTGATTTACAGTCAAAACCTGAAAACTTTTGATCCAATTCTTGAAAACAGGATTTGGATTTTGCATGAATTGGAGTCTAAGTCAACGTCACTGATAAGTCACTCAAAGATATCATTGAATCCATCGACTCTTCTTAATAACGGATATATCAACTAACGATAGTTTGTCACCACATTCTTCATCATTAAGACATCTATTCATTGCTTTAATCACTTGTAATATATATTTCATTATAAAAGTTTGTTAACTGTTTAGTAAAATAGTTTAATAGTAAAGATGTTGACTTCAATGGCAAGAATTGGTGTCAAATCACTTGTGAGACAAACAGCAGTTCCGACAACTTTTGTCAAACGACTCGATAAATTATCACTTAATTTGCGCTCATTTTGGACACAAACCGCAAAGTTTGTTACAATTAATTATTTATTGATTAGTATTTATTTGATAATTTAATAATTGGTTCTTCAATTTTACAGACTTTCATCGTTGCATTCATCAGAATCACATCCAAAGGATATAAATCCATTCAAATTGGCTGAAAATGATTTGAATAGTCTTTACTCTGACATTCGTAAAGAGTTGTGGACAGAGAGGCCAGAACTAGAAGAGATCGCTGGCTATTACTTTGACGGTCAGGGAAAAGCATTTCGTCCAATGGTTGTCGTATTGATTGCTCGGGCACTCAATTATCACATTCAAAGAAGATCTGATTTATTGGATTCACAAAAAACAGTCGCAATGGTCACTGAAATGATTCATACGGCAAGTCTCGTTCACGACGATGTCATTGATACGGCCGACACCCGACGCGGTAAAGCTAGTGTTAATGTGTTGTGGGGACACAAAAAAGCTATATTAGCCGGTGATTACATACTGTCCAGAGCTTCACAAATGTTGGCTAGACTTCAAAATGAAGAAGTGATTCTTGTTTTAGCACAAGTATATATTTAAGCCAATTGTTACAATAGATAACAAGTTTGCTAAATAAACCTTATATTTAATCGTTAGGTGCTTCTGGATCTGGTTCAGGGAGAGTTCATGCAAATGGATTCCAAAGAGGATGAAAGCGAACGCTTTTCGCATTATATCCACAAAAGCTTTAAAAAGACGGCTAGTCTTATAGCTTATACGTGCAAAGCTGTAGCACTCCTTTCTGGTGCCAATCGGGCCTATCAAGAGGCGGCCTTTCAATATGGACGCAATCTTGGGATTGCTTTCCAATTAGTCGATGATTTATTGGACTTTGTCTCGAGTCAGGCAGAGTTAGGCAAACCGGCCGCTGCTGACCTTAAGCTTGGTTTGGCTACGGCTCCGGTACTGTTTGCTTGTGAAAAATTTCCCGAATTAAATATAATGATTATGAGACGATTCTCACAACCGGGAGATGTAGAGAAAGCATATGAAGCTGTTATGAAAGTATGCATAAGTTTTTTCACAATTTATCTACAAAAATATTATATTAATTTTTTTATTACCTATAGAGTGAAGGCTTAGATCACACCCGAATCCTGGCCCGAAAACATGCCGACGAAGCCTTAAGACATGTGTCCACTTTCGCTGATTCCGACGAAAAGCAGGCTCTTATAGCTTTGACTGAAATGACTCTCAATAGGAAAAAATGAAAAAATATTTTTATTAAAGTGAGTGCCGTTTTGCCTCAATTTTGGTACTCAATTTGAAGTGCCATTCATTTTTTAAGTCTTAACAATTATCATAATATATATAACTAAATATTTTTTTTTTGACACAAGAGATGTCTTATCAAATTATATCTTTTTTTGGAAATATATGTCTCATTAGATGTTTTTATGAAACCTCATGAATAATAATAATAATATCATTATAATTAAAATTGATGTTACACTTGAAGACAATGATACGGGTTTTTATATTAAATCGATGATTACATATTAACTAGAAATCATTGATCATTGTTTGATGCTTTGAGTGTAATTTTGTACAGAAATAGATAGTAATTTCAAGATATCTAATGATACAGATTTCTAAACATTGAAATAATTAGAGAATAGAGGACTCAATTTGAGACTCTTATACTGTTAATCTTTTTTGTATAGTTTTATGATTGTTATGGAGTTTGGGTTATAAAACAAATATATATTGTCGTTAAAAATTTTTATATCTTATAACTTTACATTAACTATAATTTTGTGTTTTATATATAATTAGAAATAATTAAATTTAGAATATAATTGAATCTATCATTTTCTATTGTTAAGGATTACTTGAAATTATCACACATTATTTTTTTGACTCAATTTTATATTTCATTTAGAAGTTGTTTGTAAAGTATTTTAAATTTAACATTAAATCAATTTTAACTAATGAAATATATAATCTTTATTTAAAACAAATCTTAAATACTATTATTTCATCAAAATATTTTTAACGTCATCAGCATTTAAAGTCTCATATTTAATAAGAGCTTCAGCTATTAGTTTGTGTTCTCTGTTGTGAGTCTTCAGAATATTCTTTGCCCTTTCATAGGAATCCTATAATTTATAACAAATTAATATAAAAAATCAATAATATTTTGGCAATTATTGAAAAACCTGAAGCATTTTCTTGATCTCTGAATCTATGTTTTCAGACGTAGAGGCGGCCAAATCATTGACTACGACTAATGAGTTGTGATCGTCTTCAAAGGTACGAACGCCTATCTGTTATATCAATAGATTCAAGTCTTAAGATATATATATATATATTATATTAAGGTATATGTATTTTTAAGATACCTTATCAGACATTCCATAGTCTTTGATCATATGTGTGGCCAAATTAGTAGCTTTCTTTAGGTCATCGTAAGCACCTGTAGTTATTTTCTCGGAGCCAAATATTATTTCTTCAGCAGCTCTGCCACCCATAAGTGTATCCATTTGGGCTAACATTTGAGATTTAGTAGTGAAGAAGTGTTCCTTATCGGGCAACTGAGCCGTATGTCCTAAAGAAGGTCCGCGCGGAACGATAGTAACTTTATGTATAGGATGGGCGTCTTTAGTGAAATGAGCAACTAATGCATGTCCTCCCTCATGATAAGCTGTAATAACATTTGCTTCTTCATCTGGTATTCGACTTTTCCTTTCGGGACCCATAAGTATTTTGTCTCTTGAGTTTTCTAAATACTTCATATCAACTGAAGTCTGCCCGTCAATAGCCGCTCTGAGCGCCGCCTGATTGACCAGATTTTCTAAGTCGGCTCCCGTGAAACCAGTGGTTCCACGCGATAACATATCAATGTTTACATCACTAGAATATTTAACTTTAGATAAGTATAACTGAAGAATTTCTTTCCTGCCGTGAAAGTCAGGGACAGGCACTTGAACTTCGACATCGAAACGTCCCGGTCTTAGTAATGCTTTATCTAAATCGTCGCGTCTATTGGTTGCGCCTAAAACAATAACGCCTTCGTTTTGTCGAAATCCGTCCATTTCGGTCAACAATTGATTGATTGTTTGATTAGCGTATGGATGTAACACTGAATTACTTCGTTTAGCACCGACTGAGTCAATCTCATCAATGAACACAACACACGGGGCCTTCATTTTAGCCGTACTAAAGAGGTCACGAACACGACGAGCTCCCTGTCCGACAAGTATCTCATCAAATTCAGGTCCGGCCGCATGAAAGAATGGAACACCAGCCTCGCCAGCAACAGCTCTGGCTAACAATGTTTTTCCAGTTCCTGGAGGACCAACTAGAAGCACACCTTTTGGCAGTTTTCCGCCTAAAATTGAAAACCTTTCGGGATCTTTAAGAAATTCAACAATTTCTTGAAGTTCTTGTTTTGCTTCATCGACTCCTTTGACGTCATCGAATGTTACATCAATATCTTCGGGATGCACTTCATTTGAGCCACCGATGAGAACTCGTCGAAATGATCCACCTATTTGTGGATAAAACATTTTATTTATATAAATATAAGTACAATTAGTTTAGTCAACTTAATAAATAAAAAACAATATCGACTAATACTATAGAAAAGTATAGTCAAAGCAATACTTTTAATGAATATAATGTACCCGAAAGCTCACCCATAAATGAGAACAGTATTGCAATAATCAAAACAATTCCCATTAAGTCACGAAATATTGTAAAAACTTTTAATTTAGACGATGTTTTAGATCGCGGTTCTGCTGCTAAATACCCCTCAGCGAAAGCAATCTATCGGTAATTGAAAAAATTTACATTAATTTTATAAACAATTATCGATAGTATTGACTCTAACCTTAAGTTTGTCCTTTTCATTGATAGTCATGTTCTCTTCGTTGAGAAATTCTTTCATTTTATCATTTTCTGGTGAAACACTTTTTTCTTTATTAATACCAAAAATTGAACCCAATTTCATGTTTCCTAATGATGTTTCATCTCTGTCTTGAGTGTGTTTACCTTTGGAACCGCTACCCAATCCTGTAAAACCAGTCGACTTTGTCTTAAATGTACGAATTTGAGTGTAATTATTAAGAGTTGACAATGAAATACATCTCGAAAATAATCGATATTCTGATGACTTTTTGTTATCTATTAATATATTAGCAATAATTATAAACTTAACTAACTATTCATAATTTAAAAGTATCTAAACTTACATTTGTTTTCATCAAAACTGGCGTATGATATATGAGATGTAAGCCATTGAAGTGGTTCTCGTTTGACAACAAAAATCTTATTGACTAAAACTTTGGTGATTTGACTCTTATAACAATTGTTGTTAATTGTATTACAACTTAACTTATTTAACAATAGTTTTCTCGACTTTTCATCGGAAAACATATCATTTACTACATTAAGTGCTTCATCTAAGGCTTCACCTCTAAGTGATTCATCACTTATTTGGTCATTTCGTTTCACATGAAGATGACATCGTTTGCCATTCAATAAAGTGGCCAAATATGTGGTCAATGGGGTCAACAACTAAAGTTTAAATTTTATAAAATTAAAATTACTGTTTTGTTTGCATTCAATTGATAATTAAATTATTACTTGAATTTGTGACTGAAGTGATGAAAGAGAGGCAAATGAGACACTCATTGTTGTACTCAAACTAATAATAAATTATTAAATCGTTTTATTAACTAATTAATCAATTAATGACATCTACGGTAATCTTCAAACTTTATTCAATTAACATTTTCTTGACATACCGTTCCTCAGAGTTCTCCCTTTCCTTTACTTATTGTTTGATTTGTATTTAAATCACTTATTTGTGTTTATGATGTCCTTATAGTATATCATATATATATTAATATATATATCGCTATAAATATAAATCAATAAATAATATAATTTAAACTAATTATCATTTTATTGATTCTTTCAGTTAACTAAAAGTAAAATAAAATATATTATAAATATTTGTTTACCGATTAATAACAAAGTTATTACATGTTATGCAAACAAATTGAATAAAACTATTAATTCAATTGCAATTCACGTCTAAATATAAAACAATTTAATAAACAAATTGTTGACAAATCACTCGTAAAAGTGTTGAAAAATTAATAACAATTTAACGTTAATTTCAATTCAATTAAAACTTGTAATCAATTCTATACAAGAAGTGACTCAACATTGGGTCTCAACACATAAGACGTACGCATTTCAGACAATAAGTTGACTTTAAAACACATTTTCTTTCAAATGTTTAACTAAATTATGACAATAATTACAATAATAACATTGTTTTACACATTATTTTTCAATAGAATTTCATTAAATAAATAAAATGTTGTCTTATATTATATTATATTATATTATATTCTTATATATCGCTTATTATCTCATTTTTCACATTAGTTTAGACTATATCAGCAAAAGTACAGAAATAATAAAATATAGAAAATAGTGTGTCGTTTGAAAAGTTATATAAAAATTGATATTTAATTATAAATTTAGTGAACACTCATTGATAGTGTATATCATGTAATGTTGACTAATATATCGGTAATAATAATAATATTAATATTTGTTTGAATTTTCTATTAATATGTTTTAAATGTCATGTCATTTGTGAAGAATACGACTCAAAAGTGAACACATTTTGTGACGCATAACACCGTATTGAATGTATTAATGCGTTCAATCAAATAGTCTGTATGTGTTTGTGTGAACAACTGTGTTATGAATTGCCATTAAATTGTGTTTTCAATTAAATTGTGTTAAATTTACAATCGATTTACTGTTGAATTGAATGTATTGATTGAATTGTATATTATATGACATGTATTAGTCGTATTAGTTGTGAATGACGTGCAATACATGTATTGCTAGGAAGTGGTGCCAAAAGGGGCTGATCTTTGGTTTGTACTGTAATTGTGATTACATTATAGGCTTTGCTGTGAAATAGTCGTCAGTATTAATGTATTAATATTTTGAGTGAATTTTGTTGAGCGCTGTCTTATAGTAGTAGTAATAGTAGTAATACTGTATATATATTAATGCTATACTACTCTATGTATTGATAGTATTGAAAGAGAAAGCAATACTACAGTAGTGTTGAGTGTTTCCATAGACTCTAATACTGTATTATATTAGCCATTGATTTGGCATTCATTGTGTGCTTTCAAGTATTGCATTCATCTTATAGTTATAGTGTATATGTGTTGGTGTTATGGGAGGAGAGGATCGCCATAATCACAGCCATCACATGAACGCACCGATTGGACACCAATTGTCATCACATTACCAGTCATGTCATCGGTGGTGACGACAACATGAGTGGACAGTTAAGTGTCAGCATATGCTAAGTGGCCAAACACTAACACATCCCAGTGCTCACAACTCGCGCCTCAACTCAAACATCTTGTGTCGAGCTGTAGATGCAATGCTTGACACTCAAGCCATGTCTTAATGTCTTTCAGTGATGTCCTCCCGATGACATGTGCACCAAAAGTGTGGTCCGTTTTCGCCTTTCACTCAAAGATAACAATTGCGAGACATTAGAAAAAATAAATTTGAATCTTAACGACAAAACCATTAATACGATTGAAAATCAATCCAAATATCTGTCGACTATCTGTTCATCAATACGTCAGACAATTGGACTCAAAGCTAACAACTCTTTAATTACTGAAAACATTAATATGAATAAAGGGCTACAAAACGGCCATCAGTTGAATGAGAACAGCATCAGTGACAACAAACTGGACATTATCTCAATTAACACGACTGTAAACACTACAACAACAACAAGTTCTTCAAGTACTTCCACACCATTAGTAAATAACAGTTGCGAGTCTACAATGGGTCTGTTAAACGCATTGCCTAAAGACACGCATCAACTGTTAAGTACACTGAAGAGCGGCAAACCAGAGAACGGACAGAGACTTAATTTAAATACCATTTCTTGGAGTGATTTGAAGCAACAGACAAATGTTAATAACAAACTCATGGATGAAGCGATACATTTACCACAAACCGATGTCATTAGTGATACAAATCAAACGGATAATATCCCACAAAACTCTTTAATAAATGACCAAATAGTGGATCAAATGATTGATGAAGAACTTAGCAAAAGTGAACCACATATTAGTGATGGTGTCAACAGTGATGCACTACTTGAGAACAATGCCAGTGAAGAACAACATACTGAGCTTTTGCTGACACCACAAACAGTTGATTTTAATAAAGAAATATTGAATGAAGTATCAGATTCTGGAACTGTTTTACCTAATGTTGAGGTGAAGATAACTGATTTCAAAGACGAACAAATGTCTTTAATCCGACATTCAGAGCGCTTATTAAGAAGAATAAGACGTTTGCAGTTCCGCCAAACGCACAATTATATGACTCAACAAATGAAATCGTTTGTAAAAAACCAACAAATGATTTTAGGAGTCGGTTGTCAGCGACAACCTTCTGAATCCAATCCCATTTCAGTAATGAAGTTCCAATCAAACGCCAGTCAAGTGGAGGATCGCATGAAACTATTGACTCCCGAAGTAACTAAAGGCTTATCGACGTCAGCACTGGTCAATCTGGTCAAGAGATTGGAATCAACTAACACTCCCAATGAGACCAATCATTTACATGATTTTTGTCCCCAAACACCCATTCGTGCACCGCTTCAAACATCTTCACTGTCATCAACATCTCAATCATCAAATCTTGTACCTCAAACTAATCAAATGACTACTACTTGTTCCCAACACATCCCCAATACAAACAATGAATCGTCTTTAGTTAAGTTATTACAAAGAACTCAATCAACAACACCTTCTCAGACCTCATCACAATCACATCCAACAAGAATTAGTGCCGAAGATAAAGAACAGATTCTCAATACAATTGATTCGTTTTCGGCTAATCTAAGACATTTTGAAACGGGATATGATTCCGATGCCACCGAAAGCAGTTCCGGAGGTGAAAGTTGTGATGAATTTGAGGATTATAGCGATGAGTCGACATCATCGCAACATTCAGCTCCCACTCAAAGCTCAGGACATGTGTTTCCAATGTATAATTTATAATAAATTAAATTATAATTATAATTAAATAAAATTTATTGTTTATTATTTATAGCCGTAAGCGGTCGTGTTGGAAGTGGTGCGTTGAACGGGCAGCCATTGCCTCGCGTTGGACATGGCTTCAGGCACAGGTAGCAGATTTAGAATTCAGGATTAGACAACAAAACGAAATGTATCGCCAATTAAGAGCTACAAAAGGGGTGATATCATTTGGAACGGGTGATCATAAGTTAACTGTTCCAACAAATTTAGTTACTAAAGCCAACATTACAACAACAACGCCCACCACATCAACTGCACAACTATCTCAAACATCAACACAAAGTCAATCGGTGAATGCGACCCCTAAAGTGTTGGATGTTTCGGATACAGTGCCCAAAACTGGACAAAATGATCAATTAGTGTCCAATAGTACCGATAGTGATAATCATTGTTGTATGCGAACCTTACCGTTGAATAGTATGCGTAAGCGAAAACTAGTCCATTCAATGAGTGCTCTATCGGGTGCCACAAGAAAAGCTGCAAAATATTCAACAATACTGTGTTCGTGTAATGGCTTGCCTGACATCATGTGGCCCTGTGTTCTATGTAACGGACGGTATAGTTATGTCCACGTGATCGACACGGACTGTATGCCACACTTTGAAAGGGTATCACTTCTAGACTCGTCCTGTCATCCGGTTCTGTCATTAAACAATGGTAAGACATTTTATGTACAGTTTATTTGGATAGTTAACCATTAAGTAACTAATTGTCGATAACTATAAAGTTATACCTTTTTTCCCTAATAATTATAATGATTTTACAAACTTTATTCATTCATTGTTAAGCTTTAAGTTTCCTGTTTGTGCCGACCCTTCCTTCCCTTTATTTTCAATTAAATGGATTCTACTTATTATTTATTCATTTCATATATATTTATAAAAAAATAGTCCAAATTTGTATCATTTTAACCTGTCATTCATTATGGCTTTATTTTTAATGCAAATTATATGAAATAGCATTTGAATAGAAATAGATTGACATAAAATCAAACCTTATATAAAAAATGTTTTTTTTTTCAATTAATAACTACCGGTAATTTACATATCATATATGTATTGATTAATTTTTATGTAACATTTACTATATGGTTATAATACGGATTAATTTTGTTAATATAATGATAGATTAAGTAGACTTTTAAACTGATTGTGACAAAAAAGTTAGATATATTTATTTTAATATTAGATAAACGATGTTACTTAAGGGTATTGACAATTATATCTGTTTACATAACACTTATCAATCAATATACGAGTCTTTATTATTATTACATTTATATTGTAATTGTTTTATAAATGAAATATTGGGAGAGTTGTTGAGATCTAATGAGAGATTATTATTTGTTTTTCAACTTATAGTTATTTTTTACGATAGACTGATATAACATTTGAATGCTTTTAACCTCAATTAATAATAGACATATTATAGCCATTATAGCCCTCCCTTTATATATGACATTGAATTGAATCAGATTCGTCATTATTTAACAACCAGTATATAACTTGTTATGCATTTTATTGTTAGTAAAATAATAATATTAATATATATATATATATATTATTTGTAATTGTGACTTAGAAATAATAATGGTTTTATATTACAAAAGCGATAGTTATTTTATATATCAGATATTTTATTATTAAAATACTTTATTGACTTTAAAATATAAAATTTATCAATTGATTAGTTATAAAGTATATTAACTGTTTTTTCCTTAAGTTTTTTAACTGTGATTAATTTGACAAAATTTAGTTTTACATTAATTTTGAATTTTTATATTGTTTGTGTTGCTTATAAATGTCAAATTTAATCCAATTATAGTTTAAATTAGTTTTTAAAAGTGCATTTTCACAATAATTTAGCATACAATTAATTGACAATAGTAATATTGAAAGTTTGTATACGATAAAATTATTTAATACAATATTTAAATGTTTAAAGCATATAAACTTGAAATATTAAAATTTATTTATTGACTTAAACAACAAAAATCAACAAAAATTCATTAATTATTTTATATACATTAATAAATGTTTAAAATAAACGCTTAGCTGGCATGAGATCATATCAAATACATAAGCATTTATTCAATATTTGATAATATATTAGACATATAAACGCATTGAATGAATGATGTAATTTGAAGGACAATTACGACATTACTGTCACTCTATTTATGAACTCAAATAATTTTCTTATTTTTAATGTTATTTCCAATCAATTGTATATTATTTGTTAATATATTTTTATAAATACAACAAAAAACAATCGAAAATCTTTTATATTGAATAAATTGAAGACATTTACATATGTTTATTATTATCATATTTTATTAATAAAACATTTTAATATGAAAATATTTTTATATCTATTACAGTAATTAAAAACAATAACTTAAAAGTCAATTGTATTGTTTTTAAATTTAATATATTATTAAATATAGAATTTATGAAAATTATAATTAATTTTGTCGATTGTTTTAACTAACATTTTATTATAATAAGTGTTTATAAATTAGCTGATATAAGGTTTAATTATTATTATGGTATTTAATTATAGCTTATTATAAATCATGTACTGTACATGTATTATATTATAAAATTATTATTATATAAAACTTATATTTCTATTATAGATGTATCTCTTGGACTTCATTTGACTGAGTTATTAAAACGTGAAACAATACAGCGTCCAATACCATCACGACATCTAAATAAAAAGTAATAATAAAATATTGATATATAATGAATGATAACTAATGTCTTATTTTAAAACAGAAGATCGCAAAAGAGTCCTCCGTCGCCAACAGTGACCAACAAATTCTTTTACGATTCTTCTAAAAACAAAAGTCCGAAACGATCGCAATCTGTGATTTCATCAACAAGTAATATATTGATCCCATCATAATTGAATAATTATCATAACTAATTGATATTAATATTAATATAATAGAGTTGAAAAGGAAATACGGCGATCGGGCTAAACGTCGTTATGTTCGCCGATCGGGTGTTTCAAGTGATGAGTTTTGGCGTAATAATAACAACAATAAGAGAGGTCGACCTCGTGAACGGACATCAAGTGGTAGTTCACGTACTGAATCCCCCATTCCATCGCCGGTTCCGTCGGAAGGAAGTACTTCGTGTACATCACACCCAACCAGTGCACCACTTCATAGACGACGGCGCAGTGAACAACACGCCTTTGATATTAATAATATTGTGATTCCCTATAGCATAGCGGCTACTACTCGGGTTGAAAAACTTCAATATAAAGAAATAATTACTCCTAAGTGGCGTAAAACTGAAGATCCGGAAACAAATTTTAATTTTTTGAGTTTGAAAACAAAAACTGAGACCAACACCGCCAAAGAAACAAAGACTGTTACAAATCAATTGAGTACTAATGATGACGAAGAAGAAGATATGTCTGACATAGCATTTAATTTAAGACACATTAAGTGTGAAGAAGAAGAGAGAAAACGGATTTTGTCTTATATTAAAGGAAACAAAAGTGGAAATTTACGTCGCGGTCGGGTTAGGTTTGACAGCACTCGTTCCGATACAAAGGAATCGACCGGTGGAGGAGATAATGTTTTTAACAACGAATCGATGAGTCAGGACTCAGTTAACGGTCCACCCACTCCTGTTGTTATCAATCATAATAACATTGACTTAAATAATAGCGATTATCAACCACCCGAGCGAACCGAACGACGCAGAAATGCATCTCTTTCTTCTCGTAGAGACGACTCTATCGATGAAAATGTTGAAACTGTTGTTCCTTTTGATTTAAGAACATTTCCATTGAATGACTTAGAGATTGAAAAATTGACGAAAGAAGACGCCAGTTATTTGTGTCCACTCGATAATACATTAGATGATTCTATTAATGATCCCGAAAAGTCTAATGAGGGAACAATTACAGCCAACAATAGTCGTGCGCCAACACCTGTCGACTCGGATGGCGCTGAAAGTGTCACTGGAAATAATGATGAGATGGACGATGAAGATCCTGAATGGGAGCCCAAAAAGTGATGATATCATGACTTATGGATTATAGTGTGGTTTACAGTGAGAACATTCTGTCATTTTTTCAAAACAAATTTATATCAAGTTTTGGTTATCCATTCTTGAATTATGTCTAAAAAACCAAATGTAATGTAAGAAATTGTATATATTTTCATCTCTTTTTATTTTTAGTTACAATTAAGTCCAAAATTCAAATTTTAAATTAGATTTATTTATTAATCGTCAAATTATTCATTAAAATTAACTATTATGTCGCAATCACTATAATCACAATATATACAAAATTGTTTTACCGGTAATACTGTATTTGAATACCTCTTAAATTTGAAGTTTTGGACTTAATTAATATCTAACTATTGAAAAAAGCAATTTAAAGTCATTATTATTATTACTTTATTAAATTAAAAAACATTTTTATGTTTAGTTTTTACTTTCATTCCAAAGCAGTAACAAAATTCATAAACAAATTATATTATATCTAAAAAAAACTAATTAAATATCGAGTCGATTCAGTTAATAGTTTTTCTGTAATATTATCACTTGATTAGCAATGTATAACATTTCGGATACATTGCTATTATTTTATAATTTTGCCTTTTGTTGTAAATTCCATTTTCAAAACAATTAAGATTTAATAATTTGAAATAAAAAGTGTGAATTGATTTTAATTAGATAAATGTATATATTTTATATATCAAATGATATATAAAAACAGAGATAAAAAAAATGGTAAACATTATACCGTAAATAGTTTTTGCTTTCAATTGTGTTGTTTTTATCTGATTTTTGCACGAAATGCAAGAATATATTTAATATATCTCTTATAGAGAATTAAAAAAAAAGAAAATTAATAAAAAAGAAGAAATTTACAAAATATTATAACGAAATTATTATTACTTTTGATTAACTTTTAGCTAATCTTTCAATGATATGTTGGTATTCATCTTCCAATTCTTTGTATTGTTTGTCCAACAAATCGATTCGTGATTCAAGTGTTGGAATAGTTGTTTGTTTAATGAGTTCCAACTCTTGTTCGGGAAATTTCTTGTTTTTCTCCAGTTTCTGGATATCAATCATTTGCTTTCTTAACGGTGCGTTTAGTCTTTGTTTGACATACAATCGAAAGGATTTGTATTCTTCATCATTGGATCGGTTAGTGTTCCGAAAACGAAGTATTTCATATACCCGACGGCTCTGACGTCTATTAATTTTAAGACAACTCTGAGCAACTTTAGCCAACTCTTCATTCCATCCGAGTTTCAATTTGTCTGCACTGAATGCTTCTAACTTTTGGCAATTCTTCGCGTCCACGAAATCTCGTATTCGAGTAAAGCTTTCAGACGGATCCTCAACAGTGATGTCATATACATCTCCATCAGACATGTAATTATCATATATTGCCTGCAATAGTGCTGATCCGATACCACACCTTTGAAATGGAGGTAAAATTAAGAATTGTGAAATTCGCGGACGAATTCTTTGGGGATAAGCGTAGTAACGATAGACTGTGGCGTAACCAACAAAACAGTATAAATAATCGTCAGAACAGTTTGAGTGACCATTTGTTTGACCCAAAAGTAAATTTGGAGATCTTTTTTCATAGACAACAAAATATTGCCAGCGATCGTCATCGGCATCAATATAAGAGACAGCATCGATGAACCACCACAAGAAGGTTTGCATTTTTTGGTGATAGGCATCAAAACCTGGATTTAATATATCAGTCATATATATCTCAAATTGTCTCGTAATCTGTTTGTCTTCAATCTTGTAATCAATAGTAAAACTTTTGATGAGCTGTCCATAAGGTTTGAATTGAGACTCTTTTGATAACTGTAACCGAAAGTCATTCATTGATTGACACATTTGTATCTCAAGTTTGTCGGCAATTGTCTTAAGAACTTCATCGGCTTCAATGCCATTTGTCTCATCTTTGGAGACCTTTTCCTTATATTTTATGTCCAAAAAGCAGTTGAGTTTTGCCGCCGAGTAATACAGTTTTACTTTGAGATCTTTGTAACCAAATACCGACTCATTGTCGCCAAAAAACTGATGCGTAAACTCAGGATTAAACTCTTTGAGTGAGATATCACACGATTCGTCATCCAATTGTTTTTCATTGAATAACAATTGGATGGCAACCACTTCATTGGCATTTGCCACGAATGGCTCAAAACGGTTTCGGATCAGAGATGAGCCTAAAGACGACAATTCAATTAATTTTTGTCATCAAATAACACTATCGGTTAGTACTTACTTGCCATCGATGACCAGATCAGTCAAATAGCATACCAAGTGATTAATCTAATGATAATTTGATAATAGATGTGATGACAATGTGATCAAAGAAGTGACAACTAATACAAAACAAGAGTCAGACCAGTGTTTGGGCGCCAAATGTATACACACTTTGAGTCAAACATCTCAAACACTAACGATCTCTCAATCAGTTCATCCAATACTATATGCCATACATTGTATATAATATGTGAATGTGTTGTGACGTCACTCAGCATTTACTCTATAATTGTGTACCAAATGTTTGAATGTCTTTGCAATGCCTTTAATGAGTAACTCATTGATGCCGTGACTGTGATTGAGGGGTAAGAGTGAGACAAGTATTAAATTGTATGTAAAGTGTGGATCAATTGTGTACTAAAGTCTATGAATGCATTACATTAACCTCGAGTTGTCCTTCGCGTGAATGCCGACCGATATATCTCTTGAGGTTTGCTAACAATTATCACTTATTGTCGGATCCGATGACCACTCACTTCCCAATCAAACAGTGGTCACCATTGAGACAAACAAATGACGAAATGTTGACAAATGTTATGACAATCAACAGACTGTTCAATCAATTATAATAACAGAGAATCTCCAGAATCGACAGTCAATTGACTTCTCTAGCGATTAGATAAACCACTTCTTGACTTATCATTTGTTTGTCTCATATCTGATCCAATGTTTTCCATTATTTGCTTTTAATTTTGCATTTAATTTCATTTCATTTATTTTTAGTTTTTTCTCATTTATTTATTTCAGTTATAATCAAAACTTATTGAATTGTGATAATCACTTGTTTTGTCCATTAAATGAGTGGCCGGTTATGTGAATCCCTTTCCTCTCCTTTGTCCTCAATGTTGCAGTTATTGTTACGACAAACACACTGTCAGTTTGAGGTATGAACTGAAGATATAATTATAATGTCATTAATTAGTATATAAAAATTAAAAATTATTTTTTGTATATTTATAATAATATTTCGTTTATATATTTATATTAATTAAATGTTTGTCAAAACATTAAACAATTTTTTGTTGATTATATTTTGTTATTTTTTATATTAAGTTAAATGATTTAAATTAAATAATTCAGTTAATACTTAACTAAACTTGTAATACACTGATTATAGACCCACTCGAGTGTCCACAGGGCTAACAGTGACAAACTTCGGGAAATATTTAGCAAATATGCGTCCGTCGAGAAAGATGGCGACCAATACATGTCTTCCGAAGATTTCATCCGAAGCTATTTGGGACTCTATCCCGAAGACAACTACAATCCAAAGACAGTTAAGATGTTGGGTGGAATTCTTGACACTTCCAAAGATGGGTTAGTTATATATATATATATATACTGTATATATAAAGTATATCATATATATTATATATGATTATAAATTACCCGTAAATTCTTACATAACTTTATTATATATTAAAATATTTGTGAAGACTTGTATCGTTTATGGAGTTCCAGGCCTTCGAAGCTGTTTTATGTCAACCCGACGCTATTTACAGAACTGCTTTTCAATTGTTTGACACTAACGGTTCCGGATCTATAACTCACGATGAATTTGAAGAAATTATTAAGCAAACGACTTTACACCAGAAAATCCCTTTTAATTTTAAGTCTGATTTTATGCGATTACATTTCGGTGATGACCGCAAACGGACCGTTACGTACTCTGAATTTTCTCAAGTATTGCATGACTTTCACGAAGAACACGCAATTCAAGCTTTTAAATCGTTTGACAAAAACAAAAAGGGTGTCATTTCAGCCATGGATTTCTCATATATTATGTTGAACTGTAAAATTCATTTACTAGCAGATGATGTTAAGCCAAATCTGGTTGCTGTTGCTGGTGGTGGCACTGGTGGCCATTTGGTAACGTATCCATATTTTATGGCATTTAATTCATTGCTCAATAATATGGAACTGGTCAAAAGGATTTATTTGTCGTTTACAAAAGGCAACCATCAGTTAGAAATGACTAAAGAGGAGTTCCTGTACGCCGCTCAACAAATGTCACAATTGACTCCATTAGAAATTGAAATCCTCTTTCATTTGGCGGGATTTCTTCATCAAAGGACAGGAAGAGTTAGTTTTATAGATTTAGAACGTATAGCTCCGTATAGACCGACGAGATATCTCTCTAAACCCATTGCAGAAGTCAAAGCTGTTGAAAGTGCAGCCGATAGAGGAGTTGGGACTCAAATTCTTGAAAGTGTTTATAGATTTATTTTGGGCTCTATTGCTGGTGCTGCCGGTGCTACTGTTGTTTATCCCATTGATTTGGTAAGTTTGATGTTATGATTAAAGTTAATATATGAATAAATTATTTAATTGATACATAAATATGAAATTAGGTGAAAACCAGAATGCAAAATCAAAGAACTGGTTCTTATATCGGAGAATTGATGTACAAGAATAGCATTGATTGCGCTAAAAAAGTTATTCGACACGAAGGAGTGTTTGGTCTCTATAGAGGTTTATTACCACAATTGGTCGGCGTTTGTCCTGAAAAAGCTATCAAACTTACGATGAATGACTTCGTTAGAGACAAATTAACGACAGAAAAGGGAGAAATTACTCAAATTTCTGAATTTATTGCCGGCGGATGTGTTAGTATTTCTTATTTATTAAATTATTGTTAATTATTGAAAAATTATAATTTATAGGCCGGTGCTTCTCAAGTCATGTTTACGAATCCATTAGAAATTGGTAATCAAATTATAATTAATATTTATTTTTATGTAAACAAATATATTGTTTTTAATTGATAATCAGTTAAGATTCGACTTCAAGTTGCGGGTGAAATAACTAGTGGTCCAAAAATAAGTGCTTTGGGTGTTATTAAAGAATTAGGTATTCGAGGACTTTATAAGGTATTTAAAATATAATTATTGATTGAAATAATAGTTGATTAATGACATAGTGTTTGATTAATGCGAAAACAGGGCTCAAAAGCGTGTTTTCTTCGCGATATACCGTTCTCTGCCATTTACTTTCCGGCTTACGCTCACTGCAAACTTAACTTCGCTGATGTTAATGGACATAACAGCGCGCCTTCACTCTTATTGTCGGCAGTAATTGCCGGTAAGTTTAGATAATAATTAATTTTAAGCAAATAGTATAATATATATATATCTGATATTAGGTGTACCGGCGGCATATCTGGTCACTCCGGCTGATGTCATCAAAACACGATTACAAGTTGCCGCACGTGCCGGACAAACAACATATACCGGTGTTATTGGTATTATTGCATTTGATTTATTTTAATCCTATTATTTTAACATTTAATTAATAAATGTGTTGAATGAATGTATAGACGCGTGCAAAAAGATTTACAAAGAGGAGGGATTTGCCGCCTTATGGAAGGGAGGGCCGGCCCGTGTGTTTAGAAGTGCTCCTCAATTTGGTTTCACTTTACTTACTTACGAAGTACTTCAACGAATGTTTTTTATTGATTTTGGCGGCCGTCGACCTACCGGTTCTGACGCCAAAATTCCGTTACAATCCGGAGAAATTAAATCACAAAATCCTGACCACATCGGTGGTTATCGTTTAGGATTAGCCACCTTTACGGGTATGGAGTCTAAATTTGGACTATTTTTACCTAAATTTAGATCAAATGTTTCATAAATTGAGATACTATTATATAAATAATTAACAAATTATAGGAAATGATTTTAAATTTATTAGATTCATATATTTAGTGTAGATATAAAATTATGAATTGAAATTAAAAATTTTTGTGGCAATTAAAAAAAATAAAATGATAGAAATTAACCAAATTTTAATCTATTTGGTTTTGTTAATTTTAAACAATAAATTTTAATTAAAATTTATTTAACTATATATATGGCAAAAATTTATTTTATTTAAATATAAATTTGTTTTGAAATTTATATTTTTAATTGAAATTATGTCATAAATATATTTGTTAATAACTAATTATTTATAGTAAAAATTAGATATTTTAATTTTGATATATTAGTAATTAATGATAAATTCTGTTATTATAATACAATATACATTATGTAAATTTTGTTGAAATGATGACAATAAAGAATCTGAATTAATTGTAATATTATATTATTTTATATATAAAATTTATACTACAACTACTACTGTATATTATTTATTATATATAAATTTAACATAATTTTTATTATATTTATTTATTTAAAATATTGCAATTTAATGTAAATACTTGTTAATCTTAAGATTTAACAACAGTGTGATAAATATTTTATATAAAATATTGTGTGATAAATTTGATGAAAATTTAGTTAATTAATCACATTATTAATCACTTATAATTTTATGTATATATATATACTGTATAATTATCCTCTATTAGTATACCGTGAATAACATTAAATAATTATATTAAATAGTATTAAAATAACATAAGAACTTTATCGTTGACTAATTTATTGTGTATTGCTTTTATTTTGTTATATAATTTAACAAGGTAGGTTATGTATGATGCAATATATTATTATAAAAATTGCTATTAAATATAAAATTTTAAACTAATTATTTTTGGTAACAGTAATTACTAATTTTTAAAATTTTGTTAAATTATAAGCTTTCTAAAATTTAATTACTAGTTATTTTTATTAATATCTCTTTAATTATTGACTTTAAAGCATAATATTTTATAAATAAGATATTATAAAAATTATATGAAAATTAAATTATACAAAAATATTTAATAATAATAAAAAATATATGCGAAATTAATTATTAATATATTCAAATTTTTAATTCAATATCAATATCAACTATTAATTTATAATATTTATATTTAAAAGTCAATTTAAATATTGTCTTTTGTTTTAATCTTTATTTTTTAATAATTAAGGTCATTATACCAAACGTATCAAATAGTTATAAGATATAATTAAATTCACACAAATCTATCATTATTTGCAGACAAATGGCAAATTCATTAACACTTTTTATTGCTTTAATGTTTTAATTGTCTTTGAAATTGCCTTCAAATGCAATGACATTCTGCAAGCCCTTGTATTTAACAATTATAATGTGCGGGTATTTCTATGTCCGTCATTGTTATCTTTTTCAGATACAAATCTTAGGCTTTCCTATCATATCTCTTAAGAGTCAATAGTGAAACCAATTAATGACCGACTGATAGATATAGTCTAACCCGGATATCTATATTATAGATATATACTGTACTATATGTTAATTATATTGATAACGTTGTTGTTTTTATAACTACATTATATGATTACAATAGAAAAACAGTATTTTATAACAACAAATATTATTATTATTAGTAGTAGTAGTATTAATACACAAATGCTTATTAAAGCAATGAAAAATTACAAATCCTTGAATATAGGTTTATGTCATTGAAATAAGTTGTGCAAATTACCTTGATCATTACAATTATATTACTAAAAATTTTACTTAATTTGAAATTCATCTTAAATTATAAAATCTTATTTGCATATATATATATATATATTTATAAAGATTATATATAATTTTTATTTCTGTATATACTTTATAATTACCTCAATCTTTAGACTAAATCTGTCAATTCATTTATTTGTTTGTTTTTATTTATTAATTACTCATTTTATTTACGTAAATCAAAAAATATATATTCATTTTTTAAAAATGTTTTGACATATAATATATTGTGATTTAGTTAAATAATAATAATTAATATACTGTAAACGCGATATATTATAAATGTCCAATCATTTAAAAAAAATAAAATTTTGTTTTACTGTAAATCATAAAGATAATTTAGTTTATAATAATTATTATTATTATAAATATAGAAAAAATATATTAACAAGTTATACAAATTGATTATATATTTGTCTAATCAATGAAGTGACTATAATAGCAAAAAATATGTAATCATTTGAAATATAGACCTTAAACTATATTTTGTATTTATTATTAAATACCATTACATTATCATTGATGAGCTTATAATTCACATAATATTTCATATACTGTATAAACATTGAATGAAATAACCCTGAATTGTGATCAAATCATTTGTTGATTACTTAGTTTTTAAGTGACGACCAAACAAATTGTCATTTTATCAAAAAAATGTGTTTATTCTGCTTTCATATTCATAATTCTGTTTTATATACAAAACAATAAATAATTTTTGGTTTAATTACAGTAAAAATAAAATAAAAACAATTTGATTATAATTATCGAAAACATGTAATTAATTTTTCCAATTAATTATTAATAAATAAAATTGTGTTATTGTTGTTGAATTGACTATTTGTTTATATATATCATTATTAATGCTATAATAATTAATCAATTTAAAATTATTATACATTAATATCAAATAATATCAATATTTTTTATATACTATTAATATATGTTTAAAAAACATTTTATTTTTACATTCAAACATATTTGTTATAATAAATGTTTTAAAAACTAAAAAATTGTATCATTTATTACTATATTTACTATTTATTATAGACAGTAGTAATAATTGTACAACAATTAGAGTTCGGGCAACTTTCCAATGGATGCAAGTTTCCTAATAAAATACCTCTAATTTTTGCGGAAAATATTTTATTTTCCCTCCCTTTCTCTTTAGAAAAGAAAATATATTTTATATTTTCTACAATAAATAATACCAAAACTGAATTTTTTGCCTAAAATTTGATTGAAATATTTAAAAATAAATGTATATTCAATGTATTTAATAATACTATTTAAAAATAAGACTCAAAATACTGTTAGACTTATTCATAGCCATTACTATAATTATGAGACAAAACTTAATGGAAAAAAACAAATGGAAAGACAATCTTAAGACAAGACGTATATAATAGACATATCGATCCCAACAAACACACAAACTTCAGGACACGTATTGCGAGAAACGCCGGAAGTATATAGACTTGGATTATGACATCAATGATGTGATGCATTGACACTTGAAATCGTGTCTAAAATCCTATCATCGATAGCCGTAATACCGAAAATCTGGTCATAAGTATAGAATCACTGGAAATGAGAAAAACCAAAATATCATTCATATATGACATACAAAAAGCAGTGATTCTCCAGAGTTGGTCAACAATCAGAAAACTACTATTAATAGACTTCAGTTGAGACTAACCAATCGTGTGTTTGCCATTAAAAAAGTGGTCGACATAACTGTGATCACAGGAATAACCGGGAAATACAAACATAATAATAATAATTGAAGCGTTAGTACAGTATGTTATCAATGATATTAAACCTTTATTTCCTAGTAATGCAAATAATGACAACTTTAAAGATATGTAACACGTGTTACTCAAATTAGGTCATATATGTACAACAATTTCACAATTTTCAATAATTATTTGATTATTCATTGATAACATCAGTTTAATTATTATATTATTATATTAAATATATGTAGTATTTTGTATAAAATGAACTTTATATTCAATTGAAGAGTAGTTTAACATTGAGAATGAATATTATAGATAAGATTTCATTAAAGGAGTTATATATACAGTATATATATATATATATATATATATATATATATATATATATATATATATATAGAGAGAGAGAGAGAGAGAGAGAGAGAGAAATAATTAACTTTTCATTGTTTAACAACTTATTTAATTATATCATAAAATATTGTGTATAATAGTTAATGTTAAAAATGATATGATTTACTTTATTATTCTTTATGTTTTTAACTATATTTGCTTAATAATAAAGTTTTTGAAATAAAGATTATTTTAATCATATTGTGATTAATTTGAAAATACTGTCCAAAATTCAGTAAATATATCTCAAAAAATTAACTCAGATATTAGATTCTGTATATGTTATACACAAATAAAAATAAATTTTATAACAGTTGACATATTTTTAGAATTTAAAAATATATATAGAATTTAATTTAAAATAATGACATCATTTAAAAGTACATATATTTTGTTTAATTTTAATTTTGAAAAAATATTACAAATTAAACAAATTATCAATTAATTTTTGTTTACTGACACTAGAAATAAATATACTTATTATATACAGTATATTAATAAATCACTGTAAAAGTCATAAATAAATTAATTATACAAATTTTTTAATGAATCCGAATATTCTTTACAGTTATTACATTACCAATTATTACAGATTATGTTATGTAAACTAGGTCAATTTGCAATATTTGTATTTTTATTAAATTAGTAACTTGTATTAAAAATTTGTATTGAATTTTTTTTAATTTTTAAAAATTAGATAATATTTCTGACAATATATTTATGAAATAATAAAATATTATTTTTTAATAGTATAATTGATATCAATATAATAATAAAATATATGATATAGTTTATTTTTAAACAATAAAATTACTAAGAAATAAAAATAGGTCAATACTCCATGTAATGAAATAATGCAATTAGTAGTCTATATTGTACTGTAGATTCATAATATTGTATAATTAGATAATATATTAAATATTACTAGTGTTGGTAATTTTTCGCAATTCAGTTTTCGATTGCCGCAATTACGAAAAATTGCTTAAAATTGCGCGCATGAGGGATTGTATAAAAATTAACTTTGATAACGTTAAAAAATTGGTTCATTTTATAGATTAAAATTCTTTACTCATTTTTTAAATGTTTAAGACGGTTTTTAGATGGTAACATTTATTGCTAAAATAATTAAATTTATTATAATTAATTTAAATTTTTATAAATATTGTTTTACCATATAAACCTTGTTAATTTTTAAAAAATTATAGATGGCGCTATGTTAAAATTGCGATTTTTGCAATAGAGTTTTTTGCAATTGCCGAGCAATTCAATTGCGCATTTTGCAATCGGTACATCACTATATATAACAGTTAGTGATGTTGGGACTCAATTTTAACATTATTAAAAAATAATTTTAATATAATGCTCCATCTATGTAAAATAGTTTAATTAATTAAAAAATAATTTTTTATAGAGTATAATATTATATTATACTCAGTATATTGTTTTTTCAAAAATTTGTTAATTTAATGAATAATAGCTATAGTTAAAAATTTAATCTAATTGGTGTCCATAATATTAAATTAAATTAAAATATTATTAAAACAGTTCATTTTTAAAGTTTCATTATATTTACAATTTATATATCAAATCATAGATAAAATTGAAGTCCAGTTTTAACTTTTATCTGACACTTTTCCCACATAATGGACATAATTTTTAAAAAAATATTAATTACTTAGTTTTTATTTTAATTTTACAAATCTGTTATTTGACTTTAAATAGAAACATATTAATACTATTACCCGTATAATATTGAAAAAATGTAACTAAATGTATAAAAATTATATATAATTTGTAAAAAACACTAACATTATTTATTATATGAAAATTATATAATTTTTAAATCCCAAAAAATAAACAATGTAAGTATTTTTATAAATATATTATTTTATCTTACTTTATATTGTAATTATTTAATTTATGAAACTTATTGTTAGTTATTAATAAAATTTGATATAACAACACATTATACAAAATTTAACCGACAATTTTATATAAGATTTTACAACATAAAATAAATAATAGGGAATACATAAGCTATTAAAAAATCAAAATTATAATTACAATTATAATCTCATTCATAATCATAAACTGTATGACATTGTATTAACCCTTTGGATAACTCTATCCTTATGATTCAATGCCATTGTTTAAAAATTCATGGTTGCATTTTTAATTTAATATTACATATCATATAACCTTTATTTAATATTATAAATTGTTTATTATTAATAGATACATAATTTTACAACTTTTACAAACTATATATATATATTAATTATTGATAAATTAATTATTTATATTTATTTAATATCAAAATTTTAATTCTGTATACTTATTGTCCTAAAAATAACATGGATTTTAAAAATTAATAAAATTTTATACTACGATATTATTAATAAAAGTATAAATTATATAAATTTATGTCACTGAAACAATTAGTTTATATTTATAACATATATTATATATTAAGATATTTACAAAAATAAAATAATTTTTTATTACCGGTATATTTTTATTAGTAATTATTAGAATAAGATAATTTTAGATATATTTATATAATATTATACTTTATACTAATTTATATAATATAATATTAATATACTTGTATATTAATTTACAGTATATTAATGATATCATCTAATTTATATAATATTAAATGGCAAACAACCAAATTGTATAAATAAAATGCTTAGGAATTTAAACAAAACATTAAAATACAAATATTAAGCTTACATTTGCTCATTTCTAACACTATTTAAAAATATTGATATACTTATGTGTACTTTATTAAAAAAGATAGATTATTACATTTACAATTACTCTATATGTATTTTATAAACAAAATAATTAATTGTAAATGAGATTACAAAAGCTAATTATAGTTACATACAGTATATAATAGCAATAAATTGTTATACCTTGAGTTACAATTTACATGCTATCACTTATGTTATAGTTTGAATATAATCTATATATGATAAGAGAGAGAGAGAGAGAGAGAGAGAGAGAGAGAGAGAGAGAGAGAGAGAGTGAGAGAGAGAGAAACGGTAGTTTGAGCACAATTACTATGTCAAGGATCGATGTCTCTCTCTCTCTCTCTCTCTCTCTCTCTCTCTCTCTCTCTGCCTCTCACTTGAATTCATGGTTTTCAAATCACATATAAAAATAAAAAATAAAAAAAAATTTCGGCACTTTATCATTGAATTTTTTTAAGTTTTACTTTTGTGACTTATAATTTATATTTTATGTATAAAAGCAATAGATTTTTCATTGGAAATCATTATTTTTGTTTTATTTTTCAATTATTTTTATTTTTTAATTAAATGATTACTAGACATAAAATGATTAACTAATTCATACTGTAAACTAAAATCGTGTTATTTGTTTGTTAAAGTGAGTGATTGAAATTAAGTTTAATAAAATTAATAAAAAAACAATATTTAGTTTATTGTATGAAAACACAAATGTTTTAATAAGAATATATCGGTAATAGTTATATAATAGAGTGGTTCGAGAATTATCTAAATATAATATCGATTGGTTTGTCTCTTCTATAGGACGACCCTGAGTGCTGTGGATATATCACGTGCTAAATACTGCACGTGTATTATCTCTATTATTATTTTTATTATTAACAATTTTATTACTGGTTTGCTTTTCGCTCGATTATTATGTAATAATATAGTATATTATAATAGTTGTTTGTATGCTATCGTATCTAAATTAAGCTCTGAGCGCATGCATACTTGTGTCGACTCCTAATTTTATATACACTTTCTCTCTCTCAAAGTCTGCAATTTATTGTAAAAATACTACATTTGTTCACTGTTTTTGATGAATTGAACTAAAAAATTGTATTATATTTATACAAAACGTATGTATATTTAATAATAAATCTACAAAGTGTTTGAAAATTGTTGTTTTGCTTTTTTTATTAAAAAAATAACAATTAGTTTTATATATAATTTATACATTTATAACATCGGAATTAATGTGATTTTTATTTATCTCTGATTCTTCTCCAATAGATATAATATTTTCAATTCAAGTGTCATTAAAGTTATGAAAAATTATAATCAAAATTGAAATTTGATTTAAGTTTAATAAAATAATCAAGAATTTGATGATAAACTATAAAAGTCTTGAAAAGTTTTGAAGGAAAGGTGTGTTAAATACGAACTTATAGTGAAAGTCAGTGATTCACTCAGCACTGGTAGTCACTGGTATTGAATAAAGTTGTGCCTCGAAGAACAACCATAATTTGAATAACTTGTAAGTGATTGTCGGGATAGTTATGTATGGTAAGGGTTGTATGGTTAGATAAATTCCTGGATTGCCCTTCCGTATTGAGTGAAGGACCTACTGTAGTGATTGACCTTGTCACACTTTGCACAGTTAGTCACTTGAATCGCATTTAGCACAGTTAGCATCAGAGCTCACCCCTGACCTGATTACAGCACTAGTATTATAGTATTGTGTATGTTGTTTGTAACAGTGATCTTGAGACTCATTGCTGTTGTGCTGTTGCCGTAATACAAGGCCTCAGTTGCGCTGATATTACCGCAAATTAGGTCACAGACTGACGTGCAGTGAAAGTGCCAGAGGAAGCACTGGTATAGCAGTGGTTAGCAGTGGGAACAGTGACAACACTCAACACCACTCACAGCGATGTTGTTATTCTCCAAAGTAAGTCTATCTCTCACTTACTCTCTCTCTCTCTCTCTCTCTCTCTCTCTATAATATACACATCAACTATCATATAGCCATTTACTACTCATTTATTTAAACACATATTATTTATTTATCACTTTTTTAACGCATTACTCTATCTCTCTCTCTTTTTTATTTACCCACTTTCTCTCTCTCTCTCTCTCTCTCTCTCTCTCTCTCTCTCTCTCTCTCTCTCTCTCATAGTATTTCTTATTCTTTCTTTTTCTCTCTCAGTCTTTCTTTCCCTCCCTTTCCCTAAACACTGTTATCTTGTTTTTTAGATTTTAAATTAAATGTGAATTATTGTTATGTTTAGTATGAAAATGCTGATCATAATTTTTAATACTGAATATATTACTCTCTAGTATTGTGTTATGTTATATAAAAGTTAACAAACAAATAAACTGATAATATATATAATAATAATAATTTATAATAATAATACCCATAATGTGTTTGTTATTCAGTTAAATGATTGTGCATTTTGTTGATTCATTTATTTGAAATCTACGCTAAAAATACTGTTTTAATGTCAAAAGTTTTTTTTTAATCATAGACTCATAAATTGATTTCCCGTTTGTTTTGTAAAACTGTTCAAAGTATCAATTGATACAATTATTCAAACCTTATCTAACTATATATTGTTCATATGATTGTATAAATGTATAGAAATATTTGTTTGATGTCTTTATTAGATTATTTACGCGACTTTTTTTAGTTTCAGTGCATAACTAATAGATTAATAAAAGTGTAGATATATTGAGATATTGTTAGATAAATTGTATTCATTATATTCATCATAAATTATATATTTAGACAAATGTATACTTATTTGACTATATAATAGTTTGTAAAACATTAAGATGATAGTAGTGCACAGTGTGTTGATTATAGTATATAACAATATATGATATAATAGTTGGTGTGTTATTCCTCATCACTAATACTACACGTGCTCTACTCGTCACATGAGTTTGCGCTCACTTTCATCACATTGTTTCTCATAAATATAATATTGTTTTCATCGATATTAAGGCCAATACTATGGATAACATTGACGACCCTGAGCTCCGTATAGTAAAGCACCCGCGTTGGACTCCATCACCTGTTGATCTCACTATAGCTAATACTGTTCCCCCCGCCAGTGCGCTCATCGCATCACTCGGTATGCCTCGTGTTTCATCCAACACATACTCTCTGTTTGAACGTAACGTAACTTTTTTTAATAAATGTTTGTCTCACAAAACGTGAGTTCAGGCGCCGCATACTTTTGTTCGGGATCACCAACCACTGCCAACTCTGGTTACCCTTTAAATGGTATTATGGTCTCAGGACAGTCATCTACCACAGCTGTACTGAGCAGTAGAAAGCAAAGGGAGTTCATACCAGAGGCAAAAAAAGATGATTGCTATTGGGATCGTAGGAAACGTAATAATGAAGCCGCAAAAAGGTAGGAATTTTATTATGTCATCAAATCTATTATTATTTATAAACCGATTTATTTGATTTATTTTTTTCAAGAATATTCTTTTTAAATTAACTAATTATCGCATTTATAAATATTATATAAAGAAATATTTATGAGTATATTAATTAATACAAATTAATATATAATTTATACTTTCCTTATAAAATAGTTTGTTAGAAGTTTCTAATAAACCGTTATTATTGTTAACTGTTTGTCCTTAGAAGTTATAGTGTAGGCGTGCATAACATTCATGTATAACAATTAGTTACTTGAATAAACTGTATGTAATAATAATGAAAATTTAAAACATATATTTCAAATTTTTAATAGTTACCAGGATGACCACTAGTCAATCGTTTCTTAGATAATTAATAAACAGAATAATTATTGATAAAGTTAGACAATTTTATATTTAAAAATGATAATGTATGTTTATGCTAGAATTGATTTTTTAAAATTTAATAATCACAATTACAGAAATACATTGATGATTTTTAATTTCTATATTTTAAAATTCTAGAAATGTTAAACTCGTCAAAAATATATTAAACACAATCGTGTCTTATCTAACATGAGTTGACTAAAATTATTCCGGGATAAGCATATACTTGCCATTTAAAACTATAATGATTGTCATTAATTATATATTTAATTGTTTGCGGTCCTAACAATTAGTTAACACAAATTTAATATATCAATCTACTGTATAATATAATATAATTAATAATAATTTTTTTATAAACTTATCATTAATTTTAATAATGGTCTTCTATTATGTAAATATATTTAAATTAGGGAAAATTAACAAAAAAAACTTTAATATATTTTAAATATCTTATACAGTATTTACTGTACATTATATGTTATATTATTACATATATACAATATATTGCAAAATAGATTTAGTGATGAAATAATGGTCTACACAGTTATAATGGGTTCCGGGATTTTCAGATATTTAAAATAATTATAAATTTTCTAATTAATAAATATGACTACTGTTTAAGTTCATTATAATTATTAATTCATTAACAATAACACCTGATAAAGGTTTAGGGTTTTATCAATGATTTTCATTGATATTATTATAAAAATTCAATGTTTCTGTAAATTAATTCTACATAAATGACTCAAATGTTTCATTGAGTTAATAGTGTTTTATTGATTTTATTAACCGAAAGCATAATTATTGGAGAAACCTCTTTAAAAAACTCGTCTCTTCTTTAATTAGTTCATTGCCAACCATTAGTTCATTATATACAGTATGATGTCCTCTACAACATTGAATTTATTGAATGTTTAAAAACTATAATAAATTTTAACATTTATTTATTTTAATTTTTCTTATTATATTTTGTTAATATATAAAACTATTTTTAAGATATGTTATGATAAAAGTAAAATTATTTATATCCACATGATTATAGTAATATATATATATATATAATATTGTCTTATTATAACAATAAATCTATACTTTTTTATATATATTTATATTTAATTTTGTTAGACTTGTATCATAGGACTGCCATTCCTTTACAGAATCTTTTAATATTAAATTTTATTTTATATTTATTAAAAAATTATACTAAAAAAGACATATTTTAAATATATATAATTAAAATGAATTGAAGGTCTCGTGAGAAAAGAAGAATATCAGATATGGTTTTGGAGGCCCGGGTTCTGGAGCTGACCCGTGAAAACTCAGTGCTCAGAGCGGAACTCTATGCCATTAAAGATAAATTTTGTTTATCGCATACACAGGTATGTTATGGTTATGTCTTTATGTGAATTAATGTTTTTATTGTGTATTTCATATAATTATTGAATAATTTGATACTCTGCTTACATCAAACATCACATAAAACTATTCACTATATACAGTAAATATTGATATTATATTTTTAGCTACAATTATTGATATATTTATATAACGATTTTTAAATTATATTTTTAAACACCCAGTGAATGGGAAAAATAAAAAAGAAGTGATATTATACTGCAATGTGAATATCATTGAAGTAAATTAGTTTCAAAACAATTATTAATACATTTAAGAGTTTACTATTTCCCTTATTTCTACATTTGTTTAATATAACACTACTATTATTGTTATTGTTGTTCATTATATCTTAAAAACAAATTAGTTAAATATGAAGTCCTTTCCCTCACTTACTCTCTAATACCTGTATCGCTAATATCTATAGAAAACCTTCAAATTTCATAGATTATAGTTGAAAATAAGTTTTATAATTTTTATAAAACATTTAATAACCTGTTTTTAATATATATATTTAGCATTAATATTATGTTTTCAATGTACATGATTATACAGAAAATTTTGTTTTTATCAATGTAAATTTTTATTAATACTGTAAATACTGTAAAAATATTGTTTAATAATAATGGAATTAGTCTTATGCTTATTCATAATACAGTATTATTAATAATGATATTCATAAAGCAGACATTTTTAGTATAATATATATAAATTTATATATAGGTTAAAGTCATTATCATTTCAACTTTACATTCATTTATTAGACTTTAAACTTGAATTTTATGAGACGGACTATCCATATGAGATGAAAATATTTGAGTATTGAAAAAATTATTGATAATGTTATGAGGTTTTTCAAAAAACTGTTATCTTATAAATAATTGTAATGTTGTTATCCATGAAAAGTCTTTTAGACAGATTTTCATATACTTTATTTGGATAATAAATCAATTTTATAACATTCAACGTAACAAACCATATTGGGTTGTCTAACTTTATTATACCTACACTATTAGGGAAATACTGTTAATGCTACTGACCCTCATTTAAAATAATTAACATATCTAACGGAAACATTGGAAAAATATTATTTTATAGTTATACTATTAAGAATAGCAAATTAGTAATTAGTTAAAATATATGCAATATATACTGTATATAGATAATTTTTTAAATAAATAAATGATATTATTAAATAATTTATTGCACAAATAAAATAATATTGTTAAGCAGGAAAATCTGTTTTTATTTAAGGGAAGGCAACAAATTAATTAAAATTCACGTGTTTACTAATAGTTATAGTATTTTTTATTTTGTAAGTTATAATAAATCATTTTTATTATTTTATTTATTATTATTATAATAATCCTTTGTTTTATAAACACTGGTTATTCAGTACTGTAAGTATAAATAAATCGATAGAATATAATTATATTAAATGTTTAAAATATAGATTTATTAAATTATTATTACAAAGTTCTAACACAGAATATATTATTTGAAAATTAGTTGTTAGATATTTTAATATTTGAATGAAAGCCAAGATTTAGGAAAAATAAAAAAGTATTACTTAAGAGTCAATAATTTTTTAGCAAAATACTCATATAAGATAATAATAATAATTGTTATCTAATTATTTTAATATTGTATTACATAAAAAATATTTTATTTTATTTATTATAGAAATAATAAGTTTTGTATTATTTTTGTAGATTTTTAATAATATTAGATTGTATTAAAAATATATAATAAAATTTTATTGTTTAAATATAAACTAATTGTATTAAAATTATTTGTATTTTAATATATGATTAATATTTGATTTCCAAGACATATATGGACTCGGATTCGGTTTCATTTTCCGAATCGGGAGGAAGAGGTCGACGAAATCGATTGCTCTCTAATATAGTGTCGACACCTAATCACAACAGTAAGTCTTTATATAATTAATTAAACAAAAAAAATCTTAAATTGATATAAATTATAATTTAAAGATGAGCTCAACTCAAATGGCAACTCTTCGACCAATTATTTATCGACTTCTTCTTCGCCAACCTCGCAGTCGTCGTTGTCATCAAATGAGCCGTTGGTGTCGACACCTTCAATGGTCCCAAATCTATCATCGCATACATATTCACCACCAAACACACAAACCATGTGTTGCACACCCAATGCTAACCCAAACTGTCCAATAAGTCCGGTCAATACGACTTCACTGCCTTTTAAATTAAGACACAAAGCAGTTAGTCATAAAACCCTCAGCACAGACAGTGATTCCGGTAGCGATACCTATGCTAACGTTTTGACTGATATAACGCCTAACCACTGTGTTATCAATGGTAACATCGTTTATAATGAGTCAGTCAATGGTAAGACTTCTCTAAACGATTCAATGCTTAAGTCAGAGAATTTTGCGTTAAGAAGTGAATTACAAAGATTGGCCACAGAAGTGGCTTCACTTAAGGATGTTCTCGTCTATAATCCATCATCTAATGGGTCGCTCAAAAATATGACATCCGATGACACTATTCATTCACATGTCTATCGTAAGGACAGACGCTCCGAATCACCCGATTTAAAGATTGAGTCAATAAATACTATCAACAAATCAAGTATATTATCAAACGGTACTCAATCTCATTAAAAGTGATGGTAATCGACAACTCTTTGATACGATAATTGCTGACTATTTTTTTGGAAATATTTCCTAAAGATTTCGAGAAAATAAATATATAATTAAAATTGTTTTTGTTTGACAAGAATTAATTAAAAATATTTTATAAACTTATTATTATTGTTATTTTTCATTAGTTGTATTATTCGTATAATTCATAGTTTATTACATATGTAATTAATTAAAGTTTGTTTTTAATGTAACTGAATTTATAGAAAATATTTATATGAAGTATACATTATATATATAGTAAATGTTTATTATATTATTTTAAAATAATTTTATTATATTTTTATAAAGACAAAGCCAAAAGAATTGGATACAGAAGTATATTATTATTAAGTATATTACAGACAATTAATAATAATATTAGAATTAACTTAATAATTGACAACAAAACACTTGAGGAATGTTGGTTTCAATCATTAAGTATTAGTGTCTATAATATATGGATTTCCACGCAAACATTGCAGACATAATTATTTCCTTTGTCTCAAAGCAATTATATCTTGAATTATATGTTTTGTCTTTTTCATAGAAAGGAAGGAATTAATAATATGACAAAAATCTTGGATATTATATCTAAAAAAAATTATTTCATTAATTAACTAAATTTTGAATATATTCTGTTAGTATTAGTTATTAGATAATTTGGCAATTACTATAAATGATTCAATTATTGTTAAATATATAAATATTTATATTAGGCAATTGAGTACTAATTATAAACGATGTTTAGCACAGGTATTTATATAAATATATTTATTTTAATAATTTTGCTATAATGTAAAAACAAAAAATAATTATTTTATAATTAAATTTCTATTATTTGTCTAAACTATACAAAATATTATTTAAGAATCGATATATTATTATCTTCTAATATTTTTACAATTATTTGTTATATCATTTGCTATAATATTGTGATATTATAACATAAACTGTAGTATAGTTTGGTTAAAATATATTGTGTTAAATATAAATATATAATAATTCGCTTATATTATAATAACAATAAAGCGTTGTTTTCAATAAAGACTGTAATATAAAATGAAAATTCAGGTCAAGGAAAGACTAAATACATAAACTATAACTATGTGTAGTTTATGTGTGTGTATGTGTGTGTGTGTGTGTGTGTGTGTGTGTGTGTGTGTGTGTGTGTGTGTGTGTGTGTGTGTGTGTGTGTGTGTGTGTGTGTGTGTGTGTGTGTGTGTGTGTGTGTGTGTGTGTGTGTGTGTGTGTGTGTGTGTGTGTGTATGTATGTGTGTGTGTGTGTGTGTGTGTGTGTGTGTGTGTGTGTGTGTGTGTGTGTGTGTGTGTGTGTGTCTATATTTCCTTGTTATGTAAGCTAATGCAAGCGCTTTTGTAGCTATAAAAAAATCGACGTTTTACTAATTTGAGGGACAAATTCCGTATCTATTAATTGCATACACCGTAGAGTATATTAATATCTTTAAAAAATTGTGATTATATTAAAACTATTAACGGATCGCAAGAGTTGGCTCACAATCACTATTTGTTGGCTCTCTATATAATAATTATAAATTCCACTATAATTTGTTATCACATATTATTTAACTCTTTTTTATTAATAAGCTATGTTTACAAGTATTTTAACTAAATCATAAACTTCTTAATTAATTTACTATAAACATTATCTTAATGTCTTAATTATAATAATTATTTATAAAATAAATATCTTAATGATTGATTATAGTATACAACATATAATGCATTATTATTGTTTAATTTTATATTAAATATTTATATAATTTAATTTTATATAATTATTTTTAAATTATACAAAACTTATATATGAGATACAAAAATATCAAATATGTAACAAAATAATACTAATTCTATTTTTTTGATTTTTTATTTATATCATTAATTTTTTTTATACTATATGTAGATTTTAAAATATTGTTAAAATAATTTAGTTTGTTATAATTTCTAGTAATTAAAAATATTCATTTAATTGATTTTTATTTGAATTAAGTATTTTAATATTGTGACTTTTTTTTAAATAAAATATTACAACTTGATAAAAAAGTTATCAATAATTAATATTAATTAAATTATACTAAATTATGTAAAAATTTAAAGCTATTATTATTCTATTGATAATTTTGAAAGAAAATAATATAATTTGTTGTAATCGGTTATTACTTTATATTAAATGAATATTGAAAATTATATTTTTTAATGAATGCTTATAATTGACTAATAGAAAAATTAACTAATTGAATACTACTATCAGATAAGTTATATTATAAATAATAAACAAAAACTAGTAATAGTATAAACATTTTTTTGTAACAATTACTTCATTTTATTTAAACATCAGCTATAATATTTAGCTGATTAAATAATATTTGTATACAAAAATAAATTTATTTATATTTTTCATAATAATTATTATTTAAAAATATTTAGTAATTGCGAATAAACTATTAGCACAATATTTCATAAATAAACATGCAATATTTAATGAATTATAATTGTTTTGTTGAAATTTCCCGGTAAATTAGCTTGATAATTTTCTAATCAAGTGCTCAAATCCTTATATTATATAATTTATATTTACAAACATTAAAATAATACAATATAAAAATATAAACTATTAAAAGTTTATCGGTTATAATAGTTATGAAAATACTTTAATTTCCACTTATTCTTACTTAAGATACGATTTGTATCACTTATTTAAGGTATTATAAATAAATTACTGTATATTTATAATTATAAATATAATATATAAATAAATAAAAATTATTATACATAATTTCTTAGTAATTTTGATAACTACATAGTGTTACTATTGCATAAAGTGTTTTTAATTTATATATTATTAATTATTTAATAATTGTGAAAAATTTGTTTTTTTTAATAATTTATATTATATGATATACAATGTAAAAGTTGCTGAAGTTTTTTAAGGAGTTCTTGGAAATAACAATAATGTGATCCAAAAGTTCATAACTTTTAGTAATTAATTATTTTATTTTTAAATGTATAGAAATTTATATTCTTTTAGTGTCTGTTCACAACATTGTTATAAATATAATATTCAATAATATTGAATGGCATAACATAATAATTATAATACTTTAACTGTACTGTACTTATCAACAAATTTTGGGTAAAGGGGTGAATGAGGAGAGAGAGAGAGAGAGAGAGAGAGAGAGAGAGAGATAAGAAAGAGAGAGAGAGAGAGAGAGAGAGAAAGAGAGAGAAAGAGAGAGAAAGAGAGAGAGAAAGAGAGAGAAAGAGAGAGAAAGAGAGAGAAAGAGAGAGAAAGAGAGAGAAAGAGAGAGAAAGAGAGAGAAAGAGAGAGAAAGAGAGAGAAAGAGAGAGAAAGAGAGATGTGAAGTATGATTGAGAGGTATTTTGGATGAGTTAGAGACATAAACAACTGTATGAGTTATGTAATGGTTATAATACAGTAGAAATACACACACACACACACACACACATATATATATATATATATATACATAATATGTATTACATATATACATTACATACACAACAGTCTGTTAGTACAGTATTGCTGACGACTGGTGTAACTGACTGTGAATTTCCTGCGATTCCTAGAATTGTAAACGCATTGCCCGTTCATAGAGTGAGTGCTATATGTGAGACACTATAGAAACATATGAAAGTATAGCTTCACTGCAAACCAATTCCAGGAATCGGCGACCAGTTTTGACAAACGCTTTGTAGACTCGAATCGATTGCATTCACACAACACTATAGTCTATAGCATAGCGTCATTGAAAACACTATACTATACATACAAACACTAAATTGTAACGATTGTAATGACTGACTGTAATATAGCAGTGAATACAACACACCATTCAATGCAATCAAAGTGATTACAAGTAAGTTAAAAGTCTTATTGTTTTCACAATTATTTAGTGATAATCTCATCTAATGATCACTAAATTACTATAAGTGTTAGCACTAACTGTGTGTCCATTTGTATTAACTGTCATATTATATGTGTTTTTGATAAACAAATGGTTTGATATTGAAAACGACTGATAAAACTAATTATTAATATACTGTATATAAATACATGTGTTGTTGTCAATGGGTTTGGTTAGTCATCACTACTACATAACATCTTATCGTTTGTTTTTAATACAAAACATTATATTTGCGTAAAATTATTTAATTAACACTTTTAGCAATCATTTGTCGATTGAATTAATTGATTGAAAACTATTTGTATGAAAGTTGGCTAACATTTGATGAAAAATGTTAGTAATATTATGAAAGATGACTACATATATGATTGTCAATAACTAAATCAATATATTTATGATTACATAATACATGTATTAATGAAAGTAATGTTTTTTATAATATAGTTTTATTACTGGAGAAAATTGGGATAATTTTTGAACAGACATACCATTGATATATAGTAACCAATAGATAGTAAAGATGTCGATTTGGGCGCAATTGCAGGAATTGCCTGAAGAAGCGCAACAACAGGTGCATATGGCTTATGGCGATCAGTTCCCGATTGAGGTCAGGTGTGCTTTAGCCCAATGGATTGAAGAGAAGCCATGGAAGGACTTGGATCCCGACAATCCTCAACATGAGGCCTATGCGTCCAGTTTGGTGACCGCTTTCATACAAGAAATTGAAGCCAAAGCCAATTTGACTGAAAATTTTGTGACCAAATTCAAGCTAAACACTGCGGCACAGAATTTCCGTCAAAGCTATTTACACACACCTTTCATTTTGGTCCGCATTGTTAAACATTGTCTTAGCATTGAATCCCGAGTCATACAACAGGCACAGAACTACTTGAATATATCAAATCATGAAACCAAACCATTGATTAGAGATCCGCAACAAGAGATCACTCAACAGTTGGAAAAACTAAGAAAAAATACGATAGAGACTGACGAAGAGTTGCGCCGAATGCAACAGGAACAGGAACAGTTCATCATACAGTTCCAGGAAAACCAGAAACGACAACTCACTATTCAACAACTCAATTGTCAACCCAACCAAAACATTGAACTCATCAGCAAATGGCAAAAAGAAAAGGATTCGCTCGACGCCGCACTCAAGTATAAGGCGGCACAGATTTATCAGACACGAACTCAACTCATCCAAAGATACTCTGACACATTGACTGCGTTGCAAAGTCTTCAACAGCGTGTTCTCGACGATGAATTGATTCATTGGAAACGCGCACAACAGCTGTGCGGTAATGCCGTACCTTTTGAGAACAATTTGGACCAAATTCAAGAATGGTGTGAAACATTAGCCGAAAGTATTTGGGCTAACAGACAGCAAATGAAAAGGTTGGCTGATATGTGCCAACAATTGCCTTTAGGAGGACAGCCTTCTGGACATTCCGATCAACTGCAGAACTTAACTAAACAAATAACAACTTTATTGTCTAATTTGGTCACTTCAACGTTTATTATTGAGAAACAACCGCCACAAGTGATGAAGACAAACACTCGATTTACATCAACTGTCCGATTGTTGGTCGGCGGCAAACTTAATGTCAATATGACTCCACCACAGGTTAAGGTGACGATTATCAGTGAATCTCAGGCTAATGCTATGATTAAGAACGATAAAGTATCGATGGGTGACGTTAGCGGTGAGATCTTAAATAATTCGGGAACAATGGAGTATCATTCGGCCACTCGACAACTTTCTGTCAATTTTCGTAATATGCAATTACGTAAAATAAAGAGAGCCGAGAAAAAGGGTACCGAATCGGTAATGGACGAGAAATTCTCATTACTATTCCAATCGCAGTTCAAAGTTGGTGGCGGAGAACTCGTGTTTCAAGTTTGGGTATGTTTTCAATGATAGTAAATAGAAAACGTTTTAATTGTAAATAATTTGTTAGACATTATCATTACCTGTTGTTGTCATTGTTCACGGAAACCAAGAACCACATGCCTGGGCCACTGTTACCTGGGATAACGCATTTGCTGCACCCGTATGTATTATTTATTTTTTTAATGATTTATTTGTATTAATAAAAATATATCTTTCATTAGGGACGACAACCATTTGTTGTTCCCGAAAAAGTGCCGTTTAGTCAGGTGGGAGAAGTGTTGAGTCAAAAATTTAAAGGAGCTGTCGGTCGTGGACTGAGTGATGATAATTTAAGATTTTTAGCGGGAAAAGCGTTTAGAAATCCCAATTTGCAAGATTGGCAAAACCAATTGCTGAGTTGGTCTTTATTTTCTAAGGAACCGCTTCCCGATCGAAGCTTTACATTCTGGGAGTGGTTTTATGCCATTTTGAAAGTAACGCGCGAACACTTGAGAGGACTTTGGAACGATGGCTCTATTATGGGATTTGTTTGGCGCCGTCAGGCAGAGGAAATGCTGTCGAAGAAGCCGAGCGGCACTTTTCTCTTAAGATTTAGTGATTCCGAATTGGGTGGAGTGACTGTTGCCTGGATTGCTGAGGGACAGGAAGGCAATGAAACATATATGTTACAACCATTTACGTCCAGAGACTTTCAAATTAGAGGACTTGCCGATCGTATTAATGATCTAAAGCACTTGACTTACTTGTATCCAGACATACCCAAAGATCAGGCATTTTCTAAATATTACACCCCATTTAACGACAGTCAGCCCTCATCTTCAAATGGTTATGTCAAACCAGTGTTGGTTACCTTCATTCCTGGGTATGTTACTTGATTGTCGTTAGTCTCAACTATTTGCGCTAAAATGGTCTACCCTTTTGCTTCATAGCTGGTCGGGTAACGGTCCATACGATTCTTACCCAAATACGCCCCAATCGGCACTTCATAATCCCCACTCACCGAGCGATGTCTCATATCATGACAACCCTTCAGTACAGAGCTCATCCAATGACTGTGCATTGAAGTAAGTAATGACACGTTTTGTCGGTCAAACACACACTACGAATCCGATTATTTGGTCACTTGTCGTGCAATCAAATGATACATACAATCATTTAAATCTCACTTAAAAACATCTTTTATTAAATTCATTGAATATATTCTATATTTATATCTATTTTTTATAAACAATTAATTCAAAAAGCAAGTTATTATTTTTAAATATATATAATTTTATTTTGATCGTTGAATATTTTATAATTTTATAAATCATAAATATATAAATGTAGTTATTTGTTAAACCTTACGGTTTTAAGAAAATATTAATAAATTGTTTTATTTGGTAATACTTTGTCTTTTTTTCTGATCTTCAGTGCTGTCGGAGGAATGGGAGGAACTGTAGACGATTATTCAGATTTAATGTCAGGCATGGATTTGGTAACAGATATGGATGTTCCGGTCGACTTCTCCTCCATTAATGTCTCCGATCTTATGGCTTACAGCAAGTCTTCATAAGTTCATTATTATTAACAGATAATATAAAATAATTTTATTTGAATTATTTTGAAACTTTAGTGATTATTGAAATATTAGGCTCTTATTTATAAATATTTTATAGCCTACTATGTTATAGCCTTATGTTATCATTATTCAAAAGCAACTAAACTAAGATTTGAGAGATTTTTGAGAGTGTGTGCAATACCTCTGCAATTATGATTGTGCCATAAAATGTTATCAATTTATTTAATTAAGACTTCATTTTTTAGTTAGTTTTAAATAGTTTTTAAGTTTCTGTTTTGCATCCATAGAATATAGTGCCTCATAATAATAATAATTACAATATATTTTCAATGAAGAAATAATGTATATTTTCTTATTTTATTAATCAACTTTAAAGTACAAAAAATATTTTCAGATCTCTTATCTAAAACTAAAGCTTTTATAAGAAATCATTTTATGACATATTGTTAATAGTTATATAAGAAGCAAAATAATAGCTTTTACGGACTGACTGTTTGTTGTTTGATTCGTAAACTAATTAAATGAATTAAATTTTGTTATTCAAATTAAATGTATTTATTATATTCTATTATATTATAATTTCAAACAAATGGAGATAATTGGATTTTTTCAAAAAAATGTTATTTTTAATTGATTTAACAATTATGTAACAATTTATGCTATTATAAAAATTACTAAAATTATTAATTATATTGTGATTATTAAATCAGATATGTTATTAAAAAAATAGAGTAATTTATGTTGATTATTTATAGAAAAAATCAATTTGTTGATCAATATTATGGTAAACTAATACATTTTACATGTATTATATTTTAAACCTCACAATTACTTTAATACTATTTTCTCATAAAAATAACTTAAATATTATATAATAACTTAACAATTTATAAAAAAATATATTAAATATTGGAAGGAAGTGAAAAATAAGTGAAAAGAGTGATAGCTATGGATAAGACAATTATCAGACAAATAAAAAGTAATCGTTTTTCTTGTTTTGTCTGATGAATGGATGAAATTTGTTTGATATTTTCCGCTTCTTTCATAGACTCATCTTTTGTCTGTTTTTGATTAATACCACAAAACCACATAAAGAATATTTTAGTGTATGATTTCTTTTTTAATTTTTTGATAAAATCCACATCAGATGCCATAGTTTGTCCGTTACTATACTGAGTTGTATTTATATTCTGTCTCTCGATTTGACTAATATTTGTCACAATTTCATCGGTTCGCTCTCTATTATCAAATCGTGTCCAATATGTAGTTCGGATCAGCTGTTTGTGATAAACAATTATCATTTAATTTATTATAAGAATAGTTTAATTTTAAATTTATGATTACTCGATATTCTTCAGTTTGTTCGGTTATATAACTGATAATAATTGCAGATATTATGGATAACCAAAAGACAATTATTGCGAAATACATGTAATGAATCTTAAGTATCTCTGGATGAGTATCCACTTCACCACAAGACGGTTGTATATAAATAATATTTACAATTAGTCTTATTATACCAGCGATGAGTCCAATTATTAGCGCCCAAAAGGCTCCGCTTTCATTGATTCTCTTCCAAAGTATGGCCAAAATATATACGGCCGCTATCGGCGGCGCCAAATTGGCCGCAATGTCCTGAATGTAAATGTAAAGCTCACCATTTTGCATCTCTTGGATTATTGGGATCCAAAGTATGCTAATCACAACCATTACTATCACAAAACATCTAAATTGTTTGAAAAATTCAATATTAATATTTATTAATGAAATAGTAGTCCGAAGACATACCGGCCAACAATCATCAATTCCGCCAGTTTTGCATTTTTGCGAATCAGTGGCCAAATATCACACGTGAATAATGTACTCGAACTGTAAAAATATTTATTACGAATTGATTATTAAAAAAAATTAACAAATTGTTTGTAAATTTGTCACTAAACCTATTAAACACTGACGACAAATCACTCATCAATGCGGCCAACATTACTGCCAGAATAAGTCCTTTGAAAGGACTGGGCATTATGTTGAGTACAAGTTTAGGATAAGCTGTGTTGGAACAACTAATCGGATTATTGCAGTATTGCATACATTTGTCGGCATCAACACAGGCCACCTCATCGGGATATAGGACTCTACTGATCATTCCGGGAATTATTATCAAAAATACTGGAGTTATTTTGAGGAATCCGGCAAATAGAGTGCCTCCCTGAGCGTGTGATAGTGACTTTGCAGCTAATAGTCTTTGAACCATCATTTGGTCGGCACACCAATACCTAGTTTGTCATACATTGCTTTAAAATTCATATTAACAATGATATTCATAGACCAGTGTCTTTTGAAGTATATACTTACCAAATTGAAGCGGGTGTCTGACCCAATATAAAGCCGAGCCAAGGCATGTCCGGGTCGTCCAGTGATCGTAACATTTGAAACGAGTTTTCTTTAGGAACGGCACAACCCATCTTATGGGAGGGTATTGTAGACGGAATTGCTTTCATATACTTATCTTTTAATTCCCAAAACCCTCCCACTTCTATCAGACCTTAAACCCATAAAAATGGTTTAAATGATGTCTACACTACTTTTAATTTTGTATAATTATATGGCAGTAATATTATATATTCAATAATTAATATTTATAATTTTAAAAAACTTATGCTGTATTACGGGTAATGAAAATATACAGTATTTCGATATAAGTCAATACCTTTGATAGCAACCACTGAAGCGCCAACAATCATAACTAAACATTGAAATGTATCGGTATATATAACCGCTGTAAGTCCACCTTTAATTTAATTATATCAATAATATAATTACTGTATATTGAATTATTAATTACATAATTTAGTGAAATATTTAAGAAATACCACAAATAGTGCAAATGGATGTAATGGCTAACAACAATATAACACTATAATATAGATTCCAACCCAACGCTTGTTGAATGAATATTCCGCCAGAATATAGATTAACCTAATATTCAAATAAAAAGTTACATTTATTTATTTTTAAATTTTTATATAAAATATTGATATAAAAAATAATCTCAAAATAACCGATATTTTTGTAAATATATAGAGAAGCATTGACAGAATAGCCAAATAAGTCCGGATTCTGTTTCCACCAAAACGTTTTGACATATATTCAGGAAGAGTACAAACCTATATATATATATTATTCATAAATTATAACTTTTTTTATAAATATAATGAGTAAATAAACTTATTGTTAAAATTTAATACTTTGCTGGCTATAAACACAGGAAGAAATATCCAACCAGTAATTTGAAGGATAATTAAAGCCTTTGAAAATAAAATTTGTTGTCAAAACTTTACAGTATAACAATCATTGTGTAATAAGTCAATCATTTAAATTATTTAGTTTTTGATAATACATTGAATTCAAAAGCTCCGACACCTATTCCAGAAGCAGCACCTGGATATTGTGATATACATTGGTGTTATTAATTTTCACATTTTAATCATGTTTTTTGTACAATTTATTGTTAATTTATCTAATTATTTAACTAAAAAAATTTGTTGCATTCAACTATTGCAACATTTAAATATTGATTACTAGTTTGTAAACTTTTATTTAGAAATATATAGATTGTGGACAGTATTTATAATAATTTAATTGAATTATATTGCATTATAATTACCTGATCCAGCTAATCCAATGAAATGTTCAGAACCTATATTCGATGCAAATACAGAAGCTCCCACCTAATTGTATTTATTTAAAAATTACTTTTTTAAAAAGTTTTAAAACTATTTTCTTTGTTTTTTAAAATTTAATAGTATACAAAATTTTACTAATTGTATAATTATCTGTATTAATAATATACCGGAAGCCAAATCATGAAACGTCCGGCCAAAAAATATCCATTAACTGTTCCCCTATTTGATCGATACATAGCCTATAAAGATATTTTTAAATTATGCAATTATATTATGCTTAATTATTATATAAACGATTACAAAATACCATTGTATAAGTTTATAATTTAAGCTATTAATATCAAATTTATATAATACAAAATTTTATCATTATTATTTTTTATAATAAATCTTTAACATGATTTGTAATATTTTAATATTTCACATAATATAAAGTATTTTTGGAAAGTTCCCAAAATAAACTTGTTTTAATTGAAATTTTATGGAAATTGGTTTACACTTATAATTTCAAGGTAGATATATAAAAAAATCGTAAATATATAATTTATAATGTTAGCTAATTAATAATAACTATTATTTTTAAATTAATTTATACAGATATAAATATAAAAAATTGATTATTGATAATTAATAATTTTAAAAAAATAATATTGTTATAATATTTAATTGTAATTAACAATTTATAATATGAAATAAAATGTTTAATAACTATTCTTACATCTACAGTATTATTCTAATAAAATATAATTTAAATCATTGAATACTATTATAAAATGTTAATAAATTTACTTAATGATTATATTTTATGTACTGTACATTTAATAGTAAAACTTTAAATGATTTATGAGCTGAAAGTACAAAATTATTTAAGTTTACTACTGTATGTAATATTTTAGTATAGTGTATTTTAAAGTATTAAAATATCATTTTTAAAATATCAAAATTTTTTAGTAACACTTACTATAAATAATTTTTAGAATAAATGATTATCAATTTAAGCTATTAATAATATTGTAATAAATCTATGTCGAAATAATTAGTTATTTGTTTTTTATTTGTCATAAATATTCTAATATCTGATTTTATATAAATATTTAACTATTTGATTAATAACATTTTAATATATAGATTAAAACAATAAATATTTAATGTCTGTCTACAACGTATTGATTTTGCAAATTAAATATCAATTTAAATAATTAAATAAATATGTTTATTGTAATTTATAGTACACTAAATAAAAAATTATTGACTGGTGAAGTATTTATATGATAAAATGATAATTGTGTTAAATATGTAATTGTTGCTAAATTGTTGTATAATGATATTTAATAATTAGGTATTTAACATATTTCGCATAATTATTTCGCAACTATAATGTTATATCAAATTACATCAAATTACAAATGCTTAATAAAAATATTTTTCATTAATACATAAATAGAGTATAGTATGATAATGTTTTCAATAAGTTTATGACTTATCAAAATTTTAACTTATAATTAATTTTAAATTAAGTGAAAGTAACTCTTTTAACGATTTATTTGCGAAGTCTTGTAATAATATTATCTTTGATTAATAATTATAAATAAAATGATGACACTTTATTAACATTGATTATATAAAAACATATTAATTAATGTTTCTATAATTAAGAATTTCCTTGAATTAGTTTTATATCTTTATTTAGTAAATAAAATCTAAAATTGAAGGTAAAATCATATCTTATAAATTAGTCGATCATTTGTCAAACATTTTGAAGAATATCTAAATAAATATTTATTTTCACTGTCTCTGAATTTTAATGATTTCGCAATTTAATAAAAAAAACTAATTAATTGAGAAAATATTGTAAATACTGATAATATTTACAGTATTGCATTTATTCATTATAGTACTATTTTTATTTGAAATGTAAACATTTTTTTCTCATTTATCACAAAACTTATTGTTTTTTTATTATACCCAATAGTAACCTTAAAAATAAAATGTAATAAAAAATATGATATTTAAAATCCACGTGTACAGTATATTACATTTATTTAAAGATTATTTTTTATTTTAGTATAACAATTTAATTTGTTGATTGACTAAAACTAAAATGCATCTACATTTAAATTTAATAAAAACAAATAGTAAATACTGGTATAATAAAATAATAATTATAATATAATAAGTTATAAAAACTAACTAGTTTTAAAATGAATGCAATTAAATTGAAAGTAAATTTTTTATTTAATAAATTAATTTTTATATAAAATTAAAATTTTAATAAATAAAACGCTGGAATCTAAAGAATTAATAAATTTGTGTTAAATTTCTACGTTATATTAATATTTATCATATAACTAAAAATGAAAATTTATTTGTCAAAAAATATTTTCAACTGTAATGCAATACTTTTTATAATAAACTAAACTATAATATAAATTATCATTATATAAATTATATATTTATATATAACAGTTATAGCAATAAAATTGGTATATCATATTAATTTAATACATAGATTTAATGATTGTTCAATATGTTAAATACACAAAATTTACACAAATATACAGTATAATACTAAATGATATACAGGCTGGCTCATCAGGAGTTATTTTCAAAATACACCACTTATTTCAAAAACTACTAATTATATTTTATTTTAACAAAAAATATTATAAAATATGATAAATGGGATTACATATTTTTATAAAAAAAATTTTTAAAATGGCCGCCTTTAATTGCAATTAAATGGCAAAGTCAGGTGTAAAAATAGTCGAAATTGTCCTTATTTATTATATTTTGACTATCAAGCGACCGCTACATCCAGAACCTGTCGCCATATGATGTGCTATTAGTGACAAAGAAATAATTGGGCCTATATTTTTAAGAGAAATTTGTGATATCAGAGATCTACAGGACTTAAATCATTGTGCAGGACATAGGGTCTGCTGAAGATAAAAAGATTGCTTGATTGTTACTGGTTTAAACAAGATGGTTCACGACCTTACAGAACACAAGATATCTTTGAACAACTTAGAGAGTGTTTTGGTGATCGGATTATAGGTTTGGATGTGCCCAAGAAGACTGGCGGCTGAAATGATTTTACCTCCATATTTACCCGATTTCAACACCTGTGATTATTTTTTTGGGTTTATTTTAAGGATATGGTTTACATATCCAACCCTCAATCTATTGAAGAATTCACAAAAATGATTGAAAGTGAGATACGGGCCATACAGCAATATATGAAAGTACGGGTAACATCCAATTTTGTACACCCGACTTTGCCATTTAATTGCAATTAATGGCGGCCATTTTGAAAATTTATCTAATTAAAATATGTAATCCCATTTATCATATTTTATAATATTTTTTGTTAAAATAAAATATAATTAGTAGTTTTTGAAATAAGTGGTGTATTTTGAAAATAACTCCTGATGAGCCACCGTGTAATAAGATATCACAATTAGATAAAAGATAGTATAATATAAAGATTATGACATACATAGAAACCTGTGGCCAACACTAGCATGAAGTAGACGACCACAACACTAATGTCTCCGCCATCCAGACTCTTGGCATTCGGCGAATCATTAAATGTTGTGCCGTTTAACACCTTTACTATCGGACCAATTGATAGAGAGGACATCTCAGCAATTGTTTATATATTTAATAAATCATACAAATTTAAAATAATAACTTAATTATGAAAAAATCATTGACAAAATTCATTGACAAAAATCATTGACAAAAATCATTGACAAAAATTTTGGATAAGAGATGAAACTAAACTCTTATGAGAGGCACTTAAGAGAAATACATTCAATAAATGAGTGGAAAATTTCCAAAAAATTATAACTAAGCAACCAATCCATTCAAACCAATCAGACCAACCAAACCATCTACAAAATAGCCGACAGTATTATTATTCAGTTTATATAGACAGCAGTTATGTAATGCTTTTTCATTGCTCAGTCATATCCCGGCGCATACCTATTGATACCTCAAAATCTCTTTACAGTTTTGTAAATCAATCCAGTTATTGGACCAGTTATTAGAGGATTGCACTTATTTTTCAATTATTATCAGATTTGTTAATATGTTATTATTTTTTCTAATCTACTAAATTAACACATGGTTCATATGATATATTTATATATAATAGTTATTAATACTAAATAGCACCGGTATTTTATGAGCAAACTCAGAGTCTTATCAATAAACACAGTAAACAAAATTTTGCTTAATATTACACATATCTTAAAATTTATATATTGTTTATTATATATTTTTTAAATGACAAGAATTTTTTATTTAAATACACTTTACATGTTTTAATATAAAATATAAAATAATAATTGTTATTAATGATAACGTATTAATACTTCATATTAACTGTTATCTTAGTTGTAATAATAATAATACTATTGTACTCATTTGTTTTTATAATTATAACAGTTTAATAAAGTTGTTATAATAAATATTTATCATATAATGTCGTCAATTAATAAAAATTTGTGCCAAACTAATATTAATTTTTAAATATAATATTTTTAAATTTAAACTGTATTTAAATTTTAATAATAATTATTTTTTTGCTATTAATTATTGCAATGATAAAATATATTTTTTAGATTAAAGATTAAAAGTGTTTCGAAACATTGTTTAATTAATAAATACAATTTTAATTTTATGATAAACATATTTTTATAGTTTTTTTCATATACAGGTACTATAAAAATATCAAATAATGTTGACATTAATTATAAAAAAAGACTAAAAAATTAGTCATCGAAATTAAATCATAAATATTTTATGGGTTAAAAATAAAACAATAAATTTAATAGTAATTAAGTATATAATAAATAATTATCATAAAGAATAATCAATAATTAAATTTCTTGTTTGTTGTTATATTAATTTTGTTTGTTGTTTATTAAAAGTTTTTTTTTGTTAATATTTTTGTGTATAAATTTTAATATTAAATAAATTAATTTTTATAATATAAAATTACAAATTAATAACTTCTAATTGCATATTTTTACATAAAAAAATTGTTTTTAATCTGAACATATATTTAACTTAACGTAACCCATTCAAAAAATATAGTTAACTTGAATACTTTAAAATTGTATAGTATTTTTATTAGTAACCTTTTATTTACTATTATCATGTAATCAATTGTAGTTTGTAATGTTAAAGTATTGGCAACAATTTGTTAATTATATTTTTGAATGATTTTAGTCAAGTATAACTCGGTATGTGATTTTATAAATGATACATTAAATATGTTTGAATTAACCATGTAATTTGTTAATTTAAAAATTATATATTATATTAAATTATATATTAATATAATTATGTAACTGTTATTTATAAATGTATATTATTAAAAATTTTTATTTATAAAAATTAATTGTATTTTATGCATAATTTATAGATTATAGTTACTTTAAAGACTTTAACTATAGTTACAAACAATTACAATACTGTACAGTATATAAATCGACTAAACATAACAAATAACTTAATCATCTATCGATTGCCATTTGGATATTAATCATATTATATAATTATAAAGCAATCACTAAACAGTCATAATTTTTATTTTTATAAAATATATTTAATTTAAATTTAAAACAATAAATTATTATTTAGATTAATACACTTAAGAATATTCTTTAATACAAATTGTATACAATATTGACGTAAATTGTTGTTCAATGCATTTGAATGAATGATCACGTGATTGAATGTGTGATTGTTTATACAAACAGTGAAATCATAAAAATATAATAATTATTGTCGACTACTATATACTAACCATTGAACTGACCTCTGGAGTGATGCCGATCACAGATGATGTCCAAATACCAACCTATGAGGAGCTCGATGTTCAAGAGATCAATATATCTCAACCGGTGTTGAAGGCATCGGCCATGCATTTCGGCAAATATTGTGACCACATCTCAAAGGTTTGAATGATACCAAACAATCTTGATTTGATTCATCAGAAGTTATGTTCATCTGTTTGAATAGGAGTTTATGTTATGCAAGATAGAGGAAAGGGATCCCAGAAGATGTCTAAATGAAGGTAAAGCTGTTACGGCCTGTGGTCTCGAGTTTTACCGAAAAGTGAAAAATAATTGTCGAAATGAATTGGAAAAGTTGTCCAAATGTATGGAATGGACGGACTATGACATGAAGTTCTTGTAGTATGTATTCACTTTGATTTGATCATCAAATACACTATATTATCGATTATCTAATTTATTGGTTATCCGATGATTAGTTGTCGTAAAGAGCAGTCTTGTTATGATCAATGTATGAGTGAAAAGTTGGGTATCAATAGACCTCCTTTGGGTTATTTCACACAACTGAGAGTCCATCAAACAGATAGACCTAAACCCGGTGGAGTTGCGCCCAGATTTAATGACCCATCAGTTCCATTACCCGAAGATTTTCCTATGGAAGAATCCAAGTATGGATGGCGCGACTGGTGGTGGTTTTGAGGACAAACAGACAAATACTCGACTGTCTATTTCCTTATAAAAACCTTTGGTCTGTTAGTGTCTTATAATGTATTTTAGCTTTACTTTTGTTTAATGTAGTGATTTATTAATATGTAAACAATATTTAATTAGTGTTTAAATTAATGAAAAATTATAATAAAGTGTGGTATATATATATATAATATATATTATATATACAGTATATATATATAAAAAAATTATATATTGTTGATAAATATACAGTATATTAATTGGATATTATGTGAGACCTATTTTCGTTAAGCTATCGATAATAATCATTGTGTGAACGTCTTCAAAGACACGCCTAATATTGTTTGTATCGGTGGCTGTCGTGAAGTGACAAAAGCACCCCCTTTTCTTAGCATTTGAACTGTCATTAACATAGTCACTGGTACTGAACTTTCGGTGATCTGGAGGTTTGCGAGTTATCTCCAAAAACAGTTCCCTAATGAAGGATCGGGTCTTTAAGTAACGATCGTTAGGATCGCCGTCTTTGGATGACATAATAAAATTGTTATACTCTGGAAAGTAATTCTCTATTTTAGAGCCCCTTTCGATCTTCTCTTTTAATATGTCCTGTTTATTGAGGAATAGTATGAATCCGGCATCGATTAAGAATTTACTGTTCCAGACATCATCAAAGAGGTCGAGACTTTCTCGCAATCGATTTGTTTGGTTATCTTCCCTGAGCTGCATATCAAAGTCACTGCAGGCGACCATAAACAGTATGGCTGTTATGCCATCAAACACTTGTATCCATTTACGTCTTTCACCTCTTTGTCCGCCCACATCAAACATCCTATTATTTAATAGTATAGACACCATATGAATGTTATTGTAATATCATATACAGTATTGATGTCATACCAAAACATTTGAGTTCCGCCACCGAACTGAAGCGGAACTTTCATTTCAAACTCAATCCGCTGTATTTCAGAAGTCCTTTTACGACAGTTCAAAATGTCCTGATCTGATGGCACATAGTTTTCTGCTTTAATTATATCGATTTTATCGAGAAAACTATATATTTCGTTAACCAAAATGTTAGAAATATATAATAAAATTAAAACTAATAATAAAAATTTTAATACTAACTATTTGGCGCAATCTATTAAAGTGTATTCATTAGATCGTCGATAACACTCTTGAATACCCGGATCACTCCATAGAAGTTTGACGTGTCTGAAGAACTCATCGGGATATTGATAACTATCAGTGGTTGTCATATCGAGATTATGTATAAATTGTAAACTATTTTCATAATCTTTATTATGTAAGACAATGGGAGGCTTTAGGTATGACATGTTTGCTGTTAATTCCTATTAAATAATATATAGAATAAAATTATTTTAATAATAAAACTACTATTGAGTTAAATAGTAAAATTAGCCAGATCAAATATTAGAAACAATTGTTTAACTATAATAAAAGTTATAATATAATATGTATACAGTCGTAGACAAAACAATGAGGTGCAATAAAATATTGAATATATTTAAAACTAGTTAGTCAAACTTAATATTAATTTTTGTAAATTCTAGTTTAATACTTGCCATTTAAGACACAATTATAAAATTTTTAGATTTATATAAGTTTTAAACATAAAAATATAATTATTAAAAAGCTAGATATTTTTTCAAAAATAAGGAAAATAAAGTAATTAATATCTAAAATTCTATGTTATTTAAATAAAACAAATGATAGAATTTATTTCTATTGACAAAATCATAAAATACCGAAAGACTTCATTTTTATAAAATCTTTATAAATGATGTTATTAATAATGAAATTATTTTTTCAATAACTTCAAGTATATTTTCAAATTTAAAAACTCACATGAAGTTAGACTAAAAATACTATAATTTAAGATTAACTGAATTAGATTATCTCATACAGTTTTCAAAATATTAAGCTTTTATTAATTTTACTTTATAATATCTTTTATGATCTAAATTTTTAAAAATTAAAAAATATATTAATTGTTTCTTATATGGCAATTATTAGGCTAAAAATTACAAAAATCAGAATCAATATTGATTTAGCAGTTTTTAAGAAATTTAATATTTTCCTGTACCTCATTGTTTTGTCAACGACGGTATATATATATATATTTATATTTACTTTAATAGCTTCTAATATATTTGATTTAATTTCGATCACTTTTTCCATTCTTTCGGTGTCTGAAAATCCAGAGATGTGAAGAATTTTCATTTGTTTAATGATTGTTGTTTTGCCACTTTCACCGGCACCTGGATTTGTCAGGGATTAGTACTAATCGGTATATTATATTTAAAGCAAATATCAATAAATATGGATTAAAAATACCTAATAATAATAATTTAATAGATTTCTTGTATTTTTTCATCCATATATTAATCTTTTTGTCCAATTCTTTACTGGCCCTACGGTTCGGGTCATTGTTGTGACACCAGGTCATACACAACGGAACCGGCATATCTTTTAGTGTTTTAATTATTATATATATATAAACAATATTAAGGTTACACTACAATAACAGATTTGTAGTTTTTATTAGTGAAATTAAATAGTAATTTATTTTATAAATTTTATAAATTTAATAATTATATAACTAACTAATTTTTAGTACATTATATATTTAATTCTCATTCACAAGTATTTTTGTGTTTAATTGCTTTATTTAATAATAATAATAATATTACTATATTTAAAACTCTAATCATTGTATCCAACATAATAATAATGTTGGTATTTTTATTTTATGATACAATGCGGTTCATTTTATCAAATATACAGGTAATTAATTGCTTTCCACTTGAAAATATTGGTACTCAGTATTGATAATTATTATGTCAAACTTGTAATTATTATATTAATATTTCATAACATTTTAGAATACATTAAAAACTAATTATCAATTTCACATATTTGCCAAATATGTTTACAATGATTTTATTTACTATTTTTATGGTATATATATAATTAATAAGCTATTACTTCTAACTCATTGTTTAATCATTAACCAAATAGTTATGTCTTTAAATATTTAATTAAAATAATATAATTGTAAAATGATATAATATATTTTGAACAAAGTAAATTTACTTTACAAACTTGATTACATTATATGAAATTATGGTCATTAGACTTATAGGTTACTAATAAAAATTAGCTAAATTGTAATAAATATATCTCATAATATAAATTTATTGTATGTAGAGTTAACAAAAAAGAAAAATTTCTAAAATAATAAAGTAATTTTTAGAAAGTTTCTAAAAGAAATTTCTGTCTATGGGATGCCCATGTTAATTTTGTTCTCTTAATATTTGTCATCTTGTAACAATAAATAATACTAAAATAATAACTAAATATTATTAATAGTAGTTAATAATATTAAAAGTAAAAAATAATCTAGTACATTAAATTAAAAATATAATTATATAATAAATAAAATTTTACAAAAACTATAATTATAATTAGATATTATAATCATATTAATTTCATATATAGGGATCCCATACGTATAGTAAAGTAGTGTATGTTTTATTAATATCGGTAATGTAGTACTGCAGTATTATAGCTATAAATATGGGGATCCCATAGTATAATAATAAGATAAAATTTATATAGAAATTTATTCCTGTGAAATTTATTAGAAATTTCTATTTGCCCATTTCTAATTTTATGTTATCACAATTAATAGTCATTTAAAACAATAGTTTTTCATAATATAATTTAATATTATAATTGCGTATAAAACTTTATATATCATTTTGATCTAATTTATTTTTATAAAAAAATTTTAAATAATATAATATTGAAAACATCTAATATATGGTTTATAATTTTTTTTATAAACGTAACAAATTTCATAATAATTATATTTACTTAATATTAATTTACAATAATAGATAGATAAGCAAAATGATATGATTTTATAATATTGACATAAAGATACAAATCATCAAATGTTTAAGTTATTCATTAAATGATTACCTGATTTTAAACTTATGTTGCGCTTCAAGTTGAGTGGAAATTGTGTTTATTTAACAATAAAACGTGTTATTGGCTTAAGATAACTAAGATTTAGACAATTAAGTAATTTATAATAATTTTTAATCAATAACTTAAGTAGCATCTAAATTACTACCGAAAATATTAAAAATACAGTATTTATTTTATTAAATACTTTATTTATTGGCTAATCGCTAATTATATATAATATATTAACGCATACAAAGTATAATAATCAGTTACTCATTAACTTTTAAGTGTATTATAAAATTAAAGACCAATTGGGCGCAGGTATGCATTGTTATAGTTTTACTTAAAGTACAAATATTTATCTATTATAATGATTATTAAAGCAAACAATGCAATACTTATATAAACTGATTATAATTATGTGAATTATTTGTGGCGACACTTGTGACAAATTTATTAAATCAAAGTACAGTTCAATTATCTCTCTTTTTTAATATATATTTAATATGATTTATAAAATTGGTGACAAAATTAATGACAATTTTTTAATCAAAATCTAAAAGATAGAATTGAGCTAGATCAAAAATATTTTTTATAACTATGGATTTTATTATTTATAAAATGTTTAGTAATAATTACTGTACTTATTTAATGTTAATCTGAATATTTAATTATTAAAATTCTATATTTTTGGGATAATTTTTGATTGGATAAAGTTTATATATTTGGATTTGAATCGGATAGAAATTATGGCACCAATATGTAAGTTAAGGTAATTAATAAAGTAATTAATAATAGATTTATAATAGTAATTAATATTAATAGATAGATATAATTAATAATAGTATCTCTAAAGCTTTAAAAGCTATTTAAAATCATTAAAAGCAAATCTGTATGTTTCAACATTTTCCGATAAATTGTCTAAATTATATTTTATTGATATAATTTAAAATTTCAATTTTATAAAATATCTCAAATTTTATTAATTATTAATATTAAAAACTTAATGATTATAATTAAAATAAAATCTAATAAGAATAAAATCTATTCTAAAATTCACTAATTACTTATGCATTTAATTTAATAAAATTTTTAAATAAAAAAATATTTTTTATCTGTAATTCAATTTCATTATTACTTACATTATTCCATTATAGATAAAATGCTGTTGATAAATTGTGCTAGATCACATTTTGACTTGAGATTTATTTAGCTAACTATTGTAGTTTTGGATATAATTGTTATCTTATAATGTATTTAATTTGTAATTATTCTGTTGTAATCTCAATTCTTTCCTATAGATTTTACTAAAAAACCTGTCACTGATTTTGACACTCAATTTATTTTATATACATTTTTACTCTTATCTATAGTAAAGATATATTTATACAATTTAATGATATTTTCAGATATAAATAGACAAAAATAGTTTTAATGAAACAATTGATTGTTTAATCAAAACAGTAATAAATTACATGTGATATAAATATAAAACATTGATATTATATGAATATCTATCTAAGAAGTGACCATTTAAGCTGTTCCCGGGCTGACTGAAGCACTTGAGCTACAGTTTGTTCGCCTAAAGGAATGTCATCGGGTTTTAGAGCCACGCGTTGGACCACTGATATGGGATCCGATTCTAATACAATACTATAGATAAATCATAATTTAATTTCTATATAAAATATAATCCGTTATTATAAGTCATACCCTCCGTCACATATCTCATCCAAAGCTAATATAACAATATCTAAATTATCCAAAAGATTACGTTTTTCTACATTTTTCTTCAGTATATGAGATATCGATTCAAACAAACAGTTCATAACTGATGCCAATATTAACTAATAATTAAAAATCAAATTATCAAACAAATAATTATTAAAACAAAACCACTTTTATAAAAACTAACCCCATTTTCATTAGAACTTCCCATAACATAGAAGAATAGGTCAACAGAGCTTCGGTAGACACACGTGAGTCCGTCCAACATAATGATCTCGGCGTTGGCCCGATGGGTCTTATTGTAGAGATTACGCTCAAATGCCTTCTGCTCCTTAACTGATCCAAACGTATTGTCGTAATACTGAACAAATCAATAAATCAAATCAATGATAAAAATTGTGTCAAAAAAAATAGTCAATCAATTGATACCAACCTTTGCAAGAATTCTGTTGCCGTCGTTATCCAAAATGGCAATCGCTTTCACCACATATAGGGTCGGCTCCTAAAGACATGTCATTTTAAAGACAGCTCTTAAAGACTATTGTTGAGCAAAAAACTTACTAAAAGAGTTGATTCCATGGCTAAGACCAATGATGTCTAAAGTAATGTTAAAACTGAATCCAAATCATAACACACGTACACAACAACAACAACAACAACGACAACACATATACTTCAGTCAATACACGTATACTTTAGACATAAATTATGTGCTAATAGTTTGAAAACTACTATTATATACTGTATTGTTCACTGAAAATGTCAACAAATTTAATGATAAAAAGCTATTAATTGACTTTAATGTAACACTTGTTGTCAATTTAATTGATTAATTGATATAAGTTTCAAATTATTATTAAATAAAAATTGTGTTAATTGTGATATATTTTATTGATTGAAACAAAATTAACAAAAAGTTTTGTCTCATGTATTTTCAACCGGTATTACAATACAATGCATTGATAGGCAGTGAAGGTCCCAATGTATGCATTGGGTGTGCATTGCCTTCAATGCATTGATACTGTAATGAATAGTACTGTTTGAATGCAATAGAAATATAATACATATATTAGAGTAGTGTTGTATGTATTGAGTGAACCAATCATTGAACGGCATATTTGGCGAACAAAAGGAGTGATTGAGTGAACAAAATGGCGAACACTTCAGTCCAAAGACGTAAAGACGGCGGACCTAACCATCGATTTTTCGAGTCGTCGGAAACAATACAGGCCTTTGAAACTGTCAGACAATGGCTACAAAAGAACTGCAAGAAAGTGAGTGGAAACGCATGACAATGACCGCTGCGGTCGCATATTTAATGACATTTCTAAAGAGTTGATTTGATTGAGTTGTCGGCGTTTATGATTATATGACTAATTATCTTATATTTTGTTGTTTTATCTGAACAGTACGTTCAAGCGGATCCACCCACCAACAAAAATCTATCAAATTTGGTGATACAATTGATCCAATTCCAAGAGGAGACGTTCGGCAAGACTGTATCGAAACCGCCATTGACTCGATTGCCGATGAAATGCTTTATGGACTTTAAAGGTGGTGGAGGTATGTGTCGTATACTTGAATCGGTTTTTAAGTTCAAGTTAGACCAGGGATGGCGTCGATTTGATTTTCAGTCGCCGTCACGTATGGACAGAAACGTTGAGATGTTTATGGGAATCGAAAAGTTTTTAGTTAACCACAAATGCTTTATTGAACCAAATGTTTATTTTACACCCGATGTCGACAAACAATTAGTGTTAAAATTGCGAGACATTGTTAAACGACATCAGGGAAAGGTTGTCGAGACTGCCGAAGAGGCCACTCATATAGTCTATCCGCCAATTGGTATTTCTGGAGATTGCGATGATTGGGTGCGAATTGTTATGAAACGAGACAGGAATGCACTTCTCCATTGGTGGCACACACCTGATAGTTATGACAATTGGGTGACTGGTGTTGACATTGATATTGAACCCGAATCGCCACAACCTAAGATTGGTCCCAATCATGTAAGCGCCAAATGGATTCTTGATTTGGATGAATATAATGAATGGATGAATGAAGAAGACTATGAGATAGACGTTGATTCTCCCAGTCGTCGCAAATCTCCGCGTGGAAAGTACACCGTTGAGGAATTATTAGCATCTGATGACAAACGCGACCGAAAGATTAGTTCATCTGTTAAAGGAAAGAGAAGACGGTCGCCATCACCGCCGCTGGATAAGAAAAGACGTGGTAAAGGAAGCGCTCGTAGTCCAGCACCGGCTTCGGGCAGCAAAAAGAAATTGTTTAGAGGCAATGATGAAGACTCTGAAGATTTAACCAAAGATATGGACGAACCATCGCCTGAACCAAATGTCACTGAAGTTAATTTGCCGAGAAGTACAACAAATCCTCGAAGTAATAAAGATAACGAATCGGTGCCCATTAAAGGCGGTGCTATCATTGATTTGGATAATAATGAAACCGACGAAAAGATTCCACCTGAAGAAAGAAATGGTAACTCTAAGTCAATGCCAATGTCTCCAAATTCAAGTCGATTAGCAAATGAAAGACAACCTAAAGATGAATCTGCAGACGACAATGTGACAGAACAGGCAAATCACATAATAATTCCTTCATATTCTTCGTGGTTCGACTATAATTGCATTCATTCAGTTGAGAGGAGAGGTTTACCTGAATTTTTTAACGGCCGAAACAAATCCAAGACACCAGAAGTATATATTGCTTACAGAAATTTTATGATTGATACCTATCGTCTCAACCCAACCGAGTATTTAACTGTGACAGCCGTCCGGCGCAATATAGCAGGAGATGTCTGCGCTATAATGAGAGTCCACGCATTTCTTGAGCAGTGGGGACTTGTCAACTATCAGGTCGATGCTGATTCTAGACCCACACCAATGGGTCCACCCTCTACCAGCCATTTCCATGTTTTGGTAGACACTCCATCAGGTGTTCAGCCATTAAATCCACCCCGTGCTCAACAATCAGCATCAGCTCAGATGCTGAACATGAACCAGAAAGATGGTCTTCCAGAAGTTAAATTAGAAGACAAATCTAGTTCTATATTAAATGAAAATTTTGGACTTAAGATGGATCAATACGCAAAGAAAAATGCTTATTTCAAGAGCAAGGCTGCGGCCACTTTGTCACGTGAATGGACAGAACAAGAAACACTTTTACTTCTTGAGGGACTTGAGTTATATAAAGACGACTGGAATAAGGTGTGCGAACACGTTGGTAGTCGTACTCAAGATGAATGTATTTTACATTTTCTTCGACTTCCTATCGAAGATCCATATTTGGAAGATTCTGCCGGAGTTTTAGGACCTCTCGCTTACCAACCGATTCCTTTCTCAAAATCTGGAAATCCAATTATGTCAACCGTTGCATTTTTAGCATCAGTAGTTGATCCAAGAATTGCTTCTTCAGCTGCAAAGGCGGCAATGGAAGAGTTCTCTAAAATTAAAGACGAGGTTCCGGTTGCTCTGATGGATGCGCACATCAAGAACGTTGAGTCATCGGTTTCTGAAGGAAACTTAGATCCTAAGGCAGGACTTGCAATGACTGGAATTGCGGGCACTTCTGATAAAGAGGAACAGGAAAACAAAGTCGAAAATAAAGTTAGTGAAGAAAAAGAAAAAGAGTCAAACAATTTGAGTTCGAAGGATGAAAAAACTTCCGTACCTTCAGCTGAATCCATGGATATTGATAAACCTAAAGAAGATAAAACTAGTGAAGAAACTGTAAATGATTTGGAAAAGAAAGAAACAGAACTAACAAAGCCTGAGATGACCAAAGAAGAGATTGAAAAAGATAAGACAATGAAAGAATCTCAGGTATCTGTTGCCGCGGCAGCAGCTTTGGGCGCCGCCGCTGTCAAAGCTAAACATTTAGCAGCAGTTGAAGAAAGAAAAATCAAATCTTTAGTGGCGTTATTGGTTGAGACACAGATGAAAAAATTAGAAATAAAATTAAGACATTTTGAAGAGTTGGAAGCAATTATGGACAGAGAAAGAGAAACAGTAAATTTGTTTTTATTTGAAATGAATTTTTAAAAATAATTTATTAACCAATACTTTTGAAATTATAGTTAGAATATCAGAGACAACAACTGATGCAAGAAAGACAGCAGTTCCATATGGAACAGCTTAGAGCTGCGGAATTCCGAGCCCGACAACAGGCACACGCTATGTATGCGCAACAACAGGGCGGTAGTACTCAACAATCAACAACTGGACCACAGACTGCAACAGAAGTGGATGCTTTGCAAGGTTCGCAACAAAGATCTGTTCCTTTAGTTCCTCCTACAGCAGCGGTCAGACCACCACCAGCTATGACACAGTTTAGTTCTTGGCAAAGACCTTCCTTACCATCAACTCAACAACCATTGGCACCATCTGCTCAACCGCAACAACAACAGCAATTAACAACACAACCATTACAGCAAACACTTCAACAACAACAACAACCTCCTCCGCCGCCTACACCACCACAACAACAACAAGCGGTGTCATTACCAAACCAACAATTACATCAGCCTTTATTAGCCCCACCATCTCATACTATGATCGGTCAGACACCACATACTCCCGTTCTACCACCACCGTCACAACAACAGGCAATTCCTCCTGTAATACAAAACAGACCACATATTCCCCCTCAACAAGTATTTCCGCAATCAAATCAGTACCCTATTCCCCCACAGCAAACCCAAATGAGTCAACAGCCTATTTATGAACAAAAGCCCCCAATAGTCCCACAACAGATTATTCCACCCACACACCAACCCCTAGTGCATAATGCACCCCAACAACCTGTGCAACAGCCATCCCCATCACAACCACAACAAACACCCCCTCAGTCTCAATTGCAAGCCATATCTCAAGCACCTCCTGTACCGCCGCCACCACCACCACAAACTTCTCAAACTCCAGTATCTGCAGCCTTGCCGGCAATGCCTTCAATGGCACATACGGTGCCTTCAGTGGCACATATGGCACCTCCAATGACACAACCATCTCAAGTATCACAGGTGTCACCTATCAACCAGTATGCACCACAAAATTGTAAGTCAATTGTCTTAATTGGCATTTAAGCTTTAGTTGTAATGCTTTGAACATAACATAAGAGCACTTAAGCAACACTTTGCTTATGATTTAAATTTTTCTTTTCTTGTACACCATTGCTGCCATTAATGGATAGAAAACAAAATCACGCCAACACTTGACTATGACTTTTGCTGCGGTCTATTGATCTCTGCTTTTAAACTCATTTCATAGCTTTTCACTTATGATTTAAACGATTGATTTTTAATAATGCTTTAAACTAATATAGCTATAGGTATGCAACCGGGTCCACAACAAGGACAACTTCAACCAGTGATGACTGATCAAAATGTTATGATGAGTCCACATGTGCCACCACAAGCACAACCAGTTCCACCACATGTTGTACACCCAAATCCAATGACTCATCAAATGCCACCGACATTAGGCCCTCCACCACCACCACCACCACAACAACAACAATCAGGTAGTTATCCTAAAACTTTAAAATTTATATAATTATAAATTGAAGATTAATTTCATTGCAGGTGTTTGTGAGCCAAATAGAGAGGAGACTTCAAATATGTAAACAATAATTGTCATCAAATTAAATAATTTCTTTTTAATTTTTTTCTATAATTTATAATTTAATATTTATACTGTTTATATATGTGAATGACCGGTATTTTTAGTTGATTTTCTGTCACTTAAAATATAATTCATAAATAAATCATTTTCGTTAGTTTAAAATAACTTATTGCTCTGTTTATTATAAATAAAATTACCGGTAATTACTATAAATGCAAAATCATTTATTTTATATGTTTTATTAAATTAATCGTATTTTGAGATAATATGAATCATTTATTTTAAATGAAATACAAATCTTTATTTCTTATATATTTTGAGTGCAAATCACTTATTAGTTGATAAAATTTGTTTTGTAACCAAAATACACAATTAATTTATTATTAAATTATGAATTGTTTTGTTTGGTAACTATGAAATTAAATTTCATAGACAACTACCATAAAACATATGATATGACAGTAATGCTGATGGAGAGGGAGGGAGGGATGGGTTGTTGTGTTGTATAAGCTATATATACAGTACTGGAGTAATAGTGGTTATACAGTGTGTAAGTCTATATGCGACGCAGTGTCTGATTGTCAGCACTGATGCAGTCATTCAGTCAGTCATTCACTTTGTTTGAAGACAATGGTGTCCATAGTTGTAGTGATGACTATCATAGATACAGACATATGAGTGGACGCAGCTATGAGTTGGACACAAACCATACAAATTTGTAAGAAACGCAAGAAAAAGAGTCAAAAGCGGTCGCAAACCATGAATTTGATGCACAAGACTATCAAAAGTCATTTAAATGGACACAACTCTCATACGGTTTGTCCAAACACTTCGGTAAGTGTTGTGACAGTGATGTCAATATGTATGACATGTCTTGTGATTGATGTGATTGTCATAAGTTATGATTATAATGATTACAATTGAAAGCATAGTTTGTTGTGTTGTGTGTTATGTGAGAACAGCTGATGTTGTGTTGCATTATATAACGTATTGCTATATAGAGTGCATTGTATTGTATGTCATATGAGCTCTATATGTGTTGAGACAGTGAGTCGATTGTTTGGTCTATGGTTTGTGAGTGAGTGAGTCTATGAGTGTATGTATGGCTGAGTATGTCATCGATTGCATTGATTGTTGTATTTGTTTGTTATGTTTTGTTGTGATAGTTGTGTCAAACAAAGAGATGGTGTCTTATGAATGACAGCAAACGTACGATGAAATGTGTGACTTGTCTCTCATCAAAGACCAATACGCCTAAGAAATCAAAGGTTATACAAACTGATCCATTGATTGTCAAATCAAATGCCAATTGCCGTAACAGTTGTCAAACCAATACTAATACCAAAACCATTGTCTCGTATCAAATGCCTCAACGCTTAGGCTGTTCTGTACGTCCTTTCGATCACTTTATCGCTTCCATTAATCAATCACTTGATCTCATTATACCATTTCATTATCTCTATGTATAGCAACTGTAGTTATCAATTGATTAGTCAATTAGTGCCGCCTTTAATCACACCAATCCTTTGATTGGCATATATTGATGTTTTCCATACATTAGTGATCCATATATTACTGCCATTTAGTTAATACCAATAAATACTATATTTATCATAAAAATTATACAAACTTTAGCTATTATATGATATGACAACTATTTTATTATCCATAATAAATGATTACCATGCTCAATTCATTATTGTCATATATAAATTTATATATATAGGATATATATATATATATATATATAGATAACATTTTATTTGTAAATAATAATTATATATAAATTATATCGATTTATATATATTTATGATAAAATAAATTAGATTGTTTGATAATAAAAAATGGCATTTATTTGATTAATATATTATATTATGATTCTTATATTTAATAACTAAAAATATTTTCATAAAATATAAGATCAATTAAATTGTTTACATTTCATGTTTTTTACTATTTTTTATTGATTTTTTGTTGTTGAAAATTTTATGTCATTATTATTCAAAAATAATTAGTTATAAAGCTGTAAAATTTAATCATTTATATAATTACTATATAGTAGTTGATTGTTGATTGGTTTTATGAGTACCGATATAATATCATATAGTTTTTTAAATAACATATAATTAGAATTGAAAATTAATAAATTAAATTATTTAATGAATGAATTCATAAATTATATACTATTGATAACAAAATGTTTAAAATATTCAATTTTTACATTTTATTTATTAGATTTTCAAAGTGAATGTCAATATAGAAGACGAGTCATTAATAAACAAAAAATTACCGAAAGAGCTATTATTGCGAATATTTTCATATTTAGATGTCGTGTCTCTGTGTCGTTGCGCTCAGGTGTCAAAGGTTTGATTAGATGACCCGTTGTCTTATTTGACACAATTGTAATTATTTGCAAATATATATATGATTTGAATTATTTAGAGCTGGAATATTCTAGCATTGGATGGCAGTAATTGGCAAAGAGTTAATTTATTTGATTTCCAGACCGATATCGAGGGACCGGTAGTCGAGAATATTTCTCGTCGTTGCGGAGGATTTCTTAAGCGACTTTGTTTGAAGGGCTGTAAGAGTGTCACAGATGGAGCTCTTCGGACGTTTGCTCAAAACTGTCAGAACATCGAAGAACTCAATTTAGACGACTGCAAGAAGTTAACTGATATGTAAGCCATTGTTGTCTATAAAAACAATTAATTAATTAATGTATTAATTTTACAGCACTTGTCAAAACCTTAGTGTCCACTGCTCTAAATTATTACATTTAAATCTATGTTCTTGTAGTGAAATTAGTGATTTATCGCTTCGAGCACTCGGGTATGTATTGTAGTCGATACTATTGACTATTGACGATATATATTAGCATTTATATTGATATGTTTGTGTGATGATAGTGAGGGCTGTCCTAATTTGGAGCACATAAACCTCTCGTGGTGTGAACAAGTGACCAAATATGGTATTCAACAGTTGGTCAACGGGTGCACCAAAATTAGTGCCTTTATATGCAAAATGTGTCCTCTTATTAATGATGAGGCAGTGATAGCATTAACCAACAGTTGTCATAACTTACAAGTGCTTAATCTTCACGGCTGTTCTACCATTTCTGATGAGAGCATTCAGAGTGTGGCACACAACTGTCCGAATATGCATTATTTATGTGTATCCAATTGTACTAATCTAACGGATGCATCATTATTAGCTTTAGGACAGGGATGTTCATCACTTAAAACTCTTGAGGTGTCGGGTTGTAGTCAATTCACAGATACGGGATTTCAGTCATTGACTAGAAATTGTCATCAAATAGTAATGTTAGATCTCGAGGAATGTGTTCTCATCACTGATTTGACACTTTCATATTTATCAGCCGGTTCTTCTCTACTCAAGGAATTGGTTAGAAATAGATTATTATTCTATTATTTTAATTGTTATACTAAACCATTCAATTTAATTAATTTTCATTTTACAACAGAGTCTTTCACACTGTGAACTTATAACAGATGAGGGTATCAGGCATTTAGGCACCAGTGCCTGCTCTTCACAGCACTTAACTGTTCTTGAATTAGATAACTGTCCTTTAATTACTGACACAGCACTCGACCATTTAATAACGTGTCATAGTTTGCAACGAATTGAGTTATATGACTGTCAACTGATTACCAGAGCTGGCATTAGAAGATTAAGAGTTTGTTTATATTTCTTATTTAGTTTTCTGTTTCTGGTTTCTATGAAATTATTACAATTTTTTTGTTTTAATAATTTTGATTGAGTTTATTTTAAAAATAATTACCCGTTTAACTTAAATATACAGCTAAATATTGTGTATATTTTTTTGAAACAGAGTCACTTACCTGACCTCAAAGTGCACGCCTACTTCGCACCGGTCACTCCGCCACCATCTGTGGCACCCCGACCGCGATATTGTCGATGTTGTGTTATTTTATGATTTACTAAATCAATTGTTTGTACGTTTATTGTAATTTATAAATAACAATATATATTATAGATATATATATATATAAACATATAGTTTAAGGAATTATCAATAATTCTGAAGAAAAGCACAGAAAACAACAAAATCTTCCAAAGATTTGACAGACTTATGGATCAGTCGTAAACTGATTGCAAGTCATATGGAATCAAATTCCGATCGATTCACAAATCAATTGTCATTAACGCCACCATTACTTCCAAATGAATACTACTTTGGCTTTCATCTAATACCAGAAGTTTATTGTATATATAAAAGAAAAACATCACAAATGTCTAAATGCTTATTGTTTTTTACTGTTAAAAATATTATAATTATTCTGAATATTTATGAATAGCTGTATATTTTAATTTGCATTTATATTATCTATTAAAATGAGCTACCAGTTAGTGATTTGTTTATTATTTTTATATACTCTCTATTTTTGAATAAATAATGAACTACCGTTTGTATGCACTTTTTTCTACCCAATAATTTAGAAATTAATAATACGGTAATGAGTTTTCGACTGATCATTAAGTTGAGAGTTACCCGACATTGTAGGCCTGACTTAGACCAGTCACTTAGATGTCAAATTTTAATGATACCTAACTTAGAAACGTCCAAAAACTTCAATAGTTGGAAATATTAGACAACTCTGTAACCAATCAATTATTATTTGAAAAAATTTCACTTAATTTCTTAATATCTTATTTCTTACATACAGTAATTAATAATATTTTTTCAAAATTATAACTCTATGTTGAACTTGAACTTGAAAAATTATTATTTATTATTTTAATAGTTTTATATAGGTATTAGTTAATTTTATTTTTATATTATAGTAGATTGAAAAATTAGCTAAAAAATTGTATATAATAATTCTATTGCAATGCGTGACTACACTACTAAATTGTATTTGACAATTAAATTAAATTTAATAATTTTTTATTTAAGAAATTATACAGTATAAATTTATAGCTAATAATAATGAAAATCATAATAACATAATAATATATATATTTTTTATTTAAAAAATTTTACTTCGTGTCGATGAATCTACAGTATTAACTGTTTACATAACACAGTGATAGCGCCACATAAAGTTAAACACAATATAAATATATTTATGAACTTTCAATTTTACGATTTTACATAACTTGATGTCGACTCTACTTTGATTTTAGTCAACGATTTATAGATTATTATATTTGAAAATATATACTATTATAGATATTTTCAATTATACTTATTTGTGTTCAAATTTTAATTATAAATTATTTTTATAATATTATATTTTTTAGAAATTTGTAAATCTTTATTTTTTTATTTGAAGTTAATAATTATAAATTGAGATGAAAATTCATAGTATATTATCAAGATGTTATGTAAAAAATAAAAAAGTATTGAAATCAAATACTGTATTTAAAAATAAGCGAAAAACAATCAATTTCAACATATTTTATTTTATATTTTAATTAAGACCTATTAACATAGATAATAATTAGTCTAAATAAAATACAAATAAATAAAAATTGAAAAATAAATAATTTACTTCAAATGCTGCACATTATATAATTATGTATATATTTTATTAAATTAAAAAAAAAATAATACAAAATATACATTTTACTAATATTTAATTGTAGGAGTATAATTAAGAGATATGCAGTATTAATTTATATATTGCATATCAATCTATAAAAATATTTCTTTAATCAATTTAAAATTATATAATGATTTTTTATATTAATTTTTTATATAAATATATTTTTAATTTATATATGATGAATAATCATCTGATTATTAATTATAATCTTTATGAGTTATGTTATATTTTATTTAATTACTTATTAATAATTTAATATTAACAAACATATACATATAAAATGTGTTATTAAAACATTGATACAATTATGTTATACTGTATGTATACAAAGTGATTGCTTAGTGATTATAATTAGAAAACATTATAATCTGTTGTATATTTCATAGCATTTTTGGATCACTTTGTGTATACAATAGTGTATTGTAGTGTAGTTTGAGTGCAATTACTTAATTTAGTCGTTTCTGCCTTTTCAATGGAAATCAATATAATAGGGATGAATGTATAAGAATCAAGTGTACAATCGATGTCCTGATGATTGGGTGCAAAACAGTCGCCTCCCTATCGTTACAATCAATGAATTATCATATTCTCCTCCCTGTGCTTTGAAGAGCTATTTCAATGTCAGATGAAGAAAGTGTATCCATGCAATGGTTTGTCGGTTTGTGGAAACAGTATGTTATTTGATGGTCTTATAAAATCATGCAATCAGGAAAAGTGATGCACTGGTAGTATGAATACAATATGCTGTCTCTGATGGTATGCTTCGTTAGGTCTGTTTGTTGCCTTAACAGTGCATTTAGTTGACAACAAATTGGTTTATGTAAATGCAATGCAAGATTGCTCTGAGCTGTTCACTAGCGCTTCATTTATAAACACATATCTAAAGATATATATGTTTGACACTCTTGAGACCCAATGCTATGCCTTTTGATACAAAAAAATTATAAATCAAGATATAGTATAGACTTTAGATGACTGAGCTCTAGCACTGATAGTGCGGATCCAAGTTTTCATATTTAACTCGTTATTCAGCGCATACTTCGCTCATAATAACAAAATATATGTCAGAATAAATTGAAAGATTTATGCAGATTCTGGTAATATTACATAACATACTTGTGCTCTCTATTTGCACTCTTATAAGACTCTGTATTACATTAAAATTGATGCAAAGGTATCACATTTTTAGGCAAATATCATAAAGTTATCAATTCTTAAATCAAATCTATATATTTTTGAATATAAAATTATGTGTTTCTTCAATTCAAAAAATAGTGAATAATGAAAATATTTTGAATAAATAAATATTTAAATATATTTGAAAATTTACACAAAAATAATTTAGTAGCAAATTTCTAGTCTCTCTTTATTTCTAATTTGACCGATAATTCTGATTGATTATAAATATTTTGTAGTTATAAAGTTTTAATAGTATTTTATTATTAGTTTAAGATTATTATTTTTGATTGTTTGCATAATACTCTTACAAATTAGTTGAGTAATACTTATATATATAAATTAATTCTAAAATAGCAATGATAATTAATAAAAAAATTATTTTTATTATTGTATTTAATGTTAAATATCTATACAAATATAATAACAATAAAATAATTTTAACTTAGTATTAATAACAATATGTATTAGTTTTAATACGTTATATAAACAGTATAGTAAAATATTAGTTGACATCCCATTCCTCCATACAATTACTTCTTTTTTAGTTTTAACTAATTTTAGAGTTTTGTTTAAATTCAAAGAATAGATTACATAAGCGATTGTCATTTGAATGAATCTACATATGAATCGGTGTTTTGTTTTTTGTTTGTTAGACATCTATTGAATATTTCATAATTCACTGATATATACATTTTAGAGCACGTATTCAACAAATAGAGACTGCAAACAACAAAATTACTATAAATATTAAATTTATATTTTGTTGAATATACAGTACAATCAAACGTAAAGTTTGTATAAATAAACACATTTACATTTTAATACCATTGTCATTGTTTTTATTTTATTTTCAATTTTTTATTGCTACTTCAAATAAAAATAATTAATTGAATTGAATTATTATTATCATTATTTTTGACAAAAATGTTTTAAATAACAGAGTATCAAATATAGCTTTAAAATGTTTTATAAAAGCATTGATTATTTCACTGATTTAGCGTAAAGTGAGATAAATGAAGTTTATTTCATAGATGATTGCCTTAAATATTGAATTAGTTTTGAGTTATTGTTATTTTGTTGATTAAAGTAAACTCAAAGTCAAATGATTGGTTCAATATTACAAATCATTTGTTTTGACATTTGCTTAGTTGAACTGTTATAAGAAAATAAAAAGATTTGAATGATTTGATGGCAAGAAAGCAATAATAGTTTATTGGCGACCAATTTGTCCGATGGGAGACATCTCATCACAATTGTTAACTCAAATGGCTATACATTTATGATATTTGAAGTAAACTTTAAGCAACGGTTAATTCACTTACAAAATATACAGAATATAAGTGTATAAAAAAGTTATATAAAAGGAAAGCAAAGCGTGACTTGAATTCAATCAATACATTAAAGGCAATCACATATTCTGTTGCAAACATAAAGCAAACTCTTTTCAACTTATATTGTATTACAGAAACGTTAGGTCGACATCACTGCCAAAGCCACTACCATTTCTACCACCATTGCCACCATCATTGCCATCACCATTACTATCATAACTATTACTGCCATCAAATACCATCACTGGTATCACTGGAATTAGGTTTTTATTTTTCTAGACTTTCACAATATATTACCAAATGATGCGATGCCTGCCATTTGATTGGCGCTTAACAGAGCGTACAATTGTCTTGACTGCCACCGGCTATTTGGGTAATTGTGTGCCATTGCCTACCAGTGCATCATGCCTTCACTGGCGGCACTCACATATAATGCAACTCAGTTAGCACAACATATTTAATGTAATTTTCTAATTGCTTCAAACAAGATATCGATTGTGATGATTGTGGAAACTGTGGATAAATACAAATTCACGTTTTGGGAGTCAGACTCTAGGGATTACACAATAGCACCAAATGAAGGCCAATCAACATCTACTCAATACTGATGCTCTCTCTCTCTCTCTCTCTCTCTCTCTCACTCTCTCTCTCTCTCTCTCCTCTCTTATCTTTGATCGATCTTACAGTTAATGTTATGATAGAGCGGATGAGGGGAACGGACGACACGGAGGCAAACAAATAGAGGAGTAAAAGTGCAAAACTTGGAGCCGAACGTCACTTAATTAAATCTAAGCCAATGTTAGACAGTTTGACTGTTTCGTATGGGGTCTCAAATCGCTTTAGTGTTTATATACTATAAATAAACGAAATTGTTTAGTATGTGGTATATATCGATGTACTGTATGAGCTGTGTATATACTGTACCAAAAATTTAAAGATTATTAATACAATACATTATAATAATTGAGTCCCTCTTTAACTAAAACACTCACACTATAGCATACATTCAGTGCACACAATACATGTAATTAATGTGATATCTATTTGTGTTTTTTAGAGTAACTTTAATTTTGGTGATGGGATAGACTCAACATTGAAGTCCCATAAATAGGATAACTATTGGACGACAAACTAAACGAGAAATTCATGAGCCGTTAAATCCAACAATTTCTCTAAATTGAATTTATTGACCAAATTATACTTATTATTATTGCTTTATTATAGGAGAGACTTTATTTGCTTTATTAAATAAATCTATAAAGATATATAAGATATATATTTATTTATAACATTATTGTTAAATAACTAAATTGTTGCAACCATTATATATATTAGGGACAGTTATTTGTGGCAAAAATTATGATGAGTTAGAAATGAGAATTAAAGACATACAAAATAATGATTAGTTTATATGATATAAATACATTATAAAGCTTTTACAGATTATCTATACTTAAATAATCTAAATCAAATAAATGTTTTTATAAAATTAAGTGAACTAATTATAAGTATTTTTTTATCAAAATATGATACAAATACTATAATACTATAATTAAATTTCATTTTATAAATTGAAAGCATTTTTTATTTAAATTAAACAATTGTGAGTACTTTAAAATAAAAATTTAATGATAATCTTGGTTTTATTTTTTTACATAAAATATTAGATTATATAACAAATTAAACTAACGTTTCCTAAAAATCTATTATATAGTTTGTTCACATTTTATAAATTGATAATACAGTAAACTTTAAATATGTATAATATGTTAGAATCTAAAAGTTAAATGTATTGAAATACTATGTGAATGAATAGTTATGTCAAATATCTAAAGCTCACACTTAATGTATGCAAATGCTATCTCAACGGTGCTATAAAACGTTTTATTGCAATTCATTACAAACTCTATCCATTATAAGCATCTCATTAGCCAATGACTCAAATGTACACAACATTTACACAACATTTAGATCAATAGTTAACGTAATTTGGCGAAAGAGTCGACAGCTATTCCTAATTAGACATTTGGCCACTAATCTGGTTAGATGTGCACCAAATCACCCAATTATATGACTACACCATTGAATGTCATTTCTTTCGCTTTTTTGCACCTAAACCTTACTTAAGCTGCAAAACAATCAATGACTATATTTTGTCAAATTATGCTTAACTATAGTTTGACTACATTTTTAGTAGTAATGATGTACTCAATAGTGGATTCATTTATTTAATTAACTAACATTTATATAATATAAATTTTTATTTGATAAAATTAGATAACATAATAAACTCTTATATACTGTGTATATAACTTATATACAGTATTTATACAAATTATATTACATTGCAATATATAGTATTTGTATACATCTTTTATGTTAATATCAACTAATTTGCTCATAAATGTATAAATATTGCTGCAAATACATAAAACGAAACATAAATTAAAAAATTTTAATAATAAACTCAATTTATTGATTTATAAGATTAAATTTAATACAAAATGATATTTAAATAATATGTTACATAAATATTCGGAATTTTTACAATTTTGTAGATTTAAATTAAGTGCAAATTTTGCTATAAATTATAATCATTTTAATATAGGTTATTAATAAAAATAAATAAAAATTATGAACACTGAGCCAGTTCATTGCTTTTAATATTTGACAATGACATTTATTAGCTGCATCAATAAATAGATACAAATTTATAAAGGGACATTTTAATTCAATTTAATTCAATATTTTGTATTTCTATATTAATGTAAGAAAATTATTACTTTACATACAAATTTGAAATCATTTGTCAAATAAAAGATAGAAAATTTTGTTTATATTTGCAACAAAACTGATTTGATTGTTACTTAATTTTAAAGATAAGAAATTGTCGGCAATTATTTAAGAGAAAGTTTTTTGTGTAAAACAATCAATATTACAAAATATACAGTAAATGTCGTTTTGCTCCGAGTTTTTCATAATAAATACATTTATGTGTTTTGCAAAAAAATAGAAAACACTAAAAATAAATACAGATAATAATTAAAAAGCAAAACACTAACCAATAATTATTAATTTAAAAAATAGCTAACTGTTTATTAATTTAAGTATAACATATTATTGCAGGTTTTTTAAATACTGTATAAATTTATACACTAATGTTATGATCAAAGGCTTAACTTTTACTGACTTACAAGAAAAAACTGAAAAAGTGCTAATTATATATTTATAATATTTTTATAATTTTAAATTATATGAATAATGAATAATTATCTGTAAATTTCAAGCCTTTGGTTATGTTATATAAACTACAATTTTTATGACAATTTTATAAAGTATATTGTGTCAGACACATTTACTGTATGTTACATATTATATGCAGTATATATATAAATTTATATTTATCATATACTTATTAAATGAGATAATTGTGAACATATTATAAATAAAGTTGTGTTTGATTTCAACTAACGTAAGGCCTGTAAAATGTTTCGGTTACTACTGAATGACTATTTGTTGAAGTATTAGGATATGAATTTGGTATCAAATTAGTTGCACTTCTGCCACATTCGGCCAAATGCCTCGAAACAGCCGTCCAACCGGACACTGGCGGACATAAGTTGGCTCCCGATTGTTGTGATAAATCATTGTTTATACTTTTTGATGACTTAGAGGAAGACTCAGCGCCGGAACCGTTATTAAATGATGTTTTTGATGGCTTATCAGTAATAATATCTGTCAATGTATTATGACTTAGCTTATGATCCGATGAATTGCTGCTTTTATGGTCACTACTGTTGTTGCTATTGGTGTCACTCTTTGATTTGGTCTCATTGTGACCTTTTTTACTTCTTTTCCATTTCATCCGACGGTTTTGAAACCATATTTTAACCTAAATATTATAGTAATTTCCTTATTATTGGGTTTAAATCATATATTATTCCCATACTATACCGATAATTATAGATAACATTAAGCAAATCAATAGAGAATAAATCAATGAGAAAACAAATAATAGTAAACAATGAATATTGAGATAAGAGTTTGAATGACATGAGTTACAGATAATCATATAATAGCTACTGTTTTTTGAATAGAAAAAATCAATTAGTTTTAGATGTGAGAGTCGATAGCAATTTAAGTAACAAATTCTGAGCAAAATTAACACATCAAGTCGTAAGCACTTAAAATTAAAGCTCAAAATTGATAGACAATAAGCAAATATTATAACACTTTCCTATATATAACAGCACATGATTTAATTACATTTATTATAAGTTAATTTACTGTATATTAATATTATTCTATAATTTTAATTAATTAAAACAAAAGTTGTAATTTAAGAATTAAAATTAAAATATTCATTTTATTATATTTTATAAGATCATATATCTAAACAAATTATTTTCATATTGAAAAATATTAAATTATATATTAGATTAAACTTAAATAAAATTTATTAAATTAACAAAATAAAATTTAATTTCAAAGGTATTTTATTTTTCAATATTTATTTAATTAATTAATTAAAATTATTATTTAAAATGCTTTAAATTTAGTGCATTAGTCCTTTAAATATGATGTCATGAAAATAATCATAAACTTATGAAATAATATTTTACGATTATTGACTAATTTAGTAATAAAACAATTATAAAAAATATTATATTGAAAATAATGTGTTAAAAGCTTAATTATAATAATTATACTCTCAATAAAACATAATATCCATTATAACTGTAATTAAAGACAAAAACAGCACAATTTGTATATACCTTACTATATATGTGTAATATTTATTAAATGATTAAATAAACAAAACACTTAATTATAATAATAACAGTTATAATATATTTAATAATATATATTGTGTTCGTTTATTATTGAAAACATTAGACTCTATTAGAGTTAATTAATGTTTGCCATCGCTATCACTATAAATGAATGCTTTTGTTTTGACATCACTGCTATCATTGCCATTATTATAGTACTGTACTATCAAATGCTATCAAATGCTATCAAATGCTATCAAATGCTATCCATTACTTTCATGGGATTAATGGCAATGTATGCGTGTTATGGATGTTTTGTCAGAGAACTATTAGTTTAAGAGAACAGTTAGCTTTTGTAGGCATTTCTCGACGGATGCAAATTACTGACAGGAAATTATTATAATTAAGAGCTTATCGCTCACCAAATCATCTCATCTTTTCATTGTTTGCATTGAGTCGTCCTTTAATTCCTATTGTTTGCTCTCTAAACATAACATCTCTCTCTTTCTCTCTTACTTACTCTCTCTCTCTCTCTCTCTCTCTCTCTCTCTCTCTCTCTCTCTCTCTCTCTCTGCTTTCAATCCCCTTTGCATCACATCTGCAATGTTGTTGATTAACGCAATTTTCGTATAATTTATTCCCATTTAATCGCTTCATTCACTAATGACAGTCACATATAAACAGATACGGAATAACTAATTAACTAATTATAGGACTAATTAAAATATATTATTAAACCAAACTCTCAATTAGTCTTAACATTTATACTCAATTTTGTAGACTTTATTTACATAAAACTAATGAAACTTTTCTTAATTGAATGTCATTTGCTTTATTTTGTTAATTTATAAAACATTTAGCAAATAGTAATCATCATATTTAAACAAATTAATACCAAAAAACTTAAATTATTAATATTTAAAAATCTACAATTAATAATTACTTATTTATATATTAAAAATAGTTTATTAAGTTTATGAGATAATTGAATTTAAATCTATATAAAATTAAATTTTCATTGTTTAATATCTTGAAAAATATGTTTTCAAAATGTAAATAATAACAGAATTTAATAAAAAAATTTAATAAATTTAATAAAATCCCAAAAATTACTGAATAATGCAATTCAATAAAAACAACAACAAAATTAAATATAAGTAAATATTAAATAATTTTAAAATTAAGTGAAAATGATATATAAAAGCAATTGAAATAATAATGAAATGTATGGTTTGAGTGATACCTGTGTTTCGGTGAGCATGAGATTCGTGGCCACTTCGAAACGTTTGGGTCGAGACAAGTACTTATTCATACGGAACTGATTCTCCAATTCCAACAACTGTTGACTCGTGAATGCAGTCCTCGGGCGACGAGTTTTACCGATAACTGCCGCCTGTGCCTGACCTATACGTGCCAATCAAATAATAATAATAATATTATTTGTTTAATTAAATAATTAAGATGTATGTACAATACATAATATTATGATAGCTTTTTATAGCACATTAAAAATCAAATACTATAATTAATAATAAATGTTTATTAAAAGTATATTATAATAATTTATAACTTCATAAAGTATTACAGTATATAGTGTTCTTATCAAAGAAATTTTTTCTTTATAATTATAAAACAAATTTTTTACTTTTTTCATCAAACAATACTTTAATGCTCGTCAATAATGTTTAATAATTAACTATATTATAGTATTAATTTAATTTATTATTAAAATATATCTTATAAGTAAAAACTTTAACTATTTAAGCATTTTATAATATACTGTTATTGTTGTATTTAATGTTTATTATACTATGAATTTAAAATGTGTATTTAAAAATTTAGTGTTTTTATCTTAATTATCAATTAAAATACTGAGAGTGACTATTTGTGTGATATTTAAAAATAGTTTTCAAAATTAATATAAGTTATTTTTTAGTGAAATAATAATATGGAAATTAAATTTGTATATAATTAAAATCATGAATATTTTTAGTAAATGAATAAAGTGTAATTGATTATTGAAGTATTATAGGTCTATATAGTCATACAATTATTTAATAAAATTATTTTTGTTTAATAAACAAATAATTAATTAATTACTAACTTAATATATTAATACTGTTTTTGATTAGGATAATTATGAATAATTGTGAATAATTTTATATAGATTAATTTTATAAAAATATTCAATTAATATGTGTGAAATTGTATTAATTATAAAATTACTTTATGGATAATTCAAAATATAAAGTGATGTATTGAATACTAAAATTATATTCAATTTTTGCTTTTATAAAAAAGTGACATATTTTTTGTAATATGTTAAATACATTGTAAAATGCAAATCAATGAAATTAAATGAGACAAGAAATTAGTAAACGTTATGATTATTAATAATAGATTGAGTGTTGAGTCAAATGACGGGTAAATAGCAATGATTTGGATGACTAGTCTATTGATATAATGGTAATGTATTTACTTAACGTTTAGCTAATACTATAGTTGTGCTGTTTGTGTGTTATGTAGCACTCGTGCTGTGCTTTTCATAGTGTTAAGTGAATTGTTGGCCACCATCTCAACCATCTGTCATCGATATACCACTTATTCACTTATATGTTGGTTTCCCTCCTATTCTCTCTCTCTCTCTCTCTCTCTCTCTCTCTCTCTCTCTCTCTCTCTCTCTCTCTCTCTCTATACCAATCCCCACACCCACTATCCGAGTGTAGATATAAATGAAAATCTCATGAATTGCTAATGTCATCGACGCGATTACAGAAAGCTTTTGAAGCACCCATCACTACATCACTACAACTAACAGTACCTACAGTTAGCAGTAATAGTGAACGCCAAGTGCCGCACAGCTTCCTAAGCATCACTTATTTGTGGTGTTTTGCTTGACTACAGAAATTATCTCAAATTTAAAACATCGACATTACAGACATTATAAACACTATCTCTATCTTTGCTCTCGGTTTGTATATGAGTGTGAAACTACCAGTGCTTTGCCAACTAATAAATTCATAAGTTAGTAGACTTGTTCAGAGTAGACATCACTTTAGCTAATGATTAAAGCAATGAATTTGATTACATATTAGCATAATTTGGGTGACATATCGCATGTATTACAGTATTATATAAACTGCATATTGAATATCACAAAAAGCACTATAATTTGATATAAACGACAAATGTTTACAATAAAAATCTGTTCACAAAATCGTTAAATTTTTCTCTTTTACGTGAATTTATTAGTTGAATCCAATTAACACCGAATTTAATCATATGTTATTTGTATTGAAATTATATAACACTTTAATGAATTGGTAATTATTTTCAATAATTTTTAAAAATTAAACTGAATTAAATACTGGTTGTATTATTTGCTTAACTAATATAAAATAAAAAATTTACATAAATAATAAAAAGGTTTAAATCAATAAAAATTATAATGCAATTGAAAAGATTAGCTAAAAATGTTCACTTAATTTAAAGAAAAACGTCTGAAAATAGGTTTTGAAAATATCGACAGCAAAGCCTTTAGGGTTTGGGAGTGATTCCCGAGTAATACAATAGATATATTCAATTCGTATTACAGATTATTATTCAATAAGAGACCAAATATATGAGTGATAAATACATATAAATATACATTGAAATTGTTGGCACAGATATATATTATTTAGACTTAGCTATAGTCCATACAATGATTAGGACGCAGATGGTCTGTCCCACTCTCCCTGTGTAAACAATTGCTTGATTAGCTCTACATCTCTCTCTCTCTCTCTCTCTCTCTCTCTCTCTCTCTGTCCGTGGCTCAATGGCGTAGTGAGCTAAGACGTCGGCTGTTTGCACTTGTTGCCTGAGAAACAACATAGAGGTACGACGTCCGGGGATCGATTCCCTGGTGAGCCACTGTTGTTTATTGCCATTTCAAATATTAAGTAACAGCTAGTTTGGGTACAAAGAATCGTCCCCTTACCAAGCTGACTTACTGTTTGTAGGTACTCCTCTAACTATGCTTATGAGTGCTATACGCATGCTATGGGTAATAATACAAAAAAAGGGGACAGGGTCTCCAAAAAGTGTACCATACATACTATGTGACGTGCACTATAAATCCTGATCCTTTTTTTTYTCTCTCTCTCTCTCTCTCTCTCTCTCTCTCTCTCTCTCTCTCTCTTTCTTTCTTTCTTTCTTTCTTTTTTTCTTTCTTTCTCTCGTCTTGCTTTAATAGTTGTAATCAATTTAAACATATAATTAAATATTACGGTAATTGCTTTTACAATATAGTAAATCTTATATTGTAAATATAAAAGGATTGTCATTTAAAACAATAAAAAATAATAATCATATCCTCAAAACATATGATGAAATACTATAAATCAGTTTAAAAAAAAATATTTTTAACAATAATTGAAATACATTTACAATATGCTGTAAATACTTTTCGTTTAAGTGATTGTAAGCAATGAAAGTATGTTTGAAAACATCCGAAGCAAATGACTTTGTGATCGTCACAACAAATAGTTAATCACAACTACTTTATTATACTTTTAGTAAATCTTAAATCTATAACTGCATTAAACAAACTTATAATATGTTATAACTTATAATATATTATAAGAGAATAGAAAATGACATTTTATTGTTAGCTTTGGTCTACAATAACATAAATACTGAATAACTTTTATTTAGCGTAAGATTTGAACGATTGGTTTGAGTGTTTGAGAAGAGCATTACAATAATATGTTCATCAATTAACTTATAATCTAATTTATATATATTATTTACCCTCAAAATGTTTATAAATTTATTAATAAATTAAAATGATTGCAATTTATATTTATCTTTGAGAACTAATGTCATATTTTTCAAACTTTACTTAACATAGTTGTCATTGTATTTATTGCTCTCATATATCACGGCTTAAATCTATAGCTGTATATATAATATTCATTGACCGGAGTGTAAACAACAGCGATAAGAGTTAGGAATTAGCGAAACCATAAATTACAGGAATATGTTTAATAAACAATAGGATCCATAACTACATGAATAACTCATACAATACAAAGCTATTTATATTTGGTGAGTGAAAACATTTTTAAGGAACCGACTGATTGTGGCTAAACCTATGCAATCTGTACACTATATACTACACATAACTACACACAAATACACTAAATATAAGTACAATAAAGTCAGTGATTAGATATAATTTGATGGCACCGTTAGATGAGTGAACATATAATATGAATGTATTGACCATACATTGACAACTCTATAGTTTTATTCAGTACTGACTTTAGCCTAATGTGTAGATATTGTAGATATCAATGCTATTCAAAATAGTACCGACTTTTGACTTACCAGATGAGCGGTGATAAAGAAGTCCGGCGCGGGCTAACCAGTCTATAGATAATCCTCCACCACTTCCGGTATGGCCTTTGATATCATGAAATGGTGAGTGAAAAGCGCTGTTATGTAGTAAAGGTATGGCCGATGACGGCCCATTAGGACCGTTACCTATGACATGTGGGCCGTGGCTTTGGTTATACATTGCTGCATATAACGGATGTGCTGATGGATTTGTTGATGAAAATAGTGAGGACATGGCAGCGGCGGCCGCGTTGTTGTGATGAGAGTGAACACCTGAAGCTAATGAGGAGCACATCTGAAGATTTGATGATCGTGGAGACCATAGAGGAGACATTGGAGGTGTCCTAACATCTATACCTCTTATATGTTCGCTATCAGCAGGTGTTCCTCGAGAACTGCTATGTAATGTGCCATTCATTAAGAGTGGACTTGACATAGGACTCGATGAGGATCGGGCATCATCGGGACTCATTGGTGGTGATGCTCGCGAACTTGAACTCAATGATGTGGCCGACTGTGGTCTATCTTCTCGGGCCAACAGAGCATCAATACAAAAGTTAGAAGCGGATGACTTGGATGTAGTCATGTTTGTAGGTGAGAGGGTCTCCGACTCTGAAGCAGAGGTACTGTTAGGTCTGTGACTGTCAGGCGATAACATAATCGTTACTATGATTGGCAACGACTCTAAACAAGAATTTAATTGATTTTTGAAATTCTTGTCAAATGTTTTGCAGATTGTTTTAAAAACTACAATAACTTTCTATAAGAGACAACATTACAGAGTGTATCCAAACAATTGTATTTTAATCGCATCTTTCAGTACTCGAGTCTCACCATTGGATCGGTTAGACTCCGCCTCCAGTGAAACAATTGTTGAGATAATATGCGCTAAACTGGACTCAAATACCAGAGTCAGGCAGTCATCCATTGAATCACTGAATCAATTATGATTGTACTGTAAATACACTAAAATATGTTGACTTAAAACAACAGTCACAACCAATTTGCCATCACTTGTCTTCACAATTCACTCTCTCTTTCTCTCAGCCCATCTCATCACAGACTCATTCAATACTCTATACTCATCTCTACATACAATTCCACATTATATGTCTGTCCTCTCAAAACCATATATTTATTAAAGTAAAGAAATCAAGAATTTGAGCGAAACTAATGACCAAATGCTTTGATAACATAACATAACTTACAATACTATTATCCATATTATTATTATTATTATTAGTAAAAATAGTGAATGAATTTATTTGATTATTTAATCATACGGCAATTTAATGTTGTCTATTGTGATTAATTGTAATTGTCATAATAATAATAAAATTGATTTATTATAACATTAGACAAATAAATGCAAAAAATAGACTAATTTTGTTGTTATTCAATCAATAATAAATTATCAATGGATTTGTTGTTTTACTACTTAATAAAATTGTAGTAATTCTTAGAAATTAATTATTATTATATTTTTCATTATTAATTGATTTGTCTTTTTTAATCTAAATTACTAATGGTATTAATTATTTCCGTTTTGATTAAATTATTTATATTGTAATAAACATAATGCATTATCAAATATAAATAAGATAATCATTTATTACATACATATTAACACATTATAATTCATATAAGAAATATTGTAGAATATAAATTTGATTTATTATCTAAATATTAACAATAATAATAAAAATGACAATTTGTTTGTTGAATAATAAAATAAAAATATAATATATAATACAATTAGTATAAACACTGAATGCATTATTTGGTTGTTTTATTGTCACAAATGTTTAATTACTGAAATGATTTGAAATATTCTTCACTACTTTTATTATCACAAATGCCTGAATTGATTTGTATTTGAATTCTTTATGTAACTGTCTGTCGATTTTTTAAAAATTTTTTTATATTTCAATTACAGATTTGATAAAAAATGTAGAAAAACAATATTTTGATACTAACATCTTTTCTCTTGAAAAAATCAAAAAAATTATTAAAAGTTGGTTATCATTAAATATAAATTATATATACAGTATGTTTTTGAATAATTTATAATGATTGTATAATTTCTTAAACAAAATTTAAATTGTCGTCCAAGAGTTTGTCTGGCAATGCTAGGCTTAGTATTTTTATTTGTTATATAAACTTTATGATTTATTTATGATGAATTAGGTAATTAAAATAAATAAATTATCTTTAAAAAATAATTTAATATTTCTATAGAATATTTATTTATAATACAATTGATTATAATATGTATTATTATAATTTATGTTTAGTTTTTTGTACTGTATTATAAACAAAACTATTTAATAGAAATAAAACAAAAATTTTATTGTTATTTAATAGAAATTTTTAATAAATGAGAGTTAACTCATAGGTCCTACAATTATATGAGCATAAAATTGTAGACATTATGATACAACTACTGATAAATACGTTTAAAGTAGTTTTATGGAGTTTATAGTATATTTTCAACCGTTTAATCAATTTACAGTATTCAGTGTATTGTCCTAATTGTCTGACAGTCAATACACGGCTTGATATATAAGCACATAATATACCGTAAATAGTATAATATTATATATTGTAATATTGTATATCTAATTAATTAACTTTTTGAGTGAAGTGTCAATTATGATAACAATTTATAGCACAACTTATTTTTGTGGCTCAAGTAGTGTTTCTCTTATTATTTATTGCTATAATCATAAATAGACATTAAATGATATGATTATTAAAGATTTGCCAATTTATTCAATTACAACATTCTTTAAGTAATTTCATGTATAATTAATATGTTTTGAAAATTTTTCAAAACAAACAATTAATCTTTTTCAATAAATTATAGACTATTGTATAAGTATTGTATTAATTTATAAAATAATTAAAAAACTTTTACAATATTATTTACTAAATATTTACATAATTTAGAAGTATTTTGAAATCTAAAGTAAAATATTTATTAATTTATTTTATAAAATAATAATTTTAAAAATGTTTTTTCAAATAAATTTATTAAACTGATTTATAATTACCGGTAATCATAATTATATATATAGACTTATACTAATAAAATTTTGATTAATTAAAAAAATGATATTTCTAGCAGTAATCCAATTGCAGCTCAAGTTATTAATTAATAAAAAAATATTTTACATTTTAATTTTGTTGAAATGTTAGTGAATTAAATTATTGAAACAATTAATAGAAATAATTTAGTATATTATTGTTATAATAATAGTTAAATATATTGGAGTAAATTAAAAATGCATTGAAACAATTAATTAAATACCAATCACTATTTATTATATTAATTATTTGAAAATAAGTCACAAAAATCATATAATACAAAAACATTAATAAAATGCTTAATAGATATGATTAGAATTGCAATCAAATGATTAAATAAATGCAATTAAATAGTATTTTCATAAATGACTTTAAGATGAAGAAAAAACCAATAAAATTGTTGTAAATTAGCAAAAGGAGTGGTTTTTATATAAAGATATATTACTGTTAGTTAATTCCAGGATTTAAATTGTGATTTATTTATCGCTATTTAATCTGCAATAAGCTAATGCCTAATGATATGTTAAGCTTAAGTGTTTGGTTTTATAACTCAAGTTATATAAGTATACTGTAGTAGCAATTGTTAGTTGAAATGTTGTAAATAAATAAGAAAATCAAATATTAAAAATATGTCACAAAACCTGTCAATCATTCATATCATAAGTGATATAATATTATTGTATTTATTTATTAACTAAAATTATATTTTACTAATATTAATACAATCATTAAAATGTCAATAAATATCTAATCAATGATAAGCACAGCATAGCCACCAGTTTTTACAACCAATTTCGAGAAATATTAATAATATATACATTAGTTATCAGCAGTTCCTCAGTTTAGTACAATAATACGTGAAACAAATCACTAAAAATTAATAACAACTAATGGTTTAGTCTTAGAAACCATGAAATGTCTATTTGATAGTCATTTCAATTTCCATACAATCAACACTTGAAAATCATTTTTAAACAGTTTTGCTATTTTGTTTGTATACTATAAATACAATATAACTATAATACTCTATATGTTATATAAAAGATAATTATATAGACAAACTCTTAACAATTTATGATCTAAATCACAATATTTAGTCTATTATTATAAACAAAGTGTTCATTTAATGTTTAATATATTACTTGTTATAAATAAATCTAAACATTTGATATATTATTATAATATCTATATCTTTATAATAAAACTTTTAGTCATTTGACTGAAATAACTATAATTTTTTGTAAACCAATTTGTTATATAAATTATGAATTAAATTGCTTTATATTAGTATAAAATTGTCATTTATAGTAAATTTGAGTCCAAAAATAGCATTAAATGATAATATCATAAGAATTACTTGTCATTGCAATTGATCTCTCGTTTGCTTATCATTTTCCAATTGGTTCTAATCTTTCATTAGTAGCTCTCTCTCTCTCTCTCTCTCTCTCTCTCTCTCTAATAAAACAGTTTGAATGTCGTTAAAGTTAACACAACACCAAATATAAAGAGACATAAAATAGACGTAAAAGAGTGGTAAAAGAGAGAGCAGATGCCATGACAAACACGACAAACACAACTTTAATCTAATTTAAAGACATCAAAAGCGATTCAATTGAAACTTTGAGAGCTATACTGTACTGTATATATGGCACCGACACCTCACACATACAGTATATCTTTGTCTTCAAATGATTGCAAATTTGTATTTTAGATGAGATGAACACTCCGTCGCCTTTCGCTATACAAACAAAAACTATGACAATAATAGCTATTATTTAATATTCTCGACTCTAATATCATCGATAAGATGACAAGTGCTGTGTTAGTCTCCAATTTGCTAACATATATACACAATATTACTGTATATTATTAAAGTATAGTAATATCGCACTTAAATTACTTCTCACATAACTAGAGTACAGTATATACTCAGTTATAGTCAATATTTTTTTATCATTTATCTAAAATCTGTACAATTAACTCAATTTTTATGTTTAAACTAATAATTCATTAGTTACTAGTAATTAATATTTAAGTACTAAAAGGTTTAATAAAAAAGTAATTACAACTAATAATCAATTGATTTAGTAATAACATTGACTACATTACTATATTTAACATAATTACTACTAATTTATTGTCTACTAATTAATGTTGTGTCAAACTTTATACTTAACTATTGCTTAAAAATTTGTATATAATATAAAATAAAATATTTTTACATTATTTCAAAATCAATAAAAAACAATTGTAAACCTTTTCATTTATTTTTAAATATATTTTACATATTGTTTATCATTTGTCAAAACTTAACAAAAAACAAATAATTTGAAATTGAGTTCATCATACTTTAAATTATAATAAATTATTTTAAAAATATTATTAATATTTGTAAATAATTCCATTACATCATACATTTAAATTATTTAAATAATATATATATATATATTAAACTAAATTACAAATAGTGTTAAAGTGTCGCTGACTTAAACAATTGCGTTTTTAACAGATATAAGGATTGCTCGTTACAATATATTTTTATTTAAATATATATATCATTTTTAAACTATATTTTCTCTCATTTATATTTCACGTAATTTTATCCAATATATAATTAAACTTCATTTACAATTTCACTAAAATTTAAACTAATATATATTGTAAATATAATATTTATACCAATATAAGTCAAAAACAGTGATCGACATAACAATTATTTGCTGATCTCTTTTGACATTATTTATGAGCTTTTGAAAGACGCGATTGTGTTAATGGTGTGGACATTGGTTCCAAAGTGATAGATTGAGGCGTACAAGAGTTCAATGATGTCTTTGAGTGATTGGATCCTTTATCATAAGATGTATGATTAGATTCATACAATTTTTTCGCTCTCTTATCTTCTTTTGATTTATATTCCAAGTCATGTTTGGAAGCCTTTTCTTTTTTACTCGAATTTGGACTTAATTTTCGCTTTCGTCCGACACTTGAATCTGATTGATATTCGGGAGTATTTGAAGATTTATTGGGATTTAATTGAATTTTCAATTTTATCGGATTTTTCGGTAGTTCTTCGGTGTCTTTATCCGACAAAACGTCTCTGTCATCAACACTACATTTTTTCTTCGAAATCTTCAACTTAATGGGCGCAGCAGTCATGTTATTATTTGCCACTTCATCTCTGCCTTTAGATGAGGAATACGATATCTTAAAGGCTGCGTCTTCTCTATCGTCACGACTTCTGTCTCTATCTTTTTCGCGATCTCTATCTCTATCTCTATCTCTATCCTTATCTTTTCTTTTATGTTTTTCTCTGTCTTTATCCTTATCCTTATGTTTGTGTTTATGTTTCTCTTTGTGTTTACTTTTATGCGAGTGATGTGAGTGTTTGTGATGTCTATCCTTTTCCTTTTCTTTATCTTCGTGTTCCGAATGACTCGTTTTGTCTATACTTTCCATATTAAGCACCGGAGGAATGATGTCTCCCATAAGTTCTTGTATAAGATTAGAAGTATTATTAGTATTAATTTGTGTCTTTTGAGTTAAATCTAGTGTTGGCTTAATATCGGGTAAAATATCAATATTTGGTTTTATGTCTAATTCAATATTACTATTCGTTTGTAATTTATTTTTGCTCGAAATGGACGGAATGTCTGTGCCTTCTGTTCTGAAATGTTTTTCTTCTTTTATTGCAATCGGTGGCACCGTTTCGTTAAATATATTACTATTAGTCGCATAAATTGTTTGGTTTGAACCACCAAAAGATATCGGTATTTCTTTTGACTTCAATTTAACTTCGGGTAAACTTTCAGTAAATTCCTTTTCTTTAATAGATTGGACAACATTTCCAAACTGAGAATTTTTCTGTTGAGTTGACCCGGAGTTTAACAATAATTTTGGCGAAGATTTAGATATTTTACTTGAATTTTGATGTTGTTTTGGCTCTAATTCAGAACCAAAATTAGAGGTAAAAGATTTGGAATGAGATTGTGTTGAACAGGGATGTGATAACTGTTTTTCTAATTTAAAAGCCGCTTCGTTATCGATTGACGGCTTTAGAGGACTTAACATTGGAGGCAATGGTTCGGATTTAATACGAAGTAAAACGTCGTTATGTTTTGATAAAGAGTTTGTCTTTGAATTGTCAGCTTTTGATAGATGTGTTGTTGAAGTGGACGACGAATTTGTTGTCGCTATTGGAGTCGAAAATATAGACATAAAGCTTGTCTTTACTGGAGGATCGCTATTTGTTTGTAATTTATTATTATTATTATTATTACTAAAATTAAAATCTTTTTTCGAGTCTAAAGAATCGTTCATAAAATCAGTTGGAAAAGAGTTCATAAGATTTAGTTCATTAGTGGATTGGTTTGAATTGTCAGAGAATTCCATATGAAGATCGTTCACAACCTCTCGTTTAATATCCGGCGAGTCTTCGGAATTATTGACACCAAATGAGCCAAAATGTGGTTTATTATGGACTGTATTAGTGTTGAATAAGTCTTCTTTTATTAAGTTATTTTGTGTATGTTTTGGATGAGTTAATGAAACATTTGAAATTGATTTTGAAGGGTTGGCGCTGCGGTTATTATCAAATAAATAATCACTATTTTTAGGTCTAAATTTGTTTCTATCATCGATTGATTTCTGTTGTTTATCACTAATTGTCTGCGCTTTTGTTGGCATTTTATCTTTTGGTAAATTTAAGATATCACGCGATGTTTGATGAGATGATGATCTGTTTGGTAATGAAGTTGAGGGCTGTTTATGTATATCTGGTTGAGGTGTTGTCCGTTCTTTTCTTTCTCGATAAGTCGATACAGAAATAGGAGTTGAAATTTTGGTTGACTGTTGATTTGGCTGATGGGTCGTCGGTTCGCTTTTAATTTTCTTTGATAGAGGCGATGATGAGGGCGAACGACGACTTATAGTCGGATTATTAGCTGACGGCTTATCGGGTGTTAAGTGCGAACTGGGCTTTGATGGGACCATAGACTTTGGTTCCTCTCTTACCGGCTGTTCTTTTCTCTTCTCATCCTTTATATTATATAACATTTATAATATACGGTAATATAAAATACTGTATATTTAAATATTACCGACAAATATATATTGTATATAAAATCAAACTTACATTCAATCGATTTAAAGGCCTATCAATACTATTTTGGACACTCGTGCCGGCACTTGAATTACTACCGTTTCCGCTAAGTATCTTACGTTTTAATCTTGACGGACACTTATCTAAAATAGCTAAAAATTCAGAAGTCAACTGTTCCAACAAATCTAAAGTGACAGTTGTGTCCACATAATAAAACCAATCTTTGCCCTCACTTGATCTCGGAATCTATACATATATATAATAACATTTATTAACGTATATCTAAATGGCTTCTCCTGAATGAACCAAACCTCCCACGACGACCACTTGCAGGCCAAGTGTATACAAACACAGGCAACGACTGTAGGCTTGTATTGAAGACACATTGTTGTCAAGTGAAGACTATTAGTAGCCATAAAATATGATGTCTGCGCCAAATCTTTGCTCGCTTTCATTGAAAACAATTGTTTAGTAATTAATCAATAAATTTTAAGGATGACTAACAGTCCTTACCTCTGACCAGTTGACAGCAGTTGACAACCGAAGTATGCGGATGTTCGACGGCAATGTCAAAACCCAATGTCTGTAGCATTAGGTTCTCATTGATGACTAATTCCATGGCTTGATCTTTGTATGCCTACAAACACGTAAACACATACGTAATAAAGACTGTTTGGATGGCAATTGATGATAAAAATGTTGACCAATTACCTCACTCTTGACATCGAGTGGTTGCGGACTGTCTCGATGTAAGCACATGTGAGACACTTTGATGACGTGCTCGAGCTTTCGGGGCTGTTCTTCAACCTTTGCCGCCAGAAACAGTGCACAACTAGATATCGCCTGTAAATTATAATATTCAAGAAAAGGACAGTTCAGACACAGTTTGAGATCATCGACTCATAAACAAGTGGTCAACAACTCAATAGATAAAACAAGAAGAGGAAGAACTGACATTTCGGTGAAATTTGGTGAACGAGTGAAACGTATAGAACCGATGCATATAAACAATGGCTGTATTTATACATAATTGTGTCCTAAAAAACAAAACAAAAAATAATATTAAATCAATGAAATTAATAAATGAAGAGTTAATGGTGTGATGTCTGTCGATGACGACAACTAACACATGCAATCGTTGTCCCATATCTTGGATCAAATTGGCCGCCTGTTGTCTGTACGACAGTTCTTTGTCGGCATCGATGCCATTCTTGCGCGACGGCGTGTGTGCCAACTCTTCTTTGCTGAAATACCATCGATCGCTTCCGGCCATTGCCTGTGCGGTCACCCGATTGTCGGCCAATACGTGCTGTCAATCGCTATGAAGGAAGTCATTCACCGATACATTCACTCAATAATACACAAACAAAATGGTCGACAAATACTATTCGTATATTACGTAACACTAATACATACCATAAACACTAAAACTTAATTTACAAATCAATTATTTTAACCAATTTTTATTAATTTAATTTCATATTAATATTTATTTTATTGGTTTAAAATGTTTTTTCATTAAATGAATGCATTGATTATAAAATTATAAAAATATTATAAAATTAATTTTTATTAATAAGTAGTGACTAAATATAGAGTAACGTAATGTATGGACTCAATAGAGTTCATTCATTAAACTGTTTGAACGCATTTCAAAACAAAACAATAAAATCACTGAAAATATATCCAAAAAATCAATTGTTTTATCAATTAGTGATAATACGGCTCAAGAAGTGATGTCAAACCGTAATCAGTGGTCAAATGTTAACAATGGTATGAATCAGAGTTCAATTCAATACCGATTGAATCAAAGCGTACGCTTCAGCGCCAAACTGAAGACACGGACCCGTTTGGAGTCATCGCAACACCAGTTGTGCGCTTATGTCCACCGCATATGTCTTCAGAATCGTTTGGAAGGATTTAATTACTGTATTCGTCATATACTTGAAGACAGAAGTGCACCATTCAGACAGTGTTCATACATTCACCCGCAATCTGGCAAACGGTGTCCAAATGCCGCCCGAAGGACTGACAGACGCGACAGTACTCTCTGTCCGTGGCATCTGAAGAAACTGTATCTCAAGCGCAAACAGGCGGCCATTCAACAGATTCGTCTTAAATGTGAAGAAAGCCATAAACGCAATGAAGAGATGAAGCAAGTGATGACACGATTGGAACACTTCTGTCCAAATAAAGCTCACGACAACCGACGACTCGCACTCGATTGGGTTCAACTTGAAGATCAAAGTGTTACCGCTAGCGATCATTTAAGGAAGAAAATGGTTGAATCTGTGTCTAATTTAAGCGCATCCAATGACGATGACTGTTCTAATACGTTTGTCGAAGATGTCTTGCGATCAGATCCATTGGACTCGGATTCTGAATCTGTTGACAGTAATTGCGAAGAACCGCTTAAACGCGCCGGTGTTTATGCGGCCGAAGAAGTTTCACTTATTTTGAGAGAGAAGATGTTAAGACTTCAAAATCTATATATCGAACAATTTAAACGATTCCAGTATTTATTAAAAGAAAAGAAAAAGAATTATTTGGTGTCACTTAAGATGGAGAAAGAGATGAATGGAGTGAAGAGTATATCTCAAACAATGCAACAAAATCTAAGTTTTTCCAAACAAGATAGGGATGACTATAAAAGACTTAAAGCTTTGTGGAGATATCAGAGACCTCATGGACAGGAAGCTCTTCTCAAGAAAGAAGCCAACGAAAAGAGAAAAGCATTTGTTGATGGAATTCAATATAAGGGATCAACTCATCCTAACTGTATATTTGTCAAAGAAGACGAGGTTTGCACCAATAGGACAATACCACTCTCTCATTATTGTCAAAAACGTATGTTTTTTATTAAAAAAAAGATAATAATTTTTATATAAATTTTGACTATATTTATATAAAACAGACATATTATATGATGTAAACCAAGTGTTATACAGACCGTGTGCTTACGTTGAGAAGATATCCGATGACCAGTGTTCCCCTCCGTGTCTCAATCCAATCATCTCATATGTTCACCAAAATACTTGTGTTTATCACAAACAACTTAAGACTGATATCAAAGATATTAATAAATTGATGGTTAGATTCGTTAATATAATTGATTAAATGTTTAATTTATTAATGTTGTTATAATTATATTAAGGATTCTAACGAAGACGATGTCAACCAAATTGTTTCACTTCCGACGGAACCAGAATTGTTTCAGACTATGGATGACATCGCATCACTTGGTTTGGATGCCGTCAATCCATCCAATCTCTTCAGTTTAGATCAATTCGGAGAACTTGAATCTACAGACTTATTAAATTAATTTTTATTTAAAATTAAATACTAATTATCGTAATACCATATATACAGTATATAATCTCAATATATAAAAATAATAAAGTATTATTTATATTATAAATTAAGAAATATTGATAATTTATACTAATATCTAATTAGAATAATTAAAACAATAAAATAAATTCAATAAATTTAAAAAATGTTTTTTAAAAAAATTTGAGCGCCCAACGTGGGGCTCGAACCCACGACCCTGAGATTAAGAGTCTCATGCTCTACCGACTGAGCTAGCCGGGCTACATAAAATTTCAATGTTTTAATATTATTATTATATATCTATACTACTATATAATTTGTTCAATGTTTGTACCAATTTGTGTGACGCAAACAATTACTTTTAATGTGTCGCGCGATTATTAATAATTTTAATTTATTAAATAAATAAAAAATTAAATAAAATATATTTTTTATAATACACTGTATATTATATAGAGCGTGAAAGCATTGTTTAGTAAAGAGATAGATTGAGAGAGAGAGAGTATTGTTGCACGTGTTAACTATTGATACACATTTTATTACATGGATCTAAAGTATAGTTATAATTTAATTATATTTAATTATAATTTGTATTTTATTTACTTTAAAATTATTATTTAAACATTTCATTAATACAAACTGAGATTTAATGTACATTTCATTGTTAAACTTAAAATAGAAAGAAATTATTTCATTTAAAATATTGAACGAAAGATATTTGTAATACTATTATTTTATTCATTTATTTTTAAACACAATTAAATTATAATAATCTTAATATTATAATATTATTATTAAATCCTAATTATTTAAAAATATTTATATGTACATATAATATATATTACTTTAACAAATAAAAATTTACAGTATATTTTAATTAATAATCTAAATAATATAAATATTTGCTTGTTAATTACTTTATATAAAATTTACTATTAGCAATTATGCTTTTATATTTTTAAAATTTATGCAGATCATCATAAAATCTTTTTATTATAAAAATTGATAATTTTATATATAAATAATAAGTTATTTCATTATACAGTGAATATTCTATTATTTTAATAAAATAAATTATTAAAATTTTATTTAATTAGAAATTATTTTATATTAGATTTAATTTTAATTTGAAAATATAATTGTTTCTTTAAAAATAGTGTAATTAGTTTAACTTATATATAACTAATTAAACTGAGATTTTAATTAGTAAATAACAAATTTTATCATTATTTATTATTGTTGAAAGTCGAAAGTAAATAGGTAAATTATTCAATAATTTAGTTATTTGAAATCACATGTTAATTTATCTATAGATAAAATTAATCTTGTATTAAATTTATCAATCATTACTAAGCGTGTGAACATTATTAACAATTGTTAGGTAAAACAATTACAAATATATAATTTTGCTTAAAGTAAATGTTATTTAATTCAAGTGTCTTGACAACAGTTTGGTTAACTTTTTTATTGAACATATATTGTCGATGACATACTAATTGAAATAGTTATTATCGGCAAACTTATTTCCAACAGTATAACCTCGTTTTACAATACATAATGGTTTAGAGTATTATAATTTAATATTATTTAATAGTTTAATTTAAATTAAGTAAATATTATTATTACATTTATTTAAAATATATTTGTAGATAATTATAGATTAATTTTTATAATGTTAAGTAAATAAATGCACATAAATAATTTATATTATGATAATGATTTTTAACAAAATAATTACAATACAATAATGTATTTAATCACTTAAGAGCCGCAGTAAACAATATGCTATTTGACTGTAGGAAACACCAATTACTATCAATAAAATAAAGTCCAATATATCATACTTATAAATTATAATATTTCTAATATAAGTAATATAAATAAGTATATCTTAAAAAATAATTTACTTAAATAATTATTCACTTTAGACAATGAGTTTACCACAAAAACAGTCATCAGAAACATACGAAGTCACGTATGATGAGTCGCGACAAGAGTTAAGGTATTTATCAAATTGTGACAAAAAATATTAAAAACAATTTAAAAGTTTATTAATTTTTTTCAATAATTATAATTATCAGCAAAAACGGTGAAGTGATTATAAGAAATCCTCATTTGAATGGTCTGTCTTCAGATGTATTATACCATTTGGCAATCAGTACAGACACTCATGACTTGCCGGCGCTCTTCGGTGACGTCAAGTTTGTTTGTGTCGGCGGAACACTTAAACGGATGAAACAATTTGCAGAATATATGGCTAAAGAACTGGACATTCAATTTGATGGCAAAGATTGGACGGCGGCTTCGTTTCGTTATTCAATGTTCAAAGTGGGACCTGTTTTATCAGTTACGGTAATAACAATTCACACTTTCTTTTCATTTAATTAATAATTATTTTTTTATACACAAATAAAGCACGGAATGGGTATCTCTTCTCTATCCATATTAATGCATGAAATCATTAAACTAGTATATTATGCCAAATGCAAAAATGTTGTATTTCTTAGAATCGGTACTTCAGGCGGAATAGGTATTGGATTTTTACAATTGTCAGCAATAAAATAATTAAAAGCAAATAACTTTCTTTAGGTGTAGAACCGGGAACTGTTGTTATTACAGATAAAGCAGTGGATGGTCTGCTTCGACCCTATTATGAATTGGTCAGTATGTGTGTGTGAGAGTGAGAGAGAGAGAGCCATAAACTCTAGTGCTATAAAATAATTATTTGTGTTGTATATTATTATAATTATTTTATAGTACATATTAGGAAAGGTAGTCCGTAGACCATCCATATGTAACAAAGAGTTGGTGGAAGAGCTCAAATCAATTGCTGCCCAAGAAATAAAAGATTTTCCAACAATCAGTGGCACCACAATGTGTACGCTTGACTTTTATGAATCCCAGGCACGACTTGACGGTGCTTTTTGCGACCTAACAGCCCAACAAAAAATTGATTTCTTAAACAAATTGAAAGATGCAAATGTTGTCAACATTGAGATGGAGGCCATAACCTTTGCATCCATGTGCCACTACACCGGCATTCAGGGCGCTATTATCTGTGTGACTCTTGTTAATAGACTACTTGGGGATCAGGTGTCGGCAAATAAAGATTATTTGTATCAATTGCAGACACGACCCCAGATATTAGCAGCAAAATTGATTAAAAAACGTTTGGCTTTATATAAGTCACAAAATATCTAATTGTCTAAATTGTCTATACATTTATACAATATATTATGTTATTAGTGTAATTGTATTGACTATAAATCTTATAATAACATGTAATCCCATATATTTCAATAAACTTAATAATCTACTATTATATTGTACTTCAATAATAATAATAATCTACAGTATTGTTTGATCAATAATTTTATGTTGACATTAATACATTAGTTATAGTAAAGCAAACAATCGACTATTTATTAGAGTAACACAATGTTATATAAAATGGATTTAAACGACATAATTGAGAGCATCTGTTAAATAATGATTATTTGTATTTATAGTTCAAAAATATAATTCACTTGAAAAATAAAACCAGATGCTGACATTCATAATACAATTAATTTAATTTATAAATAATTGTATTGAAAATAAATTATATTTAAATTATATTCAAAATGAATTTTAAAAAACATGTTTTCAAAATCTATATGATTTAATTAAAAATAATTATAATCATTATATATATATATAATTTTTAGCTTTTATACTCCACATTGTGACTCAACAAACACAATAAATATTTGTTATATTGTATAATATTTTTATTATAATACCGGCATATCCTTATATTATATAATAATACCCACATTAAAAGTAAGATAACTATCTTAATAATAGGCAATATTTATTACGTAATATTTAAATTAAAAATCCATTTGTAATCTTAATCCCAGAGGTGTATAAAATTTTATTATAATCTTATACAGTATATTAATATAATTTGATTAATGAAATAAAGTTTTAAATAATAACTGTTATTTGGATTTAATAAATCATTAGTGGTTTAAGTGTTTGCAATAACTAATAGAAAATCATCATTTGTTTAACGCTTTGAAAACATAAGTATAATTTAAATAAATTAATAGTTTTCAACTCATTAGACAATAATATTTAAATTACAGTTATTATTGATATTATTAGTTATGAGATAAACGCATTGTAAGGTGTAATCAATGCTATGGATAACTAGATTTTAAGTCGAGATTTAAATGGTATTTATTGTTAATATAATGATGTTTTATGGATGGGTGTACTGGGAAAGGGCTATCATCGGGGATGACACGCAAATATTTGATAATTACTTGAGAAAAATGCATCGACACTATCATTATTTAAAGCAATGTATTGTTGAACTGATAATATCAATGTATATCTCATACAATAAGTTTTATAACATCAGACTCAGTGACCCACCACTTGTTTTGCCTAAAAGTATTGGTCATTACCCTATTGAATGCCTGTGATAAACATAGGGACAGTATGTGGTACTTATGGGAAACAAACCATAAAAACATACACCAAATTAATAGGTGACTTAAAATGTATAAACATTGGTATTGTGTGAGTGAGAGACCAGTAAATGGCTTATCACTTATTGAGGACTAAACAGACAAATGTTTGTAAAGAAACTAATTATTTGAAACTATGACAACAATTACCTATTGATTTGATGCAATTGAGTGCCGATAGACCACACAAGTGGAGGTAAGTGTCAACACACTATAGCCCTAACCATTAATGGGCTCTCCGTTTAGTTTACCGGCATTTCATACATACCACTAACCATTGCTCCAACAACTGGAGCCCTAATGCCTTACCTCATCAACCAATCAAATCTTTTTAGACAAACCTCTAATGCATCAAATTTAACATTTTATTATTATTTTATTATATTTATAACATTTTAATAATAAATACTTAATTATTTGTTCATTATCTACATTATTAGATAAAAATTAAATATTTTTTATTTGGATTTCAATTTAGTATCACATATTATAAAAGATTGACTTATTATTATTATTATTATTATTATTATTATTATTATTATTATTATTACACTCCTGTAAACATAATATAGTTACTAAATAGCGTTATTAATTTATTATATTATATTAGTATTTAAATTAAATTCTTTATATTATATTATGATAAACTAATTATATAGAAAAAAATAATAATTCTATTAAAATTTTCATTTATACATATATTAAATTAACAATTTAATTTTTTTTATAAAATCTAACATTTAGTTTTACAAATAACTGTATTTAATATATATCTATAAAAGTCAATGAAATTGACAGAAACTCTGAGACCACCCATAATAACAAGGCATTCATTTTATTTAATAATATTGTTGTAATTTTTTCAGATTCAACATTATTTGAATCAAAATGACACAAAACGTAGTTATATATAATTTTCCACTATATTTATCATATCAACTAAAATTTAATTAATATTTTTACTCAAAAATATTTTTCTTGATTGCTAAGTAAATATAGATTTTATATTTAAATAAATATTGAATGTTATGTCGATTAAACTCAAATATAGATTCTCTACATTATTGTCTGCATTGACTTTAATAAAATAATACAAACTTTTATCAAATTGATGGAATATTTCACTGATTTTGATTATAAAATTAATTTTATTTTTAAATAACTAATATTATATTATAGTAATACCAATTGTCCAGATGATGACTAATAACAACTCTTATAATGCTATAGTTTGTTATTTAGCCTAATTATTTGTAGAATAATAATTAATATATTGTTTAAAAGTTTATAAAAATCATACTATCGTAGCATCAGTAATGATATATAATACTCTATAAGTTAAAACTTTTAACACATATAAAGTAATATATTAAAGTTAATATCTATAAAGACAAATATTTAAAAAAAAATAGAAATTATAAATACATTAATATTATTTGTCAAAATTTAAAAATTACAAAAAAATTAATTTAAAAAACCCATTTAAACAATTACTATGATATCTCATGTGATATTAGATCTATTTCATTGTAAAACACTGTTCAATGACCACACATTAGATAACTTTGATTATAGTTTTCTGTTTATTAAAAAATATTTTTGTATAACACAATATAAACTTCTATAAAGTTGATTAAAAACTTCTTACATTCAATACTAAACCATTAGAAATTTGAGTTACAGTTTACTGAAATACACATACGGTAAGTTAATATAATTTATATTATATATAAATTATATTGATGACCACCCACCACTATAGTGAGTTTAGTTTATAGTGAGAAACAAAATAAATATCCATACTATTAAAATTTTAAAAGCAATTTAATAAATTGTTTACAAATTAAACTTTTTATTATAATAATATCATTAATAATAAAAGTGTAAGAATTTAAAAAATTTTACGATAACTTTATTGGCAAAATAAAATAAATTTAGATTCAAAACTTAATTATATTACTTTCAATTGGTTTATAGTAAACAAAAACAAGTTTTGATTTAAATCAAGTAATTTGCTTAATAGATATTGAGTTAAAAGTTTTGTGATTTACTGATTGATGAGAAATACAGAAAAATATTTAACTCAAACTCAATTTCATTATATAGTAAACTAATGGCATTCACAGACAAACAGATTTAAATAGTCGTAATATTTTGTGGGAAAATTTTTTATTGCCTCTTATTGCAAAAACTAAGTATTTTATAGAGTATACTATTTGCTTACTATTTCTATATAATATATCATAAAATAATTATAAGTAAAACTAATGCTAATTTAAATAAATTAGTGTATGATTCAATAAATTTATAAAATATAAATTATATTAATCAATAGTATAAGTATATTTTAAAATTTATTAAAACAATATAAAATACTGTGATTATAGTTAATATAAGTTTATTTTAAAATTTATATTTGAAATTTTAGTCTTTTTTAATAAATTAAATTTTGGCGTTTTATACTATAATAAATACAGTATTATAAAGTCTCACGCAATGATTGTTTTAACACTTTTGACTTAAAGTTAGCCACTTTTATATTATATTATGATATAAATAAATTAAATATATCATATATCTTTACTTTTAAATTGTATCATTTATAATTTTTGTATTATTTAGTTATAAAATACTGTAGAAAAATTACTAATAAAAAAGTAATTATAATTCACATAAAACTTTTTTTTATCTATATCGTCAATTTATTATTATATGTAAAAAAGGACTATAAGTTTGAGATTTAAATAAATATCTTTAAAAATATGTGAATTGGTTAATTGATAAAAATATAAAGTAATGTTATTTAGAAATATATTAAGTTTTAAATTCAAGTGTATTTAAATATACCGAAAATACATTTGAAATACTCAAGTTATTTAACACTTAAACGTATTTTTATATAAATTTGATAATTTTATTGTAATTGTAATTCTATTGTAAAAAATAGTTAATCATTGTATAAGTCTTATTGCAAAAAAAACGCATCATAACTATTTTGTCTATGATTTTATTTTAACAAAGAAATCAACTAAATTGCAATACTTTTAAAAAAAAAAATTATTTAAAAAAAATCTTTAAATTAAATTTTTCTATTATTTTTGTTTTTAGTATCAATACTATAATTTATGAAAATATAATTTAAATAATATTTCAACACTAAATAAAAAGAAAAAATTCAATTAATATAATAATTGAAATCAAAATTGAAATAAAATTTTTGATTGATTAGCTGTTTTTAGTAATAGTTGTGTCATATTTTACAAACAATCATAACATAAAGATTGACTTATAAAAATATTTCAAGTTTTTTTTTAAATATTTTTCTATGATAAGTGTTATGTGACCCAAAATTTATTATAAATATTTTTTTATATAAAAATCTATGTTAAAATATGACAAGATGCTTTTATGTAATATTATCAATGGTGCAATATATTATTTAAATTCTAACATACACTAGATTTAACTATAGTTTTTTTTATATAAAAAACTAAATAATTTTATTTTATTTAAATAACTTTTTATTGTATTATTAATTATATTTTTATATTTAGTATTACTTGTATTATATTATCTTTATTTACTAATATATAGTAATTTTAATAATAAAAAATTAAATTGTAAAAAATTACAAAGTATTATGACTTTAATATTATCCAAATAATTAACATAACTGTAAAATATTGATTACTAATATATTAAATTTTAGAATATTAAACAATAAAAATACTGTAATTGATAATTTTTATTTATTGATAATTTATACAATATTTATGCATGTTATTTTAAATATTATTTATATTATTAGATAAATAATAATTAATCTATGCAAGTTTAGATAATAGTCACTGGAAAAACTACTATAATACAAAAAAAATAATGAGTGTTATTATTGTTTAAATAAATCAAATTATCAAATTTAAAACTACTTTTTAATGCATTTCAATTAAAAATAACGTATATTTCTCACCATTTATGAGAACGACTATTAAAGTAGACTCTAAATTGCAATTAAAAAGTAATTCATTTAATAAAATTAGATTTTAATTTTGTTAAAAAATATTATAAAATTTATAAATTTACAGTATATTATAATATTACCCATTCTTGTAAAAACATTATATTTGTATGTTTTTATGGCCTCTTTTAAAATAAAAGTTATTAAATAAAATCATTCAATTGCATGCAATTTTAAAAATACAATTAAAATATTATAATAATTTTTATGTAAACAAGAGATGAAAGATACACATTTTGATTAATAAATAAAATTTTAAATCTTAAATTTAAAGAAATATGAATAAAATACTGCATATAATTTAAACTAATTAGACTAACAATAATATCTGTATTAATATAATTTTAATTTACATTTATAATTATTTGTATTGTTTTATGTATCTAAAGCAACCAAAATTTATTTAATTTAAATAAAAGATTTAATTAAATCAATTGTTTAAGTTAACGATCAAACCTTAGATCTAAGAATATTAATTTAAAATATATAAAATTGTTTTTATTAAATAATTTTTTATTGGGTGTAACATTTGGGTTTATAATTAATTTTTAAGTTATAATTAATTGTATAATTTTATATGTAAACACACATATTTGTATATTTAAATCATATATTTCATTAAATTATCACATTATATTATTAAAATTGATTTCAATAAATATGATCAACATTTTGTGGTAATATTTCATAAATTAATTTTTACTAAAACGTGCATTATCATAATTTTCAATCTTGTTCATATTCACATAACTTATAAATTTATTATTATTTAGTAAATAGTTTATATATTATTTATTATATTAATTAAATATAATATTTCTTTAAAAACAATTATTTAGATATATTTAATATTTGATTGTATGTTATCTACTATACTGTATAAATTAATATCTGAATATTTTTTAATAGATTATGTATCAAATGTATTAAATACAATAATTATCATAAATGCCATACAAATTGAAAGTTTTGAGTTTATTTGAATGACAGTGAAATGTAGTGATTGTCGATGTGTCGACCCCTCGACCCACCGCATTGTCGAGTAATCCGAGTGTAAAATAGTGTTCAAAGTTTAACATTTTCTAAGTATTTTATAGTTTATATAATATGATTCGTATCTCATGTTTGATATATACAATATATATATATAAGTTTCATTCAGAAATTGAATGTGTTTTTATATTTATATTTTGTAAAATTAAATGAATGTAACAAAAATTATTGTTTTGTACGGATCAGCGGTAACCCACTATTTTGAAAGACTTTTCTATCATTTTTAAATACATTAAAAGCACAAAAATATAACGTATCGATAGCCTATAACTTGTATGAACAGTCAAATAAGTAGAAATGTTGACATACTATATGACTGGTAGTCTATGAGAACCTGTAATTTTTTCTATCAAAAGTATCACCTCTGGAAGCGATGCGTTACCAATAGATAGACACATATCATGACACTTGTATACTATAAAGATTTCACATTTTCTAGAGACAAGTCCTCTAACAAAGAGAGAGAGAGAGAGAGAGAGAGAGAGAGAGAAAGAAAAGTCATCATCAATGGGACAGCCTATACTTGATGGGCATACCATACAGATGAATGCATCGCTGCTTATAATAGTCTAACAATAAAATAAAATGAAAAATTGAAGTTTTGACTCAAATATATATATCTGTATATTTATGTGTGGTTTGAATAGTTGGCATATATTTATAATATAAATAATAATAATATAAATAATATAAGTATTATATTATATCTGCGATGCAATAGGCGTTCATTTGCTTTCGTTTCACAACTAATAAGATTTGAAGTATTTTATAATAAATAGCGGCATATGTTATGGTAGTCTTTATTAGATTTTTAGTGACACCACTTTGATTGACACCAAAACAAACTTAATTCTCTTTTTATCTTATTTTTCACAAACCATTATTTGTCGTCTCCTTTTCCGATAGTTTCTTATATATAAATTTATAATATAATAATATATATAATATAGTATATAATATATGGCAATTTAGAAAGGATGTCGACTCATGTATTAAATCTTATTATATAACTTCAAAAAATAATAGATGTTTTTTAAACATAAGTAATTACTATTTAAAAAATTGTTTTCTTCACTTTAATGATGTTAATCTATAAAATATTATTATAAAATAATATTATTTAAATTTAAATAAATATTATTTTAATACAGTTCTGAGTTGAATACCATTTAAAATTAATAATATGGATTATAGTTTATTTAACTTTGGCTTTTATGTGTTACTTTTAAATTTATAAGAATAAAAATATTTTAAAAATTTTAAAAATAATATTTATAAAATCTTTAGTCAAATAATGTAAAACAAAATTTACAAAATCACAAAATATGTAATATAATTGATTAGATAATGGATTTACTTTAGATTAAGCTAATAAATCAAAATTATTGAATATCTTAATTTTAAAAATCTCATTTCAAGCTAACTTTGATTACATGTAACAAATAAAGTAATAATTTAAATATAACTCTACTAAACAAACAAAACTACAAAAATTTATGAATTGCGAGTTAAATGTAATTGAGAGCCAAAATAGCAAATACTTGACAACTATTTATAAATTTATATCATTATTGTCTATATGTGTGGCGCGATTGGGAAACAACAGTGAAATTTGATCACTTAGTTATAATAGCTATAAGTCTGTATTGGGAGTCAAAAACAAACTGTTCCGCAGTTAATGAGCTCTTAATGAGTTTGTCGCGGAAATGCAGTGACAGCTATGGAGGAGACCATCACTTCATAAGAGCTAACTGTTTGTCGAAAACCGTCCAAATTCTTGTGTCAAAAGCTCTAAATTCTTAACTTTAAAATTACTGACAAAATAAATGCCATTAACTATAAATAAATATATCGCAAATTGCCATTATATAGTCATAAGTACTTTACATACAGTACATACTGTATATACACGCTATTTGTTTGCGTTTAAATTGTTTCGATGAAATGGGAGAAACCAAATATTTTTACTTATTATTATTAATATTATTGATAAATAAATTACAATAAAAATACAATGAAAATGAAATTTTAATTGGATAAATTATTTTAATTTTTAGTGTTTACATGATTTGAAATTGAACTTATTTTTTTTTATATAATATTATTATTATTAAACTAATATAAACTAATATTATACTTTTGTATAATAGCTGATTGATATATATATATACAGTATATACATGCTATACATGCATATACTGATATACTTTGTAAGTATATATATATACATAATTACTGTATAACTAAAGTATAATAAAGAAAAGGAACATATATTATGAGAATCTTTTGTTTTGAGTACAAAATAAATGCAAATTAGTTATCGAGTTATCGATCAAACAATTACCAAAAATATATAACAAAAAATATCAACTAAATAATACACTGTATATATATATTTTAAATATTGTTATTTTATAAGTCAGAAATTATTGGTCATAGGCTGTGTAACAAAACATTGTTATTTAATTTATATCACATAATGTTTATTATGTGTCATAATTTAGTATATATTTTTCATTAATAATTTAAGGTTTTCACTATATTATAACCAATACAATTATGCATTTTTGGTTTGTATTATTATAATTATTGATGTTACTCTAAACGAATATATTGAACAAACAAATACATATTTTTTAAGTTTCATAAATAAATAACATTCAATTAATTTTATAATTATAATATAAATATATAATATAAAGCTTTTAACATGATAATTGAGTATAATGTGTATAATTGTATAATTAAAATAAAACTTGCTGTTAAACTTTGATCTATTTTTATATAGACATTAGTTTTAATTTTAAAACAAAAATATTTTAATAATAGTTATAAAAGTATGAGTACTATTAATCATGAATTAATAACTAAAATTATTTTTAAAATGCTAATTAATAAATATTTTTGTAAGTCCATGATAATTATATAGTTGTAATCAACAAGTTTGCACTATTTAAGTGATATAAATTCCTCTAAAACTTATTAATTAAATATTTCTTATATTAAAATCTTTTGTTTTTTAATCAAATAATTATAGTAAAGCAGCTAAAAGTTTTAAATTAATTTACAGCCTTTTTTATCATTGGTAACGCTGACCTCTATCTTATAATAATTTTCTGTTCAATTACTATATAAATTAATTAATTAATAATATCATAATTTGTTCGCAATTAATTAAATATTATTTTAAACATTAAAAATATTTACAAAATTAGAATACCATTGAATTTAAATAAAATGTTAAAATGATTTGTTTGAACATAACTAAGATTTGTTGTCTTTTAAGTCTTGCTGTTGTAAGGGTGAGGTACACGTCGAGCTCCTGTCACTTCTCATATAGTCGTCCTCCTCATCGGATTCGCCTTCAGTGGCAACTGTACTGTGATTATACAATCCCTGAGCCATGAGATGAAGTGCCAATGGATGTCTGGATCCACTGGTTTTTTTAATCTTTGCCCTTTTGTTTTGAAACCATATCTTAATTTGTGACTCATTTAGCTTTAAAGAGTTTGCTAAGTCTTGTCGTCGTTTTTCTGTTAAATATCTGTTCAAATGAATTGTTGAATGAATTGATTAGAATTGACTTTGAAATAGGTTTAAATAATTTGATCAATGAATGGATCAAATGAATGGATAAAAATGAATGTCTTCATACTTGTTCTCCTGGAACTCCTGTTTTAATCTTCCCAACTGTTCGGCTGTGAATGCAGTTCTCGGTCTCTTTTCATCTTTTTTCTCCTTTTTCTTGATTTTTCTCGATCGGGGACCTAATCGGATGCAAACAATAAGCAGACAATTCATTAAAGATTTTTAATCCATACAAACAAAGAATTTTCAAATTAAAAATTCTTTAATTTCAATGCCTTAATACCAGTCAAATGATTATAAACATATAGAGATAAGTTATATGTAAGGATAGTATGAATTTCAAGGATATACTTGTGCTAACAATTATTATTAGTTATATAGTCTTTGCTTGAATCTCACAGATAGTCTTATAGTAAACTCTCATACAATCAATTGATTACTAATCTTATGAGTCTTTTTTGTCAATAGTTAATACATTGACGGCATTATGTTGTTAACAGATTAAGTGCAATCATAATATCGTTGTATTCAAGTTATTATATATGTATTGTCTTATTGTTAATGCAACGACTCTTTGAGAGCACCTGTATGTCAATTGGTTTTGACGATGATAAATGACCATAGTTTGACAGGCGAGACCACCTAACATGCCTGTCCAATGACTGTCACAATGTTTAGGCAAAGCAATCGTCACTTGGATTCAGGTCTCAACCAAATAGCAGTCATACCTAATGCACAGTATTTTCTGATACAAGAGGCGTAACTCAAGCGTTCAATACCTCCGCTGTGTTTTACATAGACTAACAATTGATTGATTTGTGTGTACACTCCTGTCCCACACATTCATAGTTTATATTATAGCCATACAAACGGCTTAAAACTATTACAGACTTGTGAACTATCTGTGAAATAAATTCAATGTTTGACTATAATTTATATACCTTATTGACAAACTATGTGCACATCGAATGCCAAATATATTTATATTAAATATATTTTCAAATTTTCATTTAAATAATAAATTATTAAACCAGTAGCCAATCATAATCTAGTTTTTATAGTGATATTGCTTACAAATAAATACTAGTATTTAAATTTTAATTTATGAAATAAATTGATCAAACGTTATCATATGAAAGGCACATAACATTAAGTTAAGCCATGAAAACACTATTTTACTGCCGGTTATTGAGAAGTAAAGCCATATATTTGCATACATGCTATTGAAATTCAGTACTAATATTATTAATACATTTATCTGAAAACTATGTGACAATAAACGTGGGAATATAGCAGACAATTGACAAGTTTTAGTCATTTATTGCGACTAACAATAGGATGACTCCTCTGAACACACGCTGCCCTTCCCGACAATGGCTTAGTTATAGTGAATATCGTATATATTATGAGAATATTTCGTTTACTTTTACTTATTAAAGATAATACTGTATATATAGTGTGAATATAATAACAATATATAAAAACTAATTATAGTAAGTATCTGTTAGACACAAATGTTGTTATATTAATTATTGTCAATAATTTATTAATTTAGATATTTATACTATTTTCCAACAATACAAACAACTTAATCAAATTGTAAAAGTAATCAAAATGATTAATATAGATAAAAAGTAACAACAAAATATATGTCTATGCAGTCTAAAAAATGCATTATTTAAAAAAAATATTTGATCTTATAAATTTAATAATTTATTATTTAGTTAAAATAATTAATTGTATTATTTAAAATGTAAATTTCTATTGTAACCTCAAAATAAAAAATATTGACCAAATGTTTTCATTGAAAAATAATTTTTTAAAAGTAATAATAATAATAATAATATTTAAAGGAATTTTAGTTAGTTTTTGAAATAAATGAATAATAAGTCGGTGTTTGTTCTTTGATAAGATGAGCGCAAACATCGATGAAATTATTAGTGCAATACATCAGAAAATCATTGGTTTAGGAAATACTGTTTGACTTTAAGAATTGGGGACTCATTTAAAGTAAAAATATTTTTTCTTTAAATAATTGGTTTATTGTGAATGATTGGTCGTCTGTATAATTCGCTATTTACACGACAATAACATCTCAAAAATAAGATAAACATTTAACTAATACATGTATTGAAAGTTTATTTATGTTGCAATTTATCTCTCTTTTTTGAAAATGTATAGTTAATTGATGTAAAGAGATATACAAAATAGTAAGTTTTTATTTGCAAAGAGTTGACACAATGTGACAGTTGGATCAGTAACTGCTTATTCAATTAAGATTAGTCAGTGCTAGAGCTCTCTCTCTCTCTCTCTCTCTCTCTCTCTCTCTCTCTCTCTCTCTCTCTCTCTCTCTCTCTCTCTCTCTCTCTTTAACTTTATTACAAATATAACTGATTGAATAGTTGGCTCAAACCGTAGTACTGGTCTTTGTTTGGCAAAGAAGTCTATTTGATTTCTTTATCGTATCTGTATTCCTGATCTCTATTGAGTTGTATAGTAAATGACGAGCGAAATAGTAATTGAGTTAAGTTGTATTAATGGGGACTAAAAATAAAACTTAAATTGTTTGATAAGATCAGCAAAACTATAACAACAATTTATGCCATCTCTTTCAATAAGTCTTTAAATAAGAGATAATATGTAAACTTAGTTTTATTTTATCAATAGACTTAAATAAATAGCTAAATTCATCTATAATTTCTATTAATGTAACAATAATTTGAAAACAAATATACGAAAATAGTTTTAATAAAAGGTTTGATTTACATGGTATATAATGTAGTTTTCATTGAATTTATTGAATCAATGGATCAAATATAAAAATGATTTGCATGTTATGCTAGTTATAAACTGCTGGTACTGATGGTAGAGTATTGGTGTGTATATGTTGCTTGAGACCGGGTGTATGAGTGCTAAACTTATAGATTAATTAATAATGATTTTAATGAAGCATTTGTTTCATTAAATCATTAGTGTTTGCCATTAGTTATCGTTCGCTCAATTAATTCTCAGTCAACTTAACAGTAAGTCTATTGAATGTTAAGGCAAAACATTACATAAAATTAATTAATAGTCTTATCTGAGACAGAGTTACACTGTTTTGTTGAGCACATCTTGTTTTCGCTGATAACGGAGTGCCAGCGAGAGACTGACTGACTGCCTGAGCCCATCCCCGCTAACAACAAATACAATGATTCGTAGGCGTTGTAGGCTCTGGTAGTATTCAGTACTCACACACTCACACATTGCCAATAACCCTCTAATAGCGGCCAACACTAAGGGACATAAAATGCTTATCTTTCGACACATTTACAAACATAACGATACGCTACGGACACACACTTGTAAAGGCATTATAAGAGTCTCACCCATGGATTGAATCACATAATTCAAGCTCAACACTGTTTAGCAGTCAATTACATGATTATCTAAATGTGGTCGCAATGCACACTAAATCTCATTGCATTCAATCAGACAACTACACCATTAATGTCATGTTTGCACTGCCTTTACGGCCAAACCTTTATCACTGAATGCCAGTCCTTTATAATAATTCATGTCATTTACAGTTAATTGTATTACTAATCATTGTCTATCAATTTGTTTGTATAATATAATGTATTTGTTTCAATATGGAGTTATTGAAACTTCATATAAAAGTATTAAAATCATTAAATTTTTAAATTAGAAGTATACTAAAAGTAGTGCTAAAAGCGATTCAAAACATCTCTATAAAAGTCAATTATGAGTATCAAAGTATTTGTTTAAAAAATTTTGTTTTTTAAAACCGTTTCTAAACATAGTTTTAGTAGTTTTTGACAAATTATTTGCTTTCTCAACCCTATAGTAGAGTTTATTATACAATGTAACAAAAAATATTAACGCAACACTAGTTTTGTGTACATTAAAAATGATGTTCAATCAGCTCAGAAAAAATGATATATACTGTATATATATATATATGTAGTGATGGAAGCGTTTAAATAATTAAAATACGAGCTCTAATAGTCTATTAGAAAAATGATAGTTTATCTGCCGGTGCGTATTCATCATCCGTAATCCGACACAAGTAGAGTGTCTGCAAACACTGAGATAGTGATATGTCTGTATTGTACCCAATATTACATACAATGTGTTGTGTCGACACTCTTTTCGGGCCATTAGCTCTTCAATAGCCGTCTCCAAACATTATGAGCTCTCTCTCTCTCTCTCTCACACACACACACACACACACACACACACACACACACACACACACACACCAATATATGTGCAAAATTGCCATTTATTGCTAACCAGCCGTATGTATGATTGTATGCCTTCCAACAACTGCTTATTTTTCACTTTACTAAGTAATGAATGCTTTCACTTCTCTAACGCTATTATAATACACTCAATAATACTAAACATTGTTTTTATAAAATTACTTCAAATACTTTAATAATATAACACTAATCAACACTTAAATCAATCAATTCTTTTTTTGTCACTTTTCAGCTTTCATTGTCTGTAAATTAAAAATATTTTTATTGTAATTTCCAAATATCTATGCGTTTAAAGTGTAGATTAAACTTCAATACACACATACACTGAATATAAATATTTCAAAATTTTGGTAATAAATATTTATTTACGTTTTCTGTTTATATATATATATATATATAAAAGGTATTCTGTGATACAAAAGCATTATTTCATAATTAGACGGAAAATAATATGTTGTTTCTTATGTAACGTTAAGTACATTTAAATGCAATGTATGTGTGTCTGACTGACTGTGTATCAGTGTGTGTGGGCTTTAATATTACATTATTTAAAACATTTTTATATTAAATTGACGAATAAATTATAAAATGCAAGCAAATTATAAATGTTTAAACATTGAAGAAATAAAGATAGTAATAGTATTTTATAATTTATTAGTTATAAATTATTTTGCAAAACTCATAAAAAGGGATGATTTCTTAATCATAACTACTTATTTAAATAAAATAAATAAAATATAATAAATTTAACTATTATTGTAACGCAATATCGTTAAAATTTTTAATTTAAAATTCAATACAGTATATTTATATATTTTGCATGTTTTTATTTATTAAAAATAAATAACTGAAACATGCTTTTTATTTATTAGTTACAGTACATATGATTTTTGATAAAAATCTGACATAATGAA